ATTTCGCTTGCGTTTTTGTATAAACTAAATTTTAATAAAAATTATAAATAGTAAAGTTTATTGTATATTTACTACTATAGTAAAAGTATATATAATAAGTGTATAGTTAATTTTATATATAGTTAAAAATAAAAAAAATAATAAAATATTACTACTACTTTCTATTTTTTTAATTTTTTAATAAGTTTGCTATATTATTAAATGTATAAATAAATTTAATAAAGTAAGTAATAGTTAAGCATAGTATTATTTTTATAGCATTATTAAAATTATTATAATAAAAATTTCTACTATTGCGTAAAATTATTTTGTACGCTTTTAGTCTATAAAAAATTATAATACAATAAATAATTATATTTATATATTAAAAAAGTTTATTTTATATTTAATATTTTATTTAGCAGTTTATTTTTTTTTTAAATATAGTAATTAAGCAAGCGGATATTTTAATTTAGCTTAATTTTTAAAAAAAAGCTATTTAAGTGCAAAAGTAGGCTAGATTTTTTAAGTTAAAAAAGTAATACTGCGCTAGAACTTAGCTTTAAATAGTATAAATATTTTATAAAATTTAAGTATACTAATAGCAATTTTAAATATTTTAATAAGTATAAAAGAATAATATTCTAATAAACTATTTAAGTAAACTATAAAATTATAAATATATATAATAGTATTTTTAGTAAGCTCTAAAAAGGAGTGCTGTAATATAAAATAAAGCTACTTAATTATTATTTAGCTAATTAGGCTAATAAAAGCTATAAATTATAAACTATAGTAAAAGCTATAATATTAAAGTAATTACTATTAATTAATATAGCAGGCTATTTTAATAAAAGAAAAACACAGTTAAGTTAGTACTATACAGTATATATTTTTTTAAATAAAAAAAAGTAGTAAAAAGTAAAAAAAAATAATAGTAATAAAAAGCGCTTTAGTAAAATTTAGCAGGCTTACTATTTTTAGTATACTTAATAAAGTACTGCTAGATTTTAATTTTAAATAGTAATATTTTAAAAATATTTAGCTTTTATAATAAAAGTATTACTAAATTAAGAATTTTTACAAGTGTATTTTAAAAAGTAAAAAAAAAGTAAATAGCAAAAGTTTTAAGTATAATTGTATAATTACTTAGTATTTATTAGTTTTTTTTTCTTACTAAACTATAATTCTGTAAATAATAAAAAAAGTTTATAAATTATTAAATAAGCTAAATATTAGCTTTTGTAAGAACTTTTATTTAACTAATAATAAACTATAATTATATTAATAAAAACTAACTAAAGTTTAAAGTTATTATATTGCTATTTTTAAAAATTTTTTAAGAAAGTACTTACTATATTTAGTAGTTTTTAATAGCTATGCTAGTGCAATATTTGTTTATTATAATAAGCTAGTATTTTAGTAATAGCGTTAAATATATTTTTATAAAAGTATAGTTATTATATAAATTATAAAATTTTTATAATATTACTTGCTAAATGCGCAATAAAATATAGTTATATACTTAATTTTAAAATTTAATTTAAAATTAATTATATTAAAGTATAAAGTTTCTAGCAATACAAAGCTAGAATGCTGCTTTAATTTTAAAGCTGCGCAAATTATAATTAGCTATATTAAAATTATAAAAAGCACAAAAATTATTAAATACTTTAGCTATTAATTTATTATAATATAAAAATAATAATCTGTATTTATAAGTTCTATTAAGCTAAACTTACTACTAAGTAAATAATATACTTTATTCTAGCACAGACTATCCTTCCTTAGCGTTTATATAATATTATTCCTGCAATTACCCTTACTTAACTCTCCAAATATGTGCTTCTCGATATCCCTACATTTTAATACTAAAGGCGCCCTAATCTTCTTAATAAAAGGTTTAATAAAGTTTAATAGTAGAGCTAGTTCTTGCTATTTAATGCAGTTTCAAATTACTATTTCTAGATTTTTATATAAATATTCCACATTATTTATAATATTAACTGCTATATAATTAATAAAATCTTTTCGCAAAGACTGCGTATAGACTTACTAGTATACAACTATAATACTAAAGGCGCTTAGCTTAGTTAAATACAAGTATTCTTGTACTTTAGTGCAACTCTTAAAAAGCTCTAGTTTGTATTTATTAAAGTTAATAAATCTATAAAAATAGTAGGGCTTTATTCTTATTGTGCGATTAACATGTCTAAATGTAGCTACAATAAAAGAAAAAACTTGTATAAGTAAAGTACTAAAAATTAATTTTGAAATAGTATAGGGCGTAAGCATTCTTAGTAGGTAGTAGTAGGCAGAAAAAATATTAGTATCTGAACTGTATTAAGTGCGTTTAGTTGTGCAGTATATACTAATTATAGCATACACTACGTTATCTATTGCGCTACTTAATTAGTTACTATAGTAAATAGGTAATTCAAACTAATAGTAGCTTGGGTGAAGTGTAAAACTCTAATACTCTTAAGATTATTTTTTAAAACGCTTTACTTATTTCTATAAATAAAAGTAAAGTTAATGCAAGAGCAGATTATACAACGCAGTAAAAGAAGTTAGTATAAAATTATAGTTTAAGTGCTATATTTAGCACTTTATTACAGTATTAAAGCAATAAAATTTATACAATACTAAGCTAGCTAAATAGATTATTAAAAAACCTTCAACAATTACTATTAGTAGACTTAATATATTATTATTTAAAAATTGTAGCAACGTAACTATTAAATTTTAATAGTAACTAACTTATTAAGCAATGCTAGGTGCTTAAATTTTAAATTTCTACTGCAGTTTATTATAAAAGTATAAATAAATTTTTAGCCTAGTATTAGAAACTTAGTACAGTTGTAAGCTTGCGCTTTAATTAACAATTTTTTAAATAAAAGTAAGTAATTAGTAATAGCATGTAAAATATTAATTATAGCTTTAGTTTAGCAAATTAGCTTGTAAGAATTATAGGCTATAGTATTTTATATAATTAGCAATAAAATTTACAATAATTAAAAATAAAAAGCTGTAGGCAGCAGTTCCAAATGTATAATATATATATAAAAAAATATTTTTTTTTATACAATTATCTGCCTATGCCTTTATAGTAAGCTATATTAACTATTAATAATTATGCAATACCTACCAACGCTGTTTATATAATGCCTATTAATAATTTTTTTAATCTTACTTTTTGCTTTATTATTTTATTAAATATTATAAAAAATATTTTATACTAAAATAGCTTTTTATATAAAACTAGTATATTAAACTAGTATAAGTAAGTATTTAAGTGCTTTAGTAAGCTTAAATAAATTTTTTAAAACTTAAATACTAGGCTTTTTAGCATACTAAAGCACTTTATACTTAATTACTTTTTTTTTAAAAATCTAGACTATTTTAACTAAAAAGAATTCTACTAGAAGAAATTAAATATATTAGCTATATTTATTATTAGCTGCTAGATATAGACTTTTTACTATAGTTTAACTATAAGCTAAAAGGCTTTTATTATTAATTAGCAAAAAAAGCTTAAAGCTATCTATATAGCTTTTTAAAATAAAAAGCTTATTTAACTATATTAAAAATTATTTTTGCGCTATTATAATTACTAGTAATTTAATAATTAAAAGTAGTAACTTCTTGCAGCTGTAAAAATTGTATAAATATTTAAGTAAAATAGATACTTTAAAAAATTAAAGGAGCAAGTAATTAATATAAAAAAAAGGCGCAGGCAAAAAAGAGCAAAAAAAATTATGTTGCAAAAAAAGTTATTTATATTATTATTATCTGCGTTGCTATTATTTGTAATACTATTATTATTTTACAATTATTATTGCTTAAAGGCTTAGTATTAGTTAATTGCTTAGTAGTAGTTTAATATTATACTAGATATTTAAACATGTGCTTAGAAATTATTAAAAAAGACTGCGCTTTGGTAGTTAAAGTTATATTAAAAATTAAAAATTTATTACTTAGCAATTCTAAAAATAAAAGTATGCAATATATAGTAAAATTACTAATAATGTAAGCTATTAATAATACATTAGGTCCTGTCTTCGCGGACGCTTTACTTATAACTAGCTAGTTATTGCTATCTTTTCTCGAGCACGAACCTCTAAAAGACGAGTATACTTCCAATACTTTTATACCTACTAATTGCTTGCTAATTTCTATGCTCTATAACTGTAAAGAGTTTAAAAGTGCTATAAAATGTTATAGTTAAGAAATAGAGAAGTAACAGTGAATTGTATATCACGTGACACGTAATCCTCAATTAGAGCGCCTTGTAATATATAGAATACTAAGCTGTTTATATTAAGCAACTATAGAAACTTTATAATCTTAATATTCCGCAATTTCCTTATAAGCAAGAAACTAGCGAAGCTTTTAGGTTTGTCAATGTCCTAAGCATTCGTATCCTGATTTTTCAACCGTCAAATCCAAATAACAATAGGTGTATAAAATTTGATGTTTATATCCGGGATTTATATTAACCGGAATATATTATTGTGTGAGAAGGTAATTAGACAGTTTCTAAGGTTTCTATTTAAGCGCTTGAAGTTTGTACTAAAAGTAATATTAAACTAAAACTTGGATTTTGATTCCAGTAGGGCTAACTGTGCTTGTATCTTAGGCACTAATTATCTTTCTATCCTTGATTCGTTGATTTGTTCGACACTAGCTTTCAGAAATCCGACAACAGATCGGAGCGCCATAGAATCTCGCACAAATTTCACGTAGGGGAGATAAAAGCCAGGGCGGTAAAGGGTTTCGAGTATAAGCTGACTAATACTGTTGTATTCTCCCAAATTCACACTGCTATTTCGTTCTACCTTTTCCCCCACTTCTCTCCATTTCTTTCTACCTGCTGTAGGTAGACTCGTCGCTAAAAAATAACATGTACCAAACTTCCGTCATCAATCATTAGCCAACCAAGGGCCTGTTGAGCTTCCTACTGGATACAAATATCCTGGTTTCGATGAAAAGCAAAACATTGTGCTCTGACAGTTCAAAGGCTATGAGGCCTGCACCTGATCTCCACTTTGCATATTTCCGCCTGCAACGCATGCATTGGCATCGTTGTTGTTTCCATTTGACCCCAAGTCTTCCCCCCACATAATCATGATCGTGGCATCTATCGTACTGACCTTTACCGTCTGACTGGCAGCTAGGTCATTTAAAGTTTGAGCTTCTATCTGTGTCAGATAATCTTCAGTGAGCTCGTTCAGATCTAGAGGGGAAGTTCTGCCATCTCCCCCTTCGCGAGCAAGACCACCATCAAAGGCCGTCCAATGGTGGTGAAGATCATGAGTATCTCCTTCTGGCATAGCTTCAAGAATAGTCGCGGGTGTCGAGTCTGTCACGGGATGAGATGGGTAGTGGTCAAGAGTATCAAGAAACACGTTGACGATGCTACCGACTGGGTCCTCGGGATAAGAAAAGCTAGGCAGTGCATACTGGCTTGTCTTCTTTTGGTGCTTATGATAATGTCCGCCCAGGTCATCCTGATGATTAGCTTTGCGCTTGCGCTGATTCTGCACTGGCGCAGCAGGAGACGGATCTAGTGGTCTTCGAAGATATGCGTTCGGCCTTAGTCCGCGCTTTTGAGAGTATGACTCTTGGAGTTCAAATACAGGATCGACCCTACTCTCAAAGTCGCAAAAGTTTTGGATCGTGTCCTCGGTTGGCGCATTCGAAATGCTACTAGAGGTGTTGATAGTAGCTTTTCCGGTTGTATCCAGATAGCGCGGACGACGACTAGGGTTCGAAGTCTGAGACTGCTCGCTACGAAGATTAGGTCCGGATGGACGTGTCGACTGGCTACCATCCAGTTCAAGACCATCATCGAACCTCCTAGGGTCTACTTTCGATGTGGAAGAATGAATTCTCCTACTGCCGATGAACTGAACCTCGTCATCACTATAAGGTGACAGTATCACAGGCACATTGGATCGTTTAGTAGCCTTAAGATCTGAATCTAACCCGTGTCAGCACGATGTCAATTTTTAAAAACGAAGAAAGCTTACCGTTCGATATGCCCTTAACTTGATTCACCGGGGTATCGCAAGTCCCATTAGCAAAGCATGGTCGCTTCGCATATTTCGTGGGGCGTTCATTGATTTCCTCGTGCACATCGAAGTCTCGAGACAGCCGCTTTCGGGAGTAGCCATTTGGAAGGGCTGATGTCGATGAGCTTACAGTAGGAGGCAACCAGTTTGTCTTGTCGTTCGCTTTCTTAGTCTTGGAAGCAATCAACCCAGGTGCGACAGACTTGGCCGTAAGCTTCTTTCGCGCGAGATGTCGGGCCTTAGCGCGAATGCTCGCTTTACTCCCTGGCGTAAAATCTAGCATCGTGCTGGATTATGTAGAGATATAGTAGCGCGTGTATGCGACGAATGCTTAGATATATTGAAGGCGAAGGAATATAGGAGGGGCTCGTTTCGGAGTTGTGATGCTGAAGTCTTGTCTTCGAGTTGAGGAAAGGGCTTTCTTATAAGAAGTAAGTTGTGGAGGCAAACAATTGTTAAGCATGCAGAGTCTAAATGAGTTCCAATCATATGCAAACAGGAGCTTCAGGTTGCGCTTGGGCCTCTAGCTTCGGTTACAGCCCCGCCATTGTATGGTTGCTATAGAAGCCAAGATAGATGATATTGCCAAGACAATCGCACATGGGGACTGTTTCACTTGCCATTGGGACTATTTCACTACCTGGTACTGGTACTGGAGATTCAAGCATCTTATATGCATTCGCTCTTCAGCGATAACCATCATGCCATTCAGACATTATCGCAAACTAAGAGTATAGAGACATCACAAGATCGATTGTTCATCCTCTATTATTCATTTCGGAAAATAGCTCAAAAGATTACTGTCGCCCAGTCCCGATATGACATTCAGTATTCATCAAGAGAATTTTATAGACAACCTGCTTGAAAGCGCACACCCTGGTTGCCCTTGATTGCCTAATGGCTGGCTTTGGAGATAGTTTTCAATTTGTCACAGTGTAAGCAAAGATCTCGTAGCTCAAAAAAGATTGTGAAGACCGCTACTATGTATTCATATTTCTTGACCAATCTTATACTATGATGAGTAAGAAAGACTCGACAGGTCGGAACTGAAAAATACCATTTATATTACCGTTTCCTCTCAGGACACAGAGAGAGAGATATGTTGAGAAGAAGAAGAAGAAGATCACATTTTTTACCGCATGATTGATCACCCCCCATATTCTATTTTGCAATATCCCTGCCATTTCCCACGTTGATTGTACCTTGGGGCCAAAACTGCCGCGACATCTTATGCATAGATCAGATTGGGAGAGCTGGGACTTTTCGAGTACTATGAATGCTAGTATCTAGCGTCATGGCGGGTGGTAGATACAATGTCTGTTGGGTGTAGTACGTATCGAGTAGTTGCTTTGGATAGATTCTGATCTGGTTTTGCGCGGATTTTCTTGCCTAACGAGAGCGTTCGCTAGGACTGGTCTCTCCGTTCTGAAGTACACCCGCCGCTGTGCTTGCGATGGAAGTTTCCGCCAAGATCCAAGTTTCGAGCTCCATTGGTACTATTGTGTAGAGCTGCCAGGTTCTTCATCGGAGCCTTTCGTCGTTGTGCGATCTGGGATCCTTCTGTAGACATTGGCGTTCGAATTCGCTGTCCTGGCTGATAGTTACGCGGTAACTCGTTCGCCAATGGTGCAAAAACCGATTGAGAAAACATAGGCGGTTGATTGTCAAGCATCGACTCTCCCACCATTTCCATGTTCCCATTGAACATTCCAGAATAAGCGGCAATTGATTGATGCACACGCTGCGATGATGCAGTCGGAGCAGAAGCAGTGCTGCCAGCATTTAGCGGTGTATCCAGGCGATTCGTTGCCTCCTCAATAAGCTCCATGAGATCATGAATCGAAATCTCGTATTCGAAATCGAAACTCTCCAATCTGTAGACAATACCGGGGAAGTTACGGAAATTGATACTGCGCTGTCGTCCCGTCCTGCACCACTTGGCAAGTGGAGTTGTATTTTTCGGAACTCCTCGCACCTCACGAATCAAAGGCGGCGCTGCAAATTCGGCAGGTAACCTTCGATCTTCCAAGTCGAATAGATGGTTCAATCGCTTGGTGAGCTCCCCGAAAAGCCAGTTCTGCAGCTCTGTAACATCAGCCCACATGTAACCCTCGTGTTCGAGAACCCCAGAGTGAATGAGAGAGACGATCATGTCGGTATCAGTAACATGATTAGGCTGAGGTGGAGGCATGTCTTGGATACGATTGGTACCGGTGCAGTCGAGATATTTTGGTGGTTTAGGATCCGTCGAATCGAGCGCTGGAATCGCGAGAATCTGTGCGAACGTCAACTTGCGAGCACTCCCGTTTCCTTGGCTTGGCGGCAACCCTCCATGTTCTGGGACATTGATAAACTGCGCTTGGAAGGACATTGTCGGCTCTAGATAGGTTGCGTTGCTATTCTTCTCAGTCGCCTTTGGTGCGCCAAAAGCGCTTGATGGTGTTGTCCCGTAGGTGTATGCATAATCGAAGTACTCCGGTGCACTCATACTGGCGTAGTAATCTTGTGATAGAATTATTGTGTAGTTCTTTTCAAGTTGAGGAGGTTAATAGGTAGAGTGCAGTTGAAGGTGATCGAATGGGTTTTGGTATTTGATATTAAATGTTGGTAGGCGAATTCTTTCCATTGTTTCTTGATTATGTTGGCAGTGTGAATTGACGTGGTTGCTGCACTACTACGCCCCTGGGCAACGCATATCAGTAGTTCAGTAGTTCTGAAACAGGATTTCACTGCAGGACCCTGTGAAAACTCAACAACAGCTCTGAAGACATTGTGCGCAACACCATTGTTAGGGAGCGGACTGATCGGCTGTGTTTCGCTGTCGAGAAGGTAAAAATTGTATTCAAAGCCTCTTAAAGCTAAGAACCAAGCAAAGAATTCAAGTTTTCGATGTAGCAGGATGCTGCCTCGTACCCCTTAAACAGTCATGACTCTTCGCTACACATTTCTCGTCACCACGAGCCATGTAGACTATTAATATCTAGCTTCGGTATTTCGTGCTTTAGCCAAGGCTCTAATCCATCCAAGCTCACAAGGTCGATTCTCTCCGGCCCATTGAACCCTTAGCGCTGGGCCTTCTCCCGGTTCGCTCCACCTTTCCCATTCTCTTCCTTTGACTGTCTCTCCGTCTTTGCTTTTGCATATTCCAAAGCCCTGTTGATATCCTTTGGGTATTCCATATAGATGTCCCAGTGCTCCTTAGCACAAGCGATCGCACGACCCAAATCACTATCAGTCTGCATGGGTATATATTGGTTGGCAAGAAGACGAGAAAGGTACTGGTTCCTGCGCTCGCTGGTCTGAAGCGGGAAATGTTGAAGGTACTCATTGTAATGCCGATAAAGGGAGCTTTCATCCGTAAGCAGTTCTTTTTTGCGACTTAGGCGACGTTCGCGGTCTAGGCGTTCGGCATCGGCAATCTGATGTTGCTCACGTAGCTGATTCTCATAATTTTGGTCTTTTTGATCAAGTTGAGCTTGTGGATTGGTAAAAGGCGAAGCGGCATATTTTCTGGAGTTCGATGCGGTATTTGATGTAGTCTTTGATGCGGGCTTTGATGCAGTCTTTGATGCAGTCTTTGATGTAGTCTTTGATGTGGTACTTGAAAAAGCATCTGATTCGGACATCGATGTGTTCAGTAGTGTATTCTTCACTGCGGTACTCGATGAGGTAGTCGATACGGTCCTCGTTGTGGCGTTCGATGTGATATTCAATGCACTGGGAAGTACTGGTCTCTGATATTGTCTCGAATCGAGAGGTGCAGCTGGTGCGGATGATGCTGCAGTTGCTTGTCTCTTTTTTGCTTGACCTGCGCTATCCGGGGCAGTACTCGCAGGCCGCTTTGATCCTTGGGTGTTTTGCGATGGTAAGCCCTGAGCCTGGCGAGGAGGCGTTGGTATCTGAGACTTGGGGCTGACATTTGAGGCCAATGAATGAGGATTAATCTGTTTCTGTTGGGTATCTGATGAAGGGACTAATGATGATAAATGTAGCAGTTGGTTCCTTTGGCTGGTAATAGAGGCTGGCTGTTGTGTGTTATATTCCGTCATTCGACTATTTTGCCTAGCTTGAGGAACGCGATTGCTATATGTCGTTGTCCGAACCATTTCTCCCGCTTGAGGAAAGCGATTTCCAGGTGAAGGAAGACCGAATTTGGCCAGAGGCATCTGCTGAAGTTGCCGTACTTGCGCATCGTAAGGTAGCTGCTGTGCAGGTGGGAGTGCTAGGAAGTTGCCCGAAGCCATGTATGGAAACGCCTGCGGTAGTGCGCTGTGGGGAAGCTGATGGCCAGTTGAGAGAGCCGCAAAGTTCGCAGCAGGCATCTGCTGAAGTCGCCGTGCCTGCGCATCGTAAGGTAGCTGCTGTGTAGGTGGGGGTGTCGGCAAGCTTCCGGGAGCAGTGTAGGAAAACGGCTGCGGCTGTCTATTGTGGAAATTATTTGCCTGGTTGACCCCGAAGTTGAAGCTATTCGGTGTCTGCGGCTGTCCTGGCTGTGGCCATCCAGCGTCTGTGGGATGCCACCAGTCCATATTGTTCTTGTACTGGCCTGGGTCTGCGATGGGCGATGTCCAGTTTGTAAGGTTTGGTGACTGAGATGGAGCTTTGCTCGAATACTCGTTGGCTAGATGATGCATGCCGAATGCCTCGGGAGGCGAGAAAAGCGTACGTGTATTTGGATTCATCCTTTTGACCTTGCTGGGTTCGAAGGGCGACATCAACCTTGGCTGAGGTTCCCAACTGCCAACATTGGTGATGTTGTTGAGTCCGGGGCGCTCGTAGGTATGGTTGGATGACATTGTAACTTTCAAGCGTCGCTCGCTTTGCTTTTTGCGTTTTCTGATGTTTGATCGTGATTATTTTCTGCTGTCCCCTGGTGTAGTAAGTTCTTGCAAAGGCGGCCTCAGGCGGGTCGTCTATTGTACACTGCGTGACAATAGCAGCGAGTAGCGATCACGTGAAGTAACTTTGAAACGCCATGAGGGTCCCTAGTCCTTCGATGAAGGTGAAGGTGAAGGTGAAACGCTTTTCTACCCGCTTTTTACTGTCACAATGATTTTTACAGGAATACGCGACATACGTTAAGAACCTATATATCCACCAGCCTGATGGCGAATTGCTCGCTGGAGCTTGCAAACAGTGCTACTACTTCCGTTGAAATGTACCAATTCAGGGAATGGGAAGAGGGACTGCGTGATTGTTGCAGCCCGCGCAGTTGTAGTGAGTGACATTGTTTGAAGACTTGTGGTCATAACTTGCTCTTTGTCTTTGATTTATCTCTGACCTCCTGTGCCATCCGCACGAGAGCATATAGCGTCTGCAGTCGCGGCATCTCAAACCCCCTCTCCCGCGCAATTCTTATCGGATTACCCAAAATGACCTCAATTTCCATCCTCTTCCCGCTCTCCCAATCAATAGCCATACTTGGCTTACTGCCGCTTGTATTCCTCTGTGTACTTGTGATGATTTTGTCAGGCGTAGCGAACTCCTTCGGCAGTGGCTGTCCCAAGATCTTTGGCGCTGTTTCTAGGATTTCCGTCATGACGCCTTTCAGGTGGAGTTGTAGCTCGGGGTCGGAAGCCATGGCATTATTGGTCGAGCAGAGAGTCAACACCGAGCTGGGGTTCATAGAGGCGTTGATAGCGATCTTGTGCCATCGGACGAGTTGTAGTTTGGCGTGGCTGTAGGCTTCGGCGTCTTTGATACCGCCTTCCTTCAACAATGCGATGAAGGCATTGTTCTGTTCCGTAACTCTTGTGTCCGAATCTTTAATACCGCCGGTGTCGAGGTGCGGTAGGTATGGCCCGCTGTTTATGCGCGTCCAACGATTGTGCTTGATCTGACCATGCGCAGGCTGTGCGCACGTCGCTATGGTGACCGCCGAACATATAGCAGCTTGTGGAAAGCGCTTCGCGTATGGCTCCTCGACGCCCAAGCCATTCTGTATCAGCACAATAGCTGTCTTATCGCCAACCAAGCCCTCCAGTATTGTCGAGTCGTCGCTTACGTCCGGTAGGGCCTTTGTGCTCACAACAATGTAATCCCATTGTATACCACTCTGTTTAGCTTCTTCTGGATTCGCAAACGTGTTCGCAGGTACGTATGTATAGTCGCCGTACTGAGGAGAGGTAACGTGGAAGCCGCTCGCTTTGACTGCGTTGTAGTTTGAGCGGCAGATGACGGAGACAGAGGTGCCGGAGACGAGGGCAAGGCGTGAGGCATAGAAAGCTCCAATGGCGCCGGCGCCAACGATGAGAATCTCAACAGGCATCTTGGGGACTGTAAAGCAGTAAAGGAAGGAAGTTTGTGATGTCGATGTCGTGATTTGGAGCTCCAGCCTATCGATAGCTGCGTGATTAGCCTCGGTATGTCTCGAGTCAGGTCTCAACGCATCAAACGTCATCAACGATTCGCACCAACCTCATCATCACTCAGACGACACCGCTCGCACGGAATACAATGCTCGCATCCACCGGAACACATGGCCTTGTTGTCACGGGTTCAATATGTTCGATTAAGCACAGCAAACACGTCAATATCCACCCAAGGCCACCCAGCCCTGTGAGTCGAACACGCGAAGTCTTCCCGTTACTAAAAACATAGCAACTCTAAGCGCATCCCTTTACGCAGGTTGAAATCATGGACACACACTTGTCACTCTGTATTGATTCAGTCCCGTGAAAGCGCCCTCTTGTTTGAACCCGCTTGAGGATGGGTAAGAAGCCGAAGCACTTCGTGGAGGTATGGCCTGAATCATCACACCGATTGTCCAAGGCAGCGTTTACGGAATGAGATATAGCACTATCGTCCTTAGACCCTCCAACTGGTTCAAAGAACAAAAATAGTCGAGTGGCTCAATAAACCTTCGCTAGCCAACTGGATCATGCTATACATCCGGTTTCAACGATTGTAGACTGGACGGCAGCGGAGACACTCCATGCCCCTATTCTCCCGGCCACAGAAAATGAGGGCTTCAGTCAAGAACAGCAGAAATAGCGACATCTCTCAGTCAATTTGCGAATAGACTTTTAGAGACGGCGCCAAATAAATCGCCATCACCAGCCGATCTCCTTCTATTTGAGAGACTGGACGGCCGATAAGCAGTGTCATGGATGTTACGGTCAGGGATTCGGTCGAGGATGGGTGCGGTTGAAGAACGGAGAGGTGAGATGGGACTCAAATCAGCGATGACGTTGCTTTGGTCGCAATAGAATAGGCCATGTACTGTGGTTGGAATGTTGCTCTTCACTTTATCTGTAAGTCTCCACTCTCATCGAGTTTCTTAGACCCTCAAATGCTGTTTTCTTCTTCCTATAGAAAACCCAAAGTGACAAGAAGTTAACTTCACATAAAATCCCCGCTTTACCTCGCATGGGAGTCGTCCGGAGTGTCGTAGATGCCTGATTTAAGCGATGATAGCTAGCCAGTGTTGCTTCTTCGATGCCCCTTCCGCTCTTTCGCTCTTGATTCATCTTCTAGCCTTTGATATATCCCTCTGTCATCCCAGAAATCTAACCAATCTTAATTCAGGATATTCATTTTCCCGTTACTTGCGGAGGGCTCTTATAGGCATTCATTCACATGAGCGCCTGCAAGCGCCGAAGAGATATATTGGACTTCACAAGTGGACAGGTAGTTTCAGCGCCCGGCACGCTCATAGGTGAGCAAGTGCGCAGATTCACGTTCACCGTTGCGCCCAACTCGAGAGACTGCATCATAAGTGCACGGTCAGATTACTGGAGTATCTATGAGGATTGAAAACCACCGCTACTTGACTATCGTTTGAGCACATCTCAACAGATAAGCCACCCATCGAGATGCCAGACCCAGTGATCAAGAAGGAGCAAAGTCCAGAGGCTTCGGTTATGGCTATGCCGCCAATGTCTACAGCAGTGTCTACAGCTATTACTCTTACCGCTCCGGCCATTTCAATGAGCGATACAGAGGATGTCAAGCCGCCGAAGCTGAGACCGAAGCCTTACATCGTCGTGGAGCAAACCCACGTCGCCCCGAGTGCATACTATGGTAGCTCTCCTCGTAAATACAGACTCAGCGGGCGTTCGAATCCTAGCACTCGAGTGTTTGCTCGCGCGCCGCCGATTTTAGCGCGCCTTCCATCTCGAGCGACTTCCGCTACAGCAACGGGTCGCGTCAACAAACCCAACATCACAACAACCAATCTCGCAAAAACACCCACATTGAGCAGCATCAAAAAAATTCTGGAAGAGATTGGAAAGCTGACAAACAAGAAGCACAACAGGATGAACGAGCACGATTCCGGCGGAGGCGCCGCTGGCAACGAGATGAGCTATTCAGTTCTGCCGCCGATGATGAACATGCAAGGTAAGTTTTTTCCCGTCTTGATGCACTCCGGCAGCAAACAGCGCGCATAGAGGGAGGTGTTCAATTCAATCGTTTTGCTCCAACCTCACAGAACTCCTCCAAGACATTGGCTAACATGCAGCAGATGGAGTCGATGAGACGGTGACCATGACACGAAGCGACCTCGAAAACATCCGCGGCCACTTGCAGATGCTGCAGAACGCGACCGCGACCAGCGAGCAACATGGTATGTTGGCTTAGTTCAATTTGCCGCAATACGAACTAACTCGCGCAGTGTCAGAACAGCGCTTGGTTATCGGTGAACTCGTCACTTTCAACCATAGCATCCACACCATGGTGCAGCAACTAGATAACCGCATGGTGAAGGTAGAGTACGACAACACCAATCTGCGCTCCATGCTCACATCTCACTCTGATTTCACGAACGGCGTGCCTCAATCCGCACCGGCAGTTCGCCCTACCTGGCATCGTAGCGGCACCGGCAGACGCTCGCGTAGCCCATCTCCTACGCAACTCGAGTACCGCGATCGCGCAGGATGGGAGGGTGGCGAGTCCATCCCCACCGGCACTGTTTCGAGCGACGTCAAGAAGACGAAGGCGCGAAAGCAACTTCAGATTCAGATACCCGGGAAGATATCTGCCCCATCCTTTGCAGCTGGCCTACCTACTCCGCTGACGAGGACTGCGGTATGTTCCCTTCGCTATATATGGTGATATAGATCAATGACCTGACTTTGTAATGCAGACGACTCTATCAGCCGGTCCCTCGGCGCTTTCATCAAGCTTCCCCAAGACGCCGATTACACCAGGTCGCATTGGTCCCAACAGTAACAAGAAATCGGCGACAGCGATCAACAAGCGCAAGATCCACAACCTCGATAAGCTGGTTCCGCCTACCTATGCGCAAATCCCTATCGTTCCTCTGACCGACACCGAAGTCATCGTCTACTTCTTCCAGTCCCTAGCCCGCCCCATCGTCGCTCTTCGCCTGTATGCGCGAAACTGGGGCCCAGCTTCCATCGTAGACGTACTGAACGAGCACCGCGACATCAGCCCGCCGTATCTGCGCAACACGGCCTCAGTCAAGTGCACGACGGCGATCAAGAAGGGCCGGGACAAGTTCGGCGATGAGTGGGAAGACGCCCATCGCGAGGTATTCCGGAAAGCCGACGACGTCAAGGCCACGGATTTGATCTATCTGAGTGGCGACGAAGTCGACCTCGCTGTAGATTACGACGTGCGCTCTTTGTCGGTCGGACTGCGTAAGCATCCCAAGGACGGTGTAGATGGTGGCATCTTCACCCGCTGCGTCAAGTACTGCCATGAGACTGGCGCGCCGTATACGCTGTTCAACGTCTGGCAGCTCGCGGCTGACTTGCAGGAAGGTCGGGTGCCGCAGCATCCGCCGTCCCCTATCGCGCCCGGTGTGACCCCCCGCTTTCGTCGTGGACAGCTGAAGCTAGATGACACTGATGACGACTACGAGGACATTCCGAGCCCGACTCCACGCCGCAAGGTGATAGCGCCTCAGCGCCGTCGTCGTGGAAATATCAACACCTACACTTCCGCTGCCTCGGACTCCAGCATGGGCTATGAGGATGACGCTGCCATGTAAGAGTCCGCCTAGCTGCTCCACAAACCCTGGATGAACCGCGAGAAGAGAGTCAAGATGTTTTTGCCATTACCGACGTTGAGACTTGAATAAGTGTCTGTATCGACAGTGTACGACAACGACATGTCCCAGCATTGGATACTATGTCCACGTACAACGAACACACTGCTTTCGACGTTTGCAGATTACAACGGTAATCATGCTTGAAATCACTCATGGCGGTTGTGACTTTTGCTCTATTGAAACGATTTGAACGTGTCACCTGTATACACAAGATTCACGTCGGGTTGTTTTCAAAGAGTATAATGACGATGATGGCGATAATGGAGGCGAATATGCCGATAATGCTTTACAATAGCCGGGCGAACTCTTGTTTAACGAATTGTCCATGATGGATGTAGGTAATCAAGTAGATAGACACCCTTTTGATAATAGGCTCAATAGAAATACAGCACGATAAGGGCAAAAAAAAAACAATTACTCATGAATGAATGTAGTGTGCAGGCTGACTTATCTCATCGCTTCGTGCTATATTGTTAACAAATCTCCTACTGCATTAGGAGATGCCGAGACACCACGGGCCAGATTATTTATGTCAATACCAAGCCAGAGAAGTTTAGCCATGGGGGAAAATGGGCGAGGTTGGATGTATATCAAAAGAGTCTTGTTGCACAGACAAACCCACCCAAGCAATTAACGCCAGATCCTCTAATAGGTAGGTATACAAACAATGCACACGCCATAAATCCTTCTCTTCCCGACAATCCATCTACTCTCACCGCGCAAACATCCTCATCATCATATCCCCCTTGCCGTCTCCCGCCGCCTTATCTCCTTCTCCTCCACCAGCCTTGCCCGGCCCAACAGGGCTCGTGGAAGCAAAGAAAAGCACCTTGATAGCGATGGCGAAACCAGCGTGTAGCGCGAGTACGACAATGAGGAGAATCTTCGACGTCTTCGCTTCAGTGGTACTAAGCACAGGGTAAAAGTTGCGCAGGAGGAAGAAGGCCGAGAAAGCGAGGCCGAGGGCAACAAAGACGTAGTTGAGGACTAGGGACAATACGTTAGTACGTTGATAATCCATCTTTGACAAGTCCAAAGAGAAGGATAAGAAATCGTAGAGCCGAGGAAAGGGACAAGACTTACTCGCAACCGGACTCCAACTAACCAACGCAACCACAATCCAAACCAAATTCGCATACCCATACAAACAACAGCACTCGAGCAGATTCGCACTCTCACTCCCATACCACTTCAACACGCCCCACAGCCCCGCAGGCACAAGTGCAGTATACCCATACACCAGTCCCGCCGCACCACTCAACAGCTTGAAATCATACGCAAAATGCTCCTTGCCATTGTGCGCTAGGTACTGATTAATCGTGCCCGTCAGGAACAAGATGACCACGACCGTCGTGGCGATCCACACCGGCCCGTAGAGATCGGGGTTGCCCTCGAGCACGTCGAGGAAGTTTTGCCGCGGGTAGATGGTGGCTGTGCAGCGCTTGAGCACTTCGTTTGTGTCCACGTCGAAGGCTTGCGCGTAGAAGGAGAGCGTCCAGAGGTAGTGCTTTCGGCCGGTGGGTGTCACGGAGCCAGGGCCGGGGAGGAACGAGGCGCTGTCGGGTTGGATTTTGGCGGCGCGCGTGTTGGGCTGCGTGTCGAAGTCTGTTTGGCGGGGGTTAGCAATGGACTGGGTGATGAAGATGTGGGACGTACTTGAGCTGTGGAATTCGAGGTCTTCTTGGAGATCCGTGTGGCCTAGGTCGCCCTGCAAGTATGGTGAGCTTTGTGTTAGATGCGTCTTTTGCATCGCTACATACCTCTTGATCGACGTCTACGACGACATCATAACCTCGATTCGCCATGTTGCTGGTATGTGTCGCTGAACTAGCTTGCTGGAGCTGCACTTCTGCGGCCAGATTGCGGTTGACGTCGCGCGTCGCGTCCGTGCGCGACATGATTCGGAGCGGCCAGGATTCAGGGTCCTCGCTTTCATTGGCTAGCTGCAAGACGTATGGAAGCAATTATAATCATCAAAAGCTCTTCATCAATATACTGACTTTGGAGTAGCAGATAAACACTTGATATAGCGCATGCATCTACAAATCTAGTACCTCCCGTGGTCTACACCATACCGGGACCCTCATCACCGAACGCCTTCTGCACGGTCTATTTACGGCAGAAGCTCGTCCTTGACAGTCACTGGCTCTACATTCCAGATGCTCTCCGCATACTCGTCGATACACCTATCACTCGAGAAGAAGCCCATACGCGCAACAGTCGTAATCGTCTTAGTTGTCCACTCTTCCGTGTTCTTGTAGCTCTCATCGATGAGCTCTTGCGTCTTAACGTACGAAGCAAAGTCATCTGAGACGAGGTAGTAGTCTCCATGCTCGATGATGCCGTTGATTAGAGCAGTAAAGCGCTCAGCATCGCCGAAGACGCCCTCGTAGATCTTGTCGAAGACAGCGGCAAGATTCGGCTCCAGCTCGTATTTGGAGTAGAGATGGGCGTGACGGAGGTCCTCTACGTCCTCGGAGAGGTTGCCGAAGAGGAAGATGTTCTGCTCGCCGATTTCGCGAGTGATTTCGATCTAGTAACGAGTCAGTGTCGTTCACCCATATCATAGAATAAAGTACTTACGTTTGCACCATCGCAGGTTCCGATGATCAAACCACCGTTCAGACAGAACTTCATGTTGCTGGTACCGGAAGCCTCAGTACCGGCAGTCGAGATGTGCTCACTGATGTCGCTAGCAGGGCAGATGATTTCCGCTTTGCTAACGTTGTAGTCCTCCAAGAAGATGACCTTGAGGGCATCGCCAACATCTTTGTCGTTGTTGACCACGTCGCCGACCTTGTTGATGAGATGGATGACCGTCTTCGCCATCCAGTATCCTGGCGCAGCCTTACCACCGAAGATGGATACGCGGGGAACAAGCTTCTTCCTCTCCTCTGGAGACATGGCCTTGATCTGAATGTAGCGGTGGATGACGCCGAAGATGTTCAACTGTTGGCGCTTATACTCGTGAATACGCTTGACTTGGACATCGAATAGAGCAGCTGGGTTGACTGTGACACCGTTGTGCTCCTTGATGTGCTTTGCAAGCCGCACCTTGTTGGCATATTTGATCTCGCGGAACTCCTTTCGGAACTCCTTGTCATCAACGTAAGCCTCCAGCTTGTGAAGCAAAGTCAAATCCTTCAAAAACTCGTGTCCGCCGAGTTTCGACGCAATCAAAGCCGAAAGTCTAGGGTTGGCCTGGTGAAGCCATCTTCGTGGGGTGATACCGTTGGTGACGTTGGTGAATTTGTCTGGTCCGTAGATCTTGACGAAGTCCTTGAAGATGGTCGTCTTGATTAGGTCAGAGTGCAGCTCGGCCACACCGTTGACCTTGTGAGAGCCGATCAAGGCCAGGTAGGCCATGCGGACCATCTTCGGCTGTGACTCCTCAACGATGGAAACGCGGCCGAGCATCTCGCGCTCATTCGGGAAGTTGCGCTCGACGAACTGGAGGAAGTTCAGATTGATATCAAAGATAATCTAATAACGTCAGTATTACGTATAGTCACTGGAAGAGGGGTGAAAATACCTGAAGATGGCGGGGGAGGAGATGCTGCATCAATGGCACCGACCACTTCTCGAGAGCCTCAGGAAGGACGGTGTGATTGGTGTAGCCGAAGGTCTTCTGGACGACTGAAGGCTGTTAGCTTCTGCAAATTGAGCATAGATTGCTCCTGCTTACTGTTCCACGCATCGTCCCACTCTAGGCCTTCAATATCAACCAATATCCTCTGAAGCTCGGGAATGGCAAGCGTCGGGTGGGTATCGTTGAGCTGGATGGCGACCTGGTTGGGGAACTCGCTCCAAGCACGCTTGCTCTTCTTGAATCGGCGGACGATATCGTAGAGCGAAGCAGCGCACCAGAAGTACTGTTGCTTTAGACGCAGCTCCTTTCCACGGTCGAGGCTGCTCATGTCAGTAGGAGTTTTTGATTTATCCGGAGTTACTTACTTGTCGTTCGGGTAGAGCACAGCAGAGATGGTCTCAGCGCGCTGCTGGTCAGCTACCGAGCTTTCATACTCGCCAGAGTTGAATTTCTGGAAGTCGAACTCGCCGCTAGCTGCCTTACTTCCCCAAAGACGGAGGTTGTTGCAAGTGCTGGTCTTGTATCCAGGAACTGTACAATATAAGTGATCTGCAATTCAACATGGTGCCAAAGGTACTTACCTGGCACATCGAAGGCATTGGCCTTCACAATCTCACCGCCTTCCCACGAGCACTGTGTCTTGCCCTCGTCGTCTTGCCAGCGGTTGACATGGCCGTAGAACTGCACATCAACCTCGATATCGTGCCTCTGGAACTCCCATGGGTTGAAGTCGAGCCAGTAGTCTGGGACCTCGACCTGATATCCGTCAACGATCTCCTGCTTAAAGATACCGTATCGGTAGCGCAGGCCGTATCCCCAAGCGGGATAGTTCGAGGAGGCCATGGAATCGAGGAAGCAGGCGGCAAGACGTCCGAGACCGCCGTTTCCGAGAGCAGCATCATGCTCCTGGGAGATGATGTCCTCCATGCGGAATCCAAGGTCGCTGAGACCCTCTGAAAGCGTGTTAGAAGCTGCTATGAGCGAGTATAGGATAGGAATATGGCAGCTTACCTTGCGCGGCATCTTTCTGGTCAACGTTGAGCATGGCATTGTCCAATGCTCGTCCCATGAGGAACTCTAGGGAGAGATCTATTCTCGTCAGCAACAACTCTCTGCATTGGAGCATAGTCTCGTGGCGTCTCACAGTATATACGCTTCGGGTCAGCGAAAGTCTGACTCTGCTGCGTCTTGTTCCAGTCCAAGACTAGGCGATCTCTGAAGGCCAGGGCCGTTCCAGCATAAGCGGCTCCCTCATCGCAATTGTACAGCGAGCGCGCAAGCGTAGTCTCGATGTGACGAACCGCTTCCTTTTCGAACTCTTCGGCTGTGGTGAAGGGCTTGGGCATCTAGCACTATCGTCAGTGCTTCAAGCTCCATAGTCTTCTCCAGCTACCCCGCAATACCGCGTGGATCCGCCGGATGCGGGCAATTGACTTACAAACTTCCGCCATGCCTCACGCTGGGGCTCTGGAATGCTCGCTTCGACGCTCTTGATCTCGCCGGGGCCGAAACCCGTTACGGTCCTCTTGTGCTTCGGACGGGTGAAGTTGGCAGGTCCCACGGGGCCCTTGAAGTCGGTGATTGGGGTGCTCATCGACGGACGGCGCTGGCGGGGAGAGGTGTTGTCAGACGCCATTTTGAGTATGTCAATTGCAGAAAAACGCGAATTGCTGAGGGAGTGTCGGTGTCGAAGAGGTGATGGTGGGGTAGAGGGACGAATGGCTGCAGCTCCAGGGTATGAAGCGCAGTCGCGGGGGTGCTCAAGGATATTCGATAAGCAAGACGTGGGGAGTGAAGCTTATAAAGCTACGAGTGGTTCCACCGTAGGAAATGTCTATCAAGGCCAGGTCGGGGAAGGCACCCGTGGTTGACTTTTTCCTTTTGCAGGAATACACCGCTCCAAAGAAGCACGACGACGGGGATCGCGAAAAAGCCCCGCTGTCAGGAGATATGACGATGGTTTAAGACCTCAGTAGCAGCGCGGGGCAAGGTGAGCTGACAGCTTAAAAGCTACCAACTAACCGTTACTAACGGCTAGATAATAGCTGTTGAGGGCGGGATATGCAGCTATAATGCACGCCCCGAGGCGACGCCGCTCAGGAATGGCTTCCGAGTGGGGTGCTCGCAACCAGCTCAACATTTTGAACCATCCAAAGTCCGCGCTGCGACGCGCAAACGCCCAGCTAGCGCCTAGTAGCATGCACGAGGTTATTGGACATTGGCTCCTTTGTAGCTTGGCGAGACTTTCCGCGGTTGTTTCGTGAAGGCCCAGTGCTGGCTTGGATACAAGGGAAGACAACGTGACATTGGTGTCTGGGCTGGAAATACGGATGCCCCTCCACACCATTGCTGGTTCCAACCATGTGAAACTGCACACGGGAGATTGGATTAGGGTGAAACACTACTCAGCCTCAATCAGCCTCAAGGCAGCTTAGATAATATAGAAAATAAATCATCAACGAGAGATCACGAATTATTGTGGCACGTGGTGAAGCTAGCACAACAATGACTCGAATACGAAGGTCGAGTTTCATCTGTACCACACTGACTGATAGGGCATGATAAAGTCGACATGGACTCATATTAGCGCTACTTGTACTATTATGCAAATGCCAGTGCCATCTCACCGCAGTAATGAGGCCGCGCACAAAGCCACACGCTCCTACATGTACTCCAAGGTCCAAATAGGGTATTACGCAAACAATGCTGATAGACCACGATACGAGGCCATCCAGAGACAAGACCTATGCCCAGAATCCGTAGACAGATTACACCACACGTACGCCGTGAGAAAAAGGAATAATGCTCGACAATCGAGGAGCGTAAACAACGGAAGATGTGGGGTATCGTAACGAGAAGACCGCTGGAGAGAACGCTTGAGATGCAACAAAACACTTCGCCGCTCATGGGCTCGGCTCCGGAGTGTACAGGCCATGACTCCAGATGGACGTGCCCGCAAGGCTCAAGGACAGGTTCCGCGCACGACTCTGCTTCCCAGCACCACACCCATCTCTAGCCAAAAGCGAAGAGGTAGAGGTAGCCTGCACCGTAGCCGCGAGCTGCATAGCCCTCAGTCGCCGCATCACCCGATCCTCCGAGATGCGGAAAAGGCCATAGTCCACGTCCTGCAGCATCGTCCTCTTCGTAGCCTCAATCTCCTGCACGGTAAACATGCCGTCGCCCTCTCGTACGGCCCAATGCTGCGACGACCGCAACCGATCCACTAGGAAGCCATGGGCAAGGGAGAGCGCAGCAAGGACGATGATGTTGGGACTGACATGCACGCTCCGCCTACAGTCTGTCCGGAGGAAGTTTCTCAGGTCCCGTGCGTAGTCGCAAGGGGCCAGAGCGTCTCGCCATGTCGCCGCGAACCGACTCGACAATGCATCCAGTATGCATGCACTAAAGGCCACAATCTCATCCGGCAAAGACGCCCGTTCCAAGAAGCCATAAATCACGGATGCCTTGGGGCGGTGGGTGGAGACATTGAGCGGGACGAGGTTGGCGAGATGGGTTGCGTATACTATTCATAGCCGTTAGCATCCGTGCCCAAACATTGAATAGTGGCGAGGAATGAAGGGCCCTTGCTGAGTGTAATTATCGATCGACAGGGACCCTTCATTAACAGTGGAGAGGGGGAGGGAATAGGAGTATGGATGCCACCAATGCTGGGCAAAGGATGACGTCGGATGTTACCGCATATATGCAGGGGAATCGTCGCCAAGCCGCAGCTTCCGACTCAAACCATGGCAATATACACAACAACCAACATTCCGTAGACCAGTAACCCAGCGTGTGACATCAGAGGAAAAGAACTAACCTTGTAGTTCGGGTGACGTCGACGTGTCGTGTGTATGCGAAGGCGTTTGTGATGGCGATGTTGATGGTGTTGATACGCGGTTATTGGCTATGGCGTGCTCCTTTGCTGGCGGAGGGGTAGGCAGATTCGAGAGGGGAACACAGCTCGCAAAGTACTTGTCCAGCTCTTCATCTGTGAGGTCGCTGTTGACCGAAAGCGCGGGAGAATATTCCATGGCCTCTTCCATAATTTTTCCTCTCGCAAATAAACCACTTGCTTCAAGTTCAAGTCAACTTCGGGCCGGGTGGAGTCGTGGAGCGTAGCGCGAACCGCTTGGAATGGATATGGTCGTGAATCGTCAATTGCGAAGAGAGTAAACAGCACTCGAACCCAGAGAGACCAAGCAGTACCGTGGAAATAGTCGTCAAAGGGGAGAAGAACCCAAAATACGCGGGCACACCCAGCCCTATATACTCAAATAAACGAAACAGTGAAAGCGGCCTAACTGCAGCCTTTTCGCTAGTTTTGACCCCCTGTGGCCGTGCCACCGCTTTGGCTTTCACCACCACCAGGGCGATTTCGCCTAAGGCAAGCGCAACCAGCTAGCCACTGGACCTCGGGACCTTGGCGGAGCTGTGACCGCGCTATGCGTGCAGAAACTACGGTATAGTGTGTGCATGAACGAAAATTGGGAAATGCAGCCGCAGCGTCAGAGTCGAAGGCGAGTGCGGGTGCGGATGCAGCGAGTGCAGTGGTGCGGGTCGAGGTTAGGTAGCGTTGGGCCATATAACTGTGAATGGATTGGATCGTGCCTTCTGGTTCGAGACTCTGATTCTGCATGGCCAATAAACAAACACCTGGCGAGTCCATACATGTAGTATATTCGATGTTGCAAATGGTATAGCAGAGTACGCAATCGCAATCTAATCCCATAGTTCTTGCCATCTTCATCAAGACATATAGTTCGTATCGCCATGTCTCCGAAAAGGCATGGTGAAATGCATTGCCGAACCATTGTGCAGTCCTGCAGCCACCACCGCCAGCGGCTTGACGCACCTGATGCCTCCCCTACACACCCGCTTCAAAGTATGGTAAATGAACCTACACACTACATGGTAGACTACCGACCTGCTGCTCATCTAGAAGCACATGTTGCATCAACGTCTCCTCAGAGGGCTGACAACGTGCTCTCTCTGTCATGCTCGCCCTGCATTAGCCCTGGACATATTCAATACTTTGTTACCTTAGCATCCGCATCACGCCACGCCGCTGACAACAGTAGCCTTCTGCCACCGTCCTCTCACCGCCAATCTTCTGTGCACATGAATAACCTCCGCACAGCAGCAAGCACTAAGGCGGGAGTTCGGCTACTTTGTCCTTCCGTACCAAGACTCTAAGCGCAAATAAGGGGACGGGAGGGGATAGGAGTGGAGTGGAGAGGAGAGGGTGAACCCAGGATCCAAGCAAGTCTGTTATATGTGATGAAATGTTGACGGTTTGACTATTCTTTGCTCAGGGAATAGGTATAAGATCGATGTCACTCAATACTCGTGGCGTCGGCCCAGACTTCTCTCAACAGCTAGAAGAACCTCAGCCGCAGCCGCACGTACCTCCTACAGGATCTCAAGCAAACAGATCACAGACACGGGCGAGACGCAATCGTGCTTTGCGATTGCATAATACGGCACCTTGTAACATAAACAGAGCTGAAATAAATGACATTGACTGCGAATACATTCCTGAACACCATGCCTCTGAAGCTGGAATGCTCATAGACAAGGCCTACGAAACCCACCCACTACCAGCCGATCCGACATCGGCACCATTTCGTTCCTTTCGTTGTTTCCTTACTACGTACCCCACTTCACCAGTCTCAAACCCGCCTTTCATATTCGGGGTATCGTTTACGACGATCAAATACCGATAGTGTAACGCTTTTCCAATTGATGTTCCCATAACCGACCAGAATTCTAATCTGCTCTCATGACTGCCGTAACATCGTCAAGATTCATACCACGGCGTCTCCAAGGCGTGTATTGTCGCGAGCCATTGGAGAGAGGCCCTCGGCGTACGTTCAGCCAGACGCTTACTGCGCCTTCTTGGGGGCAGCACCTGGCTGGCCACCAACGTACCTGCGGATGTCGGTCGCATCAGCAGCCTGGCGAATGATGCCCTTGAAGGTGCCCCAAGCCTGACGGGCGACGGGGGGAGTGCTCTGGTTAGCAAGCTGAGCATCAATGCGGGACGTGACCTGGTTAATAGCCTCTTGGACGAAGCTGCTCTGAGCATAGCGGGCGCGGAAGAAGACGGTGTAGACAACGAGCAGGATCCACGAGCCCTTTTGGAAGAGGAGCGCAGAGCCGACGACGCGGAACCAGAGAGCGATTTCGAGCAGGGCCACTAGGGTCATGGAGCCATCATAATATTCCTTGACAAACTTGCCAATGGCCTCAGAGGCGGCTGAGCCTTGGGGCTTGGAGCCAGCAGGAGTTGCAGCAGCCGGGGGCTGGATGGTGGGCAACAAGTTCGAGCGCACGTAGGTAGCGACGTGGAACACCGAGTAGACGGCAAAGGGAAGCACAGCGAGGGGGATCTGGCGCGAGAAGAGCCAGACGATCGCCATGACTAGAATGCTGTCAGCTCGTGCGCAGGGCAGAACAAGGCTCTCTGCTAACTGCAGTAAACTTACTTAGGTATTGAACATTCTCATCGGCAGCCAGAGCAAGGAGACCACCCTGCTTTCCAGCCCTTACGCGGGCGCGATATGCCTTGTAGACGACAATGCCGTATGTGACGGCGGCCGAAAGGAAGGCCACGCGGTACGAGAATGCCGCCCATTTAGAGTTGTAGTTGAAAGTGATGTACGACAAGCTGTACCGAAGCGTGGTCAGTAGCAGCGCAACATGGCCAGTGAACCAGGCAAATTGCAGTGTCTGCGCGAGGGCTGCAAGGCGCTGGCCCAGAGGCAGAGAGGCCGGTGGTGGAGGGGCCATGGTGTGTTTTCGGGGGTGCGAAAGCTGTCGTGTGGGCTACGTAATGTGTAGCTAATAACGTCAGCGAAGCTCGAATACTCTCGATATAGCGTCCAAGGTGCGCAAAGACGGGTGTTGCAGCTGCTGACAATGGTGTGCAGGCTTTGTGGAGGTCGGAGTGCAATCTGTCAAGAACGGGTGGTGGCTGGTGTCTTGACCAGCCTGGGGGCCCGCTGATGATGCCTAGTGCTGCAGTGCGGGACCAAAGGAGTGTGTACTTACCGATGAGGATAAAGAACCCGAGAATGGAGCAGGGCGATCACAGCACGATGGGCGAGGTCAATGGAGAAAATTGAGGGCGCAGTGACGGGAGGAAGAGCAAGAGTGTCTTTGTAGTGGGGAGAGAAGCGGCACGCAAACCAGAATTTGGGCGTTTGGGTGGTGACGAAATGCCTTGTCGCTGCTCATCCTGGCGGGCGCGTCGGTGCACCAGCCCCTCGGCGGCTTGAACGCTAGCAGATGCCCATCAGCCACCGACAAGGCCACCATGTGCCGGCGTCTTCACTACCTCGCCTCTAGTAGCTGTAGCTAGCTAGGTCGTAGCCAAAACATGTCGTCATTCCTCACATTCATTCATTCTTCACGTGTCCAAAGTCAGTGTCCTGTCCACAAACGAAATTCGCTGCTAAGATGATCTGTAGAATACATGAAAAGAAGCTGTCCTACACTCTTCCCTCCCCAGAGCACTACAGCTGCCTACACTAAATAATAGAAAATGTCCAAGGAGAAGCAAAGGAATCGGAAAGGAGCGCAATGATGTTGGTATCAAGCAACCCGGACAACCGCACCAGAAAATGACACTGCTGCCCTTTGCCCCCCAAAATCGCCCCGCTGTGTATTATCCCGTTCGCCGATAGCACCCAGTGGTATCGTCACTCGGCAGTATATTAAACAAGGTCTGGTAAGAGGGTGCTGAGAACGGAGAAAAGACTTGTGGGCGGAGCGAGTCGTCCAATGCGGGAGCTGACAAGAAACGATCCGAACGCCGGTTGCTCGGGCTTTAGCGGAGGGAGAAGCCCTTCCTCTTGCCCTTCTCCTCGAGCGGCCTTCCAGATTCGACGCGTGCCTTCTTCTCCTCGAGTTCTTGTCGTTGTCGGTCCAGCTGGTCCTTCATCTCCTTGTGTCTGGCGTACAGCTCCTCTTCGCTCTGTCGCAGCTTGCTCTCCTTCTCCTGCACCTTCTGCTGGAACACCATCTTCATTTCCATCTCCATCTTCTGGAGCTTCTGCTCGTGCAACGAGCGCTCCTCCTCCTGCTTGACAGCAGGGTTGACCTCCTTGAACACGCTCGAGTCTTGCTGTACGCCCATCTGTGTGAGCTTCTCGGAGCGGTAGTTTTCGTAGAGAGCATTGTTCGTGTTCTCCTTGAGCTCTTCCATGTGAGTACGGATAAGCATCTGTCGAAGCTTGACGAAATCGCAGTGCTCCTCGTTGTCGACTTCGACAACGCCCCATGGGAGCTGACGACCGCGGACCTTGCGGCCGTCGGGTGTCGTGACCTCGGTGTTTGAACCGACGACAGCGAAAGGTACCTTGGCCATGATTTCCTGGTTCTCGGCAATCGTCTCTTCGTCGTCAAGCTCATACCGCGGTCCCTCAAAGATTTGGATCCTGTGGTAGTTGATGTCGGCAAGGATCTGCGATTGTTAGCAGAGTCTCAAAAGAATGATGAGCACACGCACCCTCTTCTTGTAGTTATCGATTTCATCGTCCGTAACGGTGTCGGCCTTGGCAATGACGGGAATGAGATTGACCTTGGTGTGAAGCTTCTTCATCACCTCGATATCCAGGGGCTTCAGCGAGTGGCCAGTGGGCTGGATGAAGTATACCACAGCGTGGATACGGTTGTCAACGATGTTCATGCGGTTAACCTTGTTCTCGGCGTCCAGGTAGGCGTCGAATCGCTGCTCGATGTTCTTAACGATAGGGTCCCAAGACTCATCATTGTTGATGAAATCGCCGAAGCCGGGTGTGTCAACAACGGTTAACCTCAAGCGGACGCCGTTCTCCTCAATGTCAGCGCTGATGGACTGTATCGAGACGGTCTTGGAGATGTCGAGGCTCGGGGGCTTGCGCTCCTTGGGCGGGTATAGCGAGGTGTTGAAGAGCGTGTTCACGAGGGTCGACTTTCCGAGTCCAGACTCTCCTAAGATAACACATCAGTATAGATATAGCTTCCTTGCACATGCACACATACCAACGACCATGACGTTGAAGTTGAAGCCCTTGCGCACACTCTTGCGGTGCCATTGGTTTGGCAGATTTGCGAAACCAACATAACCTGTGAGCTTCCTGCGCACGATGTTCATGTCATTCGCCAGGGCAGCTGCGGCCTTGGGGTTTTTCGCAATGACCGTCTGAGGTGCTGCAGAGTTTCCGTTAGCCATGGAGAGCGTTTGGTCCATGGCGTAGCCGTTGGACGACGTCGGGGGCGATGGGGACGCACGCGTAGGGGGGGCGGGAGATGCGCCGTTTGCTTCTGCAACAGATTGTTAGCCCTTGCCAAAGAAAGGAGAGTATCCTGCCCGTTGGAGGCGGCAACATCAACCGGTGTGGGAGCTGCATTCAGACTGCCATAAGCTCATGCACTGCAGTATGGAGGTCTGAGATGCCGGCAGGCTCGTAACTCGGGCATCGGTTCCATGTCGCGGAATGAGGTTGGGGAGAGTCCTTACCCATGATGTAAATAGAGCCGCAGACGCAGACGATGAACCGTCAAGTGAGAGACTTCTGTAGGAAAAGATCGAAGTCAGCGAACGTGTCCAATATGTGATGGTGCTGGCCGCGGTTGCTGCCAAACAATATGGGGACGCGTCCCGAGGCCAAACGTGGAGAAATAAATGAAACGAGGCGTTGGGGGCAGGCGACGTACCAGGCAGCGGTAGGTATGCTCTCGAGTGATGGATGCACTCAAAGCAATGGATTCACGTCGTGCAGTTGACTGCGGGCGAGGATGTGTGGTGAAGGGTAGATGCGTTGGAGAGGAAGTCGTGGTGCGCTTCGTCTTGCTGGAGGAAAGGGGTCCGCACGCACAGGGATTGGAGCAACGTCGAAGAAATGGGCGCTAGTCCAAAAACCCCCCGCGACACCACCAAGTAACAGGGATGGCGATGGGAAGAGTCGCAAATGATATGGCGGGATATGGCGGAGCTGGTAAAAGTGTTCAAGAATGCAATTGACCGCTTGCACGCTGAGCGCAGGAGTCTCCTGTGCTTGTTGGTTGCTGCGCTCCGAAAAGCAGTCGCGAACTGTTATTTCCCAAACAGGTAGCGACACGTGCACGCGCTTGCTGTAATTTGCACCTCTGAACCCAGGCACGATCAGCACGCCAAACAATGAACTATGAACTATAAACTTTGAACAAATTTGCACTGCTACAAATCCTCACATTATGTCTACAAAGTATCCCGCTGCTATATCACGATGTCATACAATGAACGTTGCAGTACAAGCTGGAGCCACGGTACACAACACAGCCGGTGCTCCAAATCATGGTTCCGAACCAATCCAATCGCATTGCATCGCATGCACTTGCATAAAATCCACTGCTATCATCCAGCCCTCCCAATTCATCAATGCCTGATGGGTAATATCCAAAGGGTATTTTGCGTGCAAATCGAACGCCTAAAAATACAGACCAACGCCAAAGTCACTGTGCTAGGCAAAGCTCGCGAGCGTCCTATTCAGCTCAGTCTTGTCGTACTTCACGTACTTGCCCTTGCCCTTGTCAATCTCCCGATAGCGGTCGTAGAACCGGTTGTACAGCGGCTCGATGATATTCTGCACCTCCTTGGCTAGTTGGCTCCTCACTTCAGGCTCCATCGCGTACGACTTGTGGCGTGTCACTAGATCGTCGAAGCTGGTGTTGAAGCTTTTGAATTTCTCCTTGATGGCGTCTTTATCTTTCGAGCCGAGAGACTTCACAATGGCAGCGGAGTCTATGCCGCCGGAAGTTGGTCGTTCCTTGCTGCGGTTCGTGTACTGCACATCGAGCAAGTACCCCGATGGTTCCCGCCATGCTTCGAGATACATGGCTGTGCTCTGTTTGCGCCAGTCTCCGAGCTTCTTAGAGTAGCTCTCCATAAGGGGGGCTAATTCTGAGGACCGTATTATCCGTGTGATGATAGCCACGTTGTTCGCTATGAAGACGCCCTGCAGGTTTTTGCCCTTCAGTAGCATCCTAGCCTTGCCAATCAGGTTCTGCAGTAGTGTGTCGATAGTGTCAGATGCATAATGCGCGAACAACTTCATGGAGTCGGGGCCAACGTCCAAGGTGGTTGAAGAGTTGTTTGTGGATCCTGAATTCCATCCACCTTCACCTAGTGATGCCAATATTGACGACAGAGGGTCCAGATAATTGGTCATCTCCTGGAGGCGTCGCATCGTCTGTGTTGTTATGTCCACGGGACCTCCATCGATTGGGAGAGCGATAAGGCCCTGGGAACGAGCCCGCGCATCTTCTAATAGCTTGCTCAGGGACAACTTCGAAGTTTCTCGGATCGGCTTGACGCTGTCGTAGATCTGGTCTTTGAGCGCGCCTGTTTGTTTCTGCAGTCGCATGGACAAGGTCCTGACAAGCCCGCAGATCTCATAGCCGAGGAAGCAGTCCGTCAGCAAGTTCTTCTGGATATGTCCGTTCAGCTCGCGTAGTGTCTTGTTGAAGTCTCCCAGTGGAACCTGGCAGGTAGACACACAGACCAAACTCCATTCTTCTCGTTCGAACACGTAGTTTAGGTTGTCGTACTCGGCCACGAATAGTCCTTCTATTGCCTGAACATAAGTTCCAATGCCATTTGTTCCCTTCTTGTATAACGCGTCCGCCTGGACTTTCCTAGCTGTGCTAATCGATGCTTGCACAAGACTAGTCAACGAGCTTTCGAGGTAATCGCCTCGCACGTCTGCATATATTCTTTGGGTGGGGGTATGCGACACATCGTTTTGCGACAATTGAGCGAAGGACTTCGATATGTGAGAGCTGATCTGGCGCAGGGTGTTGAGCTTCTCTTGGGGTATACGTGGAAATGGGTTCTCTGGGGAATGTCAGTGTGTTCTTATCATATGTGCAAGATGAACGTACGCTTAGCAACATACTCCAACGGCTGCAACTTCTCTCGGGAGCAATCCTGTAAGATACCCCGAAATACGTCCTCGAGCTGTTTATTTCCAAGCTTCAGTAGGCCGCTAAGATGAGCGATCGCTTTCTCGTTCGAGCGCAAGTTCGTGCGCTTGAGATCTGAAAGCGCCTGTGTTGTTCGATCAAGGGAGGCAATGTAGCCGTCGAAATCGCCTCTTCCGGGTCCTGCTCGAATGATTCTCTCCTCCCTCTCGCTCTCCTCCCTTGGCGCTCTCAATCGCTCAATCGCCTCGATAACGCGATCGATATTCGTATTCGCAATCTGCAGCTTCTGCGTGTTTCCATAGATCGGGCTAATAGCTTCTTGTACCGCCTTTCCGCTCGCGTCTAGCCTGTTGACGCTGCCCTGGATCTTCTTTGTGAGGGCCTTCATTTTTTCCATATTGGCGAAGAGTACTTCGACTTCGGCGCTCTCCTCAAGGAGCGCCGCCCTGCGTTGGGCAACCATGGCGCCTGCTCGCGGTTCGCGAGTGCCTCAAGGCACGAGCGGACGACGGTAGCGACGGCGAGTGTTGCAAATACGGAAGTGGCGGGGCTAGGTGAACGGAATACAGACAGTATCATACAAAGCTCAAAATATTAAGAGATATTCACGACTGCGATAAATGAGTACAGCACATGGTTGTATACAGAGGGGCGCTTGTGGAGCTGTCGTGGAGACAACGGAGCTATGACGACCCAGGGTCTGCGCCTCGGTGATCCACTGGACAAAGCTTCAACAACATCCACGGTCGCAATGCGGGACTGAAACCTACAATTATACTCGAACTACGAGTTGCAGTATTTTAGTCGCTTATAGGCTTTCAAAAGATTACAGTATGGTGAAACCCTGGAATAATCGGTATACGAGCACTTCTAGCGCTTTTTGTTCATGGCGGAGTAGATTCCGAGAACATGTGAATTAGCTTGCAGGACTGTGAACATGATAACACCGTTATGTATGAATCTTCCTGAGCCTCTGCATAAAGCCAAGCTGTCTCATATGCATACCCATGTATGCGGGAAAATGGAGATGCAATCGACTAAGTTTTCCGAATATGCTCATACATAATCACTACCCAAAACAATCAAATATGAGAACGCCTGAAGACAATGCCGAACGCACAAGGAGTGAAACCTGCAAGCTACCAAGTATTTTCCGAAAACTACTCTTCAAGAAGAGAAGGCAAGTCTATGCCCATGGGGTAAAACAGAGCCAATTCTTCCCCGCCGTCCTTGCGCTTGGCCTTCTTCCCTGGCGGGTGTTCCGCCGGGTGTGTAAAGTGATCCTGGAGATCTTTCAAGCGCTTGTCAAAGTCGACAAGCAGCCTCGTCAACTCCTTGCGAGCCTCTTTGTGCTGCTCTGTCGCGTAAGCATCGTCCATCAGAAGCTGTTCTGCGATATGAGAGAAGTCGTTCAGCTGAGCTATTGCTTCTGTGATGAATGTATCGCATGGAACCTTCCATACATCTTTCTGGCGGCTCATGAGTTGCATCTCGAGGTTTTTGATCAGTGGGCAAAAGAGCTCAGTATCCGGATTCTCTGCATTGGGCAGGATGGACTCCAGGATCTTGTTGCGTTGCCTGTCATAACTGCCCCGACCTCCTACAACACCCAGGGCTTGATTGTAGACAGGATTCATCTCTCTTGCAATGGGGCAATATATGTCGATCTCCGTAGTAAACCATAGATAGTTCTCTCTAAGAGATTTGCCCAGCTCCAGTGCCATGATGTCGTAAGCTGTCCTGGTTTCGTCCGATGCATCTGTTAACGCCTCGATTGCATCTCTTTTCAAAGCTGGGTGTGCAGATGTACGGTTGATGGATCTTTCGATACCCGTGAAAAGGTCTTGAACAGGTCTATACAGGCGTCGCGAAAGTTGTTCTGCTCTTGGCTGCATCTTGTTATGCCATTGCTTGATATATCCTTTCAATGTACCAAGAATGTCATCATTCAGATTGCGGCCGCAGAATTTGCCGTCAACAGGGATGCCGTTCTCTCGAAGCATCTTTGCAAATCCGGAGTGGTGAATTCTCGCATGAATCCATTCCTGCCGAGCCAGCAACCGGATACCACTGGTCGCAGCCTCCAGCCCGCTCTGACACCAAAGCTTTGCCACAAGCATTTCTATCTGCCTAGCCCCGAGGCCTCTGAGTTGTTCCTCGAGGACAGGTATTTGGATTTCCAGGTCCTTTCGCATCCTAGCGTAGCCTTTGTCTTCAATGTGTTTGTCAAGCACAGTTGTAGCCCGCTTTCGAGCGGCTGGTAGCGCATGGAAAATATGATCTCGGTAACTGCGGTGGTTTGACTCTGCGGGAAGACTGTATAGGAACTGTCGGAAAGCAGGGATCCCAGACTCCTCTGCAGTAAGGACTGGGACCTGCCTCCAAAGGCGATTCGTCAATAGGAGGTACGAAAGAGCGGACACGGCGAAGACTTTGACGCCCTTCTGAGCCATTTGCGTCTGGACCAATCTCGTTTCACGCTCGATGTAAGCTATAGTAGCTTCTTTCATGATCTGATCCAAGCTATTCTTAATTTCATCTTCATCTTGATCGTCGTCATCATTAATACTTTCGATATAGGTTAAACGTGCGGTCAAGCTTAGGAAGGGCTCTTCCTTCATCTGGCTGATCATTTCCCCTACATCATTCTCATTAAGTAGCTCCTGTTACAGTTGTTAGTATAGATGTAAAGTAGCTCGATAACATAACTAACGTCCGACCTGTTCATGACGAGAAATGTTTTATTCGCGCCGTTTCGACGGATTGATCGGCCAAGATAGCGTTCCTGCACTGTACTTGTTTGCAGACGAGAAAATGGTGCTACCACTATCTCACAGTCGGCCTTTCGACGGAAGTCATTGATGACCGTTTCACGAAGCTGACTCGTGTCTCCGTAACCTGGTTCAATTAGCAATGTTCCGACTCGTAAGACAATATTGAACTTACCAGGTAGATCAATGAAACTCAGCCCATTTCGAAGGAGGACATGACCAGTCGCGATTGTGACAGATTTGACGAACGGCCATATCTGTTTGATCAAAATGCGAACCCGAGTCAAGTCTTTGTCGGAGATATCTTTGTGTTCTGATAGTGAAGTGTGCGTATCGGCCTGACTACTGATCTCAAGAAGACGTTTTCGAGCCCGTTCGTGACAAACCTGATAGAAGTCGCTATTTCGAAAGCTGGGCGAGTGCAAAATTTCATCAAGCCAGCGCTTGGCCGTCTCGTCTTCTTTGGTGTTGAAGATAACTCCGAAGAAGTCTTTTGCGGTAGCTGCACCGCGCTGTAGCGTCTTCGAAGCAACTTTTCGTCCTTGTAGGTTGTCCGGATCGTCTTTGATTGGGGTTTCGTGATCTGAGGTATCACTAGCGGCATCGTCTTCACCACTGTCTTGAAGCTGGTCAGACGTTGAGCCGGGGTATACGGCGGTCCAACGGTCGATCTGTTCCTTGATACGAACTCCTGTTTCTTCCGCGTCCCAGAACTGGATCTTAACATCGCTGCGTCGAGTGTGGTCATCGGCCCCCTCTTTATACAGGACGGTGGTCGCAAAGGCGGTTTCGGCCACGGAGCCACCAGAAGCGCCTAAGAGCTTGCGGTCCAACACGGCATTGATCAGGGAGCTTTTGCCTTTCCCCTGTTCTCCAAGACTTGCCAACCGTAAATTCTTGATTCTGGGTAATTGCTTCGCGGCTTGTAAAGCCTTTACCAGGTCTTTAATTCCTTGATCAACTGACTCGTGACGTTGAAGTGGGATAATTAGATTATCGCACATGTTCCTAACCGTGGTTGTAATACGATCATGGTCCAAGGCATACCAAGGATCGTCCGGGAAGTCTTCCTTGCTGGGGTCATACGTATCCTTGAATTTCCGCTTCCTTGCATGTGTAGTACCATGGTGGGCTTGTTCATTGGGTGGTTCTGTATCTGTAGGTCTCGTCATACTGCCTGCGAATATGTCAGAAGTGAGGGCCTAAGAGGAGAGAACGGCCACGCAGGTAGAGCTGCGACTCTAGACACCCATGCAACCGAAGGAATGACTTACCTCGAGTATCTTGCTTGGCCGAAGAATTATATATGCTGCGAGAACACCTGAGGAGAGAGAGAATGAGATATATATGAATGTCTCTGACGTAAAGAAGATGTTATGAGGACGCAGTGGACGTATGTGTGTTCAAGATGAGGATGTTTGAATTGGTGGATATTGTTGAGTAGGAGGAGAGTAAAGTATGGACTAGAACCTAAGTATGAACTGGTAGGTGAGACAATCTGAACCAGCACAGGTAAGTGAGAGACAGAGTAGACGAGACGTTAAGCTTTTACTACAAACCAAGACCAGGTTGCTACGAGGTGAGAGAGACGGAAAGCCTCTACTATATTTTGACTAGGGCATGGCCTCCCCAGCAGCTTCTCAGAATCAACGTTAACCATTTTGATGGAGCCGACCTTGCGCGTTGGATGTATTTATTACCAAGTGGACTGGTATCGTAAGCAAGAGCTAGAAGTTCAGCAACTACACCTATCGTTTCGGGAATATATGAGAAAAAGGACGGGCTGATCTAGAACGAGATGGTGAGTGATGAGATAAACTTGCGTTGTTGTTGCCCTGGCCGTGGGTGCAATAGTTGTTTGCTCGTTGCCGAAATGCGACCTCACAAACCAGACATTCGATCTCCTCAAGTTATGAAGCTGTAGATTACTGTGAGGCTCTTGTGCTACCAAATACCAAATGCCATATATCAAGCGGGAGGCCATGGACTAGTCGCAGATTCGGCAATGGCAGAGAGACTATACTATGTAAGCGAATGCGCTGATCATAGCTACAATAGTTGGATAAAGCGGGCAAGCCCTATAGGATATGCTACAACCCCAACAACTTCGACATGATTGTTGACGATGGCTTCGGGCGTTCTAGTGGAAGAAGGTCGTCGGCGCCCCACTAGAAGGGTGTTCCTGCATGGCTTGGCAGACGTTCTCGATTGCCGTCCCGCGAAACCTGAATCGCGAATAGGCGGGAAAATACGGCCTTCCAACAGGTTGCGCGCTTTCGTCATGCTGAGCGCATTCCTGTGAGCTCATGGGGCTTTTCGCAAGCCGCTTCTACGCGTAGCCTTGCATCCGCTCTTTTCCCTCGTTTGTCCCGACTTCTTCTCTACTTCATGGCCATCTTTCGGACGCGCGCGCTGGGCCAGTGTGGGCTGCGCGGCACGCGCCGAGGGTAAGTTTATCGCATCGACTTGAAGAGCGTAGAGATGTTAAGACTTTCAGGCTGCATACAACACGTACACTTCCTCGTAGACCCAACGCTGCTACCCTTGGCCTTCGATACGGCCCTCCATGCCTTCTTGCGACCGCCACCGCTGGCTATCTTTTCACACAACACTCGTGGTCTATCATTCGCCCCATCCATCTCGATGCGCCCGCTGCATGGTCATCCCCAAAACCATCTGAGCCAAATCACGACGAGAGAAAAACCAAAACAACCTCCACGGAAGAAGCCGAAGATCTAATCAACAAACAACACGATGGCAAACCAGGAGACCAAGATGCTCCACCTCAATCGCGCGTTGCAAAGGGCTATAGTGGAGAGGATGAACATGCTGGAGACAAACAGTCGGCCTGGCAGACGATAACAAGCAAATTCCCGAGTGCCCCTCCATCAGCTTCCTCAATTGGAGACACCATTATCGATTACGTGGTTCCAAACTGGGTCAAGGTACTACCTGGCTTCATCCGCAAACTGCAGAATGAGCTGTCAATGGCACCAGGCTCCCTGGCAGAAGAGATTTGGTACGAAGCGAACGACCCAGAGGTCAATCCGGAGATAACCTGGGACGCTTCTGTGAGAGTGTCCGACGAGCTGTGTCAGGAGGAGAAGGCTTTCCTGCAGAATAGGGCGCAATTCACCAAAGCAGCACTTGCGCGTTACCTTGATATTCCGGAAGCTACCATCCACCCTGATGATGTCCCAGTCATTGCCATGTGTGGATCTGGTGGAGGGCTACGCGCTCTTGTTGCCGGCTCATCATCGTACCTTTCTTCCAAGGAGCAGGGGCTCTTTGACTGCGTCACATACACCGCAGGTGTTAGTGGGAGCTGCTGGCTTCAGACGCTCTACTACTCGGATGTTACGAAACGCAGCCATGCTGAACTGATCCGACACCTGAAGAACAGGCTCGGCGTGCACATTGCTTTCCCTCCCGATGCACTAGAACTCCTGGTCAGTGCACCGACGAACAAGTACCTGCTCAGCGGACTGGTCGAAAAAGCCAAGGGTATCCCTGATGCCGACTTCGGTATTGTGGACATCTACGGCGCACTCCTCGCAGCCCGGTTACTTGTTCCCAAAGGCGCCCTATCTGTTAGCGGCTACGACTTCAAGGTCTCCAACCAGCGACGGTATACAGACGACGGTTCAAATCCTCTCCCCATTTACACCGCGGTACGACACGAGATTCCGCTCACTGAACAATCCGACACTACAGATGTCATTGCTGCGGAAGCGAAAGCAAGAAGAGAAGCATGGTTCCAATGGTTTGAATTCACACCCTATGAGATGTGGTGTGAGGAACTGTCAGCCGGTATACCCACATGGGCAATGGGCCGTCGATTCGAGAACGGACGCACAGTCTGGCGAGAGAACGGCCTGGCTCTACCTGAAGTGCGCGTCCCTCTCCTCATGGGCATCTGGGGATCGGCCTTTTGTGCAACGCTATCTCATTACTACAGAGAGGTTCAACCTCTCATGAGGAGCCTGGCAGGCCTGGGTAGCATCGACGCCATGATATCCGAGCGCGATGACGATCTTGTCAAAGTGCATCCTATCGATCCAGCCTCAATTCCAAACTTCGCCCTCGGCATGCGCGAATTTCTGCCTGCTTCATGTCCGGAGAGTATCTTCGAACAGAAGAACTTTCAGTTCATGGACGCCGGCATGTCGAACAACCTTCCTATTTACCCCTTGTTACGGCCTGGGCGTAACGTCGACATCCTCGTTGCCTTTGACGCTTCTGCAGATGTTCGAACCGACAATTGGCTCAAAGTGGCCGACGGCTATGCCCGCCAGCGTGGAATCAGAGGTTGGCCCGTAGGCGCAGGCTGGCCTCCCGCAGAGGAAACAATGGAAGAACTCCAACAAGACCTCGACAAAGCCGAAGCCAAGACCGAACAAGAAGTCCAGACCAAAATGGACGAAGCCAAATCGCAAGACGCAGCAGAGAAGAAGAAGACCAAGAAAAAGGACCTAGGATTCTGCAACATCTGGGTCGGCTCCACGCAAGAGCGCACAAGCGAATCCGATCCTCCCGAGAGCAAGCTCGTCGAGGAAGACTGGGAACTCATGCACCCTTCCTCTGGCATAACAGTCATCTACTTCCCTTTCCTCGCCAACCCGAAGGTGCCCGGCGTCGACCCTAGAACGTCGGATTACATGTCGACGTGGAATTTCGTTTATACCCCCGAGCAGATCGATAGCGTGGTTGATCTTGCGCGTACTAATTTCCAGGAAGGTGCCGAGCGGACGAAGCGCACGGTTCGCGCCGTGTATGAGCGCAAGAAGGCGCAGCGAGAGCAGAGGGACAAGGATGAAAAGGAGAGGAGGTGGCATTGGAAACTGAGCCAGGGAAGGACGGCGGGGAGGAGGATCGGGGAGTGTGAGCATGGGGATCAGTTTAGCTAGGTTTTGTATGGCATACGGAGTTTGGGTGGGAGTTGGAGTCGAGCGAGCGAGGCGGACATCACATAGACGCATTATACCCAATTGGATCGAGAATGAAAGCTTATGAACGTTGATTGCGTGTATTTCGCTAGCTCAGAGCAGTTGTGATGTAATAATGTATCTCTTTGAAAGAAGATATGATTTGACAGATTTGCGGAAGTGCGGAGCTCGGGATTGTACTCTATTTATTCGCAAGCAAGAATACCTAGTGTCCAAAGTCATACAACTTCTTTCTTGCATACCCAATTCACATATCTAAACCTTCAAATCAACCTCACGTAGCGTTAACATCTTACTCAGCTACATCAAACCGTCTTTCTCCCGCTAGAACTGGTGGTGCTGATGCATGTGGTGCTGTCGTTTGCAACACTCCTTCAGTGATTGCACGTGATGGCTGTGCTCGCTGTGCCTCAGTGGCTATCAATGACGATTGAAGCGCCGCTGAACGACGCTAAGTATTCGATGCTTCTGAAGTATCAAGCCATGGCACTATCTCCCGGAAGAGCGGCGGTGGTATTACTACCCTATTGCCCTTGTGCTTGTTCCTGCGCTGCACTTGATTCTGTCCGTTGACGCAACAAGGCACTCGCGTGTTGTGAGCTTGCTACGATGACTGTTCCGTTTTCTTGAGCGCCTATTGAGTGAGCGGTAGTTGGCGTAGGGTTCGAAGTGATTCCTCGAGGCGCTGGCGGGCCCATCAAAGCTGGTGGCTGCGCATTTGCAACGTGACCAAGGCCATATGTTTGATAGTTGGGTACATCAAGTCGTCTTGCCTGGTTTTCTTCCCGGGCTGCTAATAAGTTGACCGTAGTAGTCTGAGCATATGCGGCTGCCGACACAGGCAGGGGAAGAGGGTAGCGGGGACCAACACCTGGTGTTGCGAGACGTTCGTCGTATTGCTTTCCGGCCATCACAGTATGGTGATGATGAGAATCTCTCAAGCCTTTTGTTATATTCGTGAATCCAAGGGATCGCAGCCCTGGGTGCGCTCTGTTTCTTTCCTGGAGCTGATCTACTGTTCTGATCGGAACTCGTAGTTTCTCATATTGCGACGAGGACGTACGTTGGTGCACTACAGAGTGTCTCTGACTGTAGCGTTTGGCTGCAGCCGCAAAAGTTGAGGCCTGCCAGTCGTGATACCGACGCTCTTGCGCAATATCTTCCTCGTTTTGCCCTCTCTTCCGCTTTTTGTTTTCTGTTATAGGCAGCCAGCCGGAATTATATGAGGAGTTGGGCCACACAGGTGTAGTGGGGCCATCTAATGGCGCCAATTTCGCGCGACTGGCAATGGCCGACGTTGTAGACAGAGCTGGGTTACTCCTATTATTCTTAGGCAACCTGTTTGTTTCTATCCATGCTTTTGACCACGACTGGAAGTCCTAACAGCCGTTACTATCGTTGCATACACCTCCGCCAAGGGAGCCCGTCACCCTGAGGGGGATCGAGTAGATAGGAGGGGGTCTGAATACCTCGATAGAAGGCAACGGAAACTGCCATTCCCCCAAAAGGCTGCCCGGAAGATGTGCTTGCTTCAGAAACTTGATTGCCTTCACGACTTCACGTGGTGGGGGTGCGTCGGGGTCGATGATTTTATCTGGATGGAGCTTTTTGTAATCGCGAAGATACTTCGGGACATTGTCTTCGACAGTCCACATAGCGCTATTCTCGTCCAGGATTATCTTGAGTGCCGATTGGGATAGGCCAAGGAGGCATTGAACGGGGTGATATGAGTCGTAGTAGGTCCCCGGTGGGAAATCGTCGCGGATCTGCTCAATGATGCTCTGGCGCAGAGATGGCCAGAGCGAGGCAAATGCGACCTTCAGGTGGATTATCAGTCATGTCTCCATGCATGTAAAACGTATGTGACTTACCTGGACCTCTGGATCGTTCGGCCTCCAACGTTCCGCTAAATCGGCATACCACATCTTCTCCTCTTCTGTCACACGCAACGGGAACTTTTCATTATTGTACATATCATCGACCCCGCGCTTGCTCGTGTGTATGCCTTTTTGGTCGCTTTTCTCCATCGCCTTCATAAGTTCCCAAGCGCCGTAGTGAACCCCATCTTTTGAGGTATCCTGAGATGGTGGCTCATCGGAGGCAAGCGACGGAAACGACGCTGGCTTGACACCTGGGTAAATGGAGGTAGGAACATGCCGTAGCGGACGTGTAGGAGGGCGGCCTATGGGTCGACGGACAGGCAGAGTATCATCCCGGTCCTTGTCGTGGTGCTCGTCGGCGAGCGGACGCTGTGAATACTTGCGGACATATCTTACGTTCGGCATGTTGCGACGCCTATGTGGCACTGAAGCACTGCTTGCGTTTAGTACGGTTCGAGGTGTCGCTAGTGTGTCATGTGCTGCTGGTATGAAAGGTGCTGTTGGTCGTGGAGCGAGAGGTGACGGGTTCGGCGTTTGGGGGGCGACAGCACTGAAAGGTTGAGAGGGTGAGAGGCTATGAACCTTTGCGTGCGTGACTGTAACATGGTTCGCCGAAATTGGAGACCCTTCTGACTCGTCGCCGTTCTGGCTTTGGTACCGTGCAGGACGTTTAAGTTTCCTCCCAGGCCGCAAGTTATAAGACATAGTCGCCGTGTCCAATATGAAGGTCTATGATGCTGTATTGATATCTCCCAAATGGCCTATACATAAGTAGGGTTGGTGGGTCGGAACCGAAAACCTGTGGGCTTCCCTGTCATTGCGCCAGGCGCGTACGAAGGCAAGGCTCCCACATGGTCACTTCTTTGTGAGCTAGCGCCCGATAGCAGCTTTCAGAGGTCGAGGTGAAGGTCAGTTCGACGTTTTATATGACCTACTACGGGGGAAAGTTCAAGATGTGAGATGCTTCCAAGGTTCATTGCGTCTTGTGCCCGTGCTATTGCTTCGTTGTTTGTCAGCGCAATGGTCTCCAACTGCCCTCTTCGAGCGTTCACTTACACATTGTGACACGTATGATACTCCGCGCGGACTGCCTGTAGGTCTTCACAGTTAGAAGGAGCACGGGAATGGTAGGCCACAAGTATCCGAAACCCAAGGAACACAGTAAAGGTACCACAGGTCAGAGGTCAAAGGAACGATTTCAATGTATGGAGAGTTAGAGTGAAAGTCTTACTAGGGATGCTTGCGCCTGCCGAAGGAAGGTATACGGGAGAGCAGGTGCCCCCAAGATACCCGCCCGCGAAGAGACAGGTTCCAACACTTGCCATTCCTAACACCAGGCTTAAAAATGCCTCGCCAAAGAACGCCATGAGCCATGTGGGGTATAATGTGAGTTGAAAACGCCTTGAAATGATATGACGCAAAAGGCAAATGCCGTAAGACAACCCAAAACGCATCACCTAAGAGTCATGGAAGGGAGTCACGTCGCGCCCTGTGAACCGGAGTGCATCCGATTCATCCATGCCATCGTCCATTTCCATATCCTCATCATCGCGTGTTTGTGCGATAGATCTCTTCTGCTTCGGTGCGTGAACAGGCTGGAGATGTGTGCCGTTTTGGCCATTGGCGCCCATGGCGCCAGTCTGTTGCGGAGACTGCGTATCACAGCTTGCGACTAAGCGCCGTGCATGTATGATATCCCAGTGTGAGTGCAGGATGTTCTTGATAGTGTCGTCGAAGTTGACGCAGAAACGTTGCGCTTGACAGACCTGCATCGCCTTGACGTGATCGAAATTGCCCAGTGTTTGCATGAGATAGGCTGCTACGACGGCAGCGGACTTCTCATTCCCGGACTCGCAGAAGACCAGAACCTTGCCGAGCGTAGGGTGGCCGTTCTTCTCTAGAGTGTGTTGTCGGACTCGCGCGACGTGTGTGTTGATCAATCTAGTCGTCTCTGTAAACCGCCCGATAAGTTCATGGATACTAGCTGCCTCGACTGTAGCCACTTCCCAGCATACTTCCGTAGCCGCCTGCACGGCGCCCATCATGCTGTTTGTTTGGGATCGAATGGCCAAGACCATCGTGATTCCCTCGCGCTCAAGGAATGCCTTATCTCTTGCTGCCATCATTGGCCCCAGGTACAGCCATGGGAGGATCAATTGCGCCTGTCTTCGACGCTCGTACGCCCACTCCACCAGTGTGTTGGTCTGCACGATGTTCTCCAGATCCAGCTCCTCCAAAAAGCTCATATCAACTCCTTCGGTACCGACGCCGCTCCTAACGGTCAGATCGGGCATATCGATCGTGAGGGTAGGCGGGGGAACGACGATGCGGGGAGGCGTGGGCAGACGATAGCTGTACTCGTGCAGATTGCGCTTATACGCGTGAGAGAGGTCCGACATGGCTGACGCTTCGCGCAATGGAGTCATGGTGAGCGACTTGCGCAGTTGAATCGAATAGAGGTGGTTCGTGGCGTGTTTGATGGGGCGTGAAGGCACAGCAGGTGTGCGGCGAGCGGGCTTTTGTAACGCGGCAAGTCTGAAGGCACCGTCTGTCCGAGTGAAGTGCTATGCACGACTTGCTATTGTCTGAGTAGGTCTGTAGCTAAGTAGATGCGGTCGCGGTAGGCAACAGCAAGCTGACGAGAGTCTTGTCGGTGTTGTCTCGCAGCGACTACAACCACTGACTCAGACAATTTGCGCGATACCAGACGAACTGGGCAAATGCTGAGTCCTGGCAGCCATGACGACTTACAAATGACAGAAGGGGATGCGTCCTGTGTACGAGTCGACATGTGCCCGCCTTCCCCAACGACGGGAGTGCTAACCAGAATCAGATTCCCCATTCTCGCTCGCTGACATAATGCGCCTCAAGCCCCACCATTCGACTTGTTATTGACCTGAGTTGCATTTGTCTTCAATGCAGGCAGTTATCTACCATCTACATGCAGCTCACCAGCTTGCGAATGTACGGATTTGGCCAGTTCATCAGGTTCTAGCCTCCTCAGAGTATCAAGGTCGAATGTAGTGAGCGGGCTTTGGGCGACGGATTCAATCGATTCAGTTCAGCTTCATGAGCCCTCCGAGGCATCGAGCTTTATTTAACTTTCGGTTTACTCGCTAAAAGTATACGAAAGCAATGCGTTTCAAGATATCTTGCCAGTCCAGCCCGGCTGCCTATATAGGCAGTCATAAATACCAGTACGGCGGATAATAAGCCGAAACTCGGGTCTTTTCCCATGTCAGCTCTGCTTATCCAAAATTTATACCAAGCCTTTTAAACTCTTCATTCTTTCAATAGCTGCCCAGGTGGTGTTTCGCTCTTTCCACCATGCCGATCCGTCTCGCCACGCCCTCAGACGAACCGGCCATAGTGTCCGCCTGCACCGCAGCATTCTTCGACGAAGCTTTATTTGGCCGCGTAATACATCCCCATCGCCACGAGTACCCGGAAGATGTCGAAATCTTCTGGCACGAACAAATTCGTCACAGCTGGAGGGAGCCAAACAATAAGATCCTCGTCGCCATTACTATAGAGAAGGGGGAGGAGAAGGTGGTCGGTGTAGCTGTGTGGCAGCGACAAGGAGATGATGAGGGAAGAAAAAAGGTAGAGGCTGAGTGGGTGGACGTTGGTGAGTCCTTGAGACAAGTTTCTGCCGAAAGATTCGATCTCTCAGGTTTGCTGATGCATCATATTCTCAGGTCCAGACGCCTTCCGGCCCCTCCCGTCAACAGTCAACCGGGCCATCGACCCCAATAAGCGCACCATTTTGGAAGACTCTTATCCGTATTATTCACATCACTGGTCACCATCCAAAAACTCCATTCCCCGCTCCCGAAACTGGTATCTTTCCTTGTGTTGCGTACACCCTTCGTACGAGCATCGTGGCCTTGGCCGTGAACTCGTCCACTGGGGGCTTGAAAGAGCCAGAGAAGAAGGCGTTCATGCGAGTGTGCTTGCAAGTCACAACAATGATCCTTTCTACTTACGTTGCGGTTTTGACGAGATAGTGGCTGACTGCACGGAAGGTGAAGAGAATCCGCTACAGGGTGTCGAAGGAGGTAGTCTTTTGTTTATGTGGGCGAAAGGGCAGGATAAGGGGTAAATGATGTAACTACAGGGTCTTGAGGCGAAGACAAGTTTCCCATGAGTACAACGCCCCAATCTATCACGAAAAATCTGAACGTATCATCCCTCGCCCGAAATCCCATACACAGCCTTCTTCAACGCCAACCTCTTACATTCACCTCTCCAACAATGCAAAACCTCACACCCACATCATATTTCCGAATAAACCGCGCCAGCCATCGCTAGTCACCAAACCCTCGCCCCTCAAAGCACAAGCCGATAAAACACCGCACCCTCCACACTCTCATAATAACTCTCTATCTCCTCGAACCCATATCTCATATACAGCGCCCTCGCAGCCGTCATACTACTCAACGTATCTAGCAATATCTCCTTGTACCCCAACACCCTCGCCTGCTGGATCGCCATATCCAGCAATAACTTACTGACGCCCCGACCACGGGACTCCGGCGCAAGATAAAGCCGTTTAAGCTCGCACGTGGGAATAGAATTTGAAGAAGAGAATGAGCGGAGGGCTATACATCCTATGACTTGCTCCTCTTCCGCTGTCCTCCGTTGTGGTGATGACTGCTGCGGTACATGGGTGTTTGCTGCACATGATGTTGATGTACGTCCATTTGTGTGAGCTTCGAGTGGTGTGTAAGCGAGAAATACCGCTCCGCCATTTTCAACGCCGTATTTGCCTGGTAGTTCTGCTAGTTCGTGCTCGAAGTTTTGGAAGTCCAGGCTAATGGGCAGGGAGTGTGCGTATGCGAGGAATAATTTGCTGACGGCTTCTTTGTCGGCGGGGAATAGGGCGGGGCGAACCTTCACTTTGGACCTTGTGTTTTGGCTCATTTTGTACTGTGTGCATGGGTTTGGGGTTTGGGGGTTGAGTTAAGTGGAGGGATATGCTTTTGTTCAGGTTGACATGGGCCGGTTATAGCCGCCGGTAGCGTTATTTACTCCTACATGCTTTCTTACAAGATAAACATGAGTATAAACATTTGACTGCTTGACGTATAGTAAGAAACACGATTTTAGAACTCCACTCATTGTAGTTCTTGCTAGGTCGTGGCAATCGGTGCATGTGCCATTGCAAAGTGGCTCCTAAATTCTATTCGTAATGGTGGGCCTCGTATTTCGAAGCGACATCGCATTGACCCACATTCCTGCTGTCTGTCACAATTTGACATCTAGGGGTGGAGATCACCTTAGGGACAGATGTCTCCAAGGTAATAGGTTTACTAACTTGTCCTGTTGTCATCGAGTCACGTGAAGCGGTCTTGTGGTGTAAGTCTACCATTCGACCATCCATCAAATCAACTCTAACATCCAATCAGCTAGTGGTATGATTCTCGCTTAGGGAAAGTCACGTGACCTCTGTCACCGTGATCTAAGCAAATTTGCGAGAGGCCCCGCGTTCGAGTCGCGGCAAGACCCCTTTTTTTTGCACTTTTGTAGGCGTGAGGAGCACGCTGTCGACGTACCACTTTTCGCTGGGCTTATATGGATATGGTAACGGCTATGATGCAGCGCCCATGGCTGCAAAAGCGGCTGGGAGCTGATTTTCTTTTGACCATCGAATACGTGCCGCGGTGCAGACATCCACTGAAAGGGGTTATCCCTCCGGCCTTGCCTCAGACCTTAATCCTTCCCGCACCACAAACCTACGGTGAGCCTTGACTCAATGTCTTCGGAGCCACTCCCCCAGCCGCGCGCCAGTGCATATACGACAGTTCAATTCGCGTACACGACGTCGCCTCCGCAATTACGGCAGCTAAGCGCGGGCCGTATATTGCGGCGCGAATGTTGAGAAATGAACCCGTCCCTGTTTTCTTAGAGAGGAAAGTCCAAATCGGAGCTTCCGTCTCAGGCTCGAGAAGACTGCAGGGATATGACTTGGCGTATGGACACCTTGTATTCAGGCTAAGCACCCCAGGTTTGAAGGCACACGTGTGATTCATGTTTGAGCTGAAATTGCGAGCGTCTTTTGGAAAAAATTAGCAGCTTCCAAAGATGGATACGGGTGTTGCTCATGCGATCTGAGCGAGTCGATAGTTGTAGACACTAAACTCATGTGCCTTGAATTGCGTCGCTTGTGAGCACTAGCTATGGACTAGCAAGTTTTGTGTATACAATAGGAAAGGGAGCGTGTGCTTCGAAGGTCACGGTTATTGTGGTCACAGTATAAACTAGAAGATAGACGAATCCCAAAATCACAAAGGGTGGTCGTTATATTCATGTACAAGTGTCTATTTTGGACCTCTTCTAGTAAACTTTTGGACGTGACGAAAAGGTATATACAGTCTTTTTGCTGATGTCGAGCGCTCACAATACGTTCCTGTTGATGTACTCCACGGGCCCAACGTATATCTTTCGTCCCTTCACAAAAAAGTAGGCCAGTGAAAAGATTACTACAATGCCATAAATCAAGATGTTCCAGTTCATCAGGTCGGGCGTCGGCAGCGGGGTCGGTGGGAAGAAAGCGAATACGAACGCTATGCAGAGGTAAGCGACTGCTATGCCGTTGACATAGATGCCGGCCCTGCCGAGGTTGAAGCGCGATGGGAGGAGTGGCTCGTGCCGCCAGCGCTTGAGGAAAATGCAGGAAATTGATATGATGTAAGAAGAGATCAGCGCGCATGTACCGAGAGATGCGATCGAGTTGAAAGCCACGGTGCTGCCGAGGTTGATCATGGACAATATGACCGATACCGCGAAAGATACAATAACCGAGTTGAGCGGAATGTCCCAACCGGGCTGGACGCGGGATAGGAAAGCACCAAAAGGAACGCCATGATCGCGTGCGAAAGCAAACAGCTGGCGGGAGCAGGTCGCAACGTTGTTGACACATCCAAAAATGGCCATGGTGATCGTGATACAAGCGAGCGCCGTGGCCCCGGCAGTGGACTGTGTAGCGTTGAACATGATCTGAATATGCGGCTGGCCTGTCGTAGTAGTAAGGACGCTTCCGATGTCGCCAACAAAAAAGCAGAAAGTAATCAGCATGAGGAAACCCAATATGCTATTCACGATAGCGGTCCAGATCATGGCCCTCGGTAGGGTATGTGCCGCGTCTCTTAGCTCCTCGCTCATATGTGTCGCTGCGTCTGATCCGAGCAGAGCAAAAGCAGGACCCAGTTGGCCTATCAAACAGGAAAGGCCCACGCTTCCCCACCCGCCGTTGTCTTGGAAGGAGCCGAAAACCTCGCTGGTCTTGCTTCGGGCACCAAGGACCCACATCGTAATGAATACGGCGAAAAAGCCAAAGATATGGAGGACGAGGACGGTGCCTTCAATGAGGGGTAGTTTGCGAGCGAGTAATGTGTTGAAGATGATAGCAAAGCTGGCAACTGCGATGACGAGGAGAGTGCCGTGCCATCGTTGAGGCACATAGGAGTCGTTGTTGAGGACGATGAGGCCTTGTATTTGTGCGCCTGCCAAGAAAGCGATAGAGGCAATACCTGTTTGCCAGCCTAGTACACAAAGCCATCCTATACGTTGTTAGCATGGAGTCCGTATAGGATTGGCTCCGAGAGCAACGAACCAACTAGGTAGCTAAGAAACCTTTGATGCTTCTTAGGCGCAAATTCGGAGACCCAGTGGTACTGGCCACCTGAAGTCGGTGCCCTAAGGTTACGTTAGACGACATAATACACTCAGCTTATATGCTCAGTGAATGCGTTGGCACCTACATGGAGGCCATCTCAGCCATTGACACTATAACGAAGCCCATGCCGATTGCTGTGCCGAGATAAACAAATATCGCACCACCGGTACCGCCATTCGTGAATGGCACGGCTAGGGTGCTGATTAAATGTCAATTGATGTCTGCGATTCAGGTAGATCAAGCTCACGTCAAAACTGTCTCCCACGATGCCATTAAGATCATGGAATACCCAAAGATGGACACAAATCGGAAGTTCCTTCGAAGCTCCTGGGTCTTACCCATCCGATGCATGTCCTTCTGATCGTCATATGTTCCCTTCTTCTCCGACACTATGGGGCTCTCCTGCGACTCGCTGTCGCGAGGCTGGACATCAGCCTCTGCCTTCGTGTCCGACATGCTGTAAGCCCTTGAAACTACAGTCGATCTCAGAGGAGGTGATGGAAAAAGCAAAACTAGGATGGTGAGAATACCGTCAGAACGGTATTGGTTGGGTGACGAAGAAAAAGCAAGTAGGGAAGAAAAGAGCCTCCCTCTAGTAGGAGAGAAGGAGACTTTTGGAACGATAACAATTCGCCATGGGTAGTGCGTCTCTGAAAGCAAAATGTTACAAATTGCCGCTAGTCGAGGCCTAGCCGGCCTACGCAAGCATTATACAACCCTCGTCTTCCCATCAACGTGGAAACCAGTCGGAGGTCACCCTCGAAAGGAAGCTGCCCCGCCATATGCCATTTGGCGAGGCGAACACGCGGAGGCTTGTATCCGCGCACTGTGAGCTCGAGCGTCGTTCTCGCCTCAAGCTAGCGTGAGAGCACATGGATACAGAGGCGGCAAGATTACTCGTCTACAGGTCATGCGATTACGAGCAATAGCCGCCACTGCGTAGCGGTGTAGGGTATAGATTAGCTGGCCAGACCTCAAGTGTCCTAACGGGGAAGTGGGACTGCGGAATTGCCGCTCCGCCGAATTAGTGCCCGCGTACCATGCGGGAGCGAGAGAGAAGGGTGAAATCGACCCTGCCGAGCCAGTCGAGAAAAAAGTTGCGCAAGTAACATGTCAAGGGATGTGGTGGATGTTAAGAACAAGGGTGGAGTGATAGGATCTGCTCTAGCACTCCTTTGGTCTAGTGCCCGGCCATGGCACGGGACCCACCGCGTCCCGTCAAGCCAAACACTCTTCATCTCGTGCCTCATCAACTTCCTCCTGGCGTTCGTGCTCTTTATCAGATGTACACAGCAGACATGGGAACAATTAGACGTCGCCAATTATTTTTGTAGCCACTCAGGAGAGTGAATGCCGCGTAGACCTCCAATACGAAACACCTTACGCTACACATAACTTAATACCGCTACACATGCATTATGTCTGCGGTGCATCCTCATACGACCAATTAACTTCCGAATTGTCGGGACCTCCGACATGGCTGCAGCTCGTTCATCTCGTTTGCTGCTCGACTCTTTCGCTTACCGTTCCTTCGGGCACAGACCGGAGCAACGTAAGCCACCTATTGAGGGCTTAATGCACGGCAATCACAATCACACAACAAAGTGTCTCAAAATAAGAACGCCACGGCAAAGGTCCCTACCATGAGTTTATGTGGCTTGCTGCTAAGCATTACTTTAGCAGTTTCTTTGCATAGGACGCAGGGTTGATGAACCCGTACCTTCGGACGGTTGATGTATCGTAGAAAATCCTCACCCGATATAATAACACAAGATATTGTGCGTTCATCCAGTGTAACGATGATGTGCCCCTTGTGCGGCCGCCGACAGAGCGCATGTCAGCAAAGCTATATCCGGGCTTAGTTCCCTTCTATAGCTGCCTCTCGACGCTCTAGTGATTTACTATGAAGAATGGCTGACTCGTCGCTCGAAGCTGGCCATCGATGGGCTATAGTTACGCCTGACGATCGTAGTGGAGTTCTTTACATCGTTGCATTTTTAGCGTTCACGTACTCGAGTCTCACCTTCCTCGCACGATGCTTCATCAAATGGCATGTATTAGGCTTCGACGATGCAGCAATGGCGCTTGCGCAGGTCAGTTATTACCTCAACCAGGATACAAAACACAGTAGACTGATATCTACAGGTTGCCTGTCTCGTACAGTTCTCCCTCCTCCTAGTCTCTCTTTCTGCTGGTCTAGGAAAGACATTTGACCTCCTCAGCGTAGATAAGTACGCAGCAATGGCCAAAGTACGCTCTCAGTTCCATTTCCTTCGCTTCGACTAATACTCTACCAGGCCCAGTTCGGAACTCAAATCGCCCTCTATGTCTCCCTCGGCTTCTCGAAAATCGCTACAATCCTACTCATACAACGCCTCTTCACCCGCGATATGAGAACAGCATGGCAGATCTGCAATGTTGTCACTGGCTGCGTAGCTGCTTGGACAGTTCTTGCTAGCTTTCTTGTATCAGCCGGCTGCTCACCGGAAAGCATGGCCCCTAAAAGCCCGTCGGAGACCTGCCCTACCATCATCGCCCGCTACCAATTCGTTGTGGCCACAGACGCAATCACCGACATTATCCTTGTCATTATTCCTGCATACCTATGCTGGCAACTCCACATGTCCGTCATCGTCAAACTACAAGTTCTTGCAGTCTTTTCTTTCCGACTACCTCTCATCCCACTCGCCGGCCTATTTCTAAAAACGTGGATCCGCTCGTTATCGACCAGCAACCCTGGCGTGGACCGCACACCAGCGATTATATTCCATCAGTGCCAACTTTGCGTTTCTCTGATAGCGGGCACAATACCCTGTCTAAAATCCTTCATCCGCAGCTTCGACACAGGCAGCGGCGTAAAAGCAGGGTTCGGCTCATCGAACGAATACGGCTCCAATGGTCCTAATAGCACCAGCGCAACAAAGCAACAAAGCTACCAGCTTTCTACACTGAAGCGCAGCAAAATCAGTTCATCACAGACGCGAAGCCGCGTAGACGAGGACGACGGCAATATCAATGAGAATCCGTTGCCGTTCACGAGTGGACGAACCAATCAGCCACCACTAGCATGGGATAGGAGTAATAGAGCGGGATATGAGTGGCAAGAGCTGGAGCCCGATAGAGACAGCCAGGGCAGTAGACAAGAGTTGTTTATTCGAAAAGACACAGCGTGGGAAGTTGGCAGTGATACGAGGCGGAGAAGTGATACGCCCGGGATATTGGTCTTGCCACAGTAAATGGCAGGAGAGGGTATGAGGCGACCCCATGGAGGGGACAAAATTAAATCTTTGCAATCTTTTTCACTCCTAGATAGAGTAGATACCATAAAGGGAAACCGGCGTAATCTCAAAAATGGAAATCAGGCGCGATGGTAAATTGCGTTTAGGACATGGTGATAGACAGATGCATGAAAAAAGCATTCGATATTAATATTCCGTTTCTTCAATAATTATTAATCCTAAATCACTGATTGTCTTAATACCCTACCAGCTCTATGCTTTCAACCCCTCCATCAGAGCACCTTCATCTCTCTTCCCCACAGCCTGGAAAACCGCCCCGTCTCCACCTATATCCAATCCTTTCTCCGCCCTCTCATATGCGTCATCGCTCCTATCTAGCAAGATTTCCATTTCCTCCTCCCCCAGAAGATTTCCGCTTTCAGTGCCCTCAATGTCAAACCGTTCACCGTCGCTTCTTCTGAGCAGCTTCTGCAACTCTTCAACTTCTTGCTCCTTCTCAACGCCGCTAGTTTTGCCTCTATCATTTCGGACGCCGCCTTTGCGAATGACAAGTTTCTCAAGCCGTCGTTTCCCTTCAGCACTCTCGAGTAGCTTCTGCTCGACAGTGTTGCGTGTCGCGAAGCGGTACACAATGACGTTTCTCGTTTGCCCGATGCGATGTGCACGGTCCATTGCTTGGAGGTCTTGCTGTGGGTTCCAGTCACTATCGAAGAGAATGACGGTGTCAGCGGCTGCGAGATTGATGCCCTGGCCGCCCGCTCGAGTAGATAGGATGAAGATGTCTGTCGCTTCTTTCGCCTCGGACGGTTTGTTAAACGCCAAGATCTGTGCTTGACGATCAGATTGCGCGACTGAGCCGTCGATGCGAGCATACTTCCAGGACCGCAAGTCGAGATAATGGCCGAGAAGATCGAGCGTTGTTGTGAATTGGCTGAAGATCAGCACCTTGTGGCCCCTTCTTATTAACTCCGGCAACAGAGAATCGAGTAGTAGCATCTTCCCTGACGTGCTTACAAGGCTCTCATCAGGTTCAGTCTCCGATGCGAATATCTCAGAACCGTCTGTATCCGCCTTGATAAACGGGTTAAAGAAGTTGTAGGGTGAGTTACAGCACAGTCGGAGCTGCATGACGGGGTTACCCAGCTTCTTCTGCATGAGTTGCCGCTTTGCAATTTCGAACGTCGCAGCACGTATCTTCTCCTCTTCTCCCTCAGAATCGAGCTCATCTTCCTCCTCAGGCTCGCTATCCTCTTTGTTCAAGTCTGCAAAGTACTGCGTGTCGCTGACTTCTTCATAGTTCCTCCTTGGTCGAGTGCGGCTGAGATTGGATGCGACGGACGCTGGTGTTCCTGCACGAGATGTCTTTGCGCTTTTGTTAGGAGTACTGACATCTGATAACGCGTTCCGCTTTCGGCTACCATTATTGCTGCGGATACTAAGAGGTGTTGCTGCTCCGCTGTTGAGGCCAACGCTAAGTCTCTCGACTGCCTTCTCCTCTAGGAATGAACGGCTTGTACCATCGAGGATGGCCTGGTACAACTCACGCTGCATTGCTGTAAGAGGTGCGAATAGGATATACTCCCGCTTCTTGGGCATCAAACTCTCAACATCTGTCTTCACACGGCGTAGCAAAAACGGCTTTAATACAGCGTGCAGTGATTTTACGAGATATTGTTGCCGTTCTTCTGAAAGCAACTGCTCGTAGCTCGACTTGTCCTTCAGGCCAGAAAAGTCGAACCAGCTTTCGAATGTTGAGAGCTTGTCGAACACCGTTGGTAGAAGGAAGTGCAATAATGACCATAATTCAGTAAGATTGTTCTGGAGCGGTGTACCAGTAATGAGCAGACGATTGGCGGACTGGAACTGCTGTAGTTCGCGGATAAGGCGACAATCGAGATTTTTGATACGATGTCCTTCATCAATGATGATGAATTGCCAACCAAAGCTAGTGAGATACTTCCGATCGTTCATGCAGATCTCGTAGCTGGTGACCATGATAGGAAACTGGTCCGTCCCAGGGTTCCGAAGTCTTGTATTGCGCAATCTCTCCCGCTCCTTCTTATCACCATGGTATAGCATGACCGGCAAGCTTGGTGTCCACTTTTCAAACTCTGCGACCCAGTTGCTCGTCGTGCTGAGAGGTGCAGCGATCAAGAAGGGACCGTAAGACTTGTTCTCCCACAGATGCGCGAGCATGGCGATTGTTTGGATAGTCTTGCCCAGGCCCATTTCGTCCGCCAGAATGCCATTGATACCGTTCTCGTAGAGTGACAGCATCCACTCAAGTCCTTCCAGCTGGTATGACCGCATTGTGCCCCCTGTGACCAGTTTCGGTTGTCGCGCTGACCTAAGGTTCTGTATGCCAACGTCACCTGTCCTTATGTTGTCCTCGTCCGCAGCCTCCTTCAGCGCGTCGGCCACATTCTTGATGTCTGTCTTACTCTCGATATCTTCCTTTCTGAAGTAGCTCGATATCTTCGCATCTTGCTTCTTCGGTCGCCCGCGGCCCTTCTTCTTGGGTGCTGTATCTTCATCCTCTATTTTTGACTTCGATGCCCCGCTTGCTACCGAACCGCGTGTCGCTCGTCGTTGTGACTCGGCTGCCACTTGCTCGGCTTTCTTTTCTCGTTTCGAGGTTTGGCCCTGTGTCTTCTCGTCTTGTGCTTTCTCTTCGTCTTCTTGTCGTTGCATTTGCGCAAGCATGACCGTCGCGTACAACTACATCAGAAATGTCAGAGCCGGTCCACATACTCTCGCAATGCCTTTCATATAGTCTGAATTGCGCATCTCCGAGGTAACCTTTGTACTAACCTTACTTTTGTTCATCAAGAACTCCAATTGCTGGAACTTTTTATCCAAAATGTCTTTTCCACTCTTAATGTCCTCTTGTCTCTCTTTCTCTAATTGCGCGTCGCGTTTCGCGTCATGTTTCTCGCGCTGTGATCTCATGCGTTGCTCTTCCTCCTGCATCGACTTTGACACACCTTCTGTATCCATATCGGCTGGTGGTGGTGATGACGCGGGTGTGGACTTTTGTGACGCGGAGTTTGCACTAGTAATCGAGGAAGAGGTCATTTTGCGAGCAGGAAAGCCTTTTTTATGAAGCAATTAGAGGAACCAAGATCGTCTTTGTTTTCGTCAGGGGCAGGTGGCGAGGGAGGCTTTCGATCGCGAAGTGAAAGGGCGACGCGCTAAGCGAGAAATCAAACACGTCATCGAGAACGCGCGATCACGCGTAAACTCTTTGGCCTTGCGCCAAGTCATTGTCATATACACAACCACCACCTAACTCTTTCAATCCTTTAATAAGCACCATTAGACTGGGAGGTACGAACGATCAATAATCCCAGATTGCGTAGTCTTTTATGTTCTGGGCGGCAAATACTCCATAGTCTGGGTCGTGGCTTTCTCCCACATCATCCATGTACGCAATTATTTGTGACCACTTCTAGCATCGATGAGATATAGAAGGTAAAGAGTATCCATAAATGATATCTACTCGCCCTCCAACAGTTACAGGAGCCTTCCCCGTTCTAGGCAGACATCTCTCACCTGAAGTAAGGCGATGAGTTTCACCAGTGTAAGGTCTAGTCGCGGTCATATGTACAAATGTCAACCTCTAAATGGCCGACTTCTATCGCATCTTCTCAACGCCTCCGAAACTTTTCTATCCACACGTCCCAAACTGCGGTCTGCACCCCCAACTGAGCCTACAGAAGTCGTCTGCACTTCCACACCACCCATAGTCCGAACAGCACCTTCCAAACGTCGAACCCTGACATGTCATGCCGTTACCTTCTTCTCCGCATCTTCCGTTTGTGCTGACATTAGTTGGAACAGCTGGAGCCGTTGAAGATGGGCTTGGTGTGGGCGTTGGCGTAGGTGTGGGTGTGGGTGTAGGCGTCGGAGTCGGAGTCGGGGTTGGTCGTATGGACGATGAACTTGGGATAGGAACTGGAACAGAAGATGGGGGTAGAGGCGGCGAGCCACCATTACAAGACCCGAAACCAGGGCGACAACCTGCGCCACAAAAGTCGATGCTATTGCCGCAGTAGTAGAACTCTGAGCAGCACCGTCCGAAGCTTGATCCGGCGCATGTCGTCACGTTTCCACATTGGCCGTTTGGTGAGATAATGAGACTGCCTGATGGAAGCGGCGGTAGTACGGACGAGCTGGAAGGCACAACAATTGAGCTCGAAGGTGGTCGCACAGTCGAACTGGAGGGTGGCAAAGGAGTCGGGGTCGGAGTGGGAGTTGGCGTAGGGGTGGGTGCAGGCGTTGGTTCCGGTGTTACATCACCACATCGTCCATATTCAGGTTGACACCCTACAAGAAGAGCGCAATGTTCAAAATCTGTTCCACAGAAGTCGAAGCTCGAGCAGCATTGATTATTCGGGCATCTAGCGCCGCCGCCCGCAGCCCCGCACCTTCCAACAGTCTGACGAGGAAACAAGTGATTGAGAGACCGCGCAAACAGGTTTGGTGTTGTCGCGTTCCGTTTGTGGAATGGTTGAGGTGTGTGTCTCAATTCATCGGTAGCGTAGAGACGAGCCGTTTGGTCTAGGTCGAATTTGGCATTGAATACGGAATCAGTGGCAGCGGATGCTCCTGAGAAGCCTAGGGCTACCACCAGCGTGATTGAAATCCACTGCATGATGGCTCGTATGAATGACCGGGCTAGTGAAGGGGGGGGGAGGGGGGAGGTTTGAATTTAGCGGAGGAAGTCCAAGTATATAGCAGAGCTTTCCATGGCTATGCGGAAGCTGAAGAAGCCACGCAGGCGAGTAGGAGAGACTTGCGGATACAATAAGGAAGATAAGGGTCTGAGCTGCTTGGCCAAGTATATTATGAAGACATGGGGCTCAAACGGGCCTGGCAAGACTGCTATGGGCCAATAGAGATGTCCTCCCAAGCCAATTGCGTTAATAGGCGCTGCAATTTTGATGGTCGTACAAACCTGTACGGGAAACCACGTTATTGCTAATATAGAATTGACCAGACGAGTACGATTGTGGGGCCTCTTGCGGCTTTCGAACTTATGAGGTCAACAAGAGACTGTATAGTGTAAACGATGGACTGGAGGTAAATTTCTCATTCTCTTGGAGTTAATTGCGACTTTATCGACACTACACGTCGTAGTGGCCAGCTTGTGGCGATCTCGTTCTATTTCCGTGGTTCGGCGTGGTGGCACGCATGGGCCGCATGGAGTTGGGGTGAGTGGCTCTTTACCAGCGACCAGGTGGGGCATCTTCCAAAATGTAGGCATGCATCAAAGAATACGTCGCGTGGATATAAACCTCATTTGTGTCGGAATCAATGGACCAAAAGCCTAAATACAAAGCGCCGGGAATACCGTTTAAAGTGATGATCGCAGGGGCCGTGATGACGACGACCGCAGTTAGTATCGTGGAAACTTCTTAACAAATATCGGCCATGCAAGGCACCGGATTAACTGTCGCGTTACCGGGTAAGTTCTTCTTTATCCTGGAAGCACGCCTTCGTGGGTTCCACAACGTTTCGTTATGGATGGGAGGTAGTAATTGTATTTATAATATTGAATTCCTTCGCAATGAGCTATAGCTTTGTCATTGGCCTTGTTTTCCTACTCTTTTTTGATGCCGAGGTAGACGCCCAATTTACTCACCACGTAATCATTTCAGGTCATACAGCTTGGTGAACGGGGCCGTCAATGCCGACGGAACATCCCGAAAGTAGCAACATTCGGACGTGGGGTTATTTGATTGAGTAGAGAAATCACGAAAGTATGCTAGAGAGTCGATAGTCGATGTGATCAAGAAAGTCAAGAAAGTGGGGTTGCCACGATGCAACCTTTACGCGCTAGTCAGCTAGTAACATCTTGTCATGTGGTCAAGCCCAATCAACCTAAGTCGAGCTGGGGACTGTAGTCTTGGACTCCCTGAATCTCCTTACCCGATCCGACGATTGCTCCAGTGCTGAGATGTTTGCCTTCGCCGTTATCAGTCCTATTAGTATTAGGAAATTTCATCTTTACACCAACAATTCTGCTGCTTGATCGTCTGCAGAGATCTCGATTCCCGCCGACTGACCACATGCTGACAACACGATGTAGCCCACAATTGCTTCAATGCTAAAGAGGTTTCCGCAGGCTGAATCATTTGGGAGGCAAGGGACAAAAGCCATCCAATATATTCAAAGCCACACCGAGGTAAAATATTACCTCGGTCGCCTTCTGAAAACCTTAATACATGCCAAGGTCGTCTTTAAACGCCGAGAACTGCGCGGGGCGAGATACACTACCAAAGACGCTCATCACCCTCATTGAATGCATCTTAGTTGAAATGCATGTTAAACTATGCAGCCTCCATTGACGTCGAAAGGCGATCATTGCTTACACGAGGCGGAAATAAGCTGTGCGGGATTGGTCATGCTCGCTCGGGATGCACCAGTTCCGGCAGTACCCCTGGATGGTTGTAGTCTCCAGCCTCTCTGACTGGACGACTAGCACTAGCACGAACTTGGTGGACTATCTTTTTATTTTAACATCAGCTATGTCGCGACGCTAACTACAAAAGAACCTTATTGCCAGTGTAGAGATCGACAGCGGGGAAGGCACCCAGCGTAGTGGTTGACCGCGGTTCTTTTTGTTGTTGCGAGAGAGATTTCCTGCCTTTTCGGGTTTTGGGGCGAGATGCTAATCTGATTTGGTCATGCCCAGAGGCTCCACGTGGTTAGTGGTGTATTTGTAGTATTCGGGATGGTGTCCACGCACCTGGTTGATCGCGGCCCATTGTGACGTTGTAAGAGTAGTCCTAATTTGGGCTTTGATGGCCATACGCTATATGTTGCTGACCTATATAACGGATACGATAAGTTCACTTGCTCGACCATTCAAATAAATCACATTGTCATCAATATCTCCTCCATTATTACCATCATGAAGCTCTCTACTTTCCAGTTGGTCATAGCCACTCTGGCTCCTCTCGTCAATGCTTTCCCAGCTGCGATTCTTGAAGCCGCAGCCAACGACCCAACGCTATTAAAACGAGCTGAGAAATTTCTTGCTGAGCGGCAGGCAGGAGCAGACGCAGCGACAGCGCTCTTCGAGCCAGTGCCGATATTCGACGCGAAGAAACAGTATGTCAACGTCAGCAAGGGCAGTGGTCATGAGTATGTGGCTCCCAGCTCCAGTGATCTCAGAGGACCATGCCCTGGTTTGAACGCATTTGCGAATCATAGTGAGCATCAAGAAGAACACTTCGACATGTTATTCGCTAACAATTGAAAGATTTCCTACCACATAATGGATATGCCTCCGTTCAGCAGTACGTCGATGCAACAACGAAAGTAGTCGGCATGGGCCCAGTCCTCGCAATTTTCCTCTCTGCCCTCGGCGGAGCACTCGATGGCGACATCCTCAACTGGTCTATTGGTGGTAAACCTTCCCTTGCACAGGGCGGCGCAACCGGTATCCTAGGCAACGGACTTATAGGGAGCCATAATAAATATGAGGGCGATGCATCCCCAACAAGACCAGACCTATATGAGTCCGGCAACAACTGGAAGACTGTCTCCCAACAGTTTCAGGAACTGATTGACTACTCACCTGGTGGCCAGGTCACTCTCGACTCCCTAACCTCCTTCCGCTCGCATCGATTTGACAAGCAAGTCGCCAATAATCCTTACTTCTTCAACGGCCCCTTCTCGGGTGTACTTGTGCAGCCCGCTGCGTATACCTTCATCTACCGCTTCATGGCAAACCACAGTGCTGAAAACCCAATCGGTCTGCTGAACTACGATGTTATTCAGTCTTGGTTTGGTATCCAAGGATCAAACGGCAACTACAATGCTGTACAGGGAACTGAGCGTATTCCTGATAACTGGGTATGTTCATCAGAACCCGTCACGTTGATCTCGTATTGATGTGTGCTGACGTGTCGAGCAGTACAAACGCGCTGTTGAATATCCTTATGAGACTACTTATTTCCTTGCTGATGCTATCAACGCGGCCAAACTACACCCAAAGTTCCTCAACATTGGCGGGTGAGTACACCTTCCCTCAATAACTTCCATCGTACTAACCAGCTCGAAGCAACACCGGAACCACGAACTCTTTCACCGGCGTGGACATCGCCAATCTCACAGGGGGGGTGTTCAACTCAGGAACTTTACTACAAGGGAACAACCTCGCCTGTTTCGTGTATCAGCTCTCTGCACAAGCGAAGCCTGATATTCTTCTTGGCGCACTCGATCAGCTCAAGAATGTTATTGGGAGGGTGGTAGGAGGACTAGGTTGTCCACAGTTGAAGGCAATTGATCAGAAGCAGTTGCAGCAATTCCCGGGGTATACTAGGCAGGCCGTTTACGGCTAGTTGACTGATATGAGGATGGCGACGAGAAACGAGTGACGATATATTATGAAGTACATATAAGTATAAGCATGGGAGAACTATATACACGAGGGATTTTTGATGTTGAAATCTTGAGCTTTGGGCATTGGGACCTCAGTGCAATACCTGTACGAGCTTGAAGCGACAGATATCAATCTTACGCAGGTAGAGGCAGCCCGCTTGGCTTCGCATGACACGGAGCTTCCAACTTACTCGCTGGGACAGTTGTCACGGCTTGATTGTCTTTCCCGAACAACACAAAGTTGCCACTCGGCTTATAGCTCTCCCATCCTAGCTTCGGCAACCCGTTAACAGGATCCTCCGCAAATGCTAGCCAGTAATCCTGCATTTTCTCGCTGAGTTCCTTTTGAAGCTCTGTGCCCTCGCCTCTTACAATTCCGTAGGTGCCGAAAATCAATGGCAGTTCAGCTGCATGATACGCGCCTTCCCACCACAGTGGCGAGATGTTGCTAAAGTTACCACTATAGATATAGCGGAAGGTGGTCGCGTTAGCTGTGTAACGGTCCTGCGTTGTTTGGACGGTCGGACAGAGGAAGAATGCTGTAGTCAATGCATCTGATAGTGCTTGATTAGGGCCATATGTGCGATTGTAGGGCATAGCGCCGTTGGCTTCGCTCTCGGTGCTACCGATGATGGCGGGTTTGCGGCTGAAGTTCCCGGCCAAAGCGCGAGCGGTGTAATCTGCGAATATGATGCGATTATCGACGAATTGGCTGAAGCCTAGGGACGGCGTCGTGCGGTTATCGGCACGAGCCTTCAAGTAGCTCATAATGGTCGAGCTACTGACGTTTCGCAGACACTCGACTTCCTCTGCAGCACTACCCTTACAGCATCCAAAATGATCCGCTACAAATGTAAAGTTTGTTTGCTCAACATCGGCACTGATCTTGGGTAGCTTTGTAACACCAGAGTTCATAATCAGACCTGAGACAATCGGGTCTTCTGGATACGCAAAGTTGTGGTAGTCGACTGACATCGCACCTGCTGATTGACCCCAGAGAGTAATGCGATCAGGGTCGCCGCCAAACTTGGCGATGTTGTCGCGAATCCATTCTAAACCTAGGCGCTGGTCCAGAATGCCCAGGTTTTGTTCTCCGGCTGGAAGACCTGCTGCATTAGGAAAGCCAAATATGTTAACGCGGTAGCTGGCCTTTGATCAGCAAACGGCTTGATTGGGTTTCGAGTCTCAGCTTACTTGATTCCGACAACAATGTGTTTCCCGCTTCTCTCAATCCATGAAGTTGGATTATAATAGGGCGACGTTGCACCTCCGCCAGTGAAGCCTCCGCCATAGAGCCACACAATTACCGGCAACGATTCGGTTGCATCGCCCTGATTTTGCGTCTCATCCCAAGGCGTCCATACGTTGATCGACAAGCAGTCTTCATTTTGATCATCCTTCGGGGTGATGTTAAACTCGGGGGCGTCGATCAAATAGACAGATGGTTCGACGCTCGCGTCGATTTCGAATTGAGGACACGAAGGACCGAAGCTTGTTGCATCGATTTTGCCCTCCTCCCTAGACTTTGGCGATGGTGGAAGCCAACGTCGCGCTCCTACCGGTGGTTCTGCGAACGGGATGCCAAGGAACTGTGCAACATTCGGTGTTTTGTCACATATGAAGCCCTGCACTGACCCCGAGGTAGTGTCGATAGTTAAGGATCGAATGGCGGCCACAGTCTGGAATTGAACAACCGCCAAAAGGGCTGCTGAAAAGAGTACCATGACTGGGAGCAAAGAGAATGCAGCAATGTTTGAAGATTCATCACAGTAGAAGAAGAATGACTTTTAAATAACTCTTAAAAAGATGCCTTGGCAGAGGATTGTCGCTCGATATGGTCGGAGATTTATTACTCGAGTCGTGCAATCCACGCCTGGTGTCTATCATCCCACTGACGTCAATACCAGCTTGAGTTAACTGTTCCTGACTCATGTTTGTGCAAGTGCGACCTTCAAGCGGGCTTCGACTCCATCAAGGAAGGTAACTTATAGCACTAGGATTGAGCTGTTATTTGGCGAAGTGGGTTCTCGCCTGAACACTAGACCGTAGCCTGCCTTTGACGATGCCTGGGGTGCAGGAGGCTGGCATCGAGCCGATGGACGTAACGAGATGATACTCGCACAAGCTTTGAAAAAAAAATTACATGCAAGCTTCACGCAGAAACAAGATAAAAATACCAAGAGACTGATGTGGTAGTGAGAAACCCCCGACTTGAGGAAGAATCTTAGACAGACTTCGGCCCGTGCGCCGTTTCCCCACACTTCCACCCCACCATGTGTCGGTCTTCGCGCCGATGTACACACCATCATAAGCAGCGACGCAGCTCGTAACTATCATGCGTGCTCATTCCTCTCGTAAGGTGCTTTACAACCCCAACAGACAGTTTATTTTTAAGATCCAAGATGAAGGTTCTCATCACCGGCGCGGGTGGCTTCGTAGGCCAGATCCTCGCTAAGAAGCTTATCGAAACCGACTCATCAACCTCTCTCATTCTAGCAGATGTCAAAGCGCCCCCAAACCCAACAAAGTCGCAAAATGTCCAGTCAGTGGCAGCAGACCTCACGGATGTATCGGCAAGCGAGAGCCTCATCGCTCAAGCCCCGGACGCCGTGTACATCCTCCACGGCATAATGTCCAGCGGCGCCGAAGCGAACCTCGAGCTAGGCCTGAAGGTCAACTTCGAATCCGTTCGCCAACTACTCGACGTCATTAGAATCAAAAGACCGGGCATCAAGGTGGTATTTACATCATCATGCGCAGTGTTTGGGCGCAAAGCCGTTGAAAACCTGACGTCGGAGACGGACATTGTCCCTATGCCTGAAAGCAGCTACGGCACACAGAAACTCATGATCGAGTTCTTGCTCAACGACTATTCGAGGAGGGGCTTGATTGACGGGCGGGCCGTCCGCCTGCCAACCGTGTTTGTAAGAGCTGGTGCGCCAACCGCAGCAGCATCGTCTTTTGTCTCCGGAATCGTCCGAGAGCCTGTGCACGGGAAGGAGAGCGAGCTACCGTGTGATCCAAGCATCGGTATATGGTTGACTTCTCCGCGTGCGCTGGCAACGAACCTCGTGCACGCGATCAAGGTCCCCGCGGAGAAGTTTGGGCACTTTAGGCAGGTGCTGTTGCCGGGCTACACAGCGACGAGCGGTGAGATTCTCGATGCGCTGGAGAAAGTTGCTGGGAAGGAAGTCAGGGCTCTGGTCAAGGAGAAAAGAGACGAGAATATTCAAAGGATTGTATTGAGCTGGCCGGGAAAGTATGATACGAGCCGGGCAAAGGAGCTTGGGTTCAGTGAGGACGTAGGCCTGGAGCAGACGATTCGGGATTTCATCGATGAGGTGAAGCAGGTTTCATAAGCATGATGAGTCTGAAATAAGAGGACATGCTAGAGAATTGACAAATTTAGACGCTGGTCACTAAGTCATCTAAGGCTACATAGCCATACGGCCTCTCCTTTGTGATATACTACCCTCGGGGACTCGGAACATTGAGAAATATACTCCGCAGCCCACATCATATTTGAGCTCAGTGCTAGGAAGGCCTAAAAGGTTCACGAAGAATCGCACAGCGAATACCTTTAGGGCATGTTGACACCAATACAAATATACCCAAAAGCCCACATTCATCACCTATATACTCCGGCAAGCCGGCCCATCAACCAGGAAGACGTATGCACGGGTACAGCAACCAGCCACATGCTACCTTCCATACCACGTGTCGAGCCGAGTCAAGCATCATGCAACTCAAACCCTACTATTGGACATGACTTGAAATCCCACGAGAGAAAAAGGCCACCTGCACTAGCCCCATACACAGCACTGCGCCTGCTTATCGCTGACACGAGTGGGGGCTGCGGGCGGAACATATTGCAACCCCACCGCGCTGTCGAGTCAAGATCGAGCAAGCTTTTGCAGTAAGTCAGGTTGATAAGTAAGTAGCAGGATCCTTGGTGTCTTCAACAAGTTTTCCAAACACTAGACTCGAGCAAATGATGGGATGTGAGGATTGCCGATCGGAAGCGGAGTGGTGTAGAGAGCGGGTCGTTGTACCCGAAGGATGAACACGTGGTACGCGAAGGATGAAGAGAGCTCGGCTACTTTTTTCTTTTTGTCGCCGACTGGGCGGGTAAGGGCTGAGTGGTGGGCGCTGAGTCATGCATGCACCGCGACGTGAGTTGATTGATCGGTTAATGAGATATTTATTGTACGGTGTGTCGATGATGGGAAAAATAGACTTGCGAGTCATGTCCAGAAAGGGGGCTGGGATGATCATTACCTTTTGACTCGCTTGCGTGTCAAGCTAGTAGTTTAAGCCTTGCAAATCCCAACTCATGATCTGATCTGTTCAAATTATTCCGAATACGCCTGTACGAATCCCCAGCAGGCTGATCCATGTGGCAACCTAAATCTTACAAAACGCATTACATCGTCGCACCGGCCGCCGTATCTCCATCAATATCCAAGATAGCACCCTCCTCCAAATCCTTTGGTTTAACCAACTTGATGCTGACTTCTGGGTCTCGGCTATAAACCCTCAGGCCCAGCACGCACACAGCGTTCCAGGGTTTTGGCCCCTTGTCTGCGACGGGACGAGGGTTGGCATGCGGATTGGGCGCAGGAGCTTCGCCGTAAGCACTGCCTGGATACCTGTTGCCGTATGCATATGATGCGACGGATGCGGGTGCTGGTGGACCGCGATATCGTGGCGCAGCATCGTCGTCATCGCTGGCCTCATCGAATTGGAACTTAGGCTCATCAGACTTCTCGTTGGAATCATTCTTGGATTCCGAGTCTTTAGCCCTGATCGTAAGATCGACCACAACCGCCGGCTTAGCTTGTTCGGCCGAAGTAGTAGATGTATCAGCTGCTTCATCCTTCTGGGTACTAATGCTTTCAGCAATATGAGCTGCTGCTACTGTATCAGCTTCCTCTTTCTTCGCCACGCGATCCCCCGATTCGTCTTTGGAGGCCCCCTGCTGTGACTTCTCTTTGTCTTCACGAGCCTTCTTTTCTTTCTTCCATGCCTCGTACTCGGCCATCTCCTCTTTTTTCCAGGCTTCAAACGCAATCTTGTTTTTCTCCTCGTCTTCCTTTTCCTTTTTCTTCTTCTCTGCTGCTTCTTTCTTCTTTTGCTCCCTCTTCTTCTTCTGTTCATCAGAAGTATCTGTGATGCCCTTGGCATTGGCAATGTCATAGTTCATTCCGATTTGCCTGAGTTTCTGTGGGTTACGCTCCGCTACCTTGGTGACCACCTCATGTACATCCGCAGCATCGGCGTCACGAGAAGCTTCGATCTTCGGAAGGACTTCATATGTGCCGATTTCGAGATCGGCTTCAGCAGAGATGCTGCGATTACCGAACCAGGCACCGCGAGCTCGGATGATGTGATCTCCAGCTTTGGCATTCTCGTTTTGCAAGATAAAGTGTAGATCGAAGTTGTACTTCCCTTCAAGGCCACGAAAATAGCGGTCATCAAGCTACACCGTTTAGCACGTGCGGAGTTCAATTGACAAGAATGCACTTACTTGACAGAGGACAAATACTGTTGGTCCAGCCTTCTTGATTGTGACTTGGAATTTGGTGTTCAGATAGCCAGTCACCCAAGCCACTGAGACACTAGTCCAATGCTGCACCACAGTCCACTCCTGGTCAAAGAGCCGTGTCCGGTCAAGCAACTGGAATCGCTTGAGCAAGTCCTCATATGACATCCAGAAGAGGCCATCGTCACCGAACTTATGATTTAATTTCTCTATCCAGTAGGACGTCCATTGGCTTGAACCATCCGACCAAGGACCAGTCCACTCACCCATGGCAGCGTTTGCTCTCTTGCCCCAGGGATTCCTGTCATCAATTAGCAGGATCGTGAGATGTAACAACAGAAACCATACCTGATTAGCACAAGTTTGTGTTTCTTGCCCTCTTCGTCCTCTTCTTCAACTACCTTGATGACCGAGTAAGCGTGGCTCAGAGCGAGACCTCTTCTAGCATCTGAATCATCTCCGTACGAGCCAGGAGATGAAGCAGAGAAAAGGAACTGCTTGTTGACCTGTAGTAACTCCTTCCAAAGGCGCTCGCGGCTCAAAATGCGATCAGTCAAGATCTTGGTGGTGACACCTCCCGTAAGATCCTCGACTGCCTCACCGCTGTAGCCACCAGCAATAGCGTCGTAGTCGCCATGCACTTTGGCGTAGGCTTTCTCTAGGAGCGGAAGCCAAGTCTCATTCTCATCAGCGCATGAGGCAAAGTAAAGCGCCTCTGAACCGGTTTGGTTGTTCTTTTTGTACCTTGTCTCCTTTGCGCCTGTCGGGTCATATCTATCCCCATAGGCATCGAAGTCACTGTAATTGAGGTAGAGGTTATCATCTACGACAGTCCAGATCCATATACCATCCCGATAGAAGACGAAACCATATACGCCACACTCTTCGTCTCTCTCAACGCAGACCTTGTTGATTAGATCTGGATGGCTACATACGGTTGCTGTCGCAGCTATGAACCTAGAAAGGTATTCTTGTTATTTCAACGATACTAAGAATCGACACAATGACTTACCAGCAGTCTCCATTGGAACCCTGCACAAGATCAGAACTCGTGAAGCCATCGATTTCAAATTGAGGCTTGTCAAATATCCAATCCACGCGATGTACTGATCCCGGGCCACCGTTTTCGTCATCAGAACCATTAGGGTCCAGAAGTTTAGCCGCGGCAGCGAAGTCGAAGACCGCAGCATTTTGCGCCAGCACGTCGCTTTGAATAAGAGTGGACAACGCGTCGCCAAGTCGCGAAGGGCTCACTGACGATGTCGATGGCACGGGCCGTTCCTTGTACCAATATAGCAATCCTTCGAGGCAGTTCTTGTCACCTAGATTTTCGATATCGAAATCTGGATCTGTGAATTTCTCGTTCGTACGGTGGCACTCTCGCACAATGCGTTTGACGCGAGCGCGACATTCACTGGCCGCTGCTTGATAGGACTCGGCCGCATTCTTCCCTGTAACGGTGCCTGGCTCGTGTGGCGGAGGAAGCAGATGGGCATACAAACTAGAAGGGAAGACCTTGGTAACCTTGGTTGGCTTTTTTGTGATGAGGTTCTCCCAGAACTCATTGATGGCTTCTTGGGGTCTGCCGATCTCGGTACTGTCGCTAGAAACAGAACTCATGGTTTCTTCTTCCCTGCAGCTTAGCTAATGTGACGTTGTAGCCGTTCTTGTATCACCCACAAGTGTATCCCTGACGATCTTGGAGGAGTTAGCTGCGACAGAATTAGACTAACACGCTTGCCTGATAGAGAGAGAGAGAGAGAAGGAGTTAGTATCGAGACGGAAGTAAGCTGAAATTGATAGACGTCTTGCTTATATGGACGACCGGTGAATTTGGGGGCTAAAACGCGTAGCTGCCTAGTGTGCGGCTGAACAAGCTGACCCCAACATATTACCGGCACCAGATGATACGCCAGATGTTGAAGATGTCCGTGGAAGCACTGTACGTCGCACATGTTGTGGTGATGTTGACAATACCTGAGTTCTAACGTACGTCGCTGAAATGGAAACGTGTTGCTCGTTGCGGTGACATGGTGACTAACGATCGTGTCTGTCAAAGAAAGAAAGATAATACATGTCTCACATCAATCAAGATGTGCATCAAAACTCAAGACCATCAGTTGAGTAGGTAGTGGCTTACGGGGTAGTGCCGATGCAGCCCGTAAAGATAAAAGAAGTTCTGCCCAAGGAAGGCAGGTGGGCGCGGTGCGCTAGGGACGGCGGGGGCTAGGCAACACTAGCAGTCGCCACCAAGGCTCACCACACGCGTCACATTCTCCCACCACCATCTCCCACCCTCGTCGCTCCAGGCTTGACGGAATCTGGAAGAGCCGGTTCTATACCTCGAGGTTCCCAAACTTTTCGCTTTGCTAGGTGAGTTTACGCGGCTCGTGGCGTTGTAGTACGAACGCGTTCAGCCCTGCATGCCTTCAGAGACCCCATGCACATAGGACAGGCCAGACTGTCACCATCAAATCCTTCTTGGAAGGATCCCTCATCTTATTGAAGGTCGCATCGATGGCTGGGAATAAAGTCCCGGCGCTGAAGCGGTCGCTACTGTTATTGTTTTAGTGCTTGCGAATTCGCATCTCAAACCAGCGTTGTGCATTACGCGACTGTGGATCTCGTAACTTTGGGCAAGTGGATGCCCACATCGTATGATAAAAACGGGGTTCGACCAAGATAACTTTGAAGGATGCGTGCGAGGGATCTATCGATGTCAGTTGAAATAGAGGGGACGCTGTCAGCCTGTCTGCCCGCTAGACCAACAATCGGAGATGAGGGAGGCACGCGGGGTTTATGCTGGAGGCTCGGCCACGCTGATGGGGTTCCTGTTGGGTTAGAGTATAATGTGTCGTCTGGAGAAGACGATAGTTGTAGTTGCTCGTACAAAGTTGAAAAACCTGACCAGACAGTATTAGTACCTTGATCGACGCCGCTGAGTTGGCAATACTTTGGATGACAAAATGAGCTGTGAGTTCAAGCTGTATGTCTCGCTGAACAGTTTTGGGCTGGTTGCATGAGTCGAGGCTGAAAGATGACGTGAACTTCTCTATTGAGCTGCCAAGATTGTGCCTCCTGGGGTATGTGAAACAGCCATCCCACCTATAGACGTGCAGATGTACAGATAGCTTGAAGTAAACACCGGGTGTGGCCCTGATGACCACGCGAGGAGTACCAGATAATGTAGAAGAAAGATTACAAGATTAGGACGTAATGGTTCGCACCGGTCGTTGTATAGCAAAGTTGGAAAAGGGAAATGGTGATACATGAGTCGTCTAGAAAAAAGGCTGCCTGGAAGAAAACCGACTGGGTTGTGAACGCGGAGACGAGCGGGGAGCGGCAACAGTAGAGGCTTGTATGCTGCCGAGGGGTATGTTGACGTTCCGCTTCAAAAATAAATCTTTTTGGAGCAGAGCTCCTTCTGCTTTTTTGTGCACCGACTCAGAAAAGGGAAGCCGATAAAAGAAAGCTAGCCGTTTCGAAGACATGCCGCTCTTGAGCGCCGAGTGACACCAGAACCGAACCGCCGAAACGCCGTGCTAAATCGATAGAGCCAACGTGGTAATGCTAATGGACGCCGAAGGAGATAGACCCATGTCATATAAGCATCTGTAATTCGAAAGAGTCGCCAATGAGAAGCGAGCGAGGACGTGCATTTTAGATGCCCAAAGATCCCGGGAATGGATGATCGATGCCGGCGATCAGTGCACTAGGCACGTGCCTTTCATCTGCAGCCAGCGAGTCAGCACCAAGAAGTTGCATCTTGCGGAGGATTCTTCCAAGAGAGGCAGCGGGCGGCTGGCGTTGGCAGTCAGGCGACAGGCCTTCTTGCACCAGAATGGAGGACAAGGCGAGAGGTGATGCAGTGGTATACTGCTGTTCTTACTCACCTATGCTTTGGCTGTGCATGGCCGACACGTCTTGAGCTTGCAGTTCTGGCACTCATATATGAAGGAATGAGGGCCTGAATGGCACATGTTGCAGTTCCAGAGCATGATGGTGGTGTCGGACTTGATCATCTTGAAGTTGTGTTGGCAGTTTGCTGGGGCGGCCATTGTAATTTGTGTAGAGGGACCGTGTTGGACTCGACTCTGAAAGAACGAACGACTGAAAGCCTGTTAGAGAAAGGATTCGGGGGATGCTCTCGATATGTACTTTTGGGGAAATGATTGGGACTTACAGGGTTTTGGGGTGGCAGGGCAGAGGATGGGTTGAGACTGGCGTGGGGATGGCGCTCAACACCGAGGGTGGTGAGGGTGGATTTTGAATCGCGGGTGGTAAAAGCAAGCAAAAGCTAGACTGCACAAGGGAACAGGACAGAACTGGACTGCAAAGGGGTGCTGAAGGAGAGAACACTTGCTGGATGCTAATTTGAAGACGCTAATAGCGCGGATCTAGGTCCGTCTTATACTGATCCCCAGAGGACCCAGGACCCAGTGTGAAGCGACGTGGACTACGACCAGAGCTGAGTCCATGTCCACCAAGTGCGGTAGTGTACAACGCGCAGCAGCGTGCAGCCGTCTGGCGGTCTTGCTGCCCTGGAGGGTGAAGGTCGAAAGCGGATGGCTGCGGGACAGATGGAGCAACAGATACACTGTGGGTGTTACACGACGAGGCCGCATGCGAAGTGCCTCTGCTACTCCCCCAATATGAGGCTCCCAAAGTGAACGACCAGGTGGAGCTGGTCCAACACGGGCTGCCTGTTCCGCAGCCGCGGCCATGGTAGCATTTCTAGGTCGCGAAACCTTGTTGCAAGTCGTCCGTCGAGGGCGACGTGAAAGCTCCGAGATATTCTTCGAGGATAGCGCTGCCGAAATTCTATGTGTCACACGAAACCGTGCTGCAGGCCCGCCGGGTCATGATGGCATTCCCTGCAGCCCTTTTGCGACCGAGAAAAAGGCGTATCCAGGTGTGGGCGGCTGCCCCAGCGCCATCGAGGCAGCTTAGGGCCGACTGACGGGCGTCGCCAATTTGGTGTTTTGGCTCTCCTCCCCTCCTCCTCTTCCTCCCCCCCATGTCTATCGCGCTTCTCTACGAGCCTCTTTCTACGAAATTCTCTCTCTGTCTCTCTCTCTCTCTCCAAACTATCTCTCTACGACCTTCTCTACAAACTTGCCTCTGCGCTGCGAATCTTACCATGACAACTTCGCCCGCAGCTCGCTCGTAGGAGGGCCACTCGGTAGACAGGCGAGCCGCTACCACAGACAACCCCCCCTAGGCGGTCAGCCATTCACAGACACAGACAACCCAAAACGTCGCCATGCATGCGCCTCTAGACACGGTGCCTGCTTGCTCCACTTCGCCTTGTCTTCTTTGCTTCTGCTCTCGGTCGCGATTTCGGCCCCTCAGCAAACGGGGGCTCCCCTGCGCCATTCCTTCACTCGAGTAGCAGCCCTCCCCGCCTGTCGTGAGCCCTCCTCTCCGCAATGGCAACACACTGGGGCACAAACACGGACCCTGGCGACACCTTCGCCCTGGCCTCTATCGTCTTTCTCCTCTGCGCCTTGAAACTGCCGCCGGTAGCGGCTGCGGCCTGTTGCCTGTTACAGAACACGCGCAGCTAGGCACTGCAGGTGAGAGGAACCGGTCCCGCCTCCTGCACGATATCGCCCTCCAACCTGGTTCAGCTCGACAGCGATCGGTTCCATGCAGCCTCATCTCATGGAGCGCCGCCGGCGTCTGGCTCCAGCGCCGCACACCCAACCCGGCCGCTCGACACGCCTAGCTCAAGCCCCTGCTGCTTCCTTGGGGACGCATGCTGTTGCGAAAGCGGCAAGCCTCCCTCGGCCAAGGGCCAGAGGGTGTGCGGGAGATCCACTGTCGAATACGACGGCGTTGCTTGCTTCTGAGACGAACAGGATGGCGTACCGGCTCAGTATGTAACCTACCCCATCGAGCGAGGAACGTCTGCATAGATCTGTAGAATCACGGCCAACCGCGTCTATTGAAAAAAGGACCCTTGTCTATAATTTGAAGGCATTCCTGATCCTAGATGCGCGCTACCAGGAGAAGCTCGGGGGGGATCCTCGTAGAATGCGAATCCGCCCAACCAAGTCAAGCCAAATGAAGCTTTTCTCAAGATAGAAACCTTGCCATGTACGGAAAGGTTTCTAGTCACCCATACAACAAGTCTTCTTCGCCATCACTACTCCGTTTGATAACACTAGGTCGGTCTAGACGTCTGTAAGTTCTCGCGTCATCTCCAGCTTCTACAATGATTTCTCATGGCTAAGGAGTTTGGAAAGCACTAGTGAGGTTGATAGACTTGACCATATCGCCCGCTCAAGGCCCAGTCCTGCCTTGCCTTGTCTCCTTGTAGTGTACAAGGATGGCGGGTACGTACTGTCCCAAAGTGTACTTGGAGAGAGCTATCTTTGGAGGCCGTTCACGGGCCACTCTCGCCTGAATTCCCCTTGTTACACAGGATCGGTGGACCTGGCGCTCGGGTTCCACGAATGCAAGATCGGTGTCACCATCGATTCTGCCTGTGATCATGGCGCCCGTGCGGCGTCTCCCCCGGAGTGGACAGCTGCCGTTGTCCCCTGTCTGCTTTGCTACCGTTTCCGCTAGCTCCATCGCCCATCTCACCTGCCAAGCTTACTTGTCTTATCTCCACGCGACCCTTCGCAGTCCATGCTTCTTCTGAATAACTTCGATCGATCGGAGGAAGGGCAGTTGCTACAGGAGAGGGGCCGCCGGATCCTGATACCTGGTATGTGGTCCAAGATCATGGCAGCCAGACACTGCTGCAACGCGACTGGTTCATCCACCATGCGCCTCCCGAATGCATCAAATGGTCGCCGATACGGTCTTGCCCTCTGGGTGACCAACGTTTCTCTTAGATGCCTCGTCTCGTCAAACACCCACCCCTCCCAAGAGCTTCTCTGACCAAACATCAAAGCGAGGTATGATTCAGCCCTGTCACGGACAATGTCAAAATCACACCACCCACGACGCCGCACTGTCGACTATATCATCAGCGTCGTCAAAGATACAGCCAGTGTCGCCTACGCGTGATAAGGCGCAACGTTCCATCCGCGTCATCCTGTTCCTACAACCTTGAACCGGGTACTCGGATACGCACCCATCTACTCTTAGCACGGCCCTTGGCCTGCATGCCACATCGCCCGCTGCTGTGCATGCCGTTTTCTGTCATTCCCGGTGCCAATCCACGTACAGCATCTCCGTGGGGCATGTCTTTGGCCAGGGCACTAAGACGAGACGCCGGTATTTGGGGCCTATACTAGTGTCTGTGATGGACGTACTACTTGGGACCAATCAGGGTGTTCATTACTACTAGCCTTGGTAGCCTCTACCCACCACTTGCGGATCCGGAGGATAGAGTGGAATGTGATGTTCTGATTGCTTGCCTTACGGACCGCCTTTTGTCTCCTTTGGGATGCATTCAATAGCAGTACAAGCTCGGAGACATCCGACTATAGAGGGCAGCAGCGCTTGTGCCTTGTCACGTACCACGCAGACCCTTCCTACACTTCCATCTCATACAGATGGGTCTTCCCACATCGGCCATCAGGGTACGTACCTGAGAACGTCGCACCAACTCACCGCTCGGCCTCAAGTGCCACCTTGCAATTTCAGCGTATGACTGGCCACCATGATGACATCCACGTCAAATGCCTAGCTCGATGAGGCTGCGGGTGATCTACAGCTAAACTAGACCTTGTGGATCAATTTCCACTCAGCAACTACCTACTTCTGACAAGCACACCGATACCGCCCACCAACTTTAGCATGCCCGAAACATATAGAGATGAGTATATTGGTGGATCGAGGTTGCAACCGACGATGGTACCTTGCAGCTTGTGTGACTGATCTCGCAGATCTAGTTGGTGTTCTCGGGTGAAGGAAGCCTTCTCGATCATGACGTCGAAAATCAATTGGAGGGCGTTTTGGCCCGCGGAAGGGAAGCAGGACGACTATAGCGAGACCAAACATGAGCCGCCAATCGGATGACTTCCTGGGCGAAGCCATATGCAGGTTGAGTAACGTCCAGTCACAAGGTGATTCAATATAGGAAACAAGCGGTGAGCTTGTGTGACCATGGCTTGCAGCAGAACGAGGCTGACGACGACGAATCGTCACTAATCATACTAACATACAGTTACCAGAGCGAAAGCTGCAGGTATAGAGTGTCGATCCTATCCACCAACTGTCAGCGTCGAAGGCAACCAACCTAGTTTGTGTGCATATATAGGAGCTACGCACCACCTGTTGAACTTATGGCCGACCTTGTTCATGTGGCCTACTTCGTCGAAGCCATGCTTTACATAGAAGTCCCGTAGACCTAAGCCTCCTCCCCATGTCTTCTCGTCAACACTCATGCACGCCAGGAGCATGCGAACCTTGTCGTCTTCTTTTCTCGACACACTGACGTAGTCTGGGAACCGCTCCGGGGCCTTTAGAATCTCGATCAATTGCTGAAGCAGACGCGAACCAATGCCTTTCTTCATATGATCAGGGTGGCAGAACAAGGAGAGCTCAACGGTATGGCGATAGCCTCCTCGTCCTCCTCCACCTCTGAACTCACCAGCATAACCGAAGCCAAGCACATTGTCCGGGTCATCTTGTACGGCAACTAGATAGGGCAGGCCGTGGCTCGTAGCGTTGTGCCAGCTCTCGCGGACTTGATCACATGTTGGAGGCGTGAGGGCCAGTGTGATGACGGTGTTGAGAACGTAGTACTCGAGGATGGTTCGGATAGCGGGGAGGTCGGTTTTTCTGCACGCTCGAATGCGCATCGTGCCTTGAGTAAGAGTCATGACTGGCTGAGGCGGGTTGGCTGTGCTGTGGTCGCGTGCCAACTCAGCAGAGCTTGTAGGAGGCTTGTGGGAGGAGCTTGGAAGGGCATGTGAATGACAGCAAAGCAAGCTTGTCACGTCTAGTAGTAGAGGAGCCCATGACTGCGTGTTTTATATATATATATATATATCCCCTTACCAACTCCAGCAATCAGCAATGCGATAATTGCGCTTATCGAGGACCCGGCTGTTCTCTGGCGATCGCGAGTCAGGAACCGGTTGACCCTTCCGCTTTGGGATGTGGGGTGGTGACCGGCCAAGCTCCGAGCGCCGAATATATCCAAACTAGAATGTCGAGCAATTTTACCACGCCTCAACGGCCCTCAGCACACTTTGCTCACTACGAAAACGTCACTCTTCTCGGTCCGCCCACCATGCGTGGCGCCATTGTCTTCAGCGGGTCCTCGCACCCCAAGCTGGTCGAGGGCATGTGCGATCGACTGGGCATGAAGCCAGGCTCCGCAACGCTGGGCAAGTTCAAGAACGGGGAGACGTCTGTCACAATACGTGAGTATACTGTTCATACGCTTCCTTCACTCGCTAATCTAGTCTAGACACATCAATTCGCAACAAGGACGTCTTTATCGTCCAGAGCGGAAGCGAGAAGTGGGCATTCCAGCGTGTTTGTGCTTCAATCGCTAATCGCTTAGAATCAACGACTCGGTCATGGAGCTGCTGATTATGATATCTGCCTGCAAAGGCGGCTCGGCAAAGTCAGTCACAGCCGTCATGCCATACTTCCCCTACTCTCGCCAGTCCAAGAAGAAACAGCACCGCGGGGCTATCACAGCCCGCATGGTCGCAAACCTCCTCCACATCGCCGGCGTCAACCACGTAATGACCATCGACCTCCACGCTTCACAAATGCAGGGCTTCTTCAAGTGCCCGGTCGACAATCTCGTCGCCGAACCACTCCTCGCTCGCTGGATACGCGTCAACGTGCCAAATTGGAGGGAAGCCGTCGTGGTGAGCAAGAACCCTGGTGGGACAAAGCGCGTTACATCTCTGGCAGACGCATTGAAGCTCAGCTTTGGTATCGTGACGACGGACAGGCGAAGAGCCGGGACTGCAGTGCATTGGAACGAGAGTGCCATGTTTGAGCAGCTGAGGCTTGATGGCTCGTATGAGACGCCAGAATTGGTCCGAGCTGCTCTGGACGCCGACGCAGACACCACACCTAGCAGTAAACCCACAAACGACTCGAAAGCAGAGGCTGGAAAGCCAAAGCCGAACACTCGTGTGCCCTCAAATACACTGCAGCGACGAACAAACGGCCTCTCCGAGGCAGTCGGGAGCCCGTTATCGAAATCGATGCGAGCAAGCTCCATCATTGAACCAGAAGTACCTCTAGAGCCGATTCGAACCGATTTTGAGAATAACAAGGAGCAAGAGCTTGGAGACCAAAGCGCAGATGAGAGCGGGGCAGAGGAGTATACTGATGAGGTTTGTTGAACTACGTTCTGTGTGATAATTGGACTGGCTAACATTCGCAGCGTGCACGAAATGTCATCCACGGCCGTCTAGTACAAGGCCATATCGTCGACGACACACATCCCTCGCCCGCCATGTCCGCAACCTCACACTCGACTTGGCGAAACCGCCCACCGTCTGAAGGCGAGAATGATGACGTACCTGCGCACATGATGTCCTCCTTCATATCCACGGCTTCTTCTACACGCAACAAAGACACTGAGCACTCTCACGCCCTAGGCGGTACCTACGACGCCGCTGCCTCCTCTGAAGATGAAGAAGAAGACCTCAAGAACCCCGAACTCGAAACAATGGTCACCCTCGTAGGCAACGTCAAAGACCGCCCTGTCTTCATTGTGGACGACATGATGGACAAGTCTGCATCCTGGATCGCTGCGGCGGAGACCGTCGTCAAGCGCGGTGGGGCTACGAAGGTTTATTGCTTTGCGACGCACGGCCTGTTTGGAAGCGATTGTCTAGAGGAGATGAATAACTGCGATGTCATCGACAAAATCATCATCACCAATGCTTTCCCGATTCCAGAGTACAAGCAGGCCCAGGCGCGGGGAAAGCTGGTCATCATCAACGTGGACAACTTGCTGGCAGAAGCGATTCGGCGAAATCATCATGGAGAAAGCATGAGTCAATTGTTCATGCACTACGACTGAGCCAGGGGTAATCATAGCAAGGGACGAGAAAGACTCGACTTGGATTGTGCAATTAGCAAGGCGCTTGGGTATTGATATTGGGCACGGCGTTACTCGAGTTGGAACGTTGGAACCCTGAGCGGGCGACGGCGTCACGAAAAGTATAGGTATGTAGAACGAAGTTACGACGGCAGGCCATCTGTGAGTGTGTGGCTACGAGCAGAGTAAGTATAGGCTCAAAGACCACCTATTTCTAAACCCTATAATGCACCTTCCTCTTTCGTTGTTCCATCTTATCTCATCTTGTCTAATTTACCACTCTTTCCATTCTATTTCATCATACATCATACATCATCGTCCCCAACAAAGTATGGCTCATCGTCATTCCATCGTTGGTGCGGTGCGAGATGTACACCAACGGTGCAGAGGTCCGTCTCTGCAGGAGTCCCGTTTCTGCGTACGGGTAACTCTTAACGGAACGTTGGGAGAGTGAATTGACGTCTCTTTTCCAACATGTCCTGCCTTTCGCGACCTTTGCTCTGGCGGAGGTTGAAGAGAGGGAGGGCGAGGAGGGAGCCTCATACATATACCTAGTTGACTGCACACCAAGTACATGGCTAAATACACACTGAAGTACACAGAAACCGCACAGACAACCGTACGGAAAATTACATGCTCTACTACACGCTCAACTAAACGCTCAACTACATGCAACAAATAATCTAGCTTATCTATGATAACCACGTCCAAGTTTCAAGCATTATCGCATATTCCGTCTCTCTGGCTTTCTATCTTTTGTTTCGCTTCGCAGCTGCTGGTGTACCCGTGGCGGGAACTTCTTCCTATCTAGCTGGTACCGATGTGTTCCTCGATGCGCTCGCTGCCAAGCATGCTATTCGTGCATGGCAAGTTCGCGTTTAGCAAGATTAGGCGCCACATGGGGCGGGCAGAGTCAGCCCTGATGGAGTGGAGTATCTGCACGACTAGTACTCCTATGCGACCTACTCACCGGATGACGTTCGTTCAGCCCCCTGTGCAGCAGCCCGTGAATCTAAATCGCCTGCAGTGCGATCGGTTATAATGCCATGGACGCTACATTGTCGGAAGCAGTGTCCTATCGAGGTCGATCCCACTCACGCCTTGCAGGGTGACAAAAGGCGGCCTGCAGAAGTTTTGCAAACGATGGTTTTTATGTTACAGCCCCATGTAAAGTCTAATTTGCGCCACTGTGCTCCTAGAACTCGAGCGTAGGCTACGGGTTGGTACCATAATAGAAAAAGTGCGCGGCAGTGTCAGGGGATGGAACCAATCGCCGCGCGTAATACCTAGGTAATGACAAGGCACCTAGAGGGCATTGGATCGTCGGTGCCGCTGGCGACACCCGACCCTATATCAGCCAGTTTTGGGCCCTATATCAGCCAGTTCCTGGCCCTATATTAGCCAGTTTTTGGCTACACCATATGTCAGCCAGTATCTGGCTCACTCTAACACGTCAAAGAAATCTGTGGTGCACTGCTTCCTATTGCCCTAATCATGTTTAAAAAGACTACTCTCTCTAACAATGCTCTGTCGTACTTCAGCATCCCATCGCGTATTGGTTCTTGCCATTCGCAGCTGTGTCGTTCGTTGCACCTTCACTGTCCTAATACGCAGCCAGCTCTACTATCTCCCAATTGACTCGCATCACGTCACCAATCTGCCTTGACAACGTTCCACCCAGTCGATACGCCACTCCCATCCACGCTTACGATGCTAGCAGCGGCTACGGAAACTAGCGCCGCCCCAGTCGATGCCCATACAGCGTGGCGCCCAGACGGAGACACAGTCATAACAGTCATCGTTGGAGCCCTTGGTCTTGTCCTTGCTTTGATTCAAACGATCGTTGGGTTGCAGAATATGAACGCGCTTAGGGCTCGTACTCAAGGCGGAAGGCTGTGAGGTTCGTTATCACTTCATCGAGCTATGATTTCTAGGCTGACCGCCACACAGTTGCTCTGCTTTGCTGCAGAATTGAGTACGAATGCTGTTGTTTACTTCTTCGGGGTTCTTCTTCTTCATAGACTACTATGGTGGTGGTTAGTGAGCTATTGTAACATATAATCACTACCAAGTGGGTGGACTTGAAGATTTAGAGTGACATTGAAAATAGAATTGCTGTTACATTATGTATACATTGCGCGTTCGTTCTGTATGGTAGACTGACTATCGCGACATTGCACGTTATTAAACTCAAACATACTATTAAAGTTTCGCTTCCCATACCCGCACAGCTTATATGGTAGGTAGTGTTTAGTAGTAGTGGTGTTTATGCAGCCTCTTGTACTTCCATGCTACATGTAGCCTTTAGACTTTGAATTAGTGATGTTGACAAAGCGTATCTCGTTTGAAAGGTACAGTGTAGGCGACGGACACGCTCCCTCACATGTTATCCCGAGAAAAAAAAGTTTGCCACCTCCGCTTACTCTCGAGTCGAACAGGAGAACAGGAGAAAAGGACGAATATTGCAGAGGAGAGAAGCAGAGAGGAGCAGAGCAAAGCAGAGAAGAGCAGAGCGGAGCAGAGAGGAGCAGAGCGAAGCGAAGCGAGTATAGACTACTATCAACATAGCCGCAAATTTAGGTCAGCGAAGCTTGGTAATGCTAAGCGTCGTCAAACAAAAAACGCCCAGTCCCCTAATAGAGTTCCCGGCTAAGCTCTGTACGCAAATCTGGGTGTTGAATCACGTGTAACAGAGGTAGAAGGGGCATTAGAGACGACAGAGCTGTTCTGCTACGACACATTCGAAAGGGGCGTGGGGATCCTTTGTGTACATAGTAGCACCATTGATTACTTGCTACGGAGTATCCAGGAGGGTGGTGTACGCCATACAGGCAGTCAAACTACAAACAGATATCTCTCTCATAATATTTATATATCATAACATCCCTCTCATCCAATGCAAATCGACATAAGCGTTACTACCTAATTCTTCTCCACTGCCGTTATCGCCTTATCCCTCTCTGCATCAAAGAACAAACTTTCCCTCTTGACATCTGCTGTTGCTGCTGAGGGAGGTGGCGACGTCGCACCTCCCACCGTCCTGTCCTTCTCTCGCTTAAACTCTTCCGCTCGCTTCACATCGCCGGGCATTGGTCCTGCGCTGGGCGGTGGCGACGAAACAGGTGTCTTCGCGGTGCCCCATCCCTTGCGCTTTTCGCTGGCCCAATTGCCCCACGAGGAAAAGTAGGCGCCGGCACGAGTGCCTGCGGCGTGTATATTGGCTTGAGCGTGGGAGAGATCGGGGGCTTGTGCTTTCCCTATTTTCTGATTAGTCGTCACTCGAGCAGCAGTATAATATAAAAGTACTTACACTTCCTATCGTCGATGGGCTTCCCCTCCTTCTCGGCCTGTAGTCTCTGCTCCTCCTGCCTCTTCTTTTGCGCCTCACGCATAGCCTCCATCTCGGCCCACATGCGGTTATACGCCGAAGAGACCTTCTGCTGACCGACGGCGATCTGTTTTCCAATCACGTCTCTTGATTTCTCTAGGCGTTCGTCGAGATGCATTTCCGCTACTTGCCTAAGCGCCACGCGACTATCAGCACACAGACACCCAATGTCACCGTTCGAAATGTGGAGGAGGAGAAGAGACTGAAGGAAGGCTTAGTTGGGCTTGGGACGAAGGAAACAAGGACGAGACGTACTGTGCAAGTCTGCGCTGAACATCCTCGATTGACAGGCCGCCGGAGCAGGGGTGCTTGGGATCGACAATGTCGAACAGGTGCGAGTCGGTGAATTTGTTCCATATTCGGAAGTTTTCGGTTTGCATCCAGGCGTGTACCCAGTCGTTCGAGAATTCGCTCGCTGGCTCCCCTTCGACGTCCGTGATCAGGTTTTCTTTGTGCGCGTTTTTCTCAATGTACAACTTGTACTTGACTGAGCTGAGCATTGCGAGGAGATACTCCTCGAATTGCATACGAATAAACTCCTCGCTGCCAGCGTAGCCGTGGTCTTTGGGTCGGACGGGATTGGACTCGTCCCATGTGTCGTTTACCGTCTGCGTTAGAAAGTCTATCCACCTGCGATCGGGTGTGGAAAGTTGGGAGGCCTGGCGAAGTGACGCCGAGGTGATGTTCACGGTATGTTCGTCGAGGTTGACAAGGATGTCGCTATATCGATCCTTTTGCTGCAGTAGTAATGAGTTTGTGGAGCCAACGATATACGATTTGGTATCTTGATCAGCCAACATATCAAGCTGCTGAAGCGGGGTATATGGTCCAAAAAGCGAGCCTTTGCCAAAGAGTTGAAGCGGAAGGCCCATGTAAGCAAGCACTTCTGGTTGTCAGTATATTGATATCTCGATATGAGGAACACTGACATGAACTTCGCTCGGATGTTTTTAAAGAAGTAGGCATGACAATCTTTTCCTCGCAGGAGTTAAACTTGGGATCGGCAGCATCTTGGAGGTGGCGAGTAAGGCCGGGTATCAGAGAAATAAGAGCAAACTGCATCATGCATAACCGTTCGCAATGAGAGCCAAAGAAAAGGACCTGATGATTATTAGCTTCTTATTCTTGTTACCCCTTCTCAATCTTCCGCGATCGACGGTAGCACGGTACCTTTGGTTGAAGTAACGCGCACTTGAAGAGCACAAGCGTCTGCCACTTGAACTCATGTATGAACTCGCGGAGGGATATACCAAAGTAGTGATCTGCCTGCCCCTCCTGATTCTTGAGTAGTTGAGGTAGGCTCTCCTGGAACCGCTGCAGTATCTCGATGTCTGTGAAGTCCCTACGCAACGTCAGCGTCGTGCTTGATTTATCCTTCAATCCCATGTTGGTCCACATCAATCAAGTCCACCACCTCTTTCATTTCAGCCCTCAGCCATCGCCTCGACCCTTCCTGGTCGTTTCTGTCACGTACCTCTGCGCAAACCAAGCCGCAACAACAACCCCCAACTGCGCCTTGATCGCGCCAAAATGCTGCGGGCTATCACTAATCACCACCACCGCCTTCTGCACCGTACTCCTCGTGACCTCCGCGGGCCGATCAATCAATTTACTCGCGTCGAGTTGGCGCGTGCACGATATGCCGAAGAGGGACGTAGCGGGGTGGGTAGGCGTATGCGACCGACGGAGCGTGAAGTAAGAATAATCTTCTACGGAGCTATACGTCGCGCGTTTGTGTTAGCGAACGATGGACGTTGGATGGCGAACGAGAAAGTGGCCAGGGGAGGGTGCTATGGGGGGATAACGTACGCGTGCGCTCCATCGCTCAATGCCATGAAGGGTAGCAAGGACCACTCGTTGTCGGTTGCGGGATCGGTGCCTTCTTCTGCGCCTATCCAGGTCTCTACCTCTGGGCCTCTGTACGATATGTTAGCTTCATGCCATACCAACAACTACCCGTCCACCATCCACTGCCCACCCTCTATGCCTCGCCAACACTTCAAATGTTTGTAGTGCACAGCCCGTCGCAACACTAGGTCGAGGAGCAATCAACGAGGGAGAAAAGCTTACCGCGCATGATGGAAATCCACGATACAAACCAGCGGATTGAGCGCCGCCATCTTTGATGCTGATTATTCCTCCCCTCTATCTTAGAAATAGCGGAAAAACAAAGAAGGGATGAGGGGAAAGTCCATGGAGCCAGGCTCGCGTCCTTCGTCATGGCGGGACGCGCTGTTGGCGGTGACGAAAGGGACGGTCCTTCAGCCTTACGGGGCTAGGCTGCTTTGAGGTCGGCGCCTCGGCAATCGGGAATAAAATGGCGATCAGGGTTAGCTACCAGGAAAGTACATGGCGCACCCAGGTTGGCAATACGGGGGTGGGTATCTGGGGATTATTGTGGGCAGTTACATGATATGATATGAAGTAATACATCTTCAGTTATATTCTTTGCGTTCAAAAATGGGACAATGCATCCTTGATGGTTTCATTCCAGTTTCTTACCTAGGGATGACTGTAGCCTCCCACTCGCATCATCACCCGTTACCCTCTGTGTACCAGCAATGGGAATTGAGGACTTGAAGACAGACCCATAGCCCCATCTACCCGCGCACACATGTTGTTATGAAATGTTGTTATGAGGAAACCCGAACTGCCTAACCAGGCAGATCATACAACCAGACTCAAAGCGAGAGAGCCTTTGCCACTATCAGTTAAACGAACTTCTATCTGACGAGTTCTTCTTATCATCAGCTTCCGTTCTCTTGCTCTTGTGCGGCGGCATCAACATTGTGGTAGTCGAGGATCTCCGAGTACCTATAGTGCGTTAGTATCCTTTTTCATGCCTAGTTACCGGCGGCAGTATCTTACATCATGATTTTCCAGGTATCAACGGGAAGATCAGCATCGTTGAAGGACCAGTCGAACTTCTCCTCTGCGACTGGCTCGTCGGTCGGGTCGTGGTACGGGGCCAGGTACGAGTGGGCGAGAGCCTCTTCCGCTCGTACGCGCTTCCTGGGGTCGAAGACCAACATGTTCTCGAGTAGATCGACGGCTGCAAGAATTAGCGAGTAATCCAGGTTGAATTCGAAGAAAAGGACATACCAGCGGGCTCTGCGTTCTTGAACTTATTGGCTAATGGTATCCGCTCGCGCTTCGGCAGTGACTGGACGAATCGCAGTGTCTGATCTCTTTGTTAGCAAATGTGCGCACGTCTGTCTAGGATGGCTAGCTCACGTTCTCACTGCAGATGGTCTGGATAACATCATCTGGAGGAGTGCCCAGCAATTCCGTGATGATGGAAAACTGGTTCACGTGGTCCTTTCCTGGGAAGAGGGGCTTGCCCTCGAGCATCTCGGCGAAAATGCATCCTGCACTCCAGATATCCACTTCAATGTCGTACTTTTGCCATGTGAGCATGATCTCGGGGGCTCGGTAGTATCGGGTGGAAACATAGCCCGTCATCTGGGGGTCTTGTATACGCGCAAGGCCGAAATCGCAGATCTTGAGATCGCAATTCTCGTTTACGAGAATGTTGCTGGGCTTTAGGTCGCGGTGGACGACACCGGCGGAGTGGACGTATTTCAGACCACGCTTCTCGAGTCAGCCAAAAGTCTCCATTCTCGCAGTGTTTTTGCCACGCACCAAAATCTGATAGAGGAAGTACTGGATGAACTGCTTCTCTAGCGGCCTGGAGGTGAGCAGGCGGTGAAGATCGGTTCCTAGCAACTCGGTGACAAAATAGCTGGTTGAATTAGCGTTTGGGGTGGAGATGGCTGGAGGTGGGGATGCCTACATGTCTTCTAGCGGGGAGATGAAGATGTCGCTCAAGCTGATAATCTACGCCGCAAGGTCAGGTCAAAATCGCATCACCAGAATGGGAAATGCCCACATTCTCGTGTCTGAGATGCTTCAAAAGCTTCAGCTCTCGGTATGTGCGCTTGGACAGGACCGGAGTGCTGAAGGGCTTCATGATCTTCTTGATGGCCACGGCCTGGCTAGTGAGTTGATCCTTGGCCGAGCTGTTGGTGATCAGTATGCGATGGCAGCGTGGTCGCGAGGACGAGCATACCAGACAAGGCCAAAGGCGCCCATGCCTACGGGCTGCAGGTCGGTGTACCTGGGCGACGTCAGCTGTGTCAATATGGCAATGTGGGGTATCTCCGCACCTGCTGGTGATCTCAAACGTCGTGCCGAAAATCTGAGCGCGGACGAATTCAGCCATGGTGATCGAGGGGGGTGGCTATGGTGCGACTGGCGCGGGTGGGAGTGTGTTTGTCGAGGAGGCGGTGGTGGTGTGGGTGTGGCCAGGAGAGTCGCAGGCTCGACGAACAGGTTTGCTCTGCGGACGACCTAGGGCAGGGCAGCGTCTCGGATCGGTGGGCGGTTCCGCGGGGGTGCGATTTGACAGCCACCACTTCAAGTCAAGCGCTGCTCCAGACGACGGACACGGATTGCACAGGGGAAAAGTGAATTAGAAGCCGCTGGTGCACGCTGATTGCTTCCTTTGACGATGGTGACAACAAACGCGCGGGTTCGGCGAGGAGAACCGAGAGGCCGATGTTGGGCGACACCAGGATGCACGCAGCAGAGATCGAGGCTCAACGCGAGAATGTGGCGACGGCGCAGATCCCTACTGGAACAGGCGACGACGAGTATTTATATCAGGGCAGAGGGTGAAGGGAGAGGAGGGGCAGCAGGACGCATACAGCATACGGAGAGGTGGTTGTCTTGCAGGCCCGCCTCTGCCAACACTGGCAGGTTTCAGCGGATTTGGCCTGACGTCACCAGTGCACATTCGAGTTTTCCATGAGCGCCCGTGCAGGCTGGGTGTAGAACTGAAGAAAGGTGATCGTATTGATAAATGTTCTATATGTGGGGGGAAGCTATGTTTATATATAAAGGGGAGTAAAACTAGAGTAAGCTAGTCTATATGCAGACTAGTATATTAGGCACATAATAAATTACGTGTTAGAAATTTAAACTAACAGCCCCCTTAAATCCTAACACGGGATAAAATATAAGAAAAGAAAGGATAGCAGCTTTATAGTATTATACTATAGTAAGAATACTCTATATTAAAGTTATAGTCTGTACGCTGTTTGCTATAGTAAAGCTATGTAAAATTATAGCTATATACTTTTTTTTTGTAATTGTAATAGTTATAAATTCTAATATAGTTAAACTATACTTTTATACAGTTTTCTGTAATATTATAAGTAGTATAAAGCTATTTAAGCTTTAAAATTTAAATACGTTTAGCGTTTTTTTAAGCTTGCTCCTGCTATAGCATATATATAATAAAGTACTGCTCTGCTTTGTAAAGCTTATAGTTATAAACAACAGCATTGTTTATATTTGTACTAAGTAGGTTAAAAATAGCGCTTATAGCAAGTGCCTAGTTAATAAAACTAATATTCTAGCAGACTACTTTAAATTTAATAAGGTCTAGAGCTTTTATAAGCATATTAGCAGGATTTTTTTTACTGCTAATCTATTTAACTGTAATAAAACCCTATTAAATATAATTGCAGAAAAAGTAGTAATAAAGGTTAATATACTTGCTGCGTTAATAAAACTCTAAGTTTTTAGCAAGCTTAATAGCTAATTAATTATTAACGTGTATAGGCACTGTGTTAAAGTAAATGCCTGTATTAAAGTTATTAATAAACAATTTAATTTATATAGCTTTTTTTATAGCTTTACTAAAAGCTATGTATTCTGCCTTGCATATAGACTAGGCTACAACTTTTTATATAACAGATAACTATAAAATAAGACTTCCTGCTAGTATAAAAATATAGCTAGTAGTAGAATATTAAAAATTAGGATATTTAGCTTAGTTAGCGTTAACATAGCCTAAAAGCTAAAGTTCCTGCTTTTTGTATATAATGCTAACTTTGCAAGTACTATTTATATAGGCGTATACTCTAATTATTGCATCTATGTAATACTATATTAAATTGCTATTAAAACGTCTATAAAAGGACGTAGCGTAAGCTAGGTTAACGCGCGTTATAACTAGCAGGTAGTTAAAAAAATTAAACTTTTAAAAATATTCTTTTTTAAAGGCAGGGGTAGCAACGTTATTATTATTTTATTTTAACTTAACGCGATAATTATACAAAGTCTTAGTAGCAGCTATATTGCTAAAATTGTAGTAATTAAAAAGTTGCTAAATATATTTAGCTTAGTAAATTTTTGTTATATCTATGCCTTGTTTAATGTGTATTTCTAAATATAAAGTATTAAAGTTTTCTAACGTAATAGTAAAGGCGTTAGATAGTTTACTTTTAAATATATTAATACTATTTTAGTGTAGAGCGTAAATGCAAATATTATTAATATAGACTAAGATAATTAGCTTCTGCGCAGTATGTATGTAGACGCAGTTGTTATAGAATAAAATACAAAAGCTTATTTGTATAAGCTTTACTATAAGCGTTTTATACTATGCGCAAGGCGCTTATACAAGCCTATAAAAAAACTTAAGCAGTAGCTATATATAGCTAGAAAGTAGCGTTACTAGAGGTAGCGGTATATAGTAGACTATTTCTTAAAGTGTAGTATTAAGAAAGGCAATAGTAACATTAATTTATATACTTGTTTATTTAAGTAGTATGCAGATAGCAAGTAGCGTGCGTATAAACATAAAGCAAGCTATAAAAAAGAAGGTTTTAGTATAATTAATACTAGAATACTATTAGAAACTGCAAGCGACAAGGCGTGCCTTAAACTTAGTAATTCTACTAGTTAGTATAAGCTTAACTTTATAAACTATTTTAGTAGAAATAGTTTTCTTACTTTTAAGTAAAAAAACTACTTTATAAACGCCCTTTTTAAGAAGCGAATTAAGTTCTTTTATTATTACATTGCGCTATGCGCCTGCCTTAGGCATTATTATAGCTTTTTTATAATTGCGTAGTGTGCAAATAAAAAATGCTATAGTAGCTGCAAAGGCAAGCTAGTTATATATGTCTTAAAAGTCTTTGTTAAGTTGCATATTATTTCTTATAATAAGTAAGTTTGCAAAATTACTATTAAGGCGGTTGTTAATAGTAATGCTTATATCTAAAACTTGTTTAAAGTTGTATGCAGAGAGAGCAAACTAGTTAGCTTAAAAAAAGTTTTTATTAAGTATATTTTTATTAAATGCGTCGGCATTATTAGTATCGCGAGGTTTTGTAAGTTAACTGTCTTTTATAAGTACTTAAAATCTAAATCTATGTCCCTTGTATTCTAGATTATAAGTAATAATAAATATTGTATAATTATAGCTATAACTATTAGGCTCTTTGTAGACTGTATATGCAGCTTTTTCTTTAACAGTAAGGATATTATCCTCTATCTTTATTATACATATCTGATAGCGTTTATACACATGTAAATGTCCTATTATTATATACTATAAGTATAGGTAACTTCCTGCACAGCTTTGTCTAGCAGACTAATAGGCTATGCAGACGCTAAGTTTAAGGTAATTAAAGTCTCTATTAGGGTAGTAGGCTGTTTATATAGTATTATTATTACTATAGCGTTTATATAAAATGCTACTATTTGTGCAATATAAGCAGGGAATAGCTTAGTTATACTTAAAGTTTGTTCTAATATAGCAGTTATAGGGATTATTGTTTTTATTAGTGAGAGCTGTGCATGTATTGCTGTTTGCAATATATATATTGCATAAATATTAACTATTATATTATAATAGCCTAAGTATCTGTTTGTGCTATTAAGATTGCTTTTTATAGCCTTAACACGTAGCGCATTGCTACTTTTTAGGTAGTATCTGCAGCGCGTATATTTGTACTAGTATATAGTTTAAATACTTATTAGTTATAGTATAGTAATTATATAGAAATTTTGTGCATATTAAGGCCTTTGTAGTTTTTCTATATTATCTGCAGGAGTTCTAAACACGCTGCTGCTCTTTTATTAAAGATAGAATGTACCTGCCCTTTCTTTTAATACACTAATTGCATTTTATATTATTGCCTAAAGTTAAGTATTTCTTTTATTGTTTAAAATAATAGGTGCAGATATTATTAATAGGCTTAGTAATTCTAAGTAGCTTAGACAGATTGTATTTTCTATTGTTGCTACTGCTTACTAAGCTATAACTATCCTTGTCTAAAAGTTATTATAGTTCTAGAAATATTTTTTAGAGCATAGGATTAATAGGTAGTTTGTAGCTAGCTATAGCAGTGTTACTATTACTAAGCTAAAGCTATAAGTTAGGGATAATATTTTTAAGCAAAGCATTATTACTATTATTAAAAAGGCTAGATAAGCTGTTTCTGTTGCTTTTATTAGTAAGATTAATAGTTATATCTTTGTCTAGGGAAGTGTTATTATTTTTATTAGTAAAGTTAATAGTTATACGTGTCTGCACAAGTGCATTTAATAACTATATAGTATTATTAAAATATTGTATAGTTAGTTGCAGGTTAGACACAATATTATAAAGTAGTTAGTTTATAGAGTAATTCTTAGAGGTGTGTGTTCCTAGAATCTAAAAAAGCTCTATTTGTTTATTTAAAAAACAAAGTTTTATAACTTAAGTAAGTTTAGTGCGTAAGCTTATACTTAGCAGCTATTTTCTTTTTGCCTAGAATTAGGTTGCCTATTAGTAATTAGGCGTATAAAAGTAGGGTAAGACAATAATAGGGATAGAGAGTAGCGTGTTTAGATATTATTAGTATGCTATCCTTCTAAACTATATTAATAGTGCTAGTATATATACTAGTAATAAGTTTAGTCTTTCTAAAAAACAATCTTAGCGTTGCTAGTAATAATAGTTAGTCTAAGTAATGCGCGTAAAGTTTTATGCATATATTACTTTTTATACTTACTTTATAAAGTTTTTATTATTAGAAGATTTATCTATAAGGGCAGATAGTACAAAAAAATAGCTATTAAAAGCAGACATAGCATTATTATTACTATTGCTATTATTGTTGCTGTCTAAGTTAGGTGCTGTATTTAGTACCTAGATAGGTTCTTATAGTGCGCAGTTATTAATATACTAACTATAAAAATAAGTATTATTTATGCTAGTCGTGTTATTAACGCAAGCTATAAAAATGCGCCTAACTTGTTTAATATTAGAGTACTAGACTTAGCAAATATTTTTGCTGTCTGCGCACAGAAAATGTGCAATATATCCTTATAGAGAGTAAAGCTTCTGTTAGCTAACAGTAACGCGGAGTTTAGAAGGCGTAGTAATATAAACTTATGTTTTTTACGCATTATTTTTGCTAAAGTTAGGCTTTTTACTATAAAGGGCTTTATAAAGAGTTTTTTTGTTTAGTAGTACTTTTATAAGAGCTTAGTTCTTTTTATTAACAGCTTCTTAAATAGTATATATCTAAAGACTTTCTAGTAATATAGTACTACGCAGTGTCTCTTTAGTGCGGTTAATAATAGATTTAGTTATATTAAAAAAAGGCGCAAAGTTTTTAATTATAGCTAAAAAGCATTCGCGTATAGTTTAATAAAAGTGTTTAATTGCGCTAACTATATAGTAGGCATATAAAGCGCTAAATTTAATAGTAATGCCTTTGCTATTGCAAAAGGCCTAAATAAAGTATTATAGAAATTTGTTATCGCACTATATACAAATAATAGGTTTGCTATATTCTATAAATATGCAGGTAATAAATGTAGTAAAAAGCTTTATAATTTTATTTTTAGTAATAAACAGAACAACCTAAGTAAATTAGGTAGCGTCGTTAATAAAGAATAGTGTATACTTTTTGCCTTTTAGGCCTAGGACGGGGTATAGTCCCTATGTATTTATAGTAACAAGTTACCTAAACTTTTTATAGTAATAGCAGGCTAAATTACAAGGAATTTTATAAAGTGCGCAAGTAGTATAGCAAATAGAATAAACATCCTTAATTTTAGCTTTAATCTGCGCATCTGTAATTTTAAGTTTTTTACTTACTTTAAACAGTATTTATATACTATTAAAGCTTAAATAACTAAGACAACAATATTCTAACTAGACTAGGTTATTAAAGTTAACGGCAGCAGCAGCAACAGGAAGCGCAAGTAAGCGCTAAAACTAGAGTATATAAATATTTGCTTAAGAGTAAAGCAGGGTATATGCAAACTCTACTTTAGTATTTTTCCTATATATTTTTATAGCAGCGCCTATAATTATAATAATAAAGTTTAATTGTATAAAAAGCAATAGGGATAGCAGGTTGCAGTGTGCCTAAGGGGCATATTATATATTATATAGTTTAAAAATAGCAGATTTGCTATCTGTATTAGTAACAACAAACTTAATATTGCCTACGCTAGCAATGTTAAGTTAGGATTTTTATTTGCATTTTTTAATAATTTCTCTATAAGGCTTAAGCTTGGAGAAGAAGGATAAGTTATTAGTAATATAATAAAAAGCACTACTATTATAGATTTAATAATTAAAAAAAATTAATAGTATTAAAACTGCATATATAGTTTATATAGATAATTTATTAATTCTATCTAAACTCTATGTACTTTAACTATTGCTATCTGCAATAGCCCTTCTTGCACCTGTTTCTAGCTTATATCTATAGTTCTATTATATATTAGATATAAAAAAGTAGTTAGGAGTAAAGTATATACATTTAAAGTCTAGAATGCAAGAAAGATTAAAATTAAAATTATTAGTTACTATTGCGATTATACGCTTAAAATAGAAATTATTAGTAATAGTAAAATTAAAGTTATAACCCTTACTTGCACTTTTAGTATTTTTAGTATTTTTAGTATCTTGTTGCTTTTTGCAATAAGTAGCTTTAATATATCTAAGTTTACTATATTTAGTACACTTAGGAGTATTAGGCTTGCTAATATAGCAACAGGTTTTAATAGTATAACTAGTATAGCTATAGTAACTGCATATAAGGCTATTGCTTGTATTGCAGTTGCTGTTCTTATTATTATTATTATTTTTACTTTTTCTATTGCTGTTGCTTTTGCTGTTGCTGTTAGTATAAGCATTAGTAGTAGTATTATTAGACTTATTTTTAGCAGTGTTCTAGGCATCTTTATAGTTATTAGCGTACTTAGTAATAGAGTTCTAGTAATCTACTTAGGTTTCTTAAATAATAACTTTCTTCTTAGAGTAAGAAAGGTCCTAGATCTTAATAAAAGTATAGTACTATTATAAGAAAAAAATTTTGTTAATTTTGTAGATTAAAATAGTGTAAGTAAAAAAGCTTTTAGTAGCGTTAATATCTTTATAATAGCGCTTAAACTTAGCAAAAAGCAGGCAGATAGCAGAAAAATCTATAAGTATAAAAGCGTCTAGCTTTACTTTAGTGCAGTAAACAATAACTAGATCTAGGGTCTAGTACGTTTTAGTAATGTTAGCTTAGGCTATATAAGGCTTCTTTTTCTATTTATTATTAAGTTTATTTTAAATATAGTCTTCTATAGCATTTTTAAGAAGATAAAGGGCAGTAAGTAACTTTTTATAATACTTATTATAAAATTAGAGCTTAAGCTTATAAATCTTAAGCTTAGCCTTGTATTTAAATTAGGCAGTATTATTATTATTACTAGGCAAAGTAATAATGCTAAAAAAAGAGTGTTAACTTTTAAAAGGTAATATTATAGCTCTAAACGTAGTTTTAGTGCGTAGAAAAATAGGCTTAATAGGCTTAAAGTACTAAACTATAGAGCTATTATAATAGTTAAGTAAGCTTTATTAAGTAGCAACTTTTTTAAAAACGCGCTCCTATTTGTAAAAATTGTTAGAACTAGTTAACTTAATAAAATTTTTGCTAAGCGCCTGCTTAGTATTAACTATAAATAAAAACATATCTAATATTATACTATACTTAATATAGTAGTGCTTTAGTAAGTTAAATAGACGCAGTAGTTTTTAGGCGACGTAGTAGTTAAGTAACTTAAGTAAGTTAATATAGATACTATAGTTTTAGGGTTAACTTTATAGTTAAAAAGTAACTAATATAGTTGCGCAATAGTAGCGCAAAAAAAGTATAGTTTATTATAGCTAAACTGCGCGCAAGTGCGCAAAAAGGCTTATAATTTATAAAACTAAAAAAAAGTAATTATATTAATAAATGTTTTATATATAAGGGGAAGCTATGTTTATATACAGAAGGGAGTAAAACTAGAGTAAGCTAGTCTGTATGCAGACTAGCGTGTCAAGCACATAATAAATCACGTGTTGGGAATCTAAACCAACACTGGGCAGCACTGAGTGTACTGATGCTGTGCTGTCTGCAAATACAGGGGGGTTTATGTTATCTACATGATACTTGGTCTTTGTATGCTGTCAATGACCCTTTGGCTTCAGCCCCCCTCTCTGCTGCTAGCGCTCTGCTGCATTGCTTTGCTTCTTCCTCGTGGCTGGGGGCTCGAGCGCCACACTGGTAATGGTAATGCCAACGGGGCCATCTGGCTTGCACCATGGACGTTTCGAGTGGTACTAACTTGGCTTCTCTGATACAACAAACCATCATCAGTGAAGCGAGGAGGATTCTGCTGCTGACACGCTTCTATTGTACAGACAAAATGCGCTACCGAATGCAGCAGCTTGCAAACTGGCAATTTGGACTGGTCGTCAGTCAGGCACAACGTGGCACTATCCAGCATTCTTCACCTAGGGCCAAGCCGTGCGACGTGTAGTTGTTCGGCTTGGTGAGCAGAATCGCCTCCAAGTGGTATACAGGTGGTATATACATTGTACGGAACCCCCTGGACCCGAGCGACGGCTGGAGAACGTGGCATCGACAGCTGACAGATGTGGGGTCCCCGGGGGGGGGGGGCATGTAAATAAAGGAGCTTCGTTGTGACGGCCTGTGGATGTTTCTGCTTGCATAATACTGCGCTGCACGACATTAGAACGCATGGCAAAGGCGACATCGATTGCGAAGGCGGAGATTGGCGTGCGGAAGGGTTTAATGAGGGTCGTTCGGGGAGCGTGTGGGCCTTAATTTAGACGGCACAGCACCGCCAGCTGCTTCGACATGCTGCTGATGATGATGATGACAATGTGAAGAAGATGCCATCTCGTATGCCGCGGATAGACTTCCCGAAATCATCTCGTGAAGCAGGACAGACGCATGGTCTACCAATAACGGGTCGAGAGTGTGCCCTTGAGCTTCAAGGTTCTATAGGTGTAGCTTCACGCTCCAGGGCAGTCGATGGACTAGGCTACCATAGACTTCAGTCCAGTGCCACTCTACTCATCTCTCCGCTGTGCCCAAACAAACCCTCGCCACACATCGCCCGCGGCTGCGCTGTTCCGTCTGCTGGCTCGTGCCGTTGGTCTGCCGCTCGCTCGCTGCTGCATCCCGCTGAGGTGAATTGCATGAGGCTTAGCAGCTCCCAGAGACAGACTTCCCGTCGCGGCACTGCTCGACCACACTTGCACTTCACAGACACTGCGTCAAGACCACCCTCCATCCATCATCCATCTCCGTCACACTGTGCCAGCCATCACCGACGACCCGCTGTCCTAAAAAAACGCGCCATCCTATCGCGCGCTTGAGCTCTGATCTCCCGTCTTCCCTAGTTGACGAGCAAGGTGCGCCTGCCCGCACAGGCCCTCTGGGAGCCCCATGCTCTCCGACCTGCGCGAGTCCACCCTACGACACCAACCAGCAGCACGCTTCCCATACCGAACCCGCCCTTCATCACCGCCAACCCACCACGCCTCCATTGCTCCAGCAGCCCACGACGCTGGCGCCCCCGACCTGCGCCTCACCCCGCTGCGAGCCCCTTCTTTGACGAGCGCTGGCCCTCGGATCCAGCCGACGGAAGCGTCAACACCGCTCGAACACGGCTGCAGCGCTGCACCGTCACGCCGCCATCCGGACTGAAACGCTGTCTCGCCCCGCCGTCGACGCCCCCAGACGACTCCCTTGCGACGCGCTGAGCCTAGCGCTCTACCATTGTCCCACGCCGACTCCCAACATCGCCCGCGGCCGCGAGCCGCATTAAACGCCAGGCACCATGGGTATCTGCATGAGCAACACAAACGACGATGTCGAGCAGAAGAAGCGCAGCCAGGCCATTGACCGCAAGCTCGAGGAGGACTCGCGCCGGTTACGGCGGGAATGCAAGATCCTCTTGCTGGGTGAGCTCCTCACATAGCACCTTTGCTCGTGCTGACGACTGCTAACATGCCACGCAGGCTCTGGCGAGAGCGGCAAATCCACCATCGTCAAGCAGATGAAGATCATCCACCAGAACGGCTACACGCAGGACGAACTCGCCATGTACCGCCTCACCATATACAAGAACGTCATCGACTGCGCAAAGGCCCTCATTGGCGCCATGCGACAATTCGACATCACCACAGAGAGCCCTGGCAACGACGAGTACTGCAACTACCTGCTGGAATACACAGTTGACCCAGACCCAGAAAAGCCGCTCCATGTGCGGGTAGGTCAGGCCATCACATCCATGTGGCGCGACCCTTGTATCTCCAAAGTGCTGGAGCACTCGAGCGAGTTTTATCTGATGGATTCAGCGCCATAGTATGCCGTCCCAGCTCATACCAAGTGATGACGTACTGACGGTTGCAGCTTCTTCGACGAAGTAGAACGAATAGCAGACCCCAACTACATTCCCATCGAGTCGGACGTGCTGCGAGCGCGTACCAAGACTACCGGTATCTACGAAACAAGATTCACCATGGGGCAACTAAGCATCCAGTGCGTGCGCTCCTTCAGAACAAGCCTCAAATTCTTTAGCTAACATGAAATAGCATGTTCGACGTAGGAGGCCAGCGAAGCGAGCGCAAGAAGTGGATACACTGTTTCGAAAACGTCACATCCATCATATTCTGCGTCGCATTGAGCGAGTACGATCAAGTCTTGCTGGAAGAAAGCTCACAAGTAGGCCCCCCCAGCTAACACGCTAGTCTGTTGTCTGTCACTGACTCGGGCACTTAGAATCGCATGATGGAGAGCTTAGTCCTCTTTGACTCGGTCGTCAATAGCCGTTGGTTCATGAGAACTAGTATTATTCTTTTCCTGAACAAGGTCGATTTATTCAAGGCGAAGCTTGCGCGATCCCCCCTCGGCAATTACTTCCCCGACTACTCTGGCGGCAACGATGTCAACCGCGCTGCCAAATATCTGCTGTGGAGATTCAATCAAGTGAATCGCGCACATCTTAATCTATATCCTCAGTAAGATGCACTTGCTCCACCGTTTGGGTTACGGTGCTGACCTCTTTAGTCTTACACAAGCCACCGACACATCGAATATTCGACTCGTTTTCGCCGCCGTCAAAGAGACTATATTACAGAACGCACTGAAAGACTCGGGCATCCTATAATCGTCCTAGGCCGCTACCGGCCCTACACCTCGACCGCTGTGAATACCCGACCTCCATCTACACCTACATAATACACGAGCCCTTACGATCATTTTCCCCGTCGTGCTACTTTTGATGCACATTCTCGGTCACGAATAGGGGTTTGGGAGATATCATTGCCTCTAGCCATTTACCAGAGCGCAGCATTGGAGTTCTCGGCGTTCAAAGATTCCCTGGGGATTGTCTTTTTCTGGATGGTTGCCAACATTATTACCCTTGGGAGTCGGTTTGTTGTTAGTCACTTTCTTGTTTGTTTTTGCATGTTGCACCTTTCCTATTTGTTAACTCTATGGTCTGAGAAAAAGTTGGTGAGGGGCAGACCCTCCTACATACTGCGATCTTATTTGTGGGACTTGTACGCTATAGTCTCTCTTTACGATGTCTTTGTTTTCCTTCCTCCCACTTCCGACCAAGCTACCTGCAGCGTTTCAACCCTCGGCTCCAGCCACTCCGTCGTTCGAAAGTCGCTTGCGGACCAGTACTTTCGAACCTCCTCGACCCTATCTCAGACTCTTTCAGAGTTCGGCACCACTCCACGATCGAATTCATCTTCATCACTACCTTATTCGGCTCGTCTTTTTGATTGTTTGGTGCAAATTTACCGCTCGCTACACCTTGTGGACATGCGATTGGCGAGCAATGCTTGATCTGGACGGGTGAAGTTGGCATCATTCTGCTCCGTTGGATCTAGAGCAGGCTTTGGATACATGACTATCTTCAACGGAAAGCGTGAACATAGGAGCATTGATAGTGACGGGACGTTTGTTTGTTGAGTAGGAAGACGGGCAACGGAAGAGCTTATTCAAAGATGTGCATTTCAAACTCTAGTCCATTCAACCGTGAATCGCTGCTTGATGGTACTAACAACTGCTCATCACTATAGCAATCGTCAACTTGTCGTAACATGTACTTGGGCTAGCAACGCATGTGAAGCACACGTGTGAGCACACGTGCGAAAGCAGCCAAGAGATGACGCCCGAGGTGTAAGCAAGATCATCTCGCACATGCTGCACATGTGCACGCACCCTGTTCATCCATGCATCGGGTACCACCGTCGCCATCCCCATCATCACAGTCGAATCAGCAAATCAACCCAGCAGCCAGCATTCTGACACCATATGCGCTCACTCACGCCATCAACCTATGAAACTCCTTTTTAAAAGCGAGTACACTACTCGGGCTCTTTCCCCGTGCAGCACAGCAGGGGGGCTAGCATTTAGCGGGTAGTTCCGGTACGCAAGCATGTGTTGCGTTATTATACCCCATCTGATGTGCAGTAAGGATCACTGACGCCCCGGAACGAACGCCGATTCATCGGGAGAAATATGCATCTCGTAATAGTAACAAGTTAGGTAGGTATGGTTAAGCTTTTTTCGTAGGCTAGGGGGGAAAACGCGGGGAGCGGGATATATCGGAAGGGGCGTGGAGTATGCTTTGCCTATTTCGTCGGTGCGGGTGGAGTGAGTGCGTGCGGGGAGGGCGGATGGTGGCTGGGTATTACGAAATGGATTGCATGAGAATTGTACGAGGTAGCGGTAGTAGTAGTAGTAGTTGTTGTCAATCGAGTTGATCAAATTTCATTTGGCATTCTGGTTGCTATGTAGTGCACAGAATAGTCAGACCTAGCCAACGCCATGCCCCATGATACCGCTAGTCTCGCTATGCTTCTTTTTGTAAATCATGTAGACCTTTTGAATTGAGAGATAATAAAGGGAAATGGTATCGTAAAGTCGTAAACGCCTGTTCAGTACTCCCAGTCGTACTGTATGGACCCCGGTTGCTCCGCAATGCTCGGTGGTCAAGTTGCTGCTTCCCTCATCTTCCTTTTCCCTTCGCACTAGACTGCCTCCACGACTGACATCTAGTGCCTGTTCGACAAGAAGCCGCCCTTCTCCATGGCGCTCATCTCCTTGACACTCTGCGGCGGAAGCGCATGCTTTGTGTTAACCGCCAGAGGAGTGAACACCTTCGGGCCAAGGATTGGTGAATCGGCAGCCTTTGTGGGGGGAGAAGATGGCGCGCTGATAGTGCCAGCGTCGGACGTGGCTGTGCTGGTGATGCTGGAGACTGAAGACTTCGATTGGTGGCCCGGTACAAACGCTGGTCGGTTTGAAAGAAAGCCGTGAGCAGGCTGCTCCGACTCGGGCGAAGCGGGGACATCTGTAGGGCTGATGGACTGCTTCGCGGGAGTGTTGACTGGGAGGAAGGCACGGGGAAATGGGATGTGGAAAGTGGAGCTGACGGAAGACATTGCGTCAAGATGGAGGCTTTGTGTCGGGATTTGGAGTTGGCAGTGGGCGGCCACGTGAGAGGGTCGAGGAGGGTTGGGTGGAAGTTGGTGGAATGAAGATGGAAGCAAGGCAATCCGCGCTTCTTATATGTCGAGTCGAACCGTGGTAGATTTGTGGAGAACTCGCAGCTGTGTCCGCAAAGTGTCCTGGCAATGAAGCTTTGATATCGCGCTGTTGATCCTAAGAGTCCCGTGCGCTGTTGAAACTGCTGAGGGAGGCTTGATGGTATCGACGTTTTATAAGTCTTGGGCGTGGATCAGTGTTGCTTGGCAGTGTTGGAGAAAATTTGACGCAACAGAGTGGAGATTCGATGATACACGGCGAAGAAGCGAAGAGAGGGACGATCAAGGGCTGACGCTGAGAGGACGATGGGGAATTTAATGTCTTTCAAGGTCCAAGATCTCGGTCCAAAGGGCAGAGTCGGGTCAACGAGTTGTAATAGGAAGAGGTGATCCGAGGTGCAACACCAAAAGCGCGTGTAGCAGGCTCGGCTGCCCAGATATAGGAAATTGAGAAAACTGGATCACGAAATCTCAGCGCTTCCGCGCCGCCCCGCTTTTCGAGCCCATGCGGGTGTGAGTCGGCGCGCGGTATAATTCTGTGGGGAGTGGAGCCAAAGATTAGTGAAACTACCACGTTGGAGCAGCCGGAGTCCTCTGTGGTTAGAGCTCGTGGGATATTCCTGACGAAGCCCTTGCTGCATAAAGTAAGAGTATGACGCGAAGGCCGCACGTCGCCAGTAGTCTTTATGCTATAGGCTCACTCGCCGCCCGTGCTGAGTTCATAACTGAGCCTGCATAAGATTTGGCTTCGACAAACGCCCACATTGATGCCATGTGATTGCACTTTTGCTTTTCCAGGAGAGATTCTGGGGTTCTAGGCGGCGGTGAGGGCGCGTGCTTCGCGTCATGCGGGGGTATGGAAGGGCCGCAGGCGGATCCGGGCCTGCTGTGTCTTTTGCGAGTGTAAGCCGAAGGTAGCCTGGATGCATGGACGCGATAGCATTGGTAATGGCGCCATGGTGTGATAAAAAAGAGGATGGACGAGCGGACGGCGGAAATTGCGAACGGTATTCCTCCGAGCCAACATGTGAATGCAGGTTGTTATGTTCTTATCTTGGGCGCTAAGCTCTCAGACTAGCCGGGAAGGTCCAAACGAGCAGACCTGCATCCAACATGGCTCCAGGCCTTCGTGGATGCTCCTCTTGTCTTCTGCCTTGAATCCTGAGATCAAGGCCACAAGTTACAACACCCTGTAATGGGATGGCAGGGTGCTTGGTCATCGACGACGTGACGAAGTGGAGTTTAGTCTCCACGGCCCACATGCGTGTCCATTCTGGCTGCGAATCATCTGGTCAGCGAGCGCAACAACTAAAAGCTACAGCACGAAATGCGTTGATCATCCTGTATCCTCATCCAACTTCAGTTCCTTGATGGCTGATCTGAGAACCCAGCCGGAACTGTACGGGAGTGCCATTATTGGTTCGGAGCTTTCCACACGTCCATCTGGTAGACTGTTGAATTCAGTCTCGGCATTATACGCAGCATTCTCGGGTCGCTGTCGGAGTTGAGCTCTTCTTTTGTAACGACGCAGTTGGTTATTAAGCCGAGATCGTCCAGTACAAATCTTTCGTTGACCCTTCTGTTAATTGAACCGTTCTGTCGGTGAGATCAAATGAGAGCAATGCGGCAAAGATCAAGCCCACCTCAAGAGTGTGATCGTTGGATCAGGTTCGGCAGCACCCCATGCGAAAGTCACGCTATGCACCTTTTCCTACCTCAGCTCTAGCCTATCGACAGGGTCGCTGCAAGTGATATTGACCAATGGCATCAGTCTGACAAGAGACTAGCCTGTGGGAAAAGAACACGCCCAATGGACGGGCAGGAACGGAAGCGACATATTACTTTCATCTCAAAGACCATTGAGATAGGGGCGTGTAGGGACAGTGAGTATCAACGCCGCTTTATTCTGGCATTGGGATAATACCACGACCGATAGTCTTGGGTGCATGTGTGTATCAGCAGTGCATCGATGCAGTGTACGACCTTATTGAATGTGCCATTTATAGTTCCGACTGTTCTCGTACAGTGTTAATGCAATCCTTGATCTGGACAACGGTATTGCTTTGATTCTTCGGCCCGAATTATCTAGATGCGTGCTATACTCATTCACACGATCAACGTGGAGAAGTCGGGGAGGTAGCGGTAAGTGTGGGAGATGGAGCCAAGTAGTGTTGGGTGGGGTGATGCAGGACTCAGAACCCAGTGTCTGATCGGTCTAGAAAACTCTCGGGGAGTGGCCGTGGGAGTATTGTCTTCTTCGGCAACCTCTGCAAATGCATCTCTTCTCCTCATCAGAATTCTTGACGCATTATCTCATGATTATCTCATGATCGTGCTGACTCCGTTGGACGAGGTGTAGCTTTCTTGAGGGCCTACTGTCCAACGACCACAATTCAAACCTGATCTCCTTTGCGTTGTTTATACATGCGAACAGCATCAAATGCGAAAGGTGCGTGTCGTGACTATACGTGGGCGGAACTTAGGATATGTTGTGAATCGGGACTTAGCGGCTTGGCCATCTCGCGTCTGTTCAGACGTCCGTTGACCACAACTCCTTCTTTGCTCAAGACGGGCCTTTCCCAAACTTTCCTCTCAATGTCTCTTGCTTCAATATCTGTCGAATAGTCGCAGCTTCAGTTCATGCTTCCTTTTTCCTTCCCATGCTAGCTTGATGTCACTTCTCCACCCGACAATACCTAGGTCATAGCCGCCTGAAGATCCGCGTTCTTATCACCAGGAGCACTATTATGGTGAACCAGTTATTGAAATCTGTACGACAGTCCCTTTCGATGACATTTACGCAAGGCATCCACTTGTTTCGACGCGCAGCCTGCTCTCAACTTCCTCAGTCCTCTCCCAAAACGTCGCTGCTTTCTACAAGATTGATACGTCAATCTTCTACAACATTAACTTAAGATATACTGGATGTTTTCGCAGTTGTTTGCGCGTATAACCTTGTAGGTTGTAACATACTAAATACCTTCTAGCATAACTATGACATGAGGGTTTGTTATAATATAACATCGCGAAGTTGAACAGGCGTATATATTAGGCTTGTAGACTAATTACTTTGGTGCACCCCGCTATGCCTCGTGTCTCTTTCTGCAGGTCTATCATGGTGAAGGCCACAATGATCGGTTGCGAGCGCCACTTGGGTAACCCTCACGACGCGTCTTTTATTTTGGCAAACGCTTTCACCATATCACTTCACCACCGCTGCCTAGCAAAGCGCGTCTTTGGCCCGAGCTCCTCTCCTCTTATTTAAACGAGCTTTTCCCACCGTCGCCTTTTCTCTCACCAACCTCACTCCCTTACCACACTCCTTGGAACGCATCAATACCACACTAGCGATACGTCCCCACAACGACAAACATGAACGGTAAGCGAGCTTGTAATTATGGCACTTGATTAACTCGCGCTGATAGCTACAGACAAGATCAACTTTTCCCTGATCAAACCAGACAAGCCCCTCGACGGCACGATCGTAAGTACCACACTCCTACTTTGCTTCTGGAGTAAATAGATGAGTGACACATCATCAGAAGTTCCTATTCATGCCCAACGAGATGATCATGGAGATTGGTTCGTTCTTGAAGAAACCCGTTGACATTGCCAACTTCCGCATGATCAACAAGAGGTACTCACAGTGCTTGGAGACAACTTTCTTCAAAGCACTTGCCGACAGCCCGATCATCTACGCTAGGTATGCCAGCTTCAACAATTTCCTTAATCTACTCAATTTCAATCCTGTACTGCGCCAATATGTACATAATATCGTTCTGGTTGGAGAGGCATTGAGGGAGCACGAGTACGGGTATGCATGGGCATGGGAGAACGTGACCGACTGCGAGGTCGCCAACATCATGGACGAGGACATCAACATCATGAACACGGTCGACCAGGCTCACGCCGCCGACCTCACCCTCAACGGACCTTTCGTCAACGGCGGTGGCTACCGCACGATGCTCCGTAAGTACAAGCCTGTTGCTTCTGAGATATACGTTGACCCCACCTTTAGACACTCTCTTGACCCGTCTTCCCAACCTTCGCACCATCGAAGTACGCAAGCTCTTCCCCGGCGAGCACCTTCCTGGTTGGGATGGCCCGGATGCTCTCAAGGACCTGTCGTTCTACCGCAAGGGCTTGAACACCAACCCCATCTTCTATGGCGACTGGCAGTACGATACTCTCCACCTCCGCGTCACGGTCCACAAGGATGAGTTCGGCGACGAGATCGCAGAGCCCACCGCTGGTCCTCAGGCTCGCTTCATCGACGACGTTGAGGGCGCCATCAACACTAGTGGTACGACTGCGAGGGTGATTGGATCTACCGATTGAGCTTCTTGGCTATGCGGAGGATCAGTAGGGCTTGCTATCTTGAGCGTTGCTCTGAGGAGGAGAAGTAGGGCTTGCTATCTTGAGCATTGCTCTTCGGAGGAGGACTATGGCTTGCTATCTTGAGCGTTGCTCTGAGGAGGAGAAGCAGGGCTTGCTAGCATGAGCATTGCTCTTCGGAGATGATGATACCAGGGTTTCATGAGCTGTCGCTGAACGACGCTTTCTTCATAGGGTTGCAATGTTGCAACACCAATCGAGACCACGATTCGCGCTATTTTCTCACTTGCCAAAGCTGTGCCTGTCTAATTTCGCAGTGTCATAATGGATTCATGGTCAACGTGAGAGCTAGGCCGGAGGACTTTTAGCACAATGTGACCTGTGAGTTTGTATACGCGAATAGCTGCTAGGACATCTAAGTCACACTCTGTCATGTTACTCACCTCACACCAAAAGCGAAGGCGAACAATTTGTACCACATAGCCACAACAATGCCATAAGGCTTTCGGCATATTATTGCCTACAAATTCTAACCTAATACTTACCCCTCACCAAACGCAAAGGCTCTCCAATTTTGTCCCAGCTTTAAGACTCCCTCTTCAAGACCCCACTCCTTGATCCGGCATATTCTTCGTACTATATCTTCGAGCCTCCGGTCCATCTCGTCTCCAGCTGTATGCAGATCGCTCTCGACGAGCAGCATATGATCAGGCACCGTCTTGATCATCTCTTCAAACGAAGCCGGCGTCTCCTCATCCATCGCATCAGACAGATTGATCGCCGTGCTGAACGACGCAAAGACGCGCACCGGTATAGTAGGGTTAAGGTACTGCTTAAAGTTCGAAGCGTTACCAGAGTACGAGTGCAGACAGATCCTCGGCGGATAGGGCTTCGGTTTCTCATTTTCTTTACTCCCACCTGAATCCATTTCTGCTTCCACCGACGCATGATCCTGCCCTCTCTTCTTGCGCTCCCGCTTACTCAGTACCTCTTTCTCGTGTCCCTTCCACAACTCTGAGAGCGTCTCAAGCACTAGTCCGTGAGCCTGCACGCCATGTACACTCACTGCGCGTCCCATTTCCGCGGCGAGCTGTAGTTGCATCTTGAAGATCTTCTTCTGATGCTGTGGACCGCATCGGAACGGGGTCAAGCGTCGGCCTTCGCGGCCACCAAGAGTGAGGCTGCTATCCCTTCTAGACCAGAGATCGAGGTGTGCGTTCCAGGCTTCTGGGATACGAAAGGAGCGGTCGAGGCCGGTTTCGCCGATCAGAGCGTACGGGTATTGCTGGAGCAGTCTGCGCGTCTGCTGAAGGAATGTGGCGAAAGACGTTGGATCTGGTAAGGAAATGAAAGTCTGGCGGTCTTCGTCGCTCAAGGGATCTGGTCGAGAGGGCTGGAGAACTCGCTGGTAATGTAAGAGTTTTGCATCGCCTACGAGTCTATCGCCATTGACTCCACCATCTTCATTGTCATCAGTATACATCTGGTGCGCAAACCACGGATGCCATCCAAAGCACGGTACTATGCATTCTTCTCTTGACCATTTTTCCGGATCCGATGACTTGACGCCGTGCTTATCTGCCGTGGATGTGACAAGGTCTTGATCTTCTGCCCTTGTTGCCATGACAGTGAGCACACGCGCCTTCATCTGCTGTATTGTCTCAATACTTGACATAGTGTCTGTTGGGTGACAATGCGCATCGAAGATGCCTAAATGCCATGGAAATGCGTCGTCCTGGCTGCTATTCGTTGACATTGCGGATTTGGGTGACGATGCTTCGAACTCGGTCTGAAAATGTGACGCTAAATCCCGCTTATTATCGATTTACTGTTACAATCGCGATTGTGGCTTATTCTCTCATCACTTCGTTGAGGTATCTGATATGACGTAAGTCGAGGATGTTTGTGTTCGGATGTGCACCCTTGCCTGGAAGACCCTGCGCTTGTGCTATCGCGCATTGGCGTTAGTAATGTCATACCTCAGACCCCATCTCATTGCAGCTGAACACTCACAACACATCTATGTTACGACAAGGCGCTACATCCGGGTTTACTTATGATACGGAGACTCTTGATAGATTCTGCTCTCTACGCACTGTTTCCCAGAGGAGGACTGTTGCGTGGTCGTACCAACACCAGCGCTCTCTGGCCAGACTCGTAGGATGCCGTCCCAAGGGCTACTTCGATGTGTATCTTCTTTCCTCTGTAGATTCGTTCTTACGCGTCTGTTAGGTCTTACCAGAGATCATCCAGTTAGATCAAGGAGCGACCACTCACATCAACACTGGAAGCTGATACGCACCTCATGCGCCAAGTTTCGCCCCGTCCCTTGTGCGTATAACTAAACCAGGGTAAACCTCGTATTACGCCCAGATCAGGCTTCCGTGCAACTGCTGCTCTCTTGTTGCCCCGCGTAACATCTCTTAGGTACCACAGAATACATAAAGACAACGGATACGTTCGTTTGTGCTTACTCGCAAGAACCGAGGATGTACTCCGCATGAGCCCCTCACTACGCGTCCGTCTTGGTACTATCGGCCAAACCTGACTAGTAAGTCTATATGGGTATAAAATGTATATAATCTCTTGCTCATCTTCCTTCAAACTCTTACCTACCGCCTAAACATTTACTCGTCTTCCCTCCTTCCTATCTGTCACCAGCCTCCCACTTCAAAGTTTCTACCTGTAACTGTGGTAGATGCTCAAGTGAATAGTGTCTTCATATCTAGCACTTCTTCGCCTCAAGGACCTCAGTACTCATTTGCACCCCCCGTCACATTCCTCCACACACAATATTTCCCCCACTATGCCCGGCCGCCTATCCAACAAAGTCGCCGTTATTACCGGCTCCTCATCCGGCATAGGCCGCGCAACAGCCCTCGCCTTCGCCAACGAAGGCGCAATTCTCGTATGCTCCGACCTGAAAGAAGAAGCTCGCTCAGAATACCGCACCGACACCTCCGACTTGACCACCGTGCAAGAAGCTGAGAAGCTCGGCGCAAAAGCCATCTACGTGAATTGCGACACAACATCCTCCTCAGATGTCGAGGGGCTGATCAAGAAAGCCGTTGAAGCGTTTGGCCGCGTCGATATCATGGTCAACAACGCTGGTATAACGGTCGAAGCCGGGGAGCATGGGTCGCGGCCTGTGTGGGAGTACGATGAAGCGGCATTAGACAAGACGCTCGCAGTCAACGTCAAGGGTGTCTTTCTAGGAATCAAATTCGCAAGTCGACAGATGAAAGATCAGGAGCCGGGCCCAAATGGCGATCGAGGCTGGATTATCAATCTAGCATCTGTCTACGGGCTAGGAGGTGGACCTGGTATCTGTACGTTTATTTTCCTTCCTTTCATCCATGCAGGACAAGAGCTGACTACTTCTCTACCCCCATAGCCGCATACGCAGCCTCCAAACACGCAGTTATGGGCTTGACAAAAGTGGCTGCTTGGGACTGCGCGCCCCACCGCATCCACGTCAACGCCCTCTGCCCAGGCTACACGCAAACTTCCTTCATCCATGCTCTACTCACGCCAGAGGCAGACGCGTACAAGAAGCAAGTTGAAGCCCAGCATCCGTTCAAGGGATTGGGTAGTCCGCAGGATATTGCGCGTGCCGCTGTGTTTTTGGCTAGTGAGGATGCGAGTTGGGTCACGGGGATTGGGTTGCCGGTTGATGGGGGGTATACGAGTATTTGATGGGGTGGGTTAGGATAGGGGCAGGGAGAAATGAGCAGTTGGATATGTTTAGTTGATTATTGGTTGTATTTACTAGGGTCCACGTCGCTCTATTCTACTGCCTGTTTTTCCCCCCGAATTCTCACAATGTATTTTATCTTTCCAGTAGGCAGCCTCACTGTCCCCATCCACCAACTTCCCATAAGCACAAACAAGGAACCTCACGATGCATGCCTTGCACCGCGCGTTAACTATGCAAACAAACCAAACCCCTAACGCCTCGCTGATGCCAGCTCAAAATAATGATACGAGATGACTAGGAACGAGTCTGAACACGGGAATGAAATCGAACAGGGTGTGAATGTCTGGGTATACCACGTCGCCGCCGCATGGGCGAGAAAGTAGACATATGGAGGGGTGCATCGTCTTGCCTAGAAGGATGAAAGCGCGAATCAGTCAATGCTGAGAACATAATGTATACTAATACACAGGGTAAAGATTGCAGAGAGAACGTATTGGAAGATCGGCATAGGACGTGCACGCTACCTCGCTACGCGGTGGATCAACCTGTACAGAGTTAGTAATCATGGTCACAGTGGGGTCAATTGACCGACAAACATACCTGAGAGTGCTGATAGTAAACGTCCCTATCCACGCTAGCAGGGCAATTAACAGGGTAGCAGTCAAGGCTTTCTGCCGTACACAAATAGCTCTCGTATACGGGCAAGCTTGGCCGATATCTTCTGGAGAATCTTGACACGCCCATTTGTCATCAGTCAGAGCTTGAAATGCCAGACTCAGATTTGCCGATTCAAAGACAATAAAGGCTAAGTCGAGAAAAATCAGAGACATCTTCGCGTTGTGTGAGCGCAGGCCCAGTGGTTTCGAAGTGTATTCGTCGTAGGTAATATAGAGTGTATAGCAAATAGCAACGACATCAACAAGAATAGCCATCCAGGTGGACGAGTTATTGAGGCAATTCGCGCTGTCGGACTTGTGGTATATAGCGCCTGCAAGCGCAAGAGCCAGAATAGAGAAGGTAAGCACGACCATGCGGATTACGGCAGGTACCATGGGATGGTTCATAACCGTCCTATGGAATCGAAGTATTTTGCGCTTCCGCTTGGTTGGGCTGAACAACCAGTAGCCCTTGAGTGTCTCTTCCTGGTCCTGGTTGTCTATGGGCTCCCACTTTGTTTCGAGGTCGGGCAGGTTGTCTTTCATCCAATTGTCGTCGACGACGTGGCCGCGAGACGAAATGGGACGGTCGGTATGGTCATTGGTGGACGATTGGGCAAACACTTTCCATTTCGAGGCGCTGTCGCTCATGGGCGTGGAGAGCGTAACCGGGGCGCCTTCGCGAGCATGGTCGAATTTGCGACCAGGGACATTGGACTTTGGCGTGGGCATGTAGTGATGGGAGGCAGGGCGGGCGGAGGTAGGTGTTCGTGGGAGGAGAAGGGAGGTTGCATCGACATTCTCGTCTTCGTCGGCGGATTGAACCCATGAAGGCAGTGTCCTGACAGCACGTTGCTTCTCCCTGTTCTCAGCGCTCTCGCTCCTGTTTGACGACGCCAGCGTGCGAGGAGTGCTCGATATGGAGTGGCTGTGGCTCTTCCTCACAGCCGCTCCGTCGCTCCCGTTGCGTGAGTGTCCAGACACACCGCTGACTCTTGACTGTGGACGCTGCGAGCCTATGGACGAGGCGGTCGGCGGAGGTATCGGGGAGGGTAGGAGTCGGTTGGCGGTCGAAGATGTCGAGGTAGAGGACGTATGGGCACTCCCATGGGCCGCATCCGGGCGGAGAAAGGGAGAGGTGCCGTTGCCGTTGCCATTGCCATTGTCGCTCTTTCTGCGCTCGACCATGGGCTTTGTGGTCATGCTTGCTTGCCGTGGAGCGTGAAGGGCTTCCTTGTCAGAGCAGCGGGTCCTCCAGTTCTAATCAAGCTCCAGGCGTCGGGCGTTAGCAGGAGCAGCAGCAGGCTTCGAGTGCTCTGGGCCTCCTTGGCGGGGGGTGAGCAACGACGGCGATTAGGTGGGAGCGAAGTAGATGACGCGTGACGACAGCATGCTCGGCACCTTGATACTTGGTGGCAATCCGGGGTAGCTGAAAAAAAAAGAAGGGTATCGAGTGTATCGTAGTACCGCTGGCGTCGTCGTCGTCGAGGGTCGAGCCCCGGGTCGACTGGGAGATTGCACTCCAGGCTTGTTTGCAGATCAGGGCCGCGGCATCGAAACAGGCATGGCGCAGCGAAAAGGCGCCGTGAGGTCATTCTCACCAGCTTTAGCCTGCAGCTATGCTTGCTGGCACTGCAGGTTTGCCCATGCAATTTCAAACGTCGCTCAGAACATTCGCATACTAGTCATCTTTTTCCACGCGACTCTGCCTGCGTCATGTTTCACTCGACATTGCTTTGAGCAAGGCTGTCCGCTGCGTCGCCATTGCGCCCTTGCCTACCCACCACCGCATCTGCGACATCCACCCCCAAATATACCAGACGCGATGCGCCTCTTTCTACTGCCAATATCGACGCGTCGCTCGCTCATCTATTGCGAGAAGCTCCACGACAAAGCACCAGCAGATCGCTCCATCTACGACAAAGTCACAATCAAAGCGAATGAGACATGGGTGGCATGGGAAAAGGACGAGAAGGCGATAGGCAACTGGAAGAAGAAGGTGACCTTCTACGGCAATCAGGCCCTTAAGCGGATTCCCTACGAGGAATGGGGGCTCAAAACAATCCCAGCCCTCACGCAAAAGCGCAAGCAGGACATCATCGACGGAAAAATCAAATATGAAGTCATGTTTCCAGGCCTCTATCTGCCAAAGGAGAGGGTTCCTGGTATACTGGAAAAGCTGGCCAAGGACAGACAGAACATGCACCGAAGCAAGCTGATGTGGAGCGTCATCATCATGCCCTTCACAGCACCTTTCATGCTGATACCCGTCATCCCCAATCTGCCCTTCTTCTACGTCCTCTACAGGGCCTGGTCGCACTGGAAGGCCTTGACGGGTTCCCAGCACCTCGAGTTCCTCCTCAAACACAACCTCCCCAAGCCTGCCCCATCCCCGATTCTGGACGAGGTCTACACAGCAGGCCTCATGTATCCGACCCGCGCAATCTCCCGCGCCGCCCCGAACCCAACCCGTGAACAAGCCAAGTCCGTATCACAGGTGGTCCACCAACAGACCAACAACGAGACCGAAGACGTCATGGTCCTGCAGCGCTGGAATGGCAAGTTGATCGCCGAGCAGTTCAAGCTACCTGAGATGGAGGTGGAGATTGAGAGAGCGGTGGAGCAGGTGGAGAAGAGCATCAAGACAAAAGAGAAGTTGCTAGAAGAGAAACTCGAGCAGGAAAAGGCTACAGGCAAGAATGGGGAGCGAGCGAAGGATGCGCTGCCGGATCATATCCTAGAAAGAATACACGAGCAAGCGGAGCATGTTGCTGAGGAGGCGGGAAAGAACAAGGAAGGTGCGGACAAGCCAAGAGATAAGGCGAGTAGTTAGGTTAGTCATGTCGGGCCCCATGTGGGCTGGACTATACGCGGTCATGGATACTCACCTGTACGATAATGACGGATTCTGGGTCAACGATGGGTCTCAGTGTCAGGCGTTGGCGGCACAATCTCCAGGTTGCGCGCATGTAGACGGAAAACTCCTTATTTGTACGATTATGTCAGTCAACGAACGAGCATGGATACGACCCATAAACAACGAAGTTCGAAATGCACTCGTCTATATGCTCTTGTAGTACTTCCGAGAACGCCCATCACTCACAGCTCACTCTTTTTCCTTTCAGCCCTCTTCTCCAACTCTTCCTTCCCCCAAAGCACAGGCCCATCATCGCCATACAGCGGATCTTTTACGAACCAATTCACACCAGCCACAGCCCGTGCCGCCTGCTCCTCTCCCTCCTTCCCATAGCACATATCCCAACTACACCCCTTGGGATACGCCCCCACCATCTGAAACCCACCGTCCAGATCTTCCAGCAACCTATGCCCCACCCCAGCGGGTACGACAATCATATCACCCGCTTTGACCTCCGTCTCCACTTTCCCCGGGTTCGCCTCGCCGCCAAAAAGCAGTGCCGCGCGGCCGGAGAAGACACAGAGCACTTCGTGCGTGGTGCTGTGGAAGTGCGTTTGCGAGTACATGGTGTATCGCCACTGGGGGGCTAGTCCGTTTTTCGGTAAGTGAGATTCAAGTGTTGATGGGGATGTTGAGGCTGGGAAGGCCGAGTGGTAGATTAGGAGGGGGTTGTTGTGGGTGGATGTGTTTGGGAGGTGGGAGTAGGAGGGAACGTAGTGCGCGTTGAGACGGAGGGAGGAGAGTGGTGTGAGATTTAGGGACGGCATTTTTGACGGTAGAATGGGATTTGTTCTGCTGTAGTCGTTGGTTTGTATGTTTGGAGATGATGGGTCTTGTGATTGTTGGTTTAAGAAATGGTGATTTGATGTGGAAAGTAAAATAAAATATGACGATATGAAGAATAAGGGTGTGAGGAGAATAAGAACGTCAAGAGTCTTGGTGGCGAGAACTTGTCCTGTTGGTTCACCTATATGTGGATATCGGGCTGAGGTCTGGTGTTTTCGGAAAGACGTCATAAGCGCGTTCCGAACATTAATGTGACATATTGGCCTAATCGAGTTACAATCCGCCAAGTGATTTAATGTCTAGAAGAAAGTGAGCGGTATCTAACGATGATGTGAAGAATGTGTGTTTAACTGTTCAGTTTGATACCACTGGGCCTTGCGATGGGCGGTATCATGGAACGAATCACTTATGTCTCTCGAAATATGCCCGGAGAGACTATTGACGTCGCATTCAGTATTCTCTCCTGACTGTGAAGTTGTGAGTTAACGTACTGGACAAAGAATGCGCCCAATATTTATAAAGAACTAACCATCCGTGAATCTGCGGGCAGCGTTAGTGTAAGGCTGATGTGAATGGGACCCTCTATGCCAAGCCGCCCAAGCTCGGTGCTGCCTGAACCGCCATCGATGTGATTCACAAAACCTCGCCGCACCTCCGCCTAGGCACCTTCACCTTGTTTCTTTCCCTTTCTCCGTTTGCAGGTGGTTCACAGGAATCGTACTCGCTAAGGCCCACGCAAATCGGCCGTTCACTCCTCCATATACCCTCCGCCCGCACCCACAGCCGCTCCACTTAACGCCTACGCTCATACTCGCGCCTTCTACCATATCAGCTTCTAATCAAGCACGCCCGCGCCTGCTGCTGTATTCGAAGCTTCCGGGTCCCGAAACCGAATATAAAGTTCCTCACGCGCAAGAAGTCGCTCTCGAAAAGTGTCCCAGAGCACGCGACGACACGTCCCATCATGGCTTCCACTATGCCGCCTGTCCCCGCCAAGGACGATGTTAATGCGACGTAAGTGCTCTTTCTTCATGTATCGATCCTGTAGCTCTGGCCAAGCTATTTCTTGAGTGAGAGTGGGCGCGTCATATCAGCCACACTATCCTAGATAGCTTCTGCAACGCATCCAGGCATAGGTTTAGCAGGGTTTCGGCAGGTGTTGGCGTATCATTTCGAGAGCCAACTATCTCCATCATGGATATTCCTCACACATGGCCATTTCCACCTACGGAAGTTCAAGGGCCCTTGCCACCACCCGTCAGAATATATACGCTGGACCTGCAGGGTCCCATACAGCTACAGCTTTGGGAGCAACTACAGTTCTGGGAGCGTGGGGAACGTGAGGAGGAGCCGAGACCCGGGCTTTTACCTCTCGAAAGGGAGGGTGAGTACGAAAACAGGCGAACGCTATGCTAACGGTAAAAACAGTTGGAAATACCTCGAGGCCGGTGTCGATAAGATCATGACCAACCTCCGCGGGGGTATGGATATGAAGACGTACATGGGCCTGTACACAGCGATCCACAACTTCTGTACTGCGCAAAAGGCCGTCGCAGGCTCGTCGTTTCACGCTGCCAACAACCGCGGAGGCGCCCACCTACTCGGCGAAGACCTCTACCAGCACCTGATTGAATACCTAAAGGCACATTTGGCGGATGTACAGACAGAGTCGAAACAACATGTAGATGAGGCGCTTCTCACATTCTACATCAAAGAGTGGAATCGCTATACGACGGCTGGGCAATACAACAACCATTTGTTCCGGTATCTCAACCGACATTGGGTGAAGCGTGAGATGGACGAGGGCAAGAAGCACATCTATGACATTTATACCCTGCACCTTGTCCGATGGAAGGAGGACTTGTTCACGGGTACGCAAGAAAGCGTCATGCGCTCGGTACTCAAGCTTGTCGAGAAGCAGCGGAACGGAGAGACGATCGAGCAGTCACACATCAAGTCCATTGTTGATTCATTTGTATCACTGGGTCTAGATGAGGCCGACAGCTCCAAGTCGACGCTGGACGTGTATAAGGAGCACTTCGAGAACCCCTTTCTCGCTGCCACTGCACAGTACTACGACAACGAGTCGAAGCAGTTCCTGGCCGAGAACAGCGTCGTAGAGTATATGAAGAAGGCCGAGGCTCGCCTCGAGGAGGAAAAAGAGCGTGTTCCCTTGTATCTGCTCAATGAGATCATGTCTCCGCTGATGCGCACATGCGAGCAGTCTTTAATTACGAACCATTCGCAGGCTCTTCGCGAAGAGTTCCAGATCCTTCTCAATAACGATCAGCAAGACGACCTTGGTCGGATGTACAAGCTGCTTGCCCGCATACCAGAAGGCCTTGATCCTCTGCGCACCCAGTTTGAGACTCACGTACGTAAGGCGGGCTTGAATGCCGTCGACAAGCTTGCTCAAGAGGGCGATAGTCTGGAGCCGAAGACCTACGTCGAGGCTTTACTCGAGGTGCATACGAAGTATCAGGACCTTGTCAACAAAGCCTTCAATGGCGAGTCGGAATTCGTACGATCACTCGATAATGCCTGCCGCGAGTTCGTCAATCGGAACAAGATCTGCAAGTCAGGCTCGAACAAGTCGCCCGAGCTGCTCGCCAAGTATACCGATACCTTACTGAAGCGTTCGAGTGCGAAGATGAGTGAGGAGGATGACATGGAGAAGCTGCTCACGCAAATCATGACGGTCTTCAAGTACATTGAAGACAAGGACGTTTTCCAGAAGTTTTACTCGCGCATGTTGGCCAAGCGTTTGGTTCAGACAACGTCTGCGTCTGATGATGCCGAGACAAGCATGATTTCGAAGCTGAAGGAAGCCTGCGGTTTCGAGTATACGAACAAGCTCCAGCGCATGTTCCAAGACATGCAGATTTCCAAAGACCTCAACACTGCTTACAAAGAGTGGCAATCGAACAACTTGGATGAGGCGGATCTCAAGACCAATGTTGACGCCTCATACCACATTCTTGGTACCGGCTTTTGGCCGCTGAACCCACCGACCACCCCATTTACGCCACCTCAACTGATCGTTCAGACTTATGATCGTTTCGCTAGGTTCTACAATCATAAGCATCAGGGCCGCAAGCTGACTTGGTTATGGCAACTTTGCAAGGGCGAAGTCAAGGCCAATTACTGCAAGGTCGCACAGTTGAAGACCTCGCCGACCTTCCAAGTTTCTACTTACCAGATGGCCATCATGTTGCTATTCAACGACAGCGATACGGTGAGCTACGATGAAATGGCGGAGGCCACCAAACTGAACAAGGAGACTCTTGACCCCAGTCTTGGTGTCTTTATCAAGGCCAAGGTCTTGCTCGCACAGCCAGAGGGTGCCAAGCCTGAGTCGGGCACGACTTACAAGCTCAACACTGGCTTCAAGACCAAGAAGGTCAAGATGAACTTGAACATCGGTATCAAGTCAGAACAGAAGGCAGAGGCAGAAGATACACACAAGACTATTGAGGAGGACCGCAAGCTACTTATGCAGGTATGTACAACCGCTCCCACTTGTCGTACAATGTAGGTTAACTTTTCTCACAGTCGGCCATTGTGCGTATCATGAAGTCCCGCAAGAAGATGAAGCATCAGCAGCTCGTCTCAGAGACTATCCAGCAGATTAAGAACCGCTTCATGCCGCGCATTCCCGATATCAAGAAGTGCATAGACATTCTACTCGAGAAGGAGTACTTGGAACGCCTAGAGGGTGACGAGCTTGGCTACCTAGCATAAGCGGTCATGTCAGCCTAGCAGAGGCTAAATAGTATGTTTGGAGGACCATGTCTCCGGGACCTACTAGGTGTCATCATTCCGGCCGCCATCGGCCAACGAAGTGTATTCACGAACACGCATCTTGAGTAACGAGTTATTGGGGTTATTGAGTTTTTCCTTTCACAGTCATCGCCTTTGGGCGGGACTTCTGGCGTTTCATGGCAGCGATGGTAGTAACCCATAGGATGGTGTGGACGAATTCACGGCATTTTAACGCTACTCATGCGTTTTTTCTCTTCCGTAATAGATGGATGGGCTAAAGGCTGGAGAAGAAACCGTAAGGTACGAATGACAGCCTATAACTCAAGCAATTAGTTGAGGCAGAATGTTCACCTATTCCTCCATGTTGCTGATTTGTGCGTCATGTGTCCGTGAAATTATGTGCGGTTTGATTCACCCTATAGGGCTTCATAATGTCTGTGAAACATACCATGTGGATTGAATAAATGGAGGCTTCCCTTTTTCCTCTACTGCATCAGACTTGTACCTTTGCAAGCCAACTCCTATCCGTCACTAGGCCCAAATCAACCTCTCGATATATTGCAAAGTCGACACTAAATCGGTATTCTCCCACATTCATTGTAAATCTTGCTCCACAATACTCAACTCCGCAGTCCATCTGCACAGACTAACTATGGGAGGGATCGAAGAATACGCCGCAGTTCTGCACGTACGCTCTAGCACCCCGCTTCGCCTTTCCCCAAACAGCATCGTCGCTACTATGTAAGTGCGGACAGATATAATGGTTCCACTCGGAAAGCGCTACACGCACAATTGGAGTTGCGTGGCCGAAGTCTTTGTGCTCTAGATCCATCGGTGCTCCCTTGAAGTCCTTGTCTGCCATGAAATCGAGCTCTTGACAAGGTATGTGTATTTTCTGGAGGATGCAAGGGGACCTATAGGTCTCGAAGCAGATGATCGGTAATGTGTTTCGAGGAGAATGGCAGTATGGTTGCTGACATAGCTTGTACCAGCCCTCTATGTGACGTCTGCTTTCCAGTCGGAGGGTAAGGAGGTCCTGAAACGTGAGGCTGACACATGGGCATATATACATCGATGCGGTGACTCCAATGCAATTACGCTCCTCAGGATGTTTCGTCATCTCGGCCTTTGTGAACGCGGACAACGGGTGGTCGTCAAGGCAGAAGCTGCAAAGGAATGATATGGGTGGTCCTATGACGTTCGAGTCGTCTAGGAACAACTGCTTCTCCTCCTTTTCTTCCTCCAGTTGAGCGACTTTTCGGAAGTAGTCGAGGTGGCATCTCCACCCGAACTCGTCTCTATCCACAGGCGTGAGCTCTTCAAAACGATATGTCTTGCTCATTTCTTTGAGAAGGTCCCTCAACTTGCGGCAGGTCGCGTGTAGACTGAGTGAGTCGACAAGAGGCAGGAAGTCGACGATATTGAGAATCAGCTCGACTGGTAGGTGGTGGAATCTACTGAGGGAGTTTGGAGTTGTCTCAGAGAATCCTTTCGCACAGGTCGTGGAGAGAAGTACTTTTGCCTCCTTTGTACAGAAACGGTGACCCAGAGTGCGACGACGGTATATAAAGTAGTCTTTCCGGGTTGCTATTCAACATATCCTAGAAACCACTGGGTTTTGCGGGACCCCCTCAATGGGCCCTACTTGTACATGTGTGATCAACGAGATGGAATTCGACATTGTGGTTTTCAAGTTGTGAGATTTTTAAAGCTAGTTATTTGAAGGGTGAAGGATGAATAGTATTGTGGACTGACTGAACGTAGATAGAAGTTAAGCAGTAAGAGACGACATCACATACCCATAATGAAATTCTTTCTGAAATCAAATTTCAATTTTGTAACAAATATGAGAGACTACATTGGCTGAAAAGTATTCAACAAATCCTGAATGTATATCATCCAAAATTTGGGCAACTGAGTGGTGTTGTTACCATGGACGGCTTGGAACTTAACCATAGGCAACGAACTGAAGTAATGAGACATGGATGATAAAAGAAATGCACAGATTCGTACTGGTTATGAGCATACCTACTTTGTGGAAAGAGTGCTTGACGCAGACAAAGTCCATCATGCTCTGATATACCATGGTTGACTGGACTCAGCGTACCTTGAAAAATTCCACGTAACTACAAACATCTCCGCCATCAAAGTATGACTCTAAAGATCAGCGATAGCTCTACCTGGGCGTAAGCGCTGATATATGTGTATCTGTTGCGGTACGACATCTTTCTAAAGAGCTTCAAGAATATATTGGAGAGACTCGTCGAAGATGGGCAAGATGATAGCCTCACAATCTCCTTTGTACAGGAGTAGCAGATATGTTATAGCTTACCGGCTCTTACCACGGACGCTTCCAGTTCTCGTTCCACTATGATGCCACAAGGAGACAGTGGGTTCGCATATACCCGGATCCGCTTAGCGCGATATGAACCACGCGACCCCGCCAGAGCCTTGACCCTGGATGCGCGCGCGGCTGTGCCGGTGGCGGAAAGTCGACGACTACTCCTCCAGGCTGCTGCGAGCCTTCTCCTTTCCTCGCCGTGTACCTCTAAAAGTTAGCCCTCATATATTCCTCATTCCTCACTTGGAACATCTTCCTTCCTGTTTCCTGATCAACTGTCTGTAGTTGACAACAGGACGTACCTCGGGAGTCCGCACCATGCCTGCGCCACTGGCCAAAGGTAAGTAACCCGCCGATAGCTGCTCCACCTCTGCATATCGCTGCCGTGTCTCCAACGGCTTTCTTCCCAGCACACTTCCCATGTATCTCTCTATGCCCTTTGATTGCGTCTGCCAACCTGCTTGCAGGCCCCGGCCTACGTGCTGCTACCTCTCCACACCACCATGCTCGTGCGCAACCGCCCCGACCTAATCACCCTCTCGCAACAGGCATCATAATCGCTGCATCCGTCCTCGTCGCCGCCGGCATCGCCATCTACGAGTCTCCCCAAGTCCGACAATGGGTCGACCAGTCGCGCCGCAAGATCGCCGTTGCCCTACACTCTCTTGGTGACGAGATCCAGCCCCAACGTCGTTCGAGCGAGGCGTCCGATGAGTTCGAGTCCCGGAAACAGAGGAGGGAGGACTTGGTTCGTAGGAACAGGAATGAGTTGATCAGGAGAGCCAGAGAGGAGGGCATTGCGGTCGACTTGGACGAGCTGGCTAGGATTGGGAGTGAGAACATTGACATGGCTGAGAGGAGGTCGAGGGCTGATCGGACCAAGAGCTTTGACACAATGGTGGGCAATGATGGGATGCTTAGAAAGGACGCGCAAGCTACTGGGCAAGACTTGTCGAACAGCGGGCTGAGGCAGCGTGGCGTAGCTGGCTTTGCTGCTGGCACTGCGGCGGCGGCTACCATGGCAAACCCCTTCTCTGACGACCAAGTCCTCTTCGACGACGATGACGAGGATGAAGCGCCTTCGCCGAAGCCTTTCAACTACGTCGAGCCTGGAACCCGCGAGAGCTCTGCTACTGTCGAAGGCGACCATGTCTCTACTCCTGCTACTCCCGCTACCTCCGCTCAGCTCATCGACCTAACCCCAGACTCTCTTCATCTGCAGCCAGAGAACCTACACCTAGGATCACTCACACAACTCGAGACCTCCGAAACGGAACAAGCAGCCCAATCCTTTTACTCCTTTACATCTTCCGCCTCGCATCCAGGAGACCCCTCCGCCACTCACCCATTCTTCGATGACAACGAAGCCGAGCACCTCTCCACTGGCACCCTCACTCCCCGCTCCGAGCGCTCCGTCGCTACTGGTGCCTCGATTGTAGATAGTCACGCCGACGACATTGCGATTCTAAGCATGCAGAACAGCGTGCAAAACGACACCGACCACGATGCACGCTCAGAAGTCTTTTCTGAGGGCGGCTTCACCGATGCTGGCTTCTCGGAGGCGGGCTTTAGTGAACTGGGCCAGGGTGACAGGACAGGTGTCATGACGCCAAACTCGTGGACGGACGTGGGAAGTGATGACGAGAGTGACTGGGGTGGTGCACAACACGGCCACGTGAGCCAGGTGCATCAATAAGTCAACTGGCGAGGATCTTCGCATTTTGCTTCGAAATTTCATTTAAGGCGTGGCGTTTGACGGGTTTCGAACTGGGATGGGATCAGATGAAATCGATCTCTAAGCGTTGATGGGATGGTCGTAGAGCACCGCACATCTCTTCTTTCGAATATCTTATTTATTATTATTTTCAAAGCCTTGACCCTACTTTGAACACATCAATGCACATTTCTATTTGTCCTCGGATATAATTCTTGCAGCCACCATGCCTTCACTGTCAGCTGATCCTCTCACTCCATACCTTACCCGCCTTGCCCCATCTTCTTTCCGTACATATCCCTCAATATCTTTCTCATCAGCATCCCGCAGAAGTGGTGCATCAAATATACGCGCAACATCGAGAGGATTGAACGAAAGCGGGCGCAATTCCTCGCTCCTCGCAGCCCAATACAGCGGCACAATAGCTACAACAGCAAGAAGACTGCAAACAACAGCACACACCAAGTACGGAATGCTGACACTAAGTGCGACCACTGATCTCTGTCCAGTGACATCGATTCCTTGCGTCCAGTTCTGGGTAAGGGGCAGGCCTTCTTGGGCCAGAGCACGACTCCCAAATAGTGCATCTCTGTCGGCGATTCCGGCGACGGCGACGGCGACGCGGAATGCCATCTCGCGAAGCCTGTTGAGAACAAACTGAGTGGGGTCACCGAAGGTAGTGTTACAATTCGGAGCAGATATAGTACCGTTTATGAAACGCTTTGCGAGGAGGAAGCGAGGGTCCACGCCCTCGAAGGGCCCGCCATCTCTGTTTGGGTTTATGGATATCTCTTGGTTAAACTGACTCAAATACCATGCGGCCCACTGCACGGTTGGACCCCATGTGGTATCTTGGTTAATAAGATCAGGGAGAAGCCAGGTTGGCCTACGAAACGTTCGAGTCTCAGGTTAGTTTATTATCGGACCTTTCAGCTTGCGACAAGGACTTACGTCTGAAATAGCACATTGTCCTCCTGCCAGTTATCACGGCTTAGACTGATAGTCCCGTTCCGCAAGGAAACCTCATATTCGACCACGGCATGATGTAGCGAACACGTACTTATCGAAAGATCGCCTCCGCAGATGGGTTCAGTCTTGAACAAGTTGACTACTTCAAACCAGCCTCGTTGCTCGGCTGCTATGAAGTCGGTTGCATTTGCATATTCAGGATACGGCAAGCCCTGCAAATGTGCCGAGCTATTGAACGCTGGAACGGCATCACCAATACGGTTCGTCATGTCTTGGAATTCCTGTCTCACAGTGCTGTTGCCTGAGATGTCCCAAGGGATCTTAGTCACCTCGGAACATTTTATATCAAAACCGTAGCCCTAGATGGAGTCAGCTTCTTAGTAGAAGCAGTGCTTCTTCACCTAGGGTATTCATACCTTTACTTTACCACTACACACGTCGCCACATTCTTCATTACTGAGACTACCGTTGATAAGTATGGGTGCTCGCTCAATATAAGCGTCATACACAGGATCGTACAACTCCGAAGCCGTCGAAATCGTCGATCCATACTGTCCAAAAAAAAAATCGGTGGAATAAGTTGCGCGACGTTGAGTTTCTGTACTCCTGAAGTTTTCCACGTAGCATTGCCCACGACGACGGAAGCGCGTTGAAAAAGCGGACCGCGCAGCGCCGACACGAGGCAAAGCAGCGTAACTACCGCCAGTCTGTTTCCGCGTAGGCGGACGAGGTTGTTGATGGCGCCCACGAGCGAATGAAACTCGTATAGGTCGTACATATTGCGCAACGTGGTCCCGCGGGCGGCGGCGCGCCAGTACGTCGCCTCAGCGGCTTTTGCGAGGGCAAACATGGTCAGGCCATCTGTTATTGTTGCAAGGACCGAAAGCCAGACTTGGGGCTGAGTGTTCACGTTTCGTATTTTCCATCGTTCGATTGGCGAGCCGTTGCTGGCTAGGAGCACGCCCACTGCAGCGGCGGTGAGAAGAACGATGGAAACTAAGGCCGTTACTCCTTGCCATGGAAACGGAGGTCGTCGCGATTGTGATTGCGGGACTTCGGTGTGCGTCTTTTTATCCTGGCTGTTGCTCTCGTCACGCAGCACTTGGAGTTCAACGCCATCGCTGACGCTAGTTTCAGGGGTTTCTTCGTGGGCGTTAACGCGACTGTATGGTGATTTGGAGTACACGGCCGCCATGTATGAAAGAGTATATATCGCTGCTCCATGTTGAATCAAGCTCCCTATGTAGCAAATCTACTGCGCCATATGATTAGATCTAAAGATGCAGGGCGTAAGGTACATGCTATTTAAAGTACGACTTGGCGTGTTTCATAGGCCAGAAGTAACCGATGATATTACAGTAAGCGCTAAGCCACTTACTCGGCTGTGCATCCTAAAAAGACTATTTACAAGAGGATATTTAGATCGAAGGCTTAAGATATAAAAGACAGGTACACTTTTGAAGTCAGAATTATCGTTAAGAAGGTATAGTTGGAGGCGAAATCACGCCTACATGCGCAAAGAGGTGCAGTCAGCTTAAATTTCAGCCACGAGACTGGTCAAAGTACTTTCAGAGAACCAGCGATAGCTCAACTAGGACGTAGGCGCTTTGAAAATCCTCTTAAACTTGGCTGAACCACTAAGAAAGATGCCCTTCAACATAAGATTTCCGTAGTTGAGCGGGAATTGAGACTTGAAGGAACCCAAGATGCTGCCTAAAGCTCATACCTCGTAACCATGGTTCGGCAGTCCACACACTCACATCTTTTGAACACTAGATATAAAAGAAGCTTGAAGTCCTGATACGTGAACTGTTCGCAGATAGGATTTCTTCTTCGGGATTTTTTTTACAACCTGCAGGCCCTCGAACTGAACTACTCACATCCGCAACATACATCTTGCTCTTCAACCCTACTGAAACAGACCGCGCACTTGGTGGAAGGCCCCCCTCATATCCTTTAATATGCCCGATGTATCCACTCCAAAACGGTACTTCATGTACCGACGAAAGCTATTCCGAATGAATAGCAGCAAGATATCAGACATTTGGGACAGCGACTTCTATCCATCCCAATCAAAGGATCCAGATCAAAATGCGAATCCAAGAACCACCACCGAAATAACTAGCCAAATTCAACTTCTACCACCCGAGCTGCTTCTCCAGATTATCGACTTCCTCCCTGCCACCAGTATCCCGAGTTTTCGAGTAACATGCCACTACTTCCAGGGAATCTGCAAGACGATGAGCGTGGCCTCGCGGCTGCATAGTCTTTTAGCAACGGAGAGAGATGAAATCGCGTGGCTACATCGTGTCGATCGTTTCCACCACCTGGCAGAGAGGGAAAAGAATTTCGAAACTCCCTATCTCCAAGGCACCAAGATCCTCTGCAGCTTTTGCACCGATCTTCACCCATCATCTCTATTTTACAAGGCTGAGGAGTTGAAATCTGCCAACGAGCGGAAGTGCATCGGAAGCACTGCACCTTTTTACATCTGCCCAGGCGTCCAGTTAACCTTCAAAGGCGTATGTGGACTCTATGACCGTAGAGAATGGTACACGTGCTTTTGCCAGGATATATGCAAACACGATTCTCATCAGTCAGAGCCGCTCATTGGGTCCTCAATACAGCGCACTCTGATCCGCATATCTTACAAGGAATCTTACATGCCCACCTCTCCAACAGACTACGTCAAGTACACGGGCCAAGTCATCCTGCCCAACAAAACACTATCCTATCCGAGGTATGGTCTTTCGTCAGCCACTGTACGCAGGGTGCTAGTCCAGCTCAACCAGTATATTTGTGCACATTTGCGTACCGGCGATAATGCGCTATAGGAGAAGTTAGACAATAAAGCACAATCATAGCGCCGCAAGAACGTCGACAATAATACAAGGACTATATGGCCCCGCAGTTGCATGTGGACGGAGTGCAACACAAACAACTGCAGAGCGCGAGTTCATATATATAACCGGGGATGCGCACCTGATTTGACTGGCAAGGTTAGGTTCAAGGTAGAGCGCGATGTGAAAGTGACTACCGTTACAGATAAGCGTTAGTTAGTAGCGGTAGGCTGTATCTAAATAGCTTACTTTGTTACAAAATATTTAGGAAGTGCTTACGCCCTAGACCTAGTATTAACTTACCAAGTCTTGAGATGATCTGTAATTTATACTTACGCAATAGCTCAAGTATGACTATTTATGCGCTAGGTAGAGTAGGAGTCGCTCGCTCTCAAGGCATGCATGAAAACATCTTTGCTCTGAAGCCTGCTCCATCTCCTATTTCCGGCATTAATCCACATATAGTCTAGTTAGGTATCGAATGTCCATTCACCCTCTCATTGCGCTGGCAAACGCTCATCATTCGCCTTCAGGGTAGGATTCCGTCAAATGTTGCCGTTCTCAATGTTCCTGAGGTCAGGAGTTTGGTGTAGTAGAAGCATCTCCTGAGGCCTCGATCACACAAAGCCAGCCTAGCTGATAATGTAAACCTGTAGTCCACAAATGAAGCCGTTAAATCAGCGTTTGCCTTCAAGGCGTAACTGACTGTATGTCAACCGACACTTCTCTCATCTGACCCCAGCGCAAACGTACTACCCGGTGGACTAACTTATCCGTATTCTCCCAAATGATTTCCCACCCTTGAATGATCACATGTTACACACACACGGCACAGTCAAGAACAAGCGATATGCCTCCTTTTATCCACATCCCCACCGCCTACTTCTCCCCTATCCTCCCTCGAAACGTCCCGACGCGACACGACCTCACCGAGCGTCGACCAACCCATCCAGTTCAGCCATCCATGCGCCTGGCTGAGCCAACCTTCGACCGAGTCGCCAAGCGCGTAAAGCAGGACCTCGTGGATCTCGCAACATGGGCCGAGGAGTTGGCCCGCCTGCGCAGGAGATGCGACGAGCTGTATGAACAGGCCAGGACTGCGCGACTGGCAGAAGAATACGGACGGGCACAGAGGAGACTGGAGCAGCTGAAGAGAGGTTTGAAGGCGATTCATGAACAATTTAAGCAACGAGGTCTAGGAGCGAGCTCGAGAACTGCGAAGGTCATGCTCGGTTAGTGGGTTAGGAGTGGGAGTTGAGATGGGCTGAAGAGTTTGGTGAATTTGGTAGGTAGAATGTGTCGGTTTGGTAGCTTTAGGCGCATACAAACTGCTAGCCTTACTGAATTCTCTTTGGCGTGGCGCCGTTCGTTGTGGTCCCTGCGATTTACTGTGACGTTTGACTTGAGGACGTTGTCATACTTCAATTCCTCAATCTGCGATTGCCATGTCACGCGAAAAATAACAGAGCCCACATCAGTGTTGAACTTGCAAGTACAACGCACAATCGTTCCCCGTATCTCCTTCTACTCTTCTGTAAGAATCTAACTTGTATCTCCGCCCGTTATCACATTCAATCTTGAAAGATATTACCACCGTCTGCATGCCGACAGACGTCCACGGCCAACACCACGCCGGCAGTCTCGGCCTCTTCGACGATGACGCCGAAAACGACAATGCCATAGCCCGCGCAGAGCGTCACGAGCACGATCACCTTGAAAGCGTCATACGGCGACACAAGCGTCGCGAGAAGCGCCAGTTTCGCAAAGACCAAAAAGCCGCTGAGCGAGCCGCGCAAGGAAAGTCAAAGCTGCCGTGGCCGATAAGCTGGGTCGGCAAGCTGTTTGGCGGTGGGAAGGATCTGAGTCCTGATGCGGTGCCTGCGAGGGGAGTTGCTGTACGGGATGAAGGGGCAACGAAGGGTCGGGTGCCGGAAAGTGCAAGGTCCGAGTATGTGATCGTGAGAAGACCGGAGACACCAGAGCCAGTGTATACAGGAGAAGATGTTGATCCTGTAGATTCGCCTTGGTTGCGCGAGTGCGGCATGGTGAGAGTCAAATCTGATGATCCGGGTGGCTGTCACATTGTACCGAAGAGTGTTATCCAGAAGAACCAGTAAACTTGATTGAGTTTTAGGGTCGGAATGTTGTGGATTCATAAACTCGGTAGTTTTCGAGGGCGTCTGACGCTAATAGTAGTCAGTATATGACAGCCCTTTGGCGAAAAAACATGTTGTGTCGAAGAGAAGTGCCTACTGGTTGATGAATGAAGGACCCTGGGTATATCGTGATCGTAAGGCCGTGTCGCATGGATGAAGCTCTGCTGTCTTACCTATCTTGATAGCTTTGGGCTCCAGGCCTCTTTTGTGCTCAGAAGGCCAAATCAACTCATCCTCCCTACGCCCATGATCTTCTCCTCCACTATGGACAGCAACAACTCCTTCTCCTTGACTGCCTGTATTCTCTCTCCCTCTAGATCCTCCAGCTGCCTCTCCAACTCTTTCATCCTCTCAACTTGCTCCTTCTCGCTCGACTTTAGTCCTGGCAAACTAGCTATCAGATGCTCGATCTGCGAAGTTTTTACGACAATATCCTTGGCCCTCGTTTTAATGTCTGCCTGAAACTGTTCTTGAGAAGGCGGCGCGGGTGTCTCTGCGGGAGGCGCCTGTGCGTGCTGGGAAGGGTGCGTAGAGTTCTGCGAGTTTTCGGCGGCGGTCCTGGCTTCTAATTCGGCGAACGAGTCGAGACGTTGTTGACCCGGGGGGACGCTTGGAGGGGCATTGTCCCGAATGTACTTGAGGTCGTCGTACATCATATCTAGCAGCTGGGCTTGTTAGATTTGAGGTTGTTGTTAGAGGTTGGTGTATACGAACCAAGTCAAGTTCATCTTGCATCTGGGTGAGTATGTCGCCCATTGTAGAGTAAGCTATGTTGAGGATGGCGAGAGCGAAGAGTCGGCGGCTGCCTGAAGTAGAAGGGGCCGACAAGGTATGTTACCTGGGCACAAGCGTGAGTTGGTTGACGTTGTCAAAGGAAAGCTAGAGTTTCGATGCGGATGGAGTTGACGAGGGACCGCGCTTCGTAAGGCTGAGCTAATCTAGCGCGTTGTCCCAAAGTTTACGCGATCATCTCACCTTTCTCCCTCCACGGTACCCCGACGCTCATACTCACAGCACTCTTCGTACTCGACTCACCACCTCTGTCGCTCCTTTCCTCGTAAATATGTTACGGTGTCTTTCATTTACTACTGCCATACCGTAATGCAACCTTCTCTCCGCCCATCCTGGCTTAGACAAATCGCTCTTCTTCCATGGCTGCCCCGAACCGCTCCGCAGAACTTCGTCCCTCGTCGGATTGCAACAACCTCCGCTGCTAATCCTGCGCCTGTCGACATTCCCAAGCTCACAATCACGCCGGGCTCTGCGCGCCACAACTGTCTACTTTCGTTTCTCGAATATGCTAAACGAACCAATCTCACACCGGAACAGACGCACTATATCGGCATGCACTATGAGTATACGACGGCATTGGCGTTGATACGCCTCGGTTTCTCGCTTCTACGCGTAGGCGGGAAAGACGATGCTGGCATCGACCTTATTGGCCATTGGGTCCTCGCACCCCTACGCGAACCGCTACCAGTCATCATCCAGTGCAAGGCGCGCAAGATGTCGCTAAGTCCTAGGCATATTCGCGAGCTGGAGGGATCCTTCCAAGGCATACCGCCTGACTGGAGGAAGAAAGAGGTGCTTGGGCTGCTAGTCACAACGAAGAAGGCAACGAATGGAGTGATGAAAGCTTTGGGGCAGAGTAGGTGGCCTATGGGTTTCGTCCTGATCTCAAAAGACGGAAAGATTCAGCAGTTTGTGTGGAATCGTGCTGCTGCGGAAAAGGGGCTGGAGGGCGTGGGCGTGACTGTGAGGTATACACCGCAAGCTTTGGTGACTGAGGCCGAAATAGTGGTTAAAGAAGAGGAGATAGAAGAGGGCAAAACTCTGGCGAAGGGCACGAAAAAAGGGTTGGCCAGATCAAAGTCCCCTGGGACTCAAAAGGACATTCAGATGACATGGATGGGGTCTCCGATCTTCCCAGACAGGACTAACCTCGACCAGGAGAAGGTCAAATTGATGAGCTTGATTGAACCATGTGCCGACATCAGCACTGCCGCATACAAGTTTAAAGATGTCAAGCTCAAGTCGGGTAGACCTAGAATCGCCGATAAGCCACCCTCTCCCCGTGGTGGCACAGTTGGTGGGAAGCGAGGGCGGCCGAAGGGTTCTAAGACGACCAATAAATCATCATCCGTCGTTTCTCCCCGCGGTGAACAGATCCCCACGACACACTCTACGAAAACCAAAACGCGTGGGCGGCCCAAAGGCTCGAAGAACAAGCCCAAGCCCGTTGTTGACGACGCAGGTTGAAGCGCAATGACCGAATTGCTCCCAAGAAGATTAACTGGAACGAAAATTCACTTCTAAGAATGCGCTTTTCAGCCGTAGACAGAGGCATCCGTTCGAACTCTGTCTCGTCAGGCTGCAGGAGGCTAGCTGAGCCATCATCAGGGGGGAACTCGTCACCTTGTCCGCAGCACGAGCAAGGTCCGTGGAGCCGCGTGATTTGAATTCATCCAGCTACAAGGAACGCGTTCGTAACTTCAATGTGCCAATGCAGGTAATGGAAGATGGGAAAGGAAGATGCTGGAAGCAAAGGAAAAGATGACGTACGGGCGGAGATCAAGAAACGCCAAAGCAGAAGCCTATGCATAGGTTTGCGACAAGACCACTCGCATCACAATGCGAGTTCCAGATGTTGATGTGAGAAAGAGGATGCGCTGCAAAGATTTAGGCTACCTTGGACATAAAGCGCCCCTGACGAAGCTTGGTACACTCTACTTGTGTAGTGAATATACTGAAGATTGTTAATTGCGCTGTATTAACTCAGGCTACCGCATTTTTAAGAAACTAATTGTCGCGCCGACTGGGCCGACTACACCTGTATAACTACAACTCCACTTCTCAGTAAACCCCCATGACAACCAATAAATAAATCTCAAACGCAAAAACACCCTGCTAGAATATACAAATCCGTTCCCATGCCGTCAGATAGGCAAATCCATATGCTCACCTTCCTCTTCCTCTTCAGCCTCTGCGACAGACTGCAACTAGTAGTCAAATCGATCCGGCAACACGAGTGGCGCAACTAGACTCCATGTATAGATGCCATAGCACACCCATGCACTAATGATTTTGGCCCAGCTGGCCCAGTAAGTTCTACCGACCGGTACGAAACTGCCTGCCACATCCTTTTCGTCGAAATTTGTCGTCAGAAGCGTGGCGACCCACGTGGTGCTGAGGAAGAAGATGATGTGGAAGAGGGTATAGTTGTACTGTGTGGCGTTCCGCTCATCATCACGAGGGTTCTTCTTATTGCTTGGCTCGTCGTCTTCATCGTCACTGTCTGAATCATCGAGTGCGGACGCAGGGAGCGAGCCTGACTCTACCGCAGCCCGAAGAGCAGCTTGGCGCATATCCCGGCGGCTTTCAGGCTGTTGCGTGACGAGACCATGCTCATAGTCGTCGGAGCCGACTTGCGCGTAGCCATTTCCATACGAGTTGCCTTGGGAGCCAAGCGCAAGGCCGTAGGTGGCGGCGCGTGTGGTAGTGTAGGCGACCGTGATGAAGGTGACGATTGCACCGATGATGATGGTAGCTTTGCGGGTGCCACGGGCGCGGATCAGAGGGTTGCACTGGTGGTCATCCGGCTCCATGCCCACGGCGGACATGGTTAGGTAGGTACAGTAGATTGCTACAATGGCGGATTGGGCGAGGCCGGCGCGAGGATTCACGCTCTGGACGGCAGGGTGGATGGAGACTACTGATGATATCAGGAGTAGCAACAGGTTGATCTACACTTGTCAGTTGTGTCATACTAAACTTGTGGTCAACGTACCGTAATGGCTGCCTGGTTCATGCCGCATCCACTGCGCGCAAAGTAGATGTACATGACCACGGTCATGGCGAACGAAGCCAGGTACATGAACAGCGCAGAACCGACAAGCAAGCCCGTCCATACCCTCGACTCAGTGACTTCGATCTTCTCCTGGCAGTACTCGGCCCAGTTGTGCGCCAGGTCGACGAGCAGAATAAGTCCAATGAGCAGGAATAGGCACGCGCCCACCATGGCGAAATAATTGCCCCATACGATGAAGAAAGAGTTCGGGATGAAGAAGGTCAAGACAATCATGGCAAGCCATCCAAGAACCTTGGGGGCCCAGAATCCATTCTGTATCGGCGCGCGCCCGTCCTTGGAGGACCGTACTCCGACGAGCATGAGAGCCATTAGGACGTGGAAGAAGCCGAGGGCGAAGTTGATGCGTTGTACCGCGACGTATCCGTAGCATTGCTCGCCGTGGCATTTGATGTCGACGTAATCGAGCGTGAGGTGGGCGAGCTTCTTCATAGCCCAGTCTGTGAGCATGATCCATGACACGATCGAGTTGACGAGGAGAATGAGCGCGTAGGCGATACGGGTGGCGATGCTGCAGCGTGATCAGTATGCGCATATGCATTGAGAGAAGACCAGGCGTACCTGTTACCGCAGTTGCCTCCACATGAGCCAAACACAGCGCTACAAGTCGCCGCTCCACAGCAGGAGGCGGCAATACTCCAGACCTGGGCGGATTAGCGGCGGGCGGTCGAGGCGAGCACGAGTACATACCGTGCCCATAGCGGGCAACGCCAGGAACGGGAGCGATAGTAGTGCGCCCATGGTGGTGATGTCGTGGGCGTCGTGTTGGTGTTTTTGAGAGAAGTGGAAGGCCGGTGACGTTGACTTGCGCCGGGCGGCTGCTTCTGGGCAGCCTCGCCTTGGCCGTCTTATCTCCGGATGTCTGTCGTCCATACTCCAAGCTAACAGCTCCCATCTCAATTCCTACTCGGATGCTACTTCTCCTACTCGTTTGCTTTGTGCTTCTTCATGCTATAGAATTTCTTCTCATTACTCCCTGCGCGTCGCGTCGCCCATCTCTCTCTTATCGCATGCGGCAGTTCCACCGATATCAGTCCCAGTCCACGCGATTGTGCAACCTGGACACCTTTCACCCTCGATGATACCCTCGTTGTACAGTTAACTACCTGCCTACACTCGCTACCATGGTCGCCGAGCCTACTACAACCACGCATAAGAATACACGCATCATCTCCGTCGTCGCTGCGACTACAATCGCTCTTGCATGCGGTACAAATGTGGGGGAACTACGTCCTCTGAGAAGAGTGCATGCTAATGGGATTTAGTATGCCTACTCAGCATGGGCACCACAGTTTGCCGATAAACTTCAGCTGTCTGCTACCCAGAGCAATGTTATCGTACGCCGGCCCAACCCCGGCTTCGTATACCCACGTCGTCTGACTGTTACTAGGGAACCGCAGCCAATCTGGGAATGTATGCTTCCGGCATACCCATGGGCTTCATAACGGACAGAAAGAGTCCACGTCTAGCTGCTCTCATAGGCATGTTTGCTTTGTTCGCGGGCTACTATCCTATCAAGCTTGGTATGAAACCCGGAGTCGAGAGATAGAGTGTTGAAGTTGGGGCTAATCATTAGCAGCGTATGATGGAGGTCCTGGCTATATGAGCATTACATTAATATCTTTTTGTTCTTTCTTAAGCGGTGTAGGCAGCTGTGCTGCATTTCAAGGGGCTTTGAAGACCGGTATGCACATGGTTCGCTTTACAATAACGCACGCTGACAGTACAAGCAACCCTCAATTGGCCAACACATCGCGGGTCAGCGACAGCTTGTCCATTAGCCGCATTTGGACTGAGCGCTTTCTTCTACACTCTGATAGCTGGCTTTGCGTTTCCTGGCAACACCTCCGGGTTGCTTATGATGCTCTCTTTGGCGACGTCTCTTCTTGTCCTTGTTTCGATACCCTTCCTCGTCGTCGTCGATCATAAAAGCGGCACAGGCTATGCAGTTCTTCCCACCAGTGAGCGTACTCGACGAGACTCCAATCTCCTCCACCGCACAAAATCCCCCCAACAACTGGAGATCAGTAAGCACCACATTTCTTTTTCATCTCTCTGCCCCATCTGTCAGCTGCCAACCACTTCCAGCAGACGAAGACGAGCAGGATGACCCTTCTACCGAAACATCATCCCTGATATCTGGACCCGGGGATATCGTAGATGACGACGATGCCGCTAGCAAGAAGTCGACTCACTCACATCGTACAGATATCACAGGACTGGCGTTGCTCCACAGGCCGGAGTTCTGGCAGCTTTGGGTTCTTATGGGGTTATTGACCGGTGTAGGACTGATGACCATCAAGTGAGTATGCTCACAAGCCCAAACGATTACAGCGATTGATGAACGTAGTAATATCGGCCATGATGTGCAAGCCCTGTGGAATCATTGGGACAACTCCGCGAGTAAGGATTTTGTAGCACATCGACAGCTATGGCATGTCTCCATCATCTCCATCGGCTCCTTTTTCGGGCGTCTCTCCTCCGGCATCGGCTCGGATATCATCGTGAAACAACTGCACCACTCACGCTTCTGGTGTGCTGCCATTTCAGCCACCATCTTCGCATTTGCCCAGTTTGCCGCTATCCGTATTGAGAATCCCAACTTTCTGTGGGCCGTCTCTGGACTATGTGGCCTTGCTTACGGCGTGCTATTTGGCGTCCTCCCTGCACTCGTCGTTGATGCTTTCGGCCCAGATGGGTTTGCTGTCAACTGGGGATTCATGACCATAGCCCCTGTCATCAGCGGCAACATCTACAACCTCTTCTACGGAGTCGTATATGACTCCAACTCTGTGGTGGAGCCCGACGGTCAACGAGGCTGTGAGCAAGGACTCAAGTGTTACCGGACAGCATACTATGTCACGCTTGTATCGAGTGTTCTAGGTATCTTTGCGTGTTTCTGGGGCATATATGGAGAACACGCGCGGAAGATTAGGGAGCAGGAAGAACACGAAAGGCATCGAGATGCCTGATCTTTTTACCAATTTTTACTTACCAAGAAACTTTATACCGTTTAGATCTAGATTTGGGCTCGGCGTCACGGCCGCTTTTGGGTTGCTACCTGTACTGTTTATAATACCATAGTTAGACGGCACGCAAGCTGTTTGCAGATCGCAACGATTTCCCTATAGATAGATCGCGTTTTACCACTTGGCCCAATTCACGAAGTAACATGATTCCTAACAAGGAGAGTGGCGCAATTAATCTTCTATCGCGCTGCTTGATGGCAATCTCATGTATCTTGGACGTACTCTCGAAGTATGCTCATCGCATGGAAATGAGTGCGGTGTGTGTTGTTCATACTTTGCTTCATGTGGTTAGAGAGTGTTTTCAGTAGGATGGGTCTTAGAGTCTCAGACCGACTCTTTGGCAGTGTTTCGGTCTTGTTCGGCAGGACTCAAGTCGGCAACAGGATGTGCACTACAGTTCTTAACGGGATGACTCAACGGGATGAGGAAGTGGTACTTGGTTCTGTCCCGAGTGGATACTACTATCTGTTTAGTGTAATCCCAATCAGGTATAGATCAGATCAAGTATACTCAGTCAATGGCATCGCCACACTCATGTTCACATCAGAATCAGGCTGTAGAACGTATCTTATTCGAACAAATACAAAGATAGACACCAAAGGCAGGTGTATGAAACAGTCAAGTACTCCTTTCGCCTGTAAAGCTCGCTCTCCCTCCCAAAAAATAATATCGTACAGCATATTCGTCACCGCTTCGTTCCACTAACCTCCAGAAGCTATGGGTCTCCTACTTGGCGCGGCTTTCCCTCGGAAAGTCCCTTGGCCGCTTCAAGCGCTTTGACAGTATCTCCAATAAGCTCCGCTTCTCGCTCGGGGCCGAGCAGGAAAGCACCGACGATATCATGGTGTGATCCTGGTGTGGTTTGAAGGTCCACCGAACCGCAGACCTCACTTCTTGGAAGGTTATAGCGGTGAGGTCTTGTGTTGAGGTAGTCGCGGTGGACGAACGCTTGAGTCGGCTGCGAGCTCACTATAGCTTCGTGGGAGTAGTTTGTATTCGGTGATCGAAAGGTTGGATAAGACGCTCATAGGCTATGAGCAGACCCAATTTGGGAAAGCTGAAGAATCGAGTAAAGTACGGCATGTCATCGGTTGGGCGATGATGCGAGTTTGTGTAGAGCGAAGGACTGAGTGAGGTATAATTTTGAGAGTCGTTAGTTTCGTTGTCGTCGCTACATTGTGTGAGTCCAATATTACACACTAGGTGTCGGGAAAACGTACTGTTCCTAGCATCGATTGTGTTCCACATTCACAACTTCTTGAAGGTCCTCCTTAGCGTCCTCTAGACACTCCTGGATCTCTCTGAAGATATCCATCGCCGACCTCCCTTGCATCTCCCTCACTGGGGTGGTTGGCGAATACTTGACTTTATCCCAGCACTCTACCCTGGTTTGCAGTCTGTCCAAACGCCTTTGTGCTCTGGCCGATGCATTGCGAGCCGCATCCAACACCCGTTTCTTGTCCGCGATCTTATAGGCTTTACGGAATTCCTCGTTGAGGATCGCTTGCTCCTCAGCGTTGGTATGGGCCAGAGCGCGATCAACCTCGTTCTGTAGTTGCTTGATCTCGTCTTGATTTCTGGTCAAGGCATGGTTATATGTGCTCCATTCGATTGGAAGGGAGCTAATGGCCGTCGCAGTGTAAACCGTCATGATGATATGATGAATTGTTGATGAATTGGATCATTATGAAGATCAAAGGTACATTTGTACGCAAGACCATTTATATGTAAATTACACCCTTTCGGTACCACGCTGCCGGCATGAGGGGTCACATGTGAGGGGTGCATGAGGAGTGACTGGAGGGATGAGGGTCGAGATGTTGGCTGGGGTGATGTCGGCGAGAGACGGAAGTAAACCAACATGTGGCGTGACCGGCCATGTACCCCATGATCTTTAACACACGTTCCCCAAGACCGTATCGCGGGGTCTAGCTCAGCCATTTCTGAGTTGTAACACTATTGAAGCGCCGCGCATTATCGTCGTCCACGTATTGCGCTCATTCTCGGATTTGCAACCGTCCACCAGTGGCATCATCTTTGCCAATGGACGTCCAACTCCCTTCAGATAATTCCACTGTGAGAGCTCCATCCGATACCGGATACCGAATACGAGGTTCCCGCGGCTCCACGTGAACTCTTTCTGTTTACGTTCTCGTCCAGCGGTCGTTTACTCTCTCCACTCAGCCACACGCTTCTTCCAAGCTTTTCCTTGCACAACTATGTGCATGGCCCAATCAGTGTATTGAGCATGTGGCTATCCTCTTTACTTGGAATTGTGCCTTATCCGTCCCTAAGCTGGTGTAGTTAATCTCAGATTGTATCGTGATGATTACGAGATAGTTATTAATCGCATCTGCATGCCAAGGGATGATAGAAGTGCCCAGAACTCGTCAATTGCAAACGTTGACAGAACACAATAAGCCAGCGTGAGCACTGGAATGGAGGGGTTTCCGGATTCTTTTTGTCGCGTGTACGTGATGTCAATCATTGTTGCGTACGTGTTTGTTACATTAGCCTCCGTTTACTGAACTCCACATCCCGGGACAAGTTCTGCTGTATCACCTTGACAATACCAATCCTGCCTCACAAGGCCAAGCAAGATTGGATTCTGCTTCTAGATATCAAACACTTCCATTGCATGCTGTGCCCGGGTAGACTAAGATGCTGGCGTCGACGCGAAGCACAGTGTCTATCATTTCTGTATAGTAGAGGGAACCCTCGATCCATGTTGAAACTCACGCGAGTCTTAGTCACGATGTCGACTCTATGAATCTTATACCATTAGTGCGGATAAGGCCGTCGCAACCAGGATTAAGCGGATCACGTCTTCTCGCTGGAGGGCTCAGAGAACTGTGCCGAGTCAAAATTTGACTAAAATCTTCCGACTTGGTTCTTGAGCTCTGAAAAGTGCATACTGTGCACTTGACACTGAAGGAAGGCCCACACGAGTGCGGGGATTCGACCGAAGCCTACTAATGTACCGAGTCGTGTCACGTCGTGCATGTGCCAGAGCCGTCTTCACCCTGATACTTAAGGACGCCAAAGGGTACCGAAATTCCAAGACTGAGGACCAGATTGAGGTGTTGAGAGGCTCGTGGAAAGGTTCCAGGGCGCGCGAAGCGCGTGGGCGATGGAAGCCAGCTGCGAACACCACCGCAGGGTAATCTGGAACAGAAACAGGACTCGGCAGCGGCTCCAATGCAGCAGAAGTCGTTATGCAGTCTCAGATCATGGTCTCACGATCAGTGATGGCTGCTTGGGAATACGTAACCGAAAAGGCTAATCTTCGGGCATCCAAGCGCCGCTTGTAATCTCCTCTTGAAGCTGCGCCGTTCCACCATCATTCCCGACTTTTTCCCGTACCACATCTTGTGATTCAAGCAACATACATATAGTCTTTCTCCATGACTCTTGCCCCAGGCAGAACGGACGGTCATATCTGAGCGATGTAACTAATGAACTCTCGCATACCTACAGGAAACCAAGCGCGCCTTTGCCTTCGAAGTTACCACATGAACCAGACAGCGACTCGATGTCGGTACGCGCCAACACGGTCTTGAATCTTTCCATGACCCAAATACACCAGTACCACGTCGTAATTGAAGCGCCATTAGTCCCATCAAAGCATGGAAGATACGGGGAAAATATAGGGAGATGGGAGATGGGAGATGGGAGATGCGATGCATTGTATTCATCCGCCTTCATGCAGATACTACACATTGAGCATATGCGTTTATGTGCTTCGACCTTCATGATCGGGAATTTGGGGGGACACGAAGAAAGCCGCTACAACGTTTACCCTGAGCACGGCAATTCGCGCCTGTTCGTAAGAAGAAAGATATATATTCAATGGTCTCATAGCTGGAAAGTGCTAGGTCAGTGGCTGTTGAGCAAAATTTGAGATTGAGGAGCGTACTCACAGCCAGTTTGTTGAGATGTAGAGGTATCTTGGCCACCTCGCCATGGAAGTGCACGAGTAATAGCGAAAATCGACGTAGAAAACTTGAAGGGTGCCTGAAGGGGTCCTCATCGTTTGCGGGGCGAAATGTAATAGCGAGAGGTAGGTGTATGACTCCAGGCTCCTTTAAGTGATGTTGGTCTGAGAAGCGAAAACCACCTGACGGTAGGGTGCGCCCAAATATATCTTATTCGGATATAGCATGATTATGCAGATTGGGCCGGGCTAATATGTAGATCATCCTCTTATGCCTCTATTCACTCTATCTCATCCGTGCTAGTCCCAGTAGAGACTGGAATGGGTCAATAGCTGGCTTCATCTTCTCCTTCGTATCGGGGTTCGGTAGTGATTCAGGAGAAACAAGAGGCACTTTGACCGCAACCGGCTTCTTTGTCGGACCAAAAGTCGCAATGATATCTTCGTCCTGCTGTATCATCTCGCTAGTTCTCCCTTTAGTTTCTTCAGGGACGCCCTCATCCACTCCGTTCTGCTTCCCGATCTCGATCACGCGCTGGAGGTCCACCTTCCTCCCTTGCTTCAGACTCTCGGCTCGACCTAGCCTCCTTCCAGCGGCCAGACCATCTGACATCCCCGTCATTCTGCCTTGTTCGGCTCCTATTCTGATCCCTTCCTCTGTGCCAGCTTCAAAACCGCGCTGGTATGCCTCGTTGGTTGCTTTGGCAAGTAATACCTGAAAGTACGGGGACTCGCCGTAGGTTTGGGTTGCTTGCGATACGAGTGCTGCTGCTTCAAAATCAGCAAAGGATTGTTGAAACGCTAATATACTTCTTACCCTCACTTTGGAAGCCGATGCGATTTTCCAGAGCGTTCAAGCGTATGGTGCTGATCAATTGAGTCAAAGCGAGCTGTTCAGTTAGCCTATTTGGAGTAAACTCCGAAAGCTAATCCACATAGACTCGCCTTGATGTCCTTCTCGTGTGCTGCAGTTGTATTCTCCTGCTCCTGGCGTAGACGTGCTAAAAAGTCTTCTGGCGGCTGCTGTTTCGCAGTAATGTTGGCCTCGCGAGCACTTTGCAGCAGTGTTTGAAGACGATCTGAAACCGTTGGACCGTTGTTGTGGTCACTTGCCCATCCATCGTCTGACGTCCCTGTGAGATTCATCTCGTACATGCGTGAAAATGTGTCGCGGTCGTATGGCACCATCGCCATCTTGTGCGGTAAGGTCGAGCGATTGACACGCTCGCGACAAGCTCTAGTGTCACCTGGGTGATCGCAAAGTGAAGTGATAGAAGATCGCGTGGCAAGCGAGGTGTTAGTAGGTAGCGCTTGCAGTGCAAACAGAAGGACTTCTTGGCAAGTATTATGCGGGACAGTAACGGTAAGAGCGCCGCCACCTTCACCTCGAGTTAGTTCATGATGGCAACTTTATGCATACAGCTCCTCAATGAAACCGTGTAAAGGCATGTGGCAGACTGTAACGCTAATCATCGTATGAAAAAAGAGATGGATAGAAAGAGCGAAAAGTATTGTCATGATATGAGAAGGACCTCTCCAAAAAGAAGTTAACAAAGAGTTTGCCTTGCGTAGCTAGCGACAAATCGAATTTTATTATCCATATTCCCATTACGATGAATCGCTGAAGTCAATGCGGTAAACCATGATCAACAACTTCAACGTTATTACTATACACCATTAGCTTCATCAAACATCAACCCTATTCTACTCACCCTACAGGGTCAAGCACAAACCCAGCATAGTACTTAGGATGATACTGATGCCTCCATCCTGGCTTCCCATTACATTTCCCACCCGCCTTGACCGCCTCTTCATAGAAAGCTTCAACAGCCGTTCGGTTCGTCGCTCGAAACGCGATATGGGTCGCTGCGACCTGTTCTTCCCCCTTGGCGGCTATAAAGAACGGCATCGAGAGCTTGTCTGGTCCAAGGCCGACACCATGTCCGGGATATTCCTTCTGCATCGTATAGCCGAGAGGCGCAAGAGCCGCCAGATACCAGTTTATGACTTCTTCGAAGCGCGCTGCGGGAACCGTGATGCCGATGTGATCGAGCATTCTGACGAGATGGCCTTTCAGGATATGAAGATGGAAGCGTCTGGGCGCTTGGAACACTTGACAGTCACTAAAACTCAGTGAAGTGATGGATGGTCGTAAAAGTAGAATGAGATTTCGCGCTGTGTGATGTTTAGGCGCTTTGTCTTCACGACTCGTTATCTTTATGTCTGGAAGCTAAAAGTGCGGGGTCTGACATCAGTCAGCGCGAGCGCGAAGAGGAAGTCAGGTGCATTCGTGACTCCTTAGAAATATGCTGACACATTTTAGTCTAAATGATAGCGAATGAGCTCGATGGCGTCAAGGACTACCAGCGTCGTACGCTATTGTTATAGAGCTCAAGGGGCACATCCAAGAGTATTGTAGTTGCAGCCAGGGCTCAGGGTCCTCTTCGTACCGAATTGCATCTTACATCTTCGGTCAAAGACTTCTTCACACCACAGCGGTCTAAGAAATGGGGTTAAGTACGCTTCGCACATGCTAGAGAGACAGATTAAGACAGAAAAAAGCAGCATTCTGATTGGGATGCGAGCAGTATCGGAAACACATTTCGCGTCAACAATCAGACACGTAGTCGCGCATGTATGGCCTACCGGGAATGCCTTTCTAGAAGACATTGGTGTATGTTCAAGCAAAAATAGGAGGTTTCTGGGCAGTATATTAGGCTTTGGATTGTGGAAGATATGATCATGGGAATCGCATTTGCTAGATATGTTGGACAGCTTCCGTAAACCTGGCGCATGAGCGCGACTACACGCTAGCAATCCGCTGTATATGGATTTTCAAACTAGCATGGTCATGGGTAAAAGGCAAACTACGAATCATAGCTAATGGGAACAAGTATATGAATGAGCACACGCTGGCCCTAATTTGGAGAGGTGCATACAACAGATTTAAAGACTCTCGGTTCAACAGCATGCTTCTTGCTGTTCAACTCACCCTCGACGGCTTCGAGCAAACAGAAGAACATAATCACCGGTTTTTTCGAGAGGAAGTGGCTACATACAGTGTAGGTCTTACTGAACTATACTATTTTCACGCTCTACTTACATATATGCTCAGTATCTCGAAGGCCAGGCGACCAGATTCTACTCTCACATCTTCCCTTCGGAAGAGTGGAATGTTCACTTCCATCTCGAATGGGAAGACACCAATGATGATGAGTGCGGGGCTCCTCTACAGATTGTGCTTTGGAACAGCGGCGCTTACTTCAATGATCAGTGGCTCGATGATGATATGTTAAAGGTTAAGGCACATTTCGTGCCGAAGGAGGGAGATCGTTCTATGGAGCTCCAGGTTGGACTGGGAAAGCATCAACCTGAGCATACTTCACCGTATCTTGCGAGAATTCTGTAACCAAAACGGATGACCTTCTGGGTGCCACAGTTGACGGGACGGGATGGAAGTCATCCATTTGCAAGGGCATGTTCTCAGTGTATCGCGAAGGCGGCTTGGAGGTTAAACCTGTGCTTTGAGTGAGGGTGAGTCCCAACGCATTTTTCCATTGGATTACTGTCAACTTGTTCATATATCAGCGTCTGCATATATTTGAGATCGAAAGCGCCTGCGCCCCAGACCATCTGTTGAGCTATCGCTGATTCTGTGGAGGTACTTCTAAGTGCGAAGATGTTTGTGACTACTTGAATCTTTCGGGATAGGGAGCATATGTCGAGCTAGTCCTCAACTACGGTATCATACCCCATCATCCTTCTCCTAGATCAACTTCTACAACGAAGATACAGGTCAAGCTCAACTAGGGGAATGTAGTCTATGCGGTATCAACATACTCTCTGACGAAACAAGAGACCACCAGTTAAGGCTTCCAAAATGTCATGCATCTCATGGAGTGCACCTCATATGAATTCATACCTAAGATTGAGCATCCAAGGAAAGAATGGCCCGTTTACATACACACAGTCACACGAGTTCGCGAAGATAATGTATGCTCGAATGCCCTGATGAACTGACGTGACAATACCAATAATAGGATGTGTTCCATGAAATCCCCTCGCATTATGATAGCTATATAACTTCCATGCCGTCATGCCTCAGCTATCACATCAAACCCGCTTCAGCTCAGTTGCCTCCACTGACGCCCATGATTAAGTCTCAAAGTGCCGTCTGTACGGGCGAGGTGGAGTGTAGCTGTTTGCAAAGCAGCCAAGGTTCTCTACTTTTGGCGTTGAACTCACATTTGCGTACGGACCTATAGGCTCACATGAACTGGCGAATCCCCATAAAAAAGGATATGCGGTCGAAAAGAGTTCATCATGGGCGAAAGGCAAGCAAACACTCGCCCACGAAGCCACTGAATCCTTTGAACCGCTGCCCCCCAACCACCTTGATGATACCAGCCAACTCGCCATTTCAGCAGAAGCAGTTCACACAACACTCACCTCTAATAGCCAGAACCGAGAAACCGAAACACCAAAGGATTGCTAAATCGGCGACCTTCAACTTGGCTCCCTCTCAAAACAGCAGCGATTGCGATGCCGCTCGCTCGACTTGTACAGTACTTATCTGCATGTGACCAACCTGAGCTGAACTGAGCAGATCGCCATGGGTGCAAAGAGCAAACAAGGAGATTCCAAGCGAAATCCACAAGTCCACGTCGGCGATCAGCTCCTTCGACGTGATAGACGTTCATGGGTGGTGCAGTACGCCGTTGGGTGCGCCTCCATCGTTCGTTTGCTGCTGAATGGATTACGCCCAGCGAAGCGGAAGGCAGGCAAACCCTTCACAGAAAGCTTCGTCGCAGCGGCGTCGGGGTGCTCTACCGCCCGACTACTCGCTTGGGACTACTGCTCCTCTAGCTGGATCTGGCTTCGCGCCTACAGGCGTTCCGTCGCTGGATCTCGACCGTCGCAGGCATACGACTACAAAGTGGCATGTTTTTTTCTCGTAGCAGCCGATGGATGGGATGTTGTTCGGGAGGGTCATGGTAGCTGAAGTGAACTAGAGTCGAGCGCGCCCGCCCGTCGCCTCGTGGCATGTCCACGACGAACCGGTCGTCACGGAGCCGCCGAGCCTCTTCGGGTTCCAGCCCTCCACAAATTCTCAGTCGCTTAGGCCGCGTTGCGCAATTGGTGATAGCCGTTGGCCAGAAAGAGATGAGGCATGGACGGAAGCGTGAGGGTCCGAGTCAAGATAGGAAGGATGGACTGATGGGTGCAGATCGATTTGGCGAGAAAAATGACTCGTTGGTGGAATTTGGAAAAAACGAGAAAGAGAGAGCGTGTGGTGTGGATGGGTGGGGAGGCGGGGGGGAAATCTACTTGCCACGCCGCAAGTGCATCCACACGGCCGTGATTGGGAATAGGTGGTAGCTGGAAGAAGAGACCGAGTTGCGCAAAGGGATAGGCGCGCGCTGAAAACTGCAGACATGGACTGATTGGAACGGGCGACTTGTGCAAAAGCAGGAGATGTGTAGGAGAAACAGGTTACTACGCGCGTTTGACTTACCACAGGTAGCTACTCGCAACGCGCCTCGTATCGTATGCATCTACTATATACCGCACCCGTTGGCTAGCTTACCCGGCGGCTGGAATAACCCACGACACCCAATCCACATGCTGCATTCAGCCTCGCTCTGCAGTCGAGAAGGAGAAGATACCTCGGTCTTATGGCTCCGTCATTGCCCTGAACCTCAACAGGCGTAGGAAACTCTGTGACTTACTCGCAGCCTGTTCGTATCGCTAGGCCCGTGACTAACAAAATCGCACCAAGCACTGTCGTTCGTTATCTGCATGCTCACCGGCGCACCGCACTGCACTGATGACGCCTCATCTACCATGTCACCGGTCCTAGCACAGAAACCCACAACACGGTCGAGAAGAAAAGCCGTAAGGCCTGTCTGCCCCACCTGCAAGTCCCATGCGAGGGTTGTTTGTTTGTTTGCTGCTCGGAGGCATGTCGGAGTGCACAAACAGTAGCCTGACTGAATAATGAGACCTGTTTCCTCGCACCACACAGAAGGAATCTCGCTTCGTCTCAAATGTTCAATGTACCATGTCCGCTCCTCCAACGCGAACCGAGTGGCGGCTCTGGATCCGCCTTTCCTATTCCTCGCAGCGAGCAGGTAAGAAAAGGAGGAAAGATGCGGGTCAGTTTTGTTGGCGCTATAATTAGTTGCGTTAGCGTTACACAACGGTTTTTCTCCTGCCTCGTGGCTCGGCTTGTCCATGTGCGACCCCACCATCGTGTCAGAGAAAGTCAGTCAGCCGCCTCACCGTGCCCATGACTTTGCATGGTCCGCGCCCGCACCGGCCCGCGACGGATTGGGGAAACTGGTGCGAAGTTCACACTATACTCAACGACAAGCATGTAGTCCAGGGGACCCGAGGACTAGTTGTAAGTACGTAGCCGCTGTAGTCGTTCCCTGTGTGTGCCTGTGCCTGGGCGAGTTGCAAGGCATGTCAGCCGAAGGGAAGGGGGGAATGCCCAAGACCCCACACTGCCGGCCGAACTATATCGCGTATTGCCTGTCAGACATCGCGTGTCGCCGTCGTGTCCGCCGTGTAACACTTCTTTGGAATTCTCTGGAAGGAGAACGTCGGCCAGAGCGCAGCTGGCGTTGACCCGGGTGCAAGGGCTCGGGTTCGTACCAGCACACATGCGCACGAGGGGGCCGAAGTACAGCATGTCCGCTGGTTGGTGGCGAGCGTAGAAGGGCTACTACGGTATGCGTCCACCGGGGTTTCCGCGCTGAGGGAGGGCCTTGCAGGATGCAGCTTGATGAGAATGGCAGGTCGAGGATTAGGCGAGGTGGTGAGCGGGCAAGCGTAGCGAGGGCTCGAGAACGTTGCGCAGGATGCTTAGGGGGTTGAGAGATTGAGACATGTTTCGTTGGGTAGAGCCAGCCTACGCGAAGGCACTCATCCTTCATCCCCACGGCTATTGTCGCTGTTGTGTGGGCACTGCAGTTCGTTGCGCGCGAAATTCAAGGCACGCTGTACTTCCTCTTTTGCGTTACTCCACGTTTGAGATGACGAGATGACCTTGTGTGTAACCAACAAGCACTATATTTACACGATTGTTCCGCCATTCAACGATGTCAGGGCTGAACTGTATTGCCGCTTTGGGACTGGATTGGTATGGCTACCGTGGTCCTGGGTTCTCGTGTTGGCCGCCGTTCAGGTACCTCAACGGTATATCGGAACGACCTTGCGTGATTATTGATGTCGTGTATGTGGGGTAGCTTTATGCAATGGATGCAGTAAGTCTACTGTTTCATCAGCACAGAGTTTCTTGACAATCAGGCTTCGGTGCGTCTTCTCGACCAGTCTGCATATATGCTGCATGCGGCTGAACGTGGGCACTATTTCCAGCATGTATCAGTTACTGGCTGTCAACAACCCGGTGATGTCTCGGACTTGGAGTACTTTGGCGCTCTTATTCGATTGCGCGCCCACGATAATGGCCTGCGTATTGCACAAGGATATGGATATACTGTTGTGGTTCTGATATACAATCAAAGCTTCTATAGTGCGCATTGACGCTGCGGGAGTCTTCATCTAGATATGACGGCCCGTGCCATTGCTTGAATGAGTGACAATACTTTCTGAGGCCCCCGGCGTCATGAAATGAGAGAGCAAGGCCATCCATGTACTGCAATAGTACAATGTTGTGTAGCATTCGCGGAGAATTTGGAAGCCAGAGTATAGCTTCGTTATGTGTCTTAGATGGTCCGCTCGTTACGCGACGTCCGAGTTGCTATTTGCGGTGATAGACAAGATTAGTATGGCCAGGTGCGGGTGACGGATTGATGTTGAAGGCAGGGGTCGCGACATGTGTAACTATGTTGGTTGGTGACTGACAGAGTCGCACAGTCTGACGGGAGCGTCAGAGGTGGTTGGATACGGGGTCGGCAGGGACTGGCGAACGTCTGCTGTATACCTAGTAGTAAGTCTGCATCAGCGTGAGCTGGATAAATCACTGGTAATCCATTAGCCAGATAGCAAGTAAGCGAACAACAAGAATGTAGTGCAGTGGACTGGCTAGAGGGCCGTCCATGGTGCATTCAAACGCTGTTAGGACGTTAATGTTGATTCCTAAGAGGATTCCCAAAGCGCCTACGCCCTAGTTGAGCTATCGCTGGTTTTAATGTTGATTTCATTGGGACATGAACCTTCGCTCTCGTGCTTCGGAAATATACAAAGTCGTTGCTCGAGGATTAGTCCAGTGTTTACTGTCGTGGTGCGTACTGCCTCATACGCTGCGGCCTGGACTATATGAGCCAGATAAAGACCCTCGCTGTTCAGGCGTAAGCCTGAGGGATGCAGCTGGGCCAGCCTATTACCCATCGAATACTGAATTAGATCTAACCGCATCATCGTTTCTTCATCACCGGCTCTCTGCTACAGAAACCGAGCAACGCCAGCAATTCATGACTCCCCCAAAGCAATATTCAATAGATGGAGAAAAAAACATTGACACGCAAAGGGATTTCGATTCCCTGAAGCACGGCTAAGAGTGACGTAGCCACCTTCCACGCAATCGCGAGTCGCGATGTGCTCTCTCTGGAGGGGGACATGACGCGTATCCCACAGAACTCGGTCTCTACCTGCCCTCAAAAGCGAGCTAATCGCCGACTCGATCGACATGCAACCCCAATTGGGAAACCTCTCGATAAGCCGTGAACCCAAACAAGCAATTCGCACACGCTAGTGGGCAACGTTTACGGCGCAACGCATCATCTAGGATTACGTGGATCCGTTTACGTGTCAAGTCAAGCAAACCATTGAGATGCCGCAGCTCACGGGGAAGGCAGATCCCGATCACGATCATGGGACGAATGGAGAAGCAGCCGATGGCCTTTCCGGTATGGAAAGAGTGTTAGTGGATAAATCTTGCTTTTTGGTGTTGATGTGGACGGGTGGTGGTCGCACTAGCACACTTGCTGCCGCAGTGTGTTGTCAGTGTCAACGATCTGGCGTCTGTGCCGCGAGAAAAACGTTGAACGCTCGATCGAGATTTCTGCCAGCGAAGTGTCTGAGACATGCTGCTGCTGGTGCGAAGCGATTGCACGATCAGCGCGCGCGCGTTGGCAAGGACGTTTGGTGCTTCTTCTGATGTGAGATGCGCTGCGTGTCACCGTTCGTTACGCTTAGAAGAGCGTTTTGTCTCAGCGGTTTGGAGGAGTTGGAAGCTCGTTAGACTCCGCTTACCTTGCGTATAGCAGTACGACATGGCGAGTATAGAAATAGAGATGTAGTCGCGGCTCCTGAGGCGAGGCTATGAGATGGGCGGTGAGAGCGACCTCAACTTTTGTCCCGACGCATGTATACGACAGCATCTCATGTCTAGAACGCGCAATACAGCTTCTCTATCGTAGAAGGACCGCTCTGGACCGGGCGAGTCAGTGGCCCATTGTCGTTGGAATTGACTTCATAGTGTGAAGCGCGATATAGCCCCCAAAAGGAAAGATGCAGTGGGTATTTGTCACGATACCGTGCTGGACTTCAGAGGCCTGTGCAACGGAAGTGGGATTGCTGTGCAGGCAATATTCGTGAAGCGCCCATGTCGCCAGACTGACTAGCCAAAGGATCTCGCCCGACCGTACGGGCAAAAGCAGCTCCTCATGAGCACAATGGTCGATGGCTCGATCGTGGGCTCACGGTGCAGGCCAGTCCTGGTACGTGATTAGTTGCAGGGCTTAACGCTCAATAACGATTACGACCAATTTGACGGGGTCACCGCGGCGAGATCAACCCGCGCCTGCCTCTTTCTCCATCATGGTAGGTTTGGTGCAAGGCCAGTCGTGATGTGCGCCACCGTGACAATCTCGGCATTCTTGCATGGGAACTTCCGGCGGGACTTGATCAACTGTCCGAGCGCCCCCTTCGTCCTAGTCGAGCGTAGGAGTTTATACTTTATAGATGATGGTGGTAATTACTTTGCAAGAGCAGTGCTGTACTATTGACATGGGATTAACGGCAAGAGTGAACGGACGGTGTAGACGGGCTAGTGGAAAAGATCTACCATCGTAGCCGGCGATCTTGAAACATCAGGGCACAGAAGGGAGCTGACTGTGCAGTGACTTTCTTGCTTTTGCGCGGGAGAAAAGGGGTTTTGGTGTGGGGCTGGCCGATCCGATTCGGCGCGCGGTCAGATCTGGGCTAAACGGCTTCCTTTGCTGGTGCTGCATCTTGCTTTCGGCCAGTAAAAGAGTTGCCCCGAAGAAGGACGCTAAAGCACACAGATGGGGTCAATGACGAGTCAGCGAAACGCTCTGCACACCTCAGGTTGCAGTCTTCGGAATGTAGCGCCCCTGTGGTGACCTCAACAAAAGCCAAACAACAGTGCATCTCACCCATGAAGTCGTTACGCGAGTCGCAAGATGCTCTAGAAGACCTGGTGGAAGGGAATCGTCAGACCGGCGACGTGCCGCTGTCAAAGCCGTGAGCGCAAAAGGCAGTTCATTCACTCTTAACTCCGCGCCAAGCATGGCAAGATGGGGGGCTATAGCCAATGGAAGGCTGAGGAAATCCGGGCGAGAGACGGCAGAAAAAGCAAATACGATGATGCGGGTGGGGCGGTTAGTTTCAGAACGATTGACGTTGCAGCTGCCTGCCATTGGCTCAGCGGGAACATTCGTTAATCTGATCTCTGAAGATCATTGCTAGGGTTCCCTGCGCAGCATTGGCTAGAGAGGCTAGAAGGGAAAACGAACGATCAATACGTACGCATGTTGCGCATTCTTCATTGTTGAGTGAGTTTGTGCTCAGAGACTCGATGTTTACTTGCTTTGTGGGAGTCGGTGCATGGGGGTGCGCGTATTCGCCCACGCTCGTCTTGACTGTCGTCGTTTGGAATGTTGTCGATATTGAAGGCGGAGAGCGGTCAGCACAACCAGGCCGTGAGCGTGTCACCTCAGGAGTGCCTTGTGGCTCTCTGGCAACAACGTCGCCGACCTTTTCTGTTGCACAGCGTAGGGCCTCGTCAAAACGACAAGGTTGACATTGTTCACTGTTCCCGTGGCCTGCTCGTGAGGCACTCGATGGCGTTCTGAAGGAGATGCTATCGAGCGCTTGCAGGGGACTTGTAGTCGACTCTGGCTATAGTGTGGATCATGTTTCTTCCCTTCCTTGCGGGAGAATGTTCATGGTGCGGACCCAAAGAGTGGAGGGCAGTCCTGGTTAGGGCAATGCTACGACGACATGTAATACTAATACTTTATGAATCGCGATCTGCAGAGGATCTGCTCAATGGCAATCTGGCATCGGGATGTTGCAGAATCGGGCGTTGGGATTGCTGGTTGACCGAACATGTTCGGTCGCGCGCAGAAGAGAGGTGGTTGCACAGGCCCACAGAAGAAGCGCACCTCAGGCCGCCTCTCTCCAGACGGCTTACTGCTGCAGCTGAGACAATATTGCAGCGGCCACGACAGGAGCCATGACTGAAGTGTTGGAACCACCGTTAGTCCCAGAGAACGGGAAACTGCAGCAAGGACAGTATGGCGGGCGCGGATGTGTGCTTTTGCTGCAGCTGACAGCACCGCGTCGAGCCAATGTTGGGGCGGGGCAGGGATTTCTGCTCTTGACGGCCACGCGGAGTTGCACGCTGCCCACGGACGGAAGCGGTGGCCCGTCAGCGACTGAGGTGGATTGACCTGACACGATCTGGCGATTCAAGACCGTCTCAGCTGCTGACTTCAGGCGGCCAACCACCACCAACGGCTGTCAAATGTGCCTGGGCAAGGCGAGGGCGAGAGAGATGGAGTCGTCTTGGATGCTAGTCTGACCAGGGTGCTGATTCAGCGACTGTTAGGTGCATGCAGCCATGGCGGATCGAAGCCAAGGTTCTCGTCGGCTGTTGACGTATGGGGGAAGCAGGATAGCAACCATGGGCGAGCAAATGATTGATTACAGTACATACAGACCAGAGTGAAAGTGGACGGCGAGGTTGCTGCATTGGTGCTCCCGAGGTCTTGTGCGTGTGCAGCAGCAGAAGCGGCTGAGGCACAGCGAGACAAACCAGCGGATACGAGCGCGTCCCGCAACTCCCGTCTAGCCCAATGCTTGGGTCGCGCTTGGCCCAGAGCGGACTAGGCCGTGCAACCCCGGATCTCTCGATACCAGCCACAGCCTTCGCGGGCAAAGCCTCACGACAGGGCCTGACGAGGGCCTCGGTCGAGCCGAAAATACACCGCGAGTTATGTTGTCTGGATTCCGTGAATGCTGGCATAATGAATAGACGTGTCGCGAGGGGTGCGGCAGGTAGCGAAGACAAGGCTGGCAGGCCCTATTTTCCTGCGGTCTCATATTGAGTAGCAGACAATATATGGGCGGGCGTGGGCCCTGTCGATGGCGTAATGGTTTCTGTGCCGCTGAAGAGGGAAAAGGAGCAGCAAGAGCCCTCAGGGGCCCACCCACGCCCGTTGAGATGACAACATGACAGGATCGCAAAGGGAGATATTTGGCATAGCCAGCAGATCGCCATCAAAGCCGCTCGCAGATGGGATAGTGGGTGACGATGGGCGGTGGAGACGCACTGGGATGGGCACTTGGCGGGCCAAACGTTCTTTCCCTAAGCGTCCGAGCAGCCCACCCCCAAGCGTCCCAAACGGGCAGCGACGACGGGGTTGCGCTAAAAAGATTTGAATTGCCAACGGCGGGCGCTGAGTGGGCGCTGAGCCTTTCCACCAAAGTGGGCTCGCTACAGTCCCGCCCTCCAGTCTAGCAAGCAAACAGGAGGGTGGGCACTGCATGGCCTCGTTTCCTCTTCCCCTGCGGGTTACACTTCAGTAAGGCAGACGCTGTGTCGCGAGGTGAGATAATGGAGCGGCGGCGGCCGTGGGAACTGGGTAGCCTGCTTGGGAGAGAGAGAGAGAGAGAGAGCGCGCGCGAGAGTGAACGACAGGCCCAAATAGGAGTGTCTGTGAGGCCAAGCCCACCTCGCCGACCTCGTGTCCTGGCCACTAGCAGGGCGACGGCCGTGACGATCACACACTATGCACGCCCGGTCCGTCCAGACACCTCTGCACCCGTTTGATCGACGAGCGAGCGAGCGAGTGCTGACTGCAACGTGCATCGTGCGGCGCTCGCTCGCCTGCCCTGGTCGAGCAGGAAGACAGACGAGGGAGACGAAGAAGAAGAAGCGCTGCCTCCAATGCCAGTGACCCGTCAGTGTGAGCAGACAGAAACACACGGCAAACACCACGCCTTCAGCCGATTTGATGCCAGACGTCGGGTCTCTATTCTGGGAATGGGGGCAAAGGCGCAAGGGAGCCACACAGACAGGCAAGGGCGGCGACGACAACGACGACAGCGACTTTAAATCCGGAAGCGCTCGTTCCCGGCCGACCCATGCCTCGCCAGCTACCAGGAAGACGGATCACAAAGGCCTGTCGCGAGATGGGGGACGACACTGCGCAGAAGAGCCACAGCACGTCCGTACCCTACCCACCCTAGACGCAGCGCAGAGGGCTGGCTGAAGCCGCCCAAAGGAACCTGGTCGCCTTGGGGTCGACGACATGTTTGGTTTTACAGCGGGCAGGGGCACAGGGAGGGCGACGCTTCAACTATCGGCCCGGGTGGGGGTATCGTTGACTGGCTCCATCATGTCGTCAAAACACCCTCTCGGCCTGCCCTGTTCACTGCACCGCCATGTCTCGACAAGGGGACCCCCCCCCCCAGCCCTCACTCTGCGACGCCGCGGGGACAAGCGCACTGGCTGTCGGGCAACCAAGGCAGCAGGGGGGCCCGCCCATTCACTACGGCGTATCCAGGATGGTATTGCGAAGCTCGGCGCTGGCACTTTGTTTTCTGCCGCTCCTAGATGGCCCTGGGCAGCGCGCCATACGCCATGCCACGATGTGATACAGGGTACTTGTCGAATCCGACGATCTGGTCCCCTTCCAGGTCCATCGCTGCTTGTGTGCGTCGTCGACAACGATTTACATTAGCCCGCTCTGCTGCTGCTGCTGATGCTGCTCAGGGCCCGGCTAGTGACCCAGAGCGCCGCATGACGCCCCAGCAGTCCCCGTCCACCATCTCACCATTTCCTTAGCCGCATCTTCTCAAAAGCAGAATCCTCGCACGCCTCCAGGCAGGCCCATCCAATAACTCCTCGACCGCCTTGGCGTCCGTGTCTCTTGCCTACCGCTCCCCGCCCCGCGGTGATATATACCACGGCTCGCCGCTGGCACGTTACCGTTGGCTCTGATCCCCTCAGTACACCATCGACCCATCTTGAGATCCGCTTTACTAAACCGGGTCTGACTTTCTGCGAACCATCTTCCTACCCACCCATCGAGGTACGTCCACTCCATCCTTCACTTGGTCTTATGATATCACTGCCATCCCCACCCGTCTTTCACCATCTCGCTTCCTCACTATCCCACCCACCATCTTCCCCACCATCATGTTTCCACTACTATGTTGCTCCTCTCCATTCTTGTTACTAGACTATTCCACCTAGTTTGGCGAGATCATCCAAACGTCTTCCATCACACTTCTCTCGCCATCGTCTCCAGGCCATCATGATTGGGAACAGTCTGAACTAACACCACACGCAGTCAACTACGATTACACGAACCTGAACAAGGAGTCTTCTCTGTTTTTTTACACTTTTGTGTTGTTCTCGTTGCGTTCGCAAGACGCCTCTATCAATTCACTCCACTCTCGCCGTATTCACCAAACGTTGGCTGGTCACAGCATCACCACTCTGCTTTTCGACTTGCCCGTAAGAACGCCCCACTATGGTAGCTCACCGACGCGGCCCTTGGTCGCAGCACGAGGACCAGTGGCTTGTCAACCTGGTTGCCCGCAATGGACCCCATAACTGGGTCCGTATCTCACAAGAGATCGGTTCACGGTCACCCAAGCAGTGTCGAGAACGCTATCACCAAAACTTGAAGCCCTCACTCAACCACGACCCCATTACCGCTGAAGAGGGCGAGCTGATCGAGAAGATGGTGGCCGAGATGGGCAAAAGGTGGGCTGAGATTGCACGGCGGCTCAAGGGACGCAGCGACAACGCCGTCAAGAACTGGTGGAACGGTGGCCAGAACCGACGGAAGCGCAATCCAGAGCGCCCTGACCAAAGACCCCGCGAGCACGAGCACATGCAGCATGCGCAAGAAGGTTACCACTACCCGCCTGTACATCACAGCCTACCCCTCCATGAGGAGCATCATATTCCCTCGTACCAGAACTCGCGCAGACCCTCACTCAACTCTTCTATGAACTCGCCTCATGCGCTCAAGCTTCCGCAACCACGGTTCGAATCATACCCTGGGTCCCGACCACAGCCGCTCGACATTTCAACTTTTGGACACCCCACCATGGCACGAGCGCGAGGGTACGAGACACCTATGCCTTCACCGTCTGGCTACTCCATCGTCTCTGCTGATGGTGCTCCTTCGTTGATTACCGACACTGGGTCCGAGTCGCGCTCACCTCGTGGCGCTGCATCGCCTCTCGACATCACTCTCGCACCACTGGTAGGCAACAGGGAGGAGCGTAAGAACTCGTGCACACGCTACCTACCTTCGACTGGCTTCGCACCTGAAGATGACGCACCCTACGATGCTTTCAGGCGACGCGGCTCGCTGCAGCTGCCTCCCCTGTACCGCAATGAAGCCCCGGCGCCTCATGCTGCACCATCATTCAGGGAGCCAAACTACGAGCGACCTGAGCGGCCACAACTCATCACTCAACCTACACCTCAACTCACACACCACCACTCTCTCCCTCAATCAGTGCCTTTCAGCGTACCGCAACAGTCACTTCCCTCGTTCCACTCGCTTGCCGAGCCAACGCTATCTGTCCCACACTCCGCAAGCGCAACGACTAGCCCACTGGCAAGGCACCTTCCGTCGCCATACGCGCGACCAACTGGCTCATATGAAACCAAGAGCGCACCAGTATCTCCCAGAGACAGGATGAACCTTAAAAACATCATGTAGATGTCAATCATGTTTCACGTTACCGGCATACCCTTTCTTGTTTATACATGCGCGTTTCACACTACATACTTCTATTAATGGTCCCTGTTCCATGATCGACTTGTCCGTTTGTCTCATCTCGTTTCAAAATCTCATACACATTACAGTCGTGCGTTTTAAAGGGAAGGATGAGTCAAGATACCCCCCATGGCGGTGAAAAGGCATCAAGACGGAAGGGTCGCCCCAGCGCATTGTTTCAATTTTCTTCGCAAAATCAGCTGCGTAATATCAGGCGTTCCTAGCGAGCGATATGTGGAAGTCCGATGGACTCCGGAGTTTCCTATCAGGCTTTCTGAAGCCCTACAGCGTACACAGCGAGTCGTCTTGCGTCTTCTCGCGAAATAATACCCCTCAGTGCGACACTGCTCGCATATTCAATAAGAATAAGATATGAAATCAACCAATACCAATCTCCAAACTAATCAGGACTGCGCTGTGCTTCGCTCCCTCAGTGCCTTTGACTGTCTCTCACCGCTCAAGTGACATATCACTTGCCTGGATTACACCATCACCCGCAGGTACCCACTACATCTCAACGGACATCGATCCCGTTATATCAGCCGATCAGACTAACTAGTGCACCCGTTTCAACCTCTGCATGTCCGCTAAGACTACACTCCCCATTGGGCGGGGGGCAATCATTCAGTCTCCAGATGAGTGCGTACGTACTCTCATTGATTGGCCCTCCCCCCTTTCAGATTCTCCCGTCAGTGGTGGAGAAAAGTGGCAGCACGCCAGCAGGCAAGAGCGAGAATCAATATGCTCAATGTCACTGTGTCACCTTTGCCTGCGCAGCGCTCTCTCTCACTGGTAGAACACACTGTATTGCCAGGTCACCTAAACCCTAACCCCCCTCAACTAAGCCCTGACTCTTGGGTACTCAGTCTGAACTGAATCTGCACGTCACTGTGAATGAATGGTTGAATGACTGGGAAAGGTGGAAATGACGACGTCCTCCCCCCTTTCCTGTCAACCATGGAATACCGTCACGCTGTCTCTGGGAAAGTGGGCACGACGCGGACTTGATTCCAGCAAGCAGGCAGAAACAGACGGCGCGCCCGTCCGTCCAGTTCCGTACCACACAACTACCACACAACAACGACTACAGTACCAGCTAGCCAGCCCAGCTAGTCAGCTAGCCACAGCGAAACAAAAAAAAACCCCCAACGACAGCGTTTGACCGTCTAGCGTGCACACGTCAATGACTACCACAACCGTTGATCTCGATCCCATTCCCCTCCCCCTCATCGCTGTTTCGTCCCGTCCCATCCTTTTTCGTCGGCGACTATGCCCCAAACCAGGCAAAAGAAGAACCGCAGCAGCCGTGCGGCACGGGCTACCCGTTTTTATCCTTCCCCCTTCTAAACCTAATCCGTGCATTTCAGTGTTCCTGTTTCTGTTTCGGCGCATGGCCTTGCCAAACTTGTTTTCTTGTCCTGTGCGTCGGGCTACATGCGGTAAGGAGGGGCAACTGCGAAGGAGCGTGGTTGCAGTCGAGTTGGGTAAAAAAAAAAGCGGGCTTGCCAAGTTTGGTACTTGGGCGGGATGTATTCGGCGCGCTGGTCGAGGGGTTGGCGAGCGACCGTTTCCCCTTCCGGTCTGGATCGTCGGTGAGAAAATATCAAATTGTGGGTTTTGGGCGAGTGGACGGTTTGTGATGGTTGCTGAGGGAGAGTACATTGTATCGTTTTCGTGCTTCTAGGCTGCTTTTGGAGGGGTTTTTTCCAAAGTTTGTTTATTAGTTTGATTCACCGGATTTGCTGGAGGGCGTGAAAGTTTGTTTTGGCTTGGTTGGAAAGCAAATCTTGGATGAGTGTTTATCGCAATTAGATCGTTCGGGCTTGGATCGGGGGGAAGTCTGACGATCTTCACTTTGCATCCTTGAACGCGTGCGTGGTACCCTGTCGCGATTGTGAGGTCCACGTGGAAGGGATGCGATTCAGTTGTAGCGGCCGCTGTGAATGCACAGCCTATGAGATTTGGCACGGAATAGCGCAATGGATGTTGATCACTTTGCTTGCCCCTGCCTCTCTATGTGGTTTCTAGAAACATGCGACTGTCGCACCTCCAGGCTGTCCATGTGGTCGATAGGGATGTATGTATCAGGCTTGTCAAGGTACCCATAGCATACATGCGGTGGATAAGGTTTGGTTCCCAATAGTTTGGATCCGTTCGTAGCTGTAACGCCTACTAGGACGTTGCCGGCCCCAGCGCAAAACGAGCGCATTGCAAGTCAACGGCGCACGAAACAATCGTTAGTCGCAGGTACCATGCAGACGTCTGGAAGCTGTCACTACCGCCTGTTTCCCATGCGTTGCGGAGGTCCGTTGCAACGCATGGAGACGCTGTTGGTGTTTCGTGGCTTCGATGATGTGCAGCGAATTTGCTTGATGTTTCCGGAGGGACCACTCCGTGTCAACGTCCTCCAAGCCAGGTTGCGTCTTCTCTCACGTGTGTATACGTCCTCATCTGATGCAGGCTTGCCCTTGTAGAGGTGGGTTGCTGTCGCATTGCATGCTGGTGCATGTTCTAATTTCGTCTTCCGAGTGGGCTGGCAGTTGGGAGACGGAGTTCGAGGTTTACAGTGTTGATCGCTTCTTCGACTTGGCTACATTAAGAGCCTCCCTCCCCTTCACCACTATTTGACAACGGCTGTCACGAAGGCCGGATAGTATACTTAGTATTACTATCATTGGAGATTCTATGGCTTTAGACGTTGATTGTATGTGTCGTACAAATAATTTTCCCTGCAGGGGGACGTATCAAGGCGTTCGGCGAGCTGCAAGTTGTAGAAGTCGCAGCGGTGATTCTTCCCAGTACTCAGCGGTCATGGACATCCGTACTGTAGGTGGCAGTTGGTAGGCTAATCTTCCCCTGCCACAAGCATCTATGTCCACTCCCAGATCATCGCAAGCATCATCCACGCCATAAATATGCTTCCTGGCCTGCGTCTTCTCCAGCATCGTCCACGCGCGGAACCTCGGAAGTCGAAGAATGTCGTACAAAGCCGGTGAGACAATGCCCAAGGATCCTTTCGCTAAGAAACCAGCTCCAGGTATCTGGGCGCGACACGGATTTACCCTAGCTATAATAATCATGATAAGTGTAGGGAGCCTCGTGCTCCAACGTCTTCTCACCAAAGCAACCCTCGTATATGCACTCCACCTGGATAAATGGCATGCATACAACCATCCCGCCCGACGACAGGGCATACCACAATTAAACGGCAAACTTTCGGCATATTGCCCCAAATACATGGCTGTCCTAATTGCACGCATGGTGTTTCTCGCCGCAGTTTAGGATGGCGATGGTCTTCATTGGCCAACTGGTATTATCCGGAAACGGATTGGTGGGAAAACTAGCGCCGCACGTGATGATCATTCTGCCGTCCCTTGCTGCTAACGCGACGATCGGACGGACGACATCATCCGTAGCCTCATCTCAACCATCATCAACTTGCATACGACCGGTTCGCCGTTGTTTACCAGTTTCTAAAGATACCCCTTCGCATTCGGATTTGGGCCTCCGCTGCACAGTTGCACGCGAGGTGTGACACGTTACGCGTTTCGATGGTTGGAACCGGGAATGTCGGGTAACAAGTTGTATGACCCGGACCAAGCCGCTGTCGATACGCGTTGGATACAGCCTTGGAGTGAAAACCTAAGGGTACGTGAATGATGCCCTAGTCTTGCGTTTGTGTCACATGATGTGTGCAACCCTATCCTCAGCCGGGTTATGCCCCCTTCCTGCAGCTTGAAGTGCCGTTACTATATCAGCCGAATCCCTGGAATATTCTTGGCCCAGGGTCTAACAGGTAACTAGGCTCAAAGAGATGTCGGGCTACGTGTGCCCATCAACTTTCAAACCGTGCCAGCTGTGTCCCTAAGACAAGCGTGCTTCAGCAATAAGCAGTATGAGCATCACGCCTTCCAAAAATGCTTTTCCAACCTCCTCGGCGTCGGCTTTAGGAGGTTTGAAATAGACGTCTATTGGGATCCACTTCAAACGGGATGGAGCCTATGCCCAGTACAACAGCCTACGAATGGTGATACAGTCTCCGTAGCCTCCAGCCCAACTGTCACAATATCCACAGAAACTACATCTGCAAGACTTCAAGAGTCTACTGCTGTGCCTCCTGGACAACTTGGGTTTGACCGACGTCAAGTTACCTCCGAGACAGCTTCGGCACCTGCGGAAGCGTCATCGACAGCCTCCTCACCTTCCGCGATAAACCCTACAGCTTCCCCGAGTGTAGCAGCGAGACCGACACTTATAACATTTCCAACTACCGACGGTCCACCGTTGACGCAGATTGGCAGCTACAACTGTACTTCATTGACGACACTGGAATTGCTTACGGCATTGCTAGGGGACTTCTTAGAGGATACGGCCACTACTACTGGTGCTGCCATCACTCTACTTACATTCAACTTACATGCAGCATCCTCCCTGACAGACCCAGATGGTCCAGCGCCTTTACTCTCGCAAGACCAGCTGCCAGAATCTGGAGCGTTCCTAAGCGATATCGTGAAGGGAAACCTGACCGGCGAGACATACACACCATCTCATTTGCGAGATCAACGTGCGAACTTGAATGAATCATGGTACCAAGTTAACTGGAACAACCGTCCCGCAGTAGGATACTACGATGTCACAACAAATGTTGATGGGCAACTGTTTACACAGAATGGGTGGCCAAGTGAGGCGTTTATGGAATTCCAAAAACTATACCGAGTTGTGACCAGCTTCGGCACTATCGATCCACAGATGCAGTACTATAACATTGGACCTGACATCGACTTCATTTTCCCGCCAGGAACAATAACCAATGTGGCCGAGACATCCATCGACTTTGCCGGACGGCTGTCATCGGGATGTTTGTTCGCCTCCTCAGAGAGCACCGTGACGTCAAAGACAAACTCATCATGGGCCATCTCCATTCCAGAATCGCTCGACATCAACGCGAACCCCGATCTGATGGCACCCATCCCGTCAATCACCAACCTTACCTCCTGCGGCTTGAGCCCGTTCCTAAACCAGTCCCTCGCCAATACAACGGCCGACAAGAATCCTTTGCCATATGCCGACTTCGTTCACTCGTCGCTGTGGTCCTTTGCTCCTGGTGAACCCTTGAATGCCACTTCCAAGAATCTCGGGACAACAGCTAATCGTTGTGTCATCATGACTATATCTCCCTATCCCGGTCGATGGCGCGTGACAGACTGTGTGGACCGCCATCGCGTCGCATGCCAAGATCCCTCACAACCATACAACTGGCAAATATCCTCAAGCGACTCCAACTATGAGGGCGCCGCCTCCGCCTGCCGCACCCCGTACCAATTCAGCATCCCGCACACCGCGCTGGAAAATGCACATCTCCTCGCGGCGCTCCAATCCCATCGCCAAACAGCTCCTAATGACGATGCAATCTACATTGACCTCAACCAACTAAGCACCCCTGATTGCTGGGTCATTGGTCTGAACGGCACTTGTCCGTACTTATCCAGAATGGATATAAATCCGACGCGTGTCGTGGTTGTGCCGACTATAGCGGCGGTTATTATCTTCGTGCTAGCGGCGCTGACTTTTTTTGTCAAGTGTGCGGCGAACCGGAGGGAGGATAAGAGGGGGAGGAAGAGAAGGCTGGTGGGTGGGTGGGAGTACGAGGGTGTGCCAAGTTGATGAACTGAGGACTTGGGGAGAGGTTGGGATGTAGAATATAGGATGTTGTAAGATTAGGAGTTGTGTACTGGGGGTTGAAAAATACGTAACGCTATTGCTGCTAATTTATTTAGACTATATATATATATATATACGCTTAATTCCTTCATAGTAGATTAATCTTATTATATTTGGTGCATTCTTGCGAAGAATTCGGATGGTCTTTTCTTAACAGAGATCGTAATGCGGCTCTGTGCCCTGATCGATGATTATATGTTTAGACATGTAGGGTTATTTAGCATTGCATGTATACACACGGACACAAGAGTAGTATAGATGATTTTTTTCCATGACAGAGTTGCGCTTGAGCCAGCCATACTCCTTATTACAGCTACCTCAAGACGCAAGTGCAGATTGAAGACAGCACCAGAGTTGATACCTTCCTATCTAACCATGACTGAAGGATGATTGGGCAGCAACGTTCATCTTTCCACTTCTGTGGAAACTACCCTTTACCCTAGACCTACTTCTTTTGCCTGGATCTATATGTGAGCGTGATTCTGTCCCATTCGGCGTTCGTATCAATCTCCCCAGCCTCCTGCATCCGCGCAAGCTCCACCAACCGGGAAATGTTCTCGCTCTTCTCCAAGATATCTGTTCCCCTCGTGGCTTCTTCCCACTCTTTTACTTTGACACTTGTGGGATCCATCCGACATCGCTCTATGAGAACGTGTGACTTCTCCCACTGCGCCAGGTAGTACTCTAGCCTCTTGATCTCGGCATCTCGTTCCGCCATTCCAAGGTAGTACTGCTCTGTAGAACTCAGCTGCGCGCGCGTCTTTGTTTGGGACCCTGTTTCCTCCGTTGGAACTCGCGCCTGAATTACCTTCTTGCTCTTCGCTTTCGCGCCTTGACTTGCGGCTCTCATCTTAGCTTGCCACTTTCTTAGCGCAATCACGTTAAGGTATGGGACGCCAGTCGGCCAATCCTTGCGGGGATACTTCGCACAGAGAATATACCGCAGCTTTCCCCTCGACCCCTTGACGGCTTCATCCCAGTCTGCAATCGTGACGGACGTAGGATCCGCAGTGTGTTTCTTGTTCAATTCCACTAGTTCTGTACCTAGCTTCCTAGCTTGCTTCTTCCAAGCTCGGACTTTGCGCCTCGTCTTCATTACTTGCTTGTAGAATTTGTTCTTCTTCTGAAAGGCTGCCAGAATTCGATTTCGTAGAAGCCGCGTTTTCAATTCCCGCAGTATTTCTGGCCATCGTGCGCTGATGCTGCGGAACTGCAATTGCTGGCGGAGCAGACGCACAGCGCGATTCTCGGGCGTCCAGTGCTCGGATCGGCACCCCTGATATACGTTAGCTAACTCTTGCGAGGGATTGCATGCGGGTGGACTCACCATGATTGAGATTGTTTCAATGAAAACTCGTGTGCTAATCAATGCGCACCGTGCGTGATATGCAAGGCTTGCCACGGACTTTGTTTCGCCCGAATAACAAAGCTGAAGTGGGGTCAGTTGAGATGTTCTTGTGAGTTGAGACTCGTTCTGTTCGGATGGTGAGTCGAGGGAGATGTAGTTCGAAAGAAACTCGCAATATTACATTGCGTGGGGTTTATACTTTGAAGAGTGAAAGCCAGGGTCCACAGCATTTCCGACGAGGTCCAGCCGGATTTGGGAGTTATTGCTGAGAGTGAAAGCAAAGCTCGCAACTAAGTCATCAAGCCAAATCACCATACTTGGAAGGCTTCGAAGAACCCTACATTGCGTAGTGAGACGAATAGACGTTTTATATTCTTTGGGCTATATTGCATGCATGGCTTTCGAAATGTGATTGCAGGAATAGCAAAAACTTGATCGCATGGGCTGAGTTCTAGCAAATGATCGCATGAGCAGCTAAAAGCGCAAATCATGAATTCATGTCCAGACATCCTAGTTCCCACTTATTGCCATGTACTACTCACGCTCGCACTTGCCTGGCAAGCCGGCGCCGCATAGGCCCGATTCGGGTCACTCTCCCACGTGATTGTGCCAGAGCTCGATACCTTCACGAACTTGTACTGTACGGCTTGCCCTGCTGCTAGAGGCAACGTTATCGTCCAAACTGGATTGCTAGACGTGTATGACGCAGCTGAGAGCGTGGGCGCGTTGGAAGGGTTCCAGTTCCCCAGTTGTGCGGTGTTGCCGGCAATTTTGATTGTGTCTCCAACGACTGTCGCAATACGATGAGTGAACGAGACAGAAACTGCCGTTGGGCACGCCGTTCCGGTAGGTCGGATAGTGCCTGTGGTTCGGAGAGTCGTAGGCGTAGGCGTCGTAGGCAGTGTACCTGAGGATGCGACGAGAACAACAGGGTCGCCGTTTGTTACGCTGACGCAAAGGTTGCCGCTGCCATCAGCAGTGACTGTAGCACCGTTGCCATAGACATTAGTCCATCGCCCGTTCGCCTTCTGACTGTTGAAGCAATGTTGCGCATTCGAACCGCTTCCAGCATTTGTGGTGAGAACGACAAGGTTGCCATTGGCTCGGCTCCATGCGTACGCGTTGCTTGCTACGTACAAATGCGTATGGTCATTTCCAGCCAGTCCACCTGCCGCCTTTCTCGCAGCTGTCAACTTCTTGATGGCCTGGTACATGTCTGCATTCGTATTGAAGCTACTTCGCCAAAGGTCTTCGCGGTTGGCAGGATCAGCTCCTCCAGCGTAGCCTTGCTCAGTTCCGTAGTATAGAATGGGGATACCTCTCGACAGTATGACGTAGGCTAGAGCGTTCTTCAGAAGGGTTTGGTCGTTCTTTTGGTTCAGCCACCGTGGGTTGTCGTGATTGTCAAGGAAAGTGCCTAGGGCTGCTGGATCCGGAAACGTATCCTTGACGGTGTTCATCATATCTACCAATGCCTGGGCTGATCCTTTCTGCTGGTAAAAGTTATTCATCGGGTAGTATGTCGCATAGTCTAGTAACCCAGGCATGAGTTTCGCATAATCTGCGAGATAGGTTGGATTTCCATCAAACACTTCTCCGATACTATAGACGCCGGCCGCGGATGAGAAACCAGGCCAGAAGTCTTTCTCGACATGTTTGACGGTGTCGATTCGTACACCATCGAATGCATATTCGGTTACGAGCCATTTGATCCAAGTGTTAAATAGGGAGCGGATCTCAGAAGATTGGGTGTTGACATCTGGGAGATTGGCGATGCGGCATGATTCGACGGAAGCCTGATTGTTGTAGTTGATATCACATGCTGCGTGGTAGGAGGAGGCTTGGTTTAGGGGCGCGGGACGATTGTCGGCAATCGCGGCTTGGCCCATGTGATTTGCGACGACATCGACCATGACATATATGCCCTACGATTGGTAAGCAGATGAAATGGCGGAGGGACGATTAGAATAGATACCTTTGCATGAGCGGCGGCTACGAGACTCTTCAAATCGGCTGCAGTACCGTAGTTTGAGTTGACCGCGTAGAGATCTTGCGCCCAGTAGCCATGGTAGCCACCAGCACTGTCTGTCCATCCTGTCAACAACAGAGTCCTATACCATCGGTATAATCAAAGGGTTCTATACGTACTGGCAACAACAGGCGTGATCCAGACTGCATCGAACCCCAAACCTTTGATGTAGTCAAGCTTGGACTCAAGGCCCTTGAACGTGCCACCACAGTAGTTTCCCAAGTTTCCGCAAGAGCCACCGCCATTATCGCTATTGCTGCGCGCAATGCGGTCGGTGAGGACGAAGTAGATGCTGCGAGACTTCCAAGCGTTGGTGTCTGCTGCTGTGATGAGGCTGGCGAAATGAAAGAAGACGGCGAGGATGACGTTGATGAACAACATCATTAGCGAGACAGATGTCCAGGCAACCCAAGACGTTTGAAGCTGGCACCTTCTTGATGTGGATATTTAGATGAGATGCATCCGGCACTTTATAGAACTGCCGCGCTCAAGGCTGCCAACACTACCGCAAGTAAGATTTGAATGACACTCAGGACCTCGATACGTTTGGAGAATGGCTTCTCGTTACCTCAGCTCTCCCGGTCTTGATCGACGACGCCCAAGGTTCGCGAAGGTGGTCAGAAGTTCGTTCGATGCACCTCACCCACCATCACGGTCCGACATGTGACAAGTCAAATAGAAACGTATTGTTTGGTATCCAAGAGGGCGATCTGTCGGACCGAGTAGACAGCCCTAAATTGTATCTCGTGGACGATGAAACAAATATGCGGGGTTCAGAGATCGGTTGTGGGCCTGGAAGAGGAAGCTGCGAAATGAAGGACCACACTATGTGGCGATGCTCACCATCCCGCTTTTAGTTTCATTTCCGAGGGTCGACTGGAGTTTCAGGGGAAAAGAGTGATGTCGCATGATGACATACCCGGCATTTGCGCGCTAGGCAAGGTTTTGTGCCGGGCCCGGGTCTTAAATTTAGCGGAGCCCCGCAATCCGGAACTTTGCCTCGTGGGCATTAATCTAGGGGGCGGCCCGTTCAACGTTTTTCGCTCCTCGTGACTACATTTTCACGTTTGCCAGGACGTTTTGCATGACGAGCGCTTTTCGTTTCCGACATTGATCCAATGATACGCCAAAGGCCTTGCAACCCTTCCCAGATGGCGTACGTCCGAACGCTAAGCATAAACATAAAACAAGGATGACCTAGGTGTGTGAGTGTCTACTGGTAGTTGGCCTCCTAAGCGAAATGATTGATCACGGAGCTGGATGATCAAGATCGTACCAGGTCCCGAAGAGTGTGGGGCCCCACGATCTAAAGTATGCCAAACGCCGGATATGGATCAAGGTGCGATCCGGAGATTATCTCGAAGTTCTTGTGACTATATTACCACCACATATCAAGCTTCGTTCCGACAACCTGCCAATAACATGCGCCTCGAGATAGAACCCGAAAATGGTCCTGGAAGATGGAACAAAATGGCTTCTGGAATCCACTGAGAAGCTGGCCGGAGTGAACTGCGTATATAATCCGGCCAGGAGAGTATCCCACGAGATACCCATAGCTACCGACTACGGGAACTTCATTTACTTCAACCTGTACGACTTTGACAGCTGTGTTCTGTCCAAATCATTGCGGAACTTCAGTCATCATGCGTGCATCCTTGGTCCAACTTCTCGCCGTCGCGGTCGGCGTTCAGGCCCATGGCTATCTCTCCTCTCCCATGAGCCGAACCGGACTCAATGCCCAGTCCAAGGCCGACACATGTCCCGAATGCACAATCCTCGAACCGGTAACCGCATGGCCCGACCTCGACTCTGCGAAAGTAGGTCGCAGCGGCCCCTGCGGCTACAACGCTCGCGTATCTGTCGACTACAACCAGCCCGGCCCCCGTTGGGGTTCCGAACCCGTCATTACCTATACAGGTGGTTCCACCGTCGACGTACAATGGTGTGTCGACGCCAACGGTGACCACGGCGGCATGTTCACTTACCGAATCTGCCAGGATCAAGCTCTCGTAGACAAGCTCTTGACACCGGGATATTTGCCCACCGAGGCGGAGAAGCAGGCTGCTGAAGACTGCTTCAGGGCGGGAGAGCTGAAGTGTACCGATGTCGCTGGTCAGACCTGTGGATACAATCCGGACTGCCAACAGGGCCAGCCGTGCTGGAGGAATGATTGGTTCACCTGCAAGGGGTTCAACGACGGCCCCAGATGCAAAGGTGTCGACAACGCGGCACTGAACTCTTGCTTTACGAGTATTGCGGGTGGATACACCGTGAGCTCAAAGATCAAGATTCCAAACTATACAAGCAACCACACCTTGCTGTCGTTCAAGTGGAACTCCTTTCAGACACCGCAAATCTATTTGACGTGTGCGGATATCAAGATCACGGGCTCAGGTGGCTCCACTCCACCGGCTTCGAGTAAGGCTCCAACATCATCGACGAGGCCCACGTCAACTGCCGTGCCTAACGGATGTGCAACCCCTGTTCCAACCGTCGCGGTGACGTTCAATTCAAAGACCACAACCTCGCTCGGTCAGACAGTGAAGATTGTCGGCTCGATCTCACAGCTGGGCAATTGGAATACAGCTTCTGCTCCAGCGCTTTCTGCATCTAAGTATACCGCTGCAAATCCCCTCTGGACGGCAAATATCAATCTGCCGGCGGGTACAAGCTTTGAGTACAAGTTCATAAAGGTCGATAGCAATGGTGCTGCTACGTATGAATCTGGTGCTAACCGAGTGTACACCGTGCCGAAGGGTTGCGCGACCGGGGCTACAGTGGATACGCAGTGGAAGTAGAAGTCTACCAGAGAGAAGTTGGTTAGCTGCCCAGTTTACTTCTCTGTAGTATAGCAACGTTTCGGCCGAATTCATTCTTTGCTCCTACGTCTCTAGGCATATGATTTGGAACTGAACTGAGCCTCCATAATGGTGTCGGTGGTGGCTCTTAATAGAACCAGCCAACAACACGTGGGATAATTGTCTCGTTCCTCAGGTGCGGATATTTCGGTATCGTCTTAGGGGCTTCCACTATCTCGTCACGGATACTGTCTCAATGTTTTGGTGGAGGTGGAAATACCAAGCAACGATAGAACTCGTGCACACGAATGAAATCGTTAACGGTAACCGCAACAATAGTGATCTCGCAAACGGGACATGTAAACCAGACTATATGAGCTTCCGAAAGGCTCTGCTACTTTTCAGGAACTCCAGTATTGCCGGCTTCTTTTCCCTGTCCCCCAGGTTTTCATCGCTATAGCCAATCAAAACGAAGTAACGCAAGCATGGACGACCACATCGGGAATTACCACTTTAGCCGACGTATTACCACTGGCTGACAACTATCCTTACCCAGATTGGAACTCATCAAGCTAAATTGAAACGCGTAGTTGGCATGCAAAGCTTCGGTAGAAGAATCCTCTGGCCGCGTGGCGCAATGCGACTTCTTCTCAAAAGCTGTCTGATTCTCGACCATATTTTCTTGGCCATCTTCGACGTCTGTCTCAACTTCTAGCGAATTCCTATTACAAGTACTCGCTTTGATCGTCAACGTCCAGATTATCACGATGCGCACCTTCTTGGTAGCTCTAATACTCGCCGTCGCGGTATCTGCCACACCGTACCCGTGGGCCCAACCCCAAGCCAGTCTTGTTCCTGTCCATAGCGGAAAGCCCGGGAAGCATCACAACGCGACTAAGAAAGGCAATCGGACAAGGAAGAACCCTCACAAGGAGCCGACACCGACATTCAAGCTCGGTTGCGATTGTGCGAGGCCGATCGTGCCGATGGATTTGCTAAACGAGAATGAGGTAAGCCGATTTCAAAGAGCACATGGTGGCTTTATCGAATATAAGGAGTTGGCAAAACGGAAGACGCAATAAAATGCTTCGAGGCCTAAATATGGTCTCTTTAAACAGTCTCATTTTCCAGCGCGCGTCATCTAGGCATATTGTTAGGTCTTAATGCTAACCGAGTGCGTAGAAATGCTTGATGAACCACGCGGCTGCAATGGGCTGCTATCTTGGTTCGAAGGGTGGGTGTGCTTCGCCTGCACCTGCTGTAAGTTTATCTAAGAGTTGACTTCGCCATGATAACGCTGACGACGTTAGTGTGGGCTTGAGATTCTATAAGCAAACCCTTCATGCACTGCCTGCAGTGAAATGAGTTTAGGCAGTTTGAAGCATTCAATCCATTGTCTCTGGGAAGCTCTGATAGCCGTGAAGCTCCGACTTCTCTGGAACGCAATTGTTGCTACTTGTATATATTGGTGTCGCGAAAATATGCCACTATTGCTAGCATGGCGCTTTAGTCCATGTGCATCGATGCACCAAAGCCCAACCATGAAGAAATCAAAAGGATCGCACATAATCATACGGATTATTGCGAGAATATTGCTATCTCATGTATACTGCTTCATTCACTGCAACCTTGCCAGTATGTGATCAGATTTAGCAAGGAAATGCTCCGGACTTTTGCAGTCAATGGTATCGGCAACCATCTTCTCGAAGTTTGTACTACCATATTGCATGAGACTTCTGCTAGGCCATAAGTCCGGAAACGACGCTTCCAAAAAAATCCCAAATATCTCAATCATGTCCAAGCACCTCCTGTCGTTCACCCTACTCCCGTTGTTGAGCTCGATCGGAAGTGTCGGTGTCGGCTAATCACCTAACCGACCCTTCTCTTTTTTGCCATTTCCTTGTCGACAGCTTCTAGCAGTCCATGCTTCTTGTCTTTCAAGCTCTGGCGGACTCTATTCTGATCTTTCTTCATCGCTTCAGCGTATCTCGGTGGGAACTCCTTATCCGGACATCCGCTATCAGATAGCTCTATAAGCGACTTGATACCCGCTTCTTTTAGAAGCATAGGTATCTCGCTGATCAAGGCCGTATAACGCGAATTTTCTCGACACCACTGGATAAGCGCAGTAACTGGACCAGCGTCACATCCAGTCGGGAGGTCTACTAGACCGTGAGCGAGTGCGAGGATAGGGTAGTCAATCTTCTCCCAAATATCGTACGTCCAGCCCTCAGACGTGTAGTTCGTGACTTTCTCGTTGTCTGGCTCTGGTATCGTTACCGTATCTCCATCCTCATCCGTCTCTCTCTTGATCAAAACCCTTCTCTTAGCCACATTAATCGCAGATGAAACGACACTGTTCTTCAAAGCCACCTCGCCCAGGAGTCCTCGTGTCATATTTATCATGTCCCGTACCAAGCTCGGTAACATTCCCGCCCGCACAAGTCGATCGGCGGCATGCCCCCAATTGTAATGCTGGGGGAAATAGCACAGCAGCTCTTTGATCGTGAACTCGGTGTCCACAAGCATTGTGATGTCTACGTTCATTGGAGTTGCCACGCTCTTGAATGGGCAAAACAGATTGTTTTTCCGAATTTCACGGCCGTCTTGATTATGGAGTACTGGATTCGGCTTCTCATTCGGCGTTTCTGGGTTGGAACGGGCCGCAAGCATCATTAGCTCTGGAATGGGAGACTTCAGTTTCCGATTTGATCGATAAGCACCCATTCCCCACCATTGCTTCGTAGACGAGGGCACGAAGTCTGAGTTGGGTTGCTCCTCTTTGCCTTCCAGCCATCGCCACGCATCCGCAAGGTCGAAGATTTGATTTGGGCAATCGCGCGACTCTCGCCATGGATATGTGATAATGGCAGAGGTAGGAGATGCGTTCTGTGACGTTGTACCGCTGTAAATACCATGCGACACGGCTGCGCAAGGAGGAGGAGAAATCTGAGCCCAAGGCAGCACCCAGTCCACACCCTCCCAGTTATATATATCCACATCCGAACCGTCGCTGAAGACCATCATTTCCGGAAGATGTGCGGTCTCTGGATGCACTGCACCGCCGGGAACATACTTGTATAGCCCATTTTGATGCAGCTCTTCGGAAGTAAGCGGCATTGGACCCACTGGTGTCAGCTTAAACGCCTGTCGATACGGATCGAAAGCGATAGGAAGTAGGCCGGACCAAGACACGTGCTTCCAGCCCACCGGAAGCACCAAATTTGGTACTTGGGAGAGGTCTGGTAGCTCGTCTTTGAAAGGGACGAGGTGCTCATGGAAGACCAGGCGGGGATCGGGAGTTGGGAACGGGTATGAGGGGTGGGTGCTCCCACCCGGAGGATATTGAAGCTGCCAGTCGAGAGAATGGACAGCAGGGAGACCTGAGAATGGAATGGGGTCTGCTTTGAAAGGTACGACGCTGAACTCGGGCGGAGCGGGAGCTTGTGCCACAGGAGCGGGCTTCGCATTTTTCCGAGCAGGTGGAGCTGCAATCGGAATAGTATCTGTATTGGAAGAGTGGGCATTAGCTCATGTAGGAAAAGGGTCGTTGAGCTTGTGTTACCTTGTGCTTTGGCTTTGGAGGTGATTCTGCTGCTCCGACGTAGAGCTGTAGGACTCTTGGTTGCGTCGAGCTCAAGAGCGAGATGTGCGTCGCTCTCTATGACTTCTTGAGCTGTTCCAGCCTCAGGCTGGCAGCGCCGCTCGTGGATGGTAATCTTGGTGGATGTCTGCTGCCGTCCTTGCACTATTGAAAGCGTACTAGAGGCACCGTTGCTGAAGGCTGATGATAGCTGTGGTGACAATGGCTCACAAGCCGGCTTCTGTAGGCCATGTGCCTCAGAGCACGTAATTTGGGCAGGCGCATAGCTTTGCTTCCCTAATTCATGATGGCTTGCCGGGGCGGGAAGCGTATCACAAGTATTGTTGCCAAATGTCGGTGTGTCCGGAGACAGCAAACCGTGCCAGCTTTTCAACGATCGTGATGGCGTAGGCGTATGAGGTTCTGGCACACCACGCGAAAATGGATTGGCAAGATCTAGGTCCGGCTCTCGTTGGCTTTGGGGCGAGTTTTCATTGCCTGATGCCAGATAGTCAGTCTAAGCAACCTCCGCCTCGAGATTTTAATTGACTTACTGAAGTTGAGGTATTGCTCCGTCCCTGGAGGTGGCGTATGGTACGTATTCCCCATGTTGTCGTTAATCTCCACGTTTGTGGCTCCCGATGAAAAAATGGTAGCTGTAGAGTCGTTGGAAGACTTAGGCATTGTGTTTTAGTTTGCAAGTACTGCAACTGGCTAATATTTAATGAGAATCGCTCTCATAATGATGATGAGTGTGAGCAGGAGATACTTAAGAACATTGTTAAAGCACCTGTCCTGCGATTTCAATCTCGCCTTCACCCTCACCTCAACGTCGCACAAGCGCTGCGCTGATCAGGTCACGGTGACTAAGTATGTAAGCATTAGGTAAATGTAAGAAAAGGTGGCATTTATTCTGTTAGTTCTTGTTGGAGAGAAACATAGGATCGAGGTCTTACTAAAGCGTGCGTGCGTAGAACAGAGTTGACGCATAGATTAAGTGGGCGGACAAGTACTTTTTTAGGACTTGTTAGGTCAATTATTGATCGTCTCAAAAGTTAACGAGCGTCATTTCAGTTGCAATAGTTCGTAACAGCATCATAATTATACGCAGTGCCGGATAGATATTGAGTTGTCTGGCAAGTCTAAGAACATTGAGCACGCTTGCCCCAAGGTGTTTATGCGCCCTCAAATAGTAAAGATCGCCGGGCCCGTTTCGTCAAAGAACTCCTCATCCAACAAGCTGAACAATACCTGCTGACCAATCCACTGTTCCTCAACTGCAGGCCTAATCCTCTCTGGCGGCAACACAAACCCAAAGTCACCAAAATCGGGCAATTCAATCGTATACGAGAACTCGGCACGCCCGATGGTATATAGATGATCCGGAGCTGAACCTGTGGTCGGGTATAATACTGCTCCACTTGGTCCAAAGGTGAAGGTCGTCGCATTCGAAGATCCGTCACGGATGGCCTCGCTTACCAACGCAGCAGCTTTTGTCCACTTGCCCAACTCCGGTGCGTAAAGTGTCTCCTTGTGGCCGAAAGGACTAAGAATGAGCTGGCTATAGCTGTGCCAGTCGATGAAAAGCTTGATACCTTGCGAGTCGCGGAGTTTGCGGGCGAAGTCATCCAAACCTGCATTTTCAGGCGCATCGCGGGGCTTTTCTCCGCGATAAGTTTGGGAGCATTCATTGGGTGAGGCTCCACGAGGAGTAGCATCCCAATTGGTTTCCCAGTTGCGGTTGATATCGCGGCCGATACATGTTTGGTTACGAGCTTTGGCTGGCGGTGGCTGGCGGTTCTTGCGCCAGAGGCGGTCGTTCGTTTGAGTGTAGATAAACCCTATAGCACATGAGTGAGGGCGATTGATGACTGTATGTCTAGCTTACCATCAGGATTGACGAAGGGAAAAATATAAAAATCATATTTGTTCAAGAAGGCTTGAGTCACATTATCGCCGGCCTTATATCCGTCAATAAGCTGTTTCGCGATATACTCAATTACCTGTAGCCATCGTTAGTGTTGCCGAAGGAAATCGTATATATCCAGGTCTTACCGGAGCCGCGATCCATTCCCTGGCATGAACTGTACCATGATATAAGACGGCAGGCTTTCCTGGGCCGCTGGCACCCCACAGATGAACTCCGAAGAGGTCACGTCCCTCGTAGGACGTGCCCGAGCTCGTCCAGTTTGAGTTCTGCGGGAAAGACTTCTGCAGTTCTTGCCACCATTCAACGTGCTATCGTGGGCGTAGAGTCAGTGGAAATATCCCTTATGGTTCGTATATGGGGGGTGCGTACATCGTCATATGGATGGTAGCTGTCAAACCACGGATCGTCGCCACCGGTGTGATTCGATTGCCTCTTCCAGGATCCCTTTACATGGGCTTCTTTGGTAATTGAATGCCCCAGGTCCTCATGTAGAGTTCGGGCGTTGAGCCCAAGTGCGTTGAACGCGCCAATTTGATCACGGGAGATCAGAACATCCCAATGGCCATGAACTCGGTCCCAGGTCTCATGAGAGATGGTCGAAAGCTTCTGCTTCACCGATGCTAGCTGTGTACCGGTCTTCACGCGGCGGACCTGGTAGCCATCGTATGAAGTTGCCGTGGCACCAGCAACGAGCGAGAGCCAAGCAAAGTTGAGTGCGAACCTCATGATTCTGCGATCCTCTGATTCACGGGTAGCAGATAGGAGAGGCGGGACTTCTTCTATTCTGGCAGTCAACCTCTTATACCCCTCTCCCCAACCTCGCTGGTTGGAGGCCTAAGGCCCTGGGCGGCCTGATAATCGCCGTTTCTACCGATGACGGTCAATATTGGCAGTATAACGTGCGCACAGTTACGTGGTACATGTGGAGTATGGGTCCGGATAAACATGGACGAAGGCTTCCCGCGACGCTATTCCATGTAGACATAGTCTTGACCTGCCATTTCCGAACTAGGTGCTGCTGGGCATGCAGGAGGGGAACAAACGTCATTTTGCTGACTTTCATCACGACTTCCCACTGTACGAGATAGTAAAGGGAAGAAGGAGCCATTTATCGATGAAAGGAAAAGGCTGCTCCCCGTGTTTGTTGCCCATACGCATCGTTGAGCGTGCTCCTAGATGGTGGGTCGTATCGCTGCTACGACCTTGAAAGATAGGTTAAATTGCAACATTCAATGGCAGCCTTGCTAATGAAGTCGGAGCTCAGGTTACACTAGATGGTACTGCAACGATGCACGGTATCGGATGACGCTGTGTAGATGGAGGTTGATGTTCTGGAAGAGTCGTGAGTGACTATGCCAAGTATGACGACAACACTAAGCCATTTGAGGCTTGAGCGTATTCCCCACGATCTCGCCGAATACGTCACTGGGCAGACGTCGCCGCCTCGTCTCACCACCCTTCTTGTTGAGCTTAGGTATCTGAACCTTCACAGATCCAGAATAATACCGCTTATAGATTCGAAAAAATGTATCTAGAGCGGCCGCTCGCGCCCTACTCAAGGCGTCTAGTTGGTACAATGGTAATCCTGTCCCTTTCCAACGTCGCATGCGCCTTCATTAGGCACTGGCTCTCCATGCGGTTGTTTGAATTTCTAAGTTCTACGTGGGGAGAATCAGCATCAGACGAAGCGGACGTATTTTTCCTGGTGTTCCACATCGCTAAGTTTGCTCAACTTTCACGCTCCACCGCAATCATTGCGACGCGTAAATAGGATTCTTTGGACAATTCTACTTCTATCCGTCTTTATATATGTATGGCTTACCTACTTGTCCTAGAGAAGCAGACGACTTCGTTATCTGGCTGAAGTCATATAAGCCGACATTGTTAATGGAATGCTTTTGTCTCATTGTCAATTCATTAAGTTATGTTTCTTTTATATTTTACTCATCTTTCTATATACACAACGTCATTCATGCCTCCAACGACTCTCTACAATGTCGTTTCAGCAGTGTTGCTTCCTCCGTTCACTCGATACATCGCTCTCGTTACACTTTTAGTGAGACTACAACGTACGTTTCACAGTGCCAGCGGCGCTACCCTGAGCTTAAAAGTACTGGAATTTCTCACTTTGTTGTCATTGCTCTCCAACCACTCGATCTACTACTATGTCCTCTCAAAACTCCACAAACATGCTCACAACATCTGCTTTGCGTTTTGCTAATGAGCAACAATCGATCATGTCCATCGAACCAGCAACTGGCGACTTGACGCATGGTGCGGTCCAGAATATGCTGGACGCGGCGCAATTAGAGGTTGGTCGTCGCTACGCCGCCGCCCCTGATTTGTGCGAGATGCTCCAGTCTCAAGTGATGGAGGGCCTCGAGCAATGTAACCTGCAGGAAGTAGACCCTATGCAGGTACTACATGACCAGATGCGTATTGAGTGGCGGATTCTAGACGCTTACAATAAGCATCGTCTCGGCAAGGCTACCCATCGGTATTACAATGGCTTTTCAGAGCCAGAGGGTGGTGACAACTACAAGAAGGAGGATAATATTCCTGAGGAGCCGCAGTGGTTTCCTCTTCGGTGCGAGGTCCAAAAGTACGGCTTCCGTGTTGTGGCGCCTCCTATCTACCAAGTCTCTAGTACTGATAAAGAATTATCAGCACGCCCAGAGAGCACGGTGAATAGGTTCACAAAGACAAAAGCACTTCCTGGAAATGCTGCTAATTCCGGGAATGATACATCCTCTCCCAAGAAGAAGAAGACCGGCCGTGCGGCAGCGAACTACGACAAGCTGGCAGACGCTCCTTCCGCCCATCTAGACTTCCCGGATGGTAACATCACCCTTGCGGAGATGACTGCTTTCTTGCCGCAATCCATCAAATCCTGGGATGTCATCGATCGCGCGCTTTTCAACGGTGCATTCTCTGCCACCCTCGCAGGAATGATCAACCACTTCCGCAACATGCCCGCCGGGAATATAGAAAACAACAGCGTCTACCGGATGATGAAAGCACCGATGGATAAGCGGGCACTCACAGATCCGGTGTACGAAGGTTGGTCTGTATCTGTCCACCAGAAGATCCAGAAGCCCATCGGCTTTAACCCAGCAAGCGTTAGTGTTGCTGGTTTCCGCACACCGTCCAACAACTATAAGCGCGATGCTACTAATATTTCTCAGGAATCAGCACAGAACATCTTGTTTCGGGACCTTATGAAGGGTGTGAAGGTCATGCCTTCCGGTTACGACGCCTTGGATTTGACGCGCTGTGTCCAGTACTGCGTTGATCACCCTGAAGAGGACTGGCTTTATCCTCAAGATTTTGTAGATCTTGTCTCCCAGCTTCCGCAGGATGCTCACCTCTCTAGATATCCTCGTGGTCCCGCGCCTGTCCAACTCGACCACCAAGATGCGAGCATTGTTGGACGCTACACCTCTACGAAGAAGTTAAACGGCGCGATGTACGCTGCTAGTCGTCAGCGCGATAGTAATGGCCGTCTTTTGAAGAAGCAGAAGGCTGATTCAGACGAAGAGGAGGATATGGACACCGCGTCTGACGGCGATTCCAACGCTCTTAACAAGAAGGGCAAAAAGCGCAAGGTAGCTTCAACTAAGACGCCTTCTCGAGCCCCATCCACCCGTTCCAAGCCCCCTCCATCCCGCCTGCGGAACGAACTCATTGCCGCTGATATTGACTCCGATTCAGATTCAGACATATATCAGGGTCCGTCTAAGGAGAATAAGAAGAAGAAAGTGATGACACCCTCGCGTACCTCGGGACGTCACAACCGCTTTGGGGGCAACTATAACATCGATGCTGCTTTGGGGGTTGATGTAGTCGAGGATGAAGAGATGGACGATTACGATTCCTTCGACGACGATGATATTTACCACGACTAGTGGGCTATTTGCCATAACATAATTGGCACTACCTTTATTCCGTGGTTAATATTTACTCTTGGCAGCGCTACACTTTTTGGAGTATGGGAACCTGTATTTGGTCAGGCTTTGTATCGGTATTGTTTATCATATCTCCCGTATGGGAAGGTAGTGATCATGACCATTCCGTTCTAGGCAGTTTAGTGCCTGTTTGCATAGCATAGCATTTATTTTAGCAATTATAGAGTTGATTTTTGAACCAGATGATATTTTCCCACGTATATGGTGACGATGAAATGAGTATATGCTGCCTGATGACTACTCTGCATCGCTTTCATGATCGCCATAAGAGAGAAGAGGATCACCAAAGCGCCTACGCTGATTGAGCTATCGTTGGTTCTGTAAAGTACTTTAAAAGCGGAGATGTTTGTGACTACATTGAGTATTTTAGGATGCTGTTACGGGGCTAGAATTAGTTTCATGGTTGCTGCGACTGAAAGTCGTGGTACAGTATCGTTTGTTATTTTGTAATACCACTTTTATGATTTGTGCTCTCCGGGCTTTACAACGTTTTTCTTCTGTCTCTCACTCGTTTGGCCGCAGATGAGACAAGTGCCACAACTACTCAAGAATGGAAAGATTGTATAATCAAATCAGCTCACGAGAACTTTGTTTACAAAACTCTAAACATGTTCTCTTGTGGCCTAGTTCAGATGCTGCGTAGTCGCGTATGGGCTACAGTCAGCTTCACCGCATTGATACGCAAGGTTGCGCACTACTCCTAAACGGATTGAAGTAGTAGTTTCCATATCGCAGGCAGAGAGAAAATATGAGAGTCTAATTTACGAAAGGCGAGCTGGCACGTGGTGTCGTTAGCATCACCGCAAACCTGATTGGGTCATGCCCACTTCACCGCTTGTAGTCTCTCTTGCGCTAACGGGCCCAAACTTCGGTAAGTGCAGTTCACCATCCACAGGCAGGCACGCTTGCTAATGAACATCACAGAAAGGAAGTTAGAGTCAAATACAATAGGAATTCAGTCTCACACAATGGAAGCCTTGTCTTACACGCAATTCACATTCACCATATACCTCTTACGCCACTTCACTATGGAGGTACAACTTTAATTTACCATGATCGTGTGACTGAATAACAATAGCTTTTACGTCACTTCCTGAAAGTTTCAGTCGCCAGATTTTCAAGCTTTACGCAAGAAGTACCGCATCGCATCAAGTAGAGTATCGACGAGTACCCTCAACCACGAGCAACGCGCCGTCCTCAGTGAACGATCACCACACTGACATCATCACTATGTCGCAACCTCACACACGAGCTCAAATACGGAGGTACGACGGACCAATAAACACCATCAGGATCCCGAGGAAGACTGTTGCTGCAGCGGCGGTACCTCCTCCAGCCCCAAGACATGAACGAGTCGACAGACATCATCCAACGGAACACATGCGCCAATACCTGGCGCGAAAACAATTCTCACGAATGAAGACCTCCAATACACCTAACGTTCTACCTCTGTCCCGTGACATCGTCAGACTCAAAGAAGCAATCACTACGAGCGAGTGGCACCGCGAGTGGCAGACTGCACCTCACAGCTTAGCACCATCACGGCCTTTGTCGCTACTTATGGAGCCAACAGAAATAAACCTAAAGACTCACATACGGAAAGCGAAACGGGTATATCTGTGTCACTTCGATGCCAATCACGAACCACAAGGCCGGATAACGCAGCGGTTGGGCGAAGAAGAGAGGGAAAGGAAGAGAATGGTGCGATATTTGGGAGAAGAGAGAGAGGCCGAGAAGACAAGAGAGAAGCAGCTGGAAGAAAAGAGGAAAGAAGTGAGAACCGCTTCACGAGCTGCTGAGGTGATTGATTTGACAGGCGATGATGCTGTGGACTTTGGAATGGTCTGGCGGACTGCGAACGTTGAAAACGTCGAGAATCTGCCACCGGTGAATAGGGTAGCGCCATGGGGTACTTCAGGCGTATTTCCTTACACGACAGAGCTGGGTTTTCAACCTGGATTCTGGGAACCGTCGGCATATTATTCAGCGGATGGACCACGAATAGACCCCCAGGCACCACTAAAGCATGAGAGCTTCGGGGTTCATCAGCGAGACCAGAGTTCAAATACTCTATCTAGCCATCAATTCACTGCGTAGCAAGGATACAACTTTCCTCGAAAATGGCAAGGGATGTCAGTCGCAGTTCGCTCAAGTTTCTATAGTTGAAACACAATGCATCACCTTGCCCAGGTAACGGAAATTGTAACTTTCCTTTCTGTGTAATCTAGCAACAGCCTTCCAAGCCCTAGTCATGTATTTCACTCGCTCTTTTAGCGCCCTCCTCGGTGCAGAAATAGATCTCCCTCATAGTGCGTTATATTCTTTTTCATACAGTATCACAACTCTACTTGCACCAACGAAAATCTTCAATCAACTTCTTACTGAAGCAAGAGCTATGGATCAATCCGGTTCTAGGATCTCCTCGCATTCGCCGAACAACATGGACTCTAGCAGCAACCAAGAGAATGTCGAGAACCGTCTCCGAGACGCTCTCATTGGCACCCCTATCGATCCCTTCCTAGGAGGTGTCAACCTTCCTCTCGAAGATGTCGCTCCACCGCCCATGTCCGATAGCCGCCCGAAGATAACTCAATCACAGCCGCGTAACCTACTTCTTCGTGACTTCGCTCTCCACGATTACGTCTTGCCCACCGGTGGTCCAATCAACGCAACCATGACTGAGATCATCGTCCTTCTCCCGAACTGGTTCCGCAACCGCGACATCGCTGTCCGATTTCAAAACAATGGCATCAATGGTGGCATCCACTTTGCCATCTTCAAAGAGCACCACGATCTTGCTCTAGTGACTGCCACCGAATGTGAGCGGGCGCGTGACCGCATTACGGACCAATATCGTAGGACAATGCGCCTGGTTGCTCCGACGTGGACGAAGGCCACTCAGAAGGCTCCAAACGGTTGGAACGAGAACGACATGGTAATCAATAACTTCTTGCCAGACGCCGCTCGCCAACCCGAGTACATTACTCCTGCTTCAGTTCCGTTCAAGAGCCTTGCGGTGGGCTTGAAGAAGCTTCCGAGTGGTACTGACGCCGGCGATCTGACGCGCGCCCTCGACTTCGCCATGAAGAACCAGAATTTCGACAAGCACAGCCAGGGTGTCGATTTCATGTTTCCAGATGACTTACAATTGATCCTAGATCACATCGGTAGGACAAAAATCACTAGCGAGCATACCGACCCACACACAGTTCGTCAATATTCGGATCTGTTGAAGCAGACCGCTGGCGCCAAAGCCGCGAAGGTGGTAGATGAGCGCCGGCGCAAGAAGTATGGTGTGCAGATAGTTGCTGGTGATTCTTATCAACAGCAGCCACAGCAAGTTCAGTCTGCAGTGTCCCAGGGTCTAGAGCAGTTTTCACCTGGCGTTATTAACTTTCAAATCCAGGGTGGTGATTACCACGGAACGCCACAAAACAGCATGGGCGCCCCGGCAGATTTGCCTACCCATGAGGCTCAGCCGAATGAGCTCCAATTTACTTTTGACGCTGGCGTTGGGATGCAAGGTTCCAGCAATGACTTGCAGCCAGCCGAGCAAAAGGCAGGGGCTATAGTCTCATCCAAACTCAACCCCGACAACGCTGAAATCTTCGGTGATCAGCGTCCTCAGTCTGGGCGTAATGACCTTCCTAGTATCCCAGATATCTGTCGTCTGCCAGAATTGGAACAGGATGATGCAACCATGCGGACTGAAGAGCAGCACTTCTCCGAGGGGTTCACGTTGGAGGACATGGATACTTTTCTCGCGCCCCATCAGTCGATTGACTACTCAAGCTTATTAGCACCTTCTCTTGAGTCGGATCGTGTGCAGTCATTTGACGATAACCTCCCAGCCACCGTTCCGCCTGAGTATCGCCCAGACTATCCACCGACTCAGCTTTTGCGGGATTGCGCCGAGGGCACCAACGAAGCCGACCATAGCGATATTGCTCGTGCTTCACGTTGGGCTCGACAACCCGAGCTGGCTATCTATGACTTCACGGTTGCGGATGTGGAATTCATCATGCAGATGCTAGGCACGTAGGGTGGTACAACGCCTGACAAGTAGGTTGGCGGGTGAAGGTGAGGTCCAATCGGGACATAGAGAACAATGCCGCCACATGATATCGTACTTCTTTCTGTAGACCATGGTGTAGATAGAAAGGGGGTTTCCAATCCGAGAATAAGCTTGTTCGTAGAGGTTTGGTGTTGCGGCGCCTACCCGGATTAGTGCTCTCACCTAGTTGAAATAGTGGCTATACAAGCAAGCAAATGAGAATACATGGCTCCCTTAAGCATTAATTTACTATTTGAGTGTCCTACATGAGTGTCGCGCAGAGCCTAGGAAAGAGGATAAGTGACGTTGTCAGAGCTGGGCGAGGAGGAGTATGTGTACGCGAGTCTAAAGATCGTGGGGTCAGTCTTCGCGAGGGTGAACTTGATGCTCCGACTCAGAAGGTGACGCGGCGCGTCAAGAATCTAGATTTTGTATTCTCTCCCACTACTCGTGCCGTCCCATTCAGGGTACCTTCCAACAATTGCGTCATTAAAAACAAGCCCAGAAAGTTAATTCATAGACAGGATCCTGGTATTCATACTCGTTACTCCACCGGAAGGCGGGCGTGTGAAGTGTACCTTGAACAAGCATCAATCTTGGCTCCATTTCTTCCCATCGCGCAGGGATCGCTATCGGCATATTACGCACTCTTGCTTTTGTCGCTGGTCCAAGACACGAGCGCGTTCGTCGCCGCTTCGCCTTTGGAGAGGTTGCGCATGCTAAGTACACAGCCGCAGCTATTTCGCGGGCGTAGTCGCAACTGAGAATAAAGTCGCTGTTCACGCGGTCGCATCAGCAATACGGTCGTGAGGATTTCGCAAAGGAGATGGCAACTTGGAAAACTGTTCGCAGAATTGAATAGGGAATTTACTGACTGTAAGTCTTCTTAAGGTCACGTATTGGTTCATGGGCAAAACTCGGATGAGCCTCAACGCACAAGCCAGGGCAAAATTCGTAATTTATCGCCCCACATCGGACCTAAGGGATTATTCAATCGGTATGTTATGGTCCAACCTCGAGATGTAGGAACTAATTACTATTTTCCCACTGGTATATATTATTTAACATTGGAAAATCTCCCATCGAATAAGAGCACCAAAGCTGAATGGCGCAGCGGAAGCGCGCCGGGCTCATAACCCGGAGGACGCACGATCGAAACGTGCTTCAGCTAGAATCTCTTCTTTTTGCATTTTTATTGTTACTAGAATCCACCGCTCCATGCATGAGCCAGGCAACGGAATTGTAAATTTTCCCTTGCCAACTAATAAAATATTATCATGGCACTGAGCGAGAGTTAATTTTTAATGTTGGCAAATCTACCATGGCTTGCCTGACTGTCACTCGAAATCAGCCCGCTAGCTAAAGGGCTCTCATCGTCACTGGAGTAGTCAAAGTAAGCCTTTACAGTCTGTCATGAAGAAGGGATATTACATAAAGTACATAAACAATAATACGGAGAAGTTGGCAAACTCGGTCTACTATCGCTGGATGCTTCAAAATGCCAAGCTGCCGACGACATGGGACGAAAACGAAGACGAAAGAGGCTAGCGGCCAGCGGCCAGCGGGAGAACGCGCTTGGACGCGACCCGTGGACGCGTCGAGGCTGCCAGGTGCACTTAACACCCCAACACCGTCACTACAGACTACTTGATAGAATTCCACGATGTATTTCATGTTCTATTTCGATGAGTAGCTATTCACCAGGAATACCCACCTCATTTGACCCTGCACTCCTCTCTGAATTCGAAATCCTCCACGACGCGCCTGCATCACTCTCCTACTCCGACGAGATCGACGCAATACAGCAGTGCGTCACGGAAGAGAAAGCTAAGAAGAACAGAGCAGGAGTTGTCATTCAGCATCGCGCTTGGAAGATAACAGACATATTCCGGAGTGAAGGAGAAGCCCCAATCGGTACTACTAGCGAGAATACGCGCCGCCACGAAGACTAATACCGCCAGACACACCTCTCAAGCAGCGGACGCAGTGGCCAGTCAAGCACTTTCGTGCTGGCTCCTCAACTGAAAGTCACATCTTCCCTTCATCACCGCCAGTCTACGCGATGCCCCTCATCTCCTCGCCGGTCGCGTATCCGCCGAGCTCCTCTATGCCGCAAGCCTCGTCACCGAAGAAGCGGAAGCGCTCAATTGATGTGCGAGAGCCGCTAAAGGATGTACAGCACACCAACGCTATGCGCAAGATTGGTGGCTTTTTGGACGACTCAGACGATGAGGATGACATCGCTGCGCTAAAGGAACACACCCTGAAGAGAAGGGCAGTCAGCAGTATCAAAGACCTGCCCTCGGCTCTAGATGGCTTTGCAGACTACACACCACCAGCTAGCCAAGATGATATCGCGGACCCAGAGACAGTGCCGGTGGGTGAGCTTGACAAATACAGCTTCGAATCGCAATCTCAGTCACCGATCGAACGCCCTCCGTCAGCCCAAGAGCCGACATCAGCGCAGCCCATGCGTGGAACAGTCGCTCGCAACTCGTCTGGCAAAGCAATTTATATACCGAAGAAAGCGAAGCGCGAGGCTGTATCATATGAACAACTGATTGCAGCACGGTCTGTTGCAACCGAAGGCAAAGCTAGGACAAGCTACTATGGACTCAACATACACGAGCTGATGGACGAAGCGAAGGCCCTGGATTTAGAGAAGGCTGTCAACCGAGCACATATAGTCGAAGACTTGCCGCAGGCATCGATTGAACAGCCAATCAGTAAAAATGGGAAGAGCAACCGGACACTGATGTGGACGGAGAAGTACCGAGCAAAGAAGTTCACGGATCTTGTCGGAGATGAGCGAACACATCGGTCAGTCCTGCGATGGCTCAAAGCATGGGATCCGATAGTCTTTCCTGGATCTAGCAAGGCAAAACCCAGGGCTGCGAAGAAGGGATTTGAAGAAGAAGAGCAGAGGCATCGCAAGATTCTACTTTTGACCGGGCCGCCAGGACTTGGAAAGACCACGCTAGCTCATGTGTGCGCTCGACAAGCTGGGTATGAAGTTCAAGAGATCAACGCGTCTGATGAGCGAAGCCGAGATGTGGTCAAGGGACGCATACGGGACATGGTGGGCACAGAGAACGTTCGGGGTATTAGCACCAATACATCAAACGGAAAAGCGCGAAAAGCGGGCAAACCGGTCTGCGTGGTCGTCGACGAAGTAGACGGCGTGGTAGGCGGAAGCGGTGGAGGAGGCGAAGGTGGCTTCGTGAAGGCGCTCATCGACCTAATCAATCTCGACGAGAAGAACTCCAAAGCCATTGGGCAGCAGCAAACTACGACGGGCACGAAGAAGAGGAAAGGCGACAAATTCCGACTCCTGCGACCGCTGGTCCTCATTTGCAATGATCTATATCACCCTTCATTACGACCGCTGCGACAGTCTTCCATGGCTGAGATCATTCATATCCGGAAACCCGCACTGAACATGGTAGTTACGCGCATGCAAGACATCTTCGTGAAGGAAGGAATACAGTGCGATTCTGACGGTGTCCGGCGTCTATGCGAAGCCACATGGGGCGTGAGTACGAAGAAAGAGGGGGGCACGGGTAGTGGTACCGGGGAGGGCGATATCCGTGGAATCATGGTGGTCAGTGAGTGGGTGGCAGGACGTTTACGATCGTCAAACAACTTGAAGCCAAAGGATAAGCCGCATCTCACGCGAAAATGGATCGAAGATAACTTTATTAACGACCTCCGCCACGGTGGTGGAGCTGCACGTAGCCTGGGTCGAGGAGGTGCAAAGGATGTTGTTGATCGTGTCTTCCGCGAAGGAGCCGGATTTCCGAAGCAGGCCGAAACTACAGACCCTCGAACAGCAGCTTCCCGAGCGAAGAACGGCGTTATTGGTGTCGCTGAAGGTGCGAAACGACGTGCTATGGAACGGCTCAGGGAGATGGTTGACACGAGCGGGGACTGCGATCGCATCGTAACAGGTAATTCCACTCTTCCACCTCCAGACCCTATGATCAGCTCTAACATTCAATAGACTGCTTCACAGCCTATCCCGATAAGCCTTTCCAAGACGACACCCTCCTCAGCAAACCAACTTCCGCATACGAATGGCTACACTTCCATGACACTCTCAACTCCGCTGTTCATGGCTCCCAAGAGTGGGAGCTCGCACCCTATCTCTCAAATTCCGTCTTAGCATTCCATAACCTCTTCGCCTCCCCCGCACGATCAACTTCAAACCCCAATGTAGATTCGGATGCGCCGCCTATGCCTTTCACAGGTCCTGGAGCTAATTTTGCAGCAGCGGAGCAGTTTAAGGCGAGTAGGAGCCAGTTGATGGCACTACAAACATCACTAAGTCTACCACTGACACGTATGTTCCGCAGCCCAGAGGAGATGGCCATGGAGTTGATTCCCTTTGTCCTGCGCATGCTCTCACCAGATGTCAAACCCGTAATCGTCAATACAGGCCCTTCAGGCTCCAAGTCCTTCGCCACCGCCTCTGTACGCAAAGCTTCCGAGAAAGCACTCGTGAAGCAGGCTGTCGAAGCGATGGCTGCGACCGGCGTTCGTTTCGAAAAGTCCAGGATCGAGATCGACGACGTTGCAAACCGCAGCGCTGGCTTTGTTTGGCGCATGGAACCAAGCCTCGATGTCCTTGCAGCTTTCGAGACTCTAGGTGGGAAAAAGGACGAGAAAGTCCGCTACGCAGTTCGTAGCGTTCTCGAACAAGAATGGCGCAAGGAAAGCGCGCTTCGCGACCACGCGAGTCGTAGGCGCCGTGGTGGTCAATCCGAGCACGACGAGCTAGAATCTCAAGTGGAAGAAAAGTCAACCGAAGAAAAGGTAGCCGAGGCAAACAAGAGGGCTGTGAAGCGAGACTTCTTCGGGAGGGTCATCAAGGAGACAGATGCGAGTAGAAAGGAAGACAAGAGGAAGAAAGAGAGCGGAGAGATGCAAGGCGATGAGGGAAGAATCTGGGTTAGCTTTCATGAAGGGTTTTCAAATGCAGTGCGGAAACCCGTCACCATCGACGACATACTACGGGGCCTCTAGCTATACTGAGTATAATTTATGCTAGACTTCCCTTTCTAATAGAGCTCTTTCAGCTTTATAACCTTTTCTTGTCTTGTCTAGCTATTTCCTCATTCTTTTAGTTCGAATGGCCAGATCTCTCTGAGATCTTCTTCGCTCTTGATCGGCTCATCATCATCTGGGTGCTCAATACCCAAGATTTCCTGCAGCATCCCCCTAAATAACTCACGATGCGCTAATTCCGTTGCTTCCCAGTCCCCTGAATGAACCCAACCATCAGATGCGGTATTGAGCAAACCCGACAAACTATGTCTCAGCTGGTGTGCTGCTTCATAAAACTTGTAGTCCTTTTGGTGGACGGCATATTCGTCAGGAGTGGGTAAAGGAAATGGACACGATTCCGCAAAACCAAGCTCTTTCCAGCGTCGCGAAGTCTGGATCAGCTCCTCGCGAAAGGCAACGGCGCCATCCTCCCAAGTTCGTTGGCAATAGCGAAAAGGCCGAAAGAAAGCTTCGTCCATTGATCTAGCTTCTGACAGCTTCGGGGCGAGGAACTTTGTGCAGTACTCAAATGCTTTGGCACATGCCTCGCTTTTGGGTTCGAATTGATCTTCGTCCGAAGGATCAGGAAAGGCTTGCGCAAAATCTGGTGCTTCATCTGCATACCAAAATACTGGCTCAATGCTGGAAGACTGCCAGTCGATAATGGCCGAGACAATAGTAGGATCTTCTTCCGAGACAAAGATATTTCTTGTATGCAGATCAGGGTGAAACATTACAGGGCTAGCTGCTTTCTGGATCCGAGAGTCTTTGGCCATTTCCCTTATAACCGCACGACCGTGTTCGAGTAGTTGATAGTGCGTCTCAATGGATCCGTGATAGCGTGGTCGTTTTGAAATAGCTCCAGCTGGTGGGATTCTGGACATTCCAGTGTCGATGAGACCGTCACAGTATACGGCGAGTCCAGACCCTGTAGTACTTGCTAAGTGTTCTGCGAGTCTGAAGGCATATGATGTAACTTACATGGTCCCTGATTTGAGTTGACTTTGTGATAATATCTAGGCTGTCCTACATTACAGTTCCAGTAAGTAGCTCCACAGTGAGGACCGATGCAGAATTCCTGGTTCAATGACAGCTTTGAAGCACTGATATACGGCGTGTTAGCAAAATACAAACTACCATAGGCTGGAAAGTCGAGGTCGACAATTTCTTTGAGCTTTTGGTAGATTGCCTGTATACACCTAATTTGCTCGGTCACGTCCATAGCTGGCCATCTTTGGCGTAACGGAATTCCTAGAGCATGTTCCATGATGATATACTCGCTCCCAATGGCGTTTGAAGCATCATCGCTCCAGTCCAGTATTTTGGGAATGGGGATGCTAGTTTTGGCTTGTACTAGAAATACCCAAAGCGGTCAGTCGCTGAATCAATCTTTCTAATCATCTCGCTGTGCAGAACGTACGATACTTGATGGTCGCAACTTCGGAATTAGTCGTCAATCTTGAGGGTCCTGCCAACGCAAAGGGCAATCTAGCAACGATGCGTTTCGCGTTGTTAGTGTGAAATATAAAGACTCTGTTAAAGCCGCCTTCCGTCTTGTCATACGAGACGATAGAGCTAGCACCAGGACACAGTGCTATTATTTTACAACACAGAGCGTCAAAATCAAACCGTATAAGACGTGATTCTCGCTCTAGCGCATCGCGACGGAGCCACCGGCCACTCGTATAATTGTAAGGATTATGGCCTTCATTCAATTTAGTATCCTGATAATATGACAAAAGAGGAGGCCTGCTGAGGGTGCTCACTTTCTCCCAGGGACTCTATCATCTGCCTCGAAGAAGAAAATGTAGCATAACCGAGAAACGGTTGGTGAAATATTGGGTGGAAGCGTATAAAGGCCGGGGTGTCTAGGAATGGGAGCAATTTCGAAGTTCGGATTGGAGACGTGCGCTGTGTGCGAAGATGCGGCACGAGGGGAGGCGCACTGCTTAAAATGAAGCGATGCATGAAACCTCCTACCTTGAAGCCAGATGTAGAATGACTTGACAAAAAAACGAACAACGACTAGGCGGACTTGAGTTGATTACGGAAGTAACGAGGGACTCATGCGGCGTCTAGAGCAAGGTGCCTCCGCGCTAACCTAAAACAGCCTACCTAGGTACCTCGCTCTATCATATCTTGACTGTCAAACCTTTACAGCAATGTTTTTGAGAGAAGATGATAATTAGTACGATGTATATCTCGTATCTTTAGCAAAAATTCCAATTTGTCTTGGGACTTTTTTTATCGACTACTCTTAAATCTGCTTAACAATAGAAGGGAGGAAGCACCGCACTCAATGGCCGGCGATAGGTGATGTGCGCCATTACACGGGTTCTCAGACATCGAAAAGACTTGCAAAGGCGAGCTATATTGGCTTCTTTAAGTGCATTCCGCCAGTCTACGGATATGACTAGTTTTTGCTGAACAAAACCTGGAGCTCGGACCTAATTGAGAGTCAGCCTCATGTCAGTTATCGAACAGCTATAGCACAGAAGTCGTCTTAGAGTTATAACAAAAGATTTAGATAGCGCCTATGTCATTGCGAGTCTGTCGAGTTGTACTTTGAGATTGTCGTGATCACATGGAATCTTCGAACTGATAGACGGATCAACCATATGCATCCTTTTCTTGGAAAGAATCACCTGGACGGTCGACCGACAATCCCCCCACATTTCTTTATAGGTCCCACAAGTTATTTCAGTTGAGGTGTTGGTGGTCTTCCAACAAGTTATGCGCTGTGAGGAATACCCCGCAGTGAGGGGTACCGGACTATTATGTACCGAAACCATCCGTCCATACACCACCTACACCTACGGGCTGTCGTACCGTGTATCCGAATAGTGGGATGATGAAGAATAGCTATGGAGTCTGTGAATCAACATCATATTCAAGTCAATCACCAAGATCCAACGTTAGTCTTCAAGCCTAGAAGACGACAGCAATATGAAGTTTCGCGATGGTATGGAGTTCGAAGAGACGCAATGGGACAAAAGCTAACTAGATACAGGTATGTGGTTGGTCAATGACCAGTTTACCGTCCAACACGCCGAAGAAGTACACAACGTGACTCCGCGTGGAGATAACACGGCTGTCACCCTTCTCTGTCCGACTAGAAAGATCTTCTCCCGTGGCGACACGCTCAACCTGAGCACTCTTTCTATCGATATCGAAGCGCAGTTCGACGGCGTGATTTCTCTCGAGGTTACGCATTTCGCTGGCGCTAGACGGCTTGGTCCCGATTTCGAACTCTTCCCTGCTGGACGACCTGAGTCCAAAGGCGAGGTCGCTAAGAACGACAAAGGAACTACTATTACATCTGGCGCGTTGAGTGCTACTGTCAGTGGCAATGAGCACTCATTCGACATCAAGTTCCACGCTACCGACGGTTCCAAAACATTGACTTCACTACAAAATCGCAGTGTTGGGCTTGCATATTCACCCGCATTAAGCACACCGAAGACAGTGGAAGATTTGAGTTCACACAAACACTACGTCTTCACACAGACCGAGCTGAGTGTCGGTGAGTCTATTCATGGACTTGGTGAGCGTTTCGGGGCGTGGAACAAGATCGGCCAGAATGTGGAAGTCTGGAACGAAGACGGGGGCACATCGAGTGAGCAAGCTTACAAGAACATCTCCTTCTGGTTGAGCTCGAGAGGCTATGGCGTGTTTATCGATACGCCCGACAAGATTGATATGGAGATCGGGAGTGAGCGATGTTCGAGATTGCAAACGACTGTTGAAGGACAGCGACTGAAGTGGTGAGTTACCAACGCGACGGCCGCTTATGGCAGTACCTCATTGACACCTAAAGGTATCTTATCTACGGTCCAACTCCGAAAGAAGTTCTAACAAAGTATTCCATTCTCACTGGGAAAGCAAGCCGCGTCCCAGCATGGTCCTACGGTCTCTGGCTCAGCACTTCCTTCACAACTTCCTACGATGAGAAAACAGTCCGTCACTTTGTCGAGAAAATGTCTGATTCCAAGATCCCTGTCGAGGTCTTCCATTTCGATTGTTTCTGGCTCCGCGCCTTCCATTGGTGCGACTTCATCTGGGATCCGCAGTCGTTCTCCGATCCTGCGGGTCAAATCAAACGCATGAAGGACGCTGGACTCGTCAACAAAGTGAGTGTCTGGACAAATCCATACATTGGACAAGCAAGTCCGGTGTTCAAATACGCCGCAGAGAAAGGTTATCTGCTCAAGAAAACAAATGGCGATGTATGGCAGTGGGACCTCTGGCAGACAGGCATGGCAGTTGTAGATTTTACAAATCCCGAAGCTTGCGAGTGGTTCCGAGGATGCATGGAGTCCTTGTTCGAAATGGGTGTTGATTCGATCAAGACGGACTTTGGCGAGCGCATACCGACGAAGAATGTTCAGTGGCATGACAAGAACGTGGATCCCAGCCGCATGCACAACTACTATGCTTTCATATACAACAAGCTAGTATACGAAGCCGTACAGAAGCGTTACGGCAAGCACGAAGCAATCTTGTTTGCCCGCACTGCATGCGCAGGCACCCAGCGGTTCCCACTGCAATGGGGCGGCGACTGCGAGTCCACGCCTGCTGCGCTCGCAGAGTCCGTCCGCGGAGGACTGAGTTTGGGTCTTGCTTCATTCGCATTCTGGACCAGCGATATCGGTGGCTTCGAGGGCAGTCCACCACCGTGGATTTACAAGCGGTGGGTAGCATTTGGACTGCTTAACTCGCATAGCCGTCTCCACGGATCGAACTCTTACCGTGTTCCTTGGCTAGTTGACAACTCGTCAACGGAGCCCGAGAACTGCACGGATGTACTTCGACACTGGGTACAACTTAAACGCCAGTTAATGCCGTATTTGTACGCTCAGGCGGAAGAGAGTATTGCCAATGGTTGGCCAACTAGTGTGCGTGCAGTTGCGCTTGAGTTCCCCAATGACCCAACGTCCTGGCACTTGGACCGCGAGTTCATGGTAGGAAGTCAGATCTTAGCTGTCCCAGTCTTCGAAGAAGATGGAAGTGCAGAGTATTACCTTCCACCCGGTCGCTGGTTCAGCTTCTGGGACGGCAAGGAAGTGCAGGGTGGTAGATGGGTCAAGGAAAAGTTCGGCTTCCTTCATTGTCCTTTGTTTGTCAGAGAAGGTACTGTGTTGGTGCTTGGACAAGCGGAGGGCGAGGGTGGCTTTGGGTACGACTGGCTCAGCTCTGGAGGCGAAGTGAGGCTCTATGGAGTTAGTGAAGGCGATAAAGCGGTCTTAGTGAATACGGTTGGTGAGCCGAAAGGAAAGCTAGAGGTTCACGGCAGCGGTGAGCTCAGAGGCATCGAGGCTCTGAGTGGTGATTGGAAGGTATCTAAGCTTGGATAGGAGAGCGGGCCGACATCAACCACCGGCTCTATTCAACAAGCACAACACAATTGCAGTCGTCGTGTGCAAGGCTTGAAGTAGGAGTCTTACCGCAGGAGCACGGGCATGATTATAAGGCGGGCCGGCGGGCGTGAAAAGCGGCACTTAATCATTGGCGGGAAATTGAACGTTCAACGGACATGCATCAGCCCCGCTACACCACTGTACCCCAAAGATCTCGTCCCGTCTCTACCCCGGATTTTTTTCACATTCAGGGTGATCACGCCCAATTTCTCGCGCGACGTGGTGGACCCATTGGTCCTCTGCGGGCAGCTCATGGAGACTAGGAGCGCGCTTCCGACTGAACGCACGCCACAGCAAGTTGGTGTGACATGACCAGCATAACCCAGCGGCGTGGTGTGAGTACATGCTACCTCGGTATTATTATATATCGTGGTCGCGTCTTGATGCTTTCGAGCCGCTGCGATCCTCGCTCTAATTATTCAACATTGTGGGCTATTGAAGAGCAGCAGCCATGGGTCTCTTGTTCAATGTTGGCCTTGCAATCTTTGCTGCGACGGGCAGCTTCCTCTTTGGGTATGACAGCGGTGTTATGACCATAGTTATCCAATCGCCTCATTTCCTGGAATTCTTCCATACAACGAAGACTTCAGCTACTATAGGCGCCATCAATGCAACGTTCTCGGGAGGAGCAGTGTTTGGCTCCCTAATGTAAGCTTGCTTAGGCCAACGTAGAGAGATGAGTTACTAACCATGCCATAGGGGAGGGTTCACGATGGACTCTCTTGGTCGTCGAAAGACCATTTTTATCGGTGCTACGATCAACCTTGTTGGCGCGATACTACAATGCGCTGCTCAAGACCTTGCGATGGTGCTTGTGGGACGCATTATGGCTGGTTGGGCGGTTGGCTTGTTGTCCATGTCGGTTCCTATCTACCAATCTGAGTGCGCTCATCCGAAGACACGAGGTATGCATAGCACCCCCACAATTTTCTCTTTCTATAGCTGACCTTTATAGGTCTCATCGTCGGTATTGCCCAACAGATGATCGGAGTTGGCTTCATTATTTCCACATGGGTCGGCTATGGTTCGTCCAAGGTGCCCAAAACAAGCTCCTTCTCCTGGCGTTTCCCATTAGCCTTCCAATGTCTACCCTGCCTTATGATCATCTGCGGTATAATGTTCTTCCCCGAATCCCCTCGCTACCTCGTCGAAACCGACCGTTCGGATGAAGCAATGAGGGTGCTCAGAAAGCTGCACTATGACGGCAGCAACGATGAGTGGATCGAGTCGGAGTTCAATGAAATCAAATTGACCATAGATGCGGAAAAGGCGATTACGGCGCCCGGATGGAGAGTCATGTTTACAGTGCCTGTTTGGAGGAAGAGGTTAATGCATGCTACCCTTGTGCAGGTCTTTACTCAAATGACAGGGTATGTTCCTCTCCATATCTCCAGATGCCTCCTTATGCTAATATGTCTATTTAGTATCAATGTGATTGGCTACTACTCCACCATTCTTTACGAGAATCTAGGCATAACTGGGGACCGCAACCTCCTCGTAACCAGCATCTACAATGTCGTCGGACCTATCTTCAACTTCTTCTTCATTGTCTTCTTCCTCGACAAAGTGGGACGAAGAAAGCCCCTCATCTTCGGTACTATCGCCATCTCCGTCGCTTTGATCTGTGAAGCCGCCATTGGAGCGCAAGTCACCAAGGCCACTGGATCGCGCAAGGATAGCCTGTCGGCTGCCGGTGTCTTCTTTCTCTTTCTGGTGTCGTGTATCTTCAGCGTATCGTTCGGCCCAATCTCATGGGTGTATGCGTCTGAGATTATGCCGCTGAGTATCCGTGGACGCGGTTCTGCGTTCGCCACCGGTATCGGCAACTGGCTTGTCGGAACTGTGTGGTCGCAGGTCTCACCGATTGGACTTGGAAAGATCACTTACAAGTTCTACTTCATCTTTGTGGCTTTCAATCTGTGCGTTACGCTACCGACTATTGCGTTAATGTTCAAGGTATGTGGAGTTGTGAAATTGGACTTGTGGGTCAGATGCTAATACGACTGCAGGAGACAAAACAACTTGGTTTGGAGGAGATCGATTTGCTGTTTGGTGAAAGGGCCCTGGGTACACTACCTGACAATCTAGACGACAAGCAGCGAGAAATTGAGCTAGAAAGAGTTGAGAGAGCGAGGAAACACTTGGCCGGTAACACGGTGACGGCAGTTCACTAGATTGGGACCATTTCGCAACGCCAGATGTGAGGAACGAGATTTTCGTTCCTCTGGAGTAGATTAGTTCTTTGCAAGAACAATCCGTGGAAGAGAGGGGAAATACACGACGTCTATCAAGCAGCTGAGCTCAGCTCATGCTTCCAAGACATGTATTGAAGAAGGAATCTAGAATTACGACATTTCAAGAACCCGTAGAACCAATTCATTAGATTATACATGTCGTTGTTTTTCTTGGAAATTGAGTTAACGAACGGTGAATGGTTACAGGTTTCAGAGGTAGGGTCACGACCCCTTTCTATACGTACGAAACTCTTCATATCTGTTCAAAGTTCATGTTCAGTCGCGCCTATCTCAAATGACTTCAGCTATTCATGATCCTCCTTCTTGGCATTTACCTCGCCTCCACTATCTGCCTTCACGGTTACAGTGACTTCGGTAACCGTCACCACAAAGTTCCAATCTGGTGGAGCTTCTACGCCGTACGGGCCAGCATGTGACTCGTCATGGTGGGGGACCGGGTCGAAAGGAGAAGCTATAAAAGTGTCAGTCACTCCTAAGCCCGTACAGGGCCAAAAGCCTCACCGTTCTGCGCTTCGTTTTTATCATATTCGGGGTTTTCTGGGATTCCAAGGTTTGGCTTTCCAAGCGACATTGCAGATGTAGTGGATTTAGACCGGGGAAATGTCGTTCTTAATAGTGAGCGAGCGGGGCTTCCAGAACGACCGCTAAACTTCGATATAGATACTAATGAGTTGATCTTCTTCATTTCGGGGGATTATTGTTCAGGAATATGAATTCTAGTTACCTGCACGCCTTTGATATTTATACCTATGCACAATTTCATGTCTTCACAGCGGGAGAAACGACACTTTTAGTGAAGTGCATCAATGTAATGCTACTACACTGCTCCCGATTACTTCAACGACTAAGTGATTGAAGTGACAGTCCATGAGCTGTTCAAGCCTAGTATGCTTCACAACTGTCCCTGTGGGACTCCCAGAACGAGTTGAAGCATTGACATGGCACCCAGTTTTAGTGATGGGTATGCGCTAGATTTAAGAAGCTCTCGCTGTTCTTCCGTAAAAGAGACCCAAAACGCATTCAAGCGCCTATAAATACCAAATGCTCCTTCATCCCTTTCTTCCAACATACCCCCTCGGCTGATTATAGGCTCTCGCAGGGGGCCTATCGAGGGCTCTATTATGGTCTCTGATATCAGGTTCCTTCGATTTCCCACTAGTATCTTCCGCCCCTGGCTTATTCTTCTGAACAGATTCCCCTTCCCCCGAGGCCTTGACCCCATCTGGCCCAGGGCCTTGCATCTCCAAGCTCTCCTCAATGATCACTGGCTCTGTCCGCTTGGCTCGGTGCCATCGAATGATGCCGACAGATAGAAGGGTGAGTAGGAGAAAGCCGACAACGCTCGCGATGATGATGAGGGCAAGTTGCCACTTTGCAACATGAGTTCCTCTGCCTTTTGACTTTCCCCTGTTGACTGATGCTCGTGTAGAAAGGGTGTGGAAGGAGGCGTGGCTTAGGAGCGGTGTCAGTTGAGGATGTTAGGATTTGAGATGGCGAATGTGTGGGGCTTACGCTGTAAGGAATACGCCTCGTTGAATGAGGGTGCTGGCGGCACAAAATCTGGATAGCATGGGATATTTAACTAACGCTATAGTAGCTGTATTAATCGTCAAGGGTTGATTATGATGATGTGGATCAAAAGACTGTTGGCGATGTTTAGGAGCGCAACTTGGTAGTGCGTACGCGTGGAATTGGGAGCGATAATGGTGTCACTAACCCCGCCCTGAGTTCTTATACTGAAATGCAACTGTGTATGAAAGGTTGACTTTGCGGGGCTGAGCAAGCTGGTTCGTATGTTTATACCGCCTATCCAACAGCCAGTGCGCTTTGCCAGGGATCCACTTACCATAGTCTTTATCCACATGGTGCGACATCGCCACCCGGGTACGATATGCATTGTTGGACAAGCAAGATATTCTGAGGCAGAACATGTTGACCGGTATCCTTGGCGACAGCAAGTCCTATCGAGCTCACCTGATATACTGGCTACTACATTGCGGTCACCGATCGGGACGTCTACATTGGCGAATGGGCTTATGGGTTTGTAGCAATGCCGCGGATTGCTTGTAGTGAGTAATGAGCTTAGAAGCCAAGCCAGAGTCTGCGTTTAAGAGTTTATGACTTATTACTTGATAAGGTTACCAGAGTCGTAGAGGCTCGCATCCACCCCTCCACTCCTAGTGGTAACTAAAACAAACGGACGCCTAGGAACACAATAGTGGGGATGCAGTACTCTTTCAATGCACTGGATCCTAGTGTAGAAGAAGAAAGAGAAGTTATTTAATCAGCAAGGATCTGGGTCATGGTAGGCCACAGCCGATGACTCGAGGCTGGAATCGATACCTTTAGGCTAGACCTGCCGCATATGGTAGGTTCACCTCTGGAGTCGCACCTTATAGCTACGACGCACTTCTGTGCAGCTGTTGCCTGTACAATGCTTTTCGACGTGTCTGGGGGTTGTTTATCGAACATGCTGCGAAGTCCAGACGTGCGACTAGGGGTATGGCGCCAATGACGACGTGCGGGTGCGCAGATGCCTCCATCTGGCGGGCCACGATCCTGCTTTCCCCTAGTGACGCGCCGTTGCGGCTGCCTCTCCTTTCATGCAGCCCATCTACTTGTATCCTTAGCTACTAGATGTGTTTTGTCTAGACGTCTTCCATGTCTCAGACTACTACTACCCCCACTATAACGTGAATTGACCTCACCTCCGCGGCGAATTCAACACAGGAGAGGTCCAATGACCCAACAGCGGCCGCAGCCTGACGTCGCGAACCTGTCCCCAGACTCCTTCACGGCGCAGAAACTGGTAAAGTCACTGTCATGCCTATCATTCTGGCTCTCGTACTAACAATTGTAGCAACATGCAACGCCCGAGCATCTCTACCTCACGTCGAGGCGCTTCTTCATCGGTCCCATCCCCGTACGCTCCTTCGCACCCATTGCTCGCTCAGTGCTCATACATAGCTACAGACCGCATGGCTAGGCAAACATCGCAGCGACTGGTACAAGCACCACCTGCGCATCAATTACTCAAGGCGCGCCGCGACCTTCTCATCAGACCCCCGCGACGCGCGACAACGACGCCTGAGTGGTCTTGAAGGTCCCAGCTCGTCCGCTCTTTTCCAGCACAGCTTCCCGCCACCCCAAGAGCTCGATGCGGAAGAGGACGAGGGCACCGAAGATGCTCAGCCTAGTGCAGCCAGTGGCGCCGCGCCTGCGACGACGGCCACACCCCCTGCTCTGCAAGTCCCCCGGGGCTCGGAGCGGAAAGAGGATGTCATGGTGGGCAGCGAGGTGGAAGAGTTTGTAGATGCGCCTTCAGAATTAGAAGACGAGGGAGATTTGCGCGGCGAAAACGACCCCAGGAAACCAACCCAGATCCGCCGGTCAAGCACCAAGACATTCGTCACTGCATCTTCAACGCGAGCCACGGCAGACCACAGCGACAGCGAGTCTGACGAAAGACAAGACAATACTCCAGCACAAGAAGAGGAACCTACAGTGCAGGCAAGTGGCCTACAAGTTCCTACCGGCCAAGACGAACCAGGACAAAAGTCGCTGGGCAAACGCCCGCTGTCTACTGTAGAGAGTCGTGGTGCATCGCCGTCAACCGTTGGAGGGGCCTCGGTAGACGCCGATTCAACTTCATCTCTGCTTCGTAAGACTGACACGCACAAGGCACCGACACCCGCTGATGTCGATCCTAAGCCGCCCACGAAAGGAATACTGGCCAAGGTCAAGAGGAAGTCAGAGCTGCGTTCTTCGCAAGCAAGCCTAGAACACGAGGAGGGTTCGCCACCAGAGAACCTGGCGCGTAAGAAATCGCATCTCCGCAACCTAGTCAAGTTCGACATTCCAGAGGATACGCGACGTGCCACCATTCACCTAAAAGCGAAGAAGGCGCAGATGACCGTTCAGCGGGCAGGGTCCAAGATTCGACGGCAGAGAATCAAGAACGGAATCGTTGTGAAGATGGAGCGCATGCTTGTTCGAGTCGATTCTGCGTCTGCTGGGGAGGTACCGGATGACTTTGATGAGAATGTAAATCAAAGAGTGGTCTCTCGCATCAAGGACAAGTGGCGGGAGTACATGGTCGTCTGCCGACACAGCCATTCAGACAATGCTGATTTTGTGTTGCAATTTTACAAGACACGAGTAAGTCTTGGGTATAATTTAGCGCAAGCCAAGTACTAAGTCTCCTTCAGGTTATTCCAGAGATCGAAAACTCGGGTGCCGGCAAGAAAGCTGCATACGAGATTCCCCTGGCTCGCAAAACCAGCAAAGTCAATCTTTACTCCTCACTGGACAAGTCCATGGTCGTTTCCGCGCCCGGTCCACATGCTACCCTGATCTTCATCATGCAGGCCAGGACTGCTTCCAATGCTGTCGAATGGTATACGTTTCTTCGAAATCTCTTAGGCTGGCATCGCGCCTCCGAACTTCAGATCAATATTCCGGACATGAGCTTGAGTGTGCGGATAGCCAACCCTTTTGAGAAGCTAGAAGCCTCTCAAAACGAAGTCCAAGATGCTGAGGACACGGAGGAAGCCATGCTGAAAACTATGCAGGAGGAGCAAGCAGTAGCTAAAGAGCTCATCAGTCGTTGTCTGGACCAGCTGCAAGATGCACCCGAGTGGGCAGACGTCCTGGAGTCCTGGATGAAGGACCATCGAATAGGACTTGCATGGAAACGTTACGATCGACTTGAGTGGATCCATGGAGCTAACGAGCGCAAAATGTACGGTACCATCGCCATGCTGAAGTCGCACGATCTAGAGTTGCGACCGAAGACACACTATCCTACTACTGCAGTGACGCGCAGGAAGCAAAAGACTTTGACCGAGCCCGTCCCCGTGGAAGGTTTTCTTATCAGGCTAACTGGACAACGCGGGCGGGCGAAGCGTTTGGGTTTGCTGTACCATAAGCAACTCTACTTTGCAAGCCACGATCAGTACCTTGTCTTCTCACGCCCTACGAAAGTTACACCGCCGCCTCCACCCAAGCTTCCCGCCTCTGGCGCTGCAACTGTGCCAGCAGCACAGGCGGTTGCGGATACCATACCCGAAAGCTGGGCCGTTAACCCATATGCTCTCAAGGCCAACCATATCGAATGGTTGCTAGAGGGCCACTCAGGCACAGCTGAGACTAGACGATTACACGATGAGGATGCAGCAGACGAGGCAGGGCGCAAGGAACAAAACCTACTCAACTGCGACGGCTACATTAATCTGGCAAACGTTGTCAAAGTTCGTAAAGCTAGGCTGGGTGCCAGTCCGGTGGATGGAGATCTCGAGGAAGGCTCGGATGTAGATTTCGATGAGGACATCAATGATTCAACTCGTGATGATGGCGCTACGAAGGACATTGATCTAGATCGCACATTTGAGCTGGTGATGAAGAACGGCCTCATCATCCGGTTACAGGTGCGTCAACATTCACTGTGGACTTACTACATGTACTAATAATAAAATAGGCTGCGGACAAAGCACGTCGAAAAGAGTGGATTCAGCATCTTCGCGCGCTCGCCAAGTACTGGAAACACCGCACAGCCTCTGACATTGCTCTCTACAAATCGACACGCAGCCGTAACCTCAGCGCTCTCAACATTGACGAGGAAGCTGAAGCGCACATTGGCCAATTCGCCCGCAAGTGGGAAGTCACACAATCTTTCGCCTCCCCAGACCTTTATAACATGTGCGGTATCGCTTGCTGCCGCAGTATTAACATGAGCGGCATGCTCTACCGCAAACCACGCATCCATGCACCCTTTACGCGCTGCAGTGTTCTCCTCACTGCTGGCACACTGCTCATATTCCGCGATGTTTTACGAAACGGAGTAGGCAAGCAACTCGCACACATTCACCACGAGCGCATTGCCAACCTCGATTTGAAAGACTGCTATATTTACTCTGGCCTCCTCACAGAATCTGATCTCCTATATCAGAATCAGACGTTCGATGCTAATAAACCGGGACATCATGCACTACCGCGCATTTATCTCGAAGATGGTTGGACGAGCACAGATGAAGATGTTATGACTACGTTTGTTATTTGGCACGGCAAAGCAAAGAGTTGGTTTCGAGCGGAGGAAGGGGCGGGTGGGGGCGAACAGCAGAGGAAGGAGGGGAAGAGGACAAAGCTGAAGAGGGTTGCGAAGCTGGGTAGCAAAGGACGCTCTGTCGTGTTCCGAGCCAGGTCACGAGCCGAGAGAGATCATTGGGTGCTGGCGATCCAGAATGAGATTGAGCGCGTGCAAGGGGATACCGCGGATTTTAGGCTTGAAGAAAGCACTGAGACTGCAAAGGATAATTCGGGTGTTAGTAATGGGCAAGAGGACGAGAGCGGCGGGACCTGATGGAACGTCACTAATTAGGTGATGGTGGCGTTTGGATATGATATGGTACCCTGGACCGACACACGCCTCTGTGGCATCATCTTCACACGCATTCATAGCATTAAGCAGAGCTCGTATGTTTGATAAGGATAATACGACTTCACAAGGTCATTGGTAATGTAATCAATCGATGCAAAAGAACACATCTTCGTTGTATCTGCTAGGTGGTTCAGTTTGTTCTCGACATGCCCCCTTATGTCGTTCCCGCCACCCTAGAGCCGAAGAGACAGACAAGTGCAACACAACGGGTGTCACGTGTATGAACGACACGAACTAATACATGTACGCTTTGTAGCACCTTATAAAGTTGTTTGCCATATCCAATTTGCGAAAGAATCCGCAGAGTCTCGTCGTGAGTGTGCAAGCAGTGCTCGAGCAACCACTTTCACCATCACCATCACTAAACCGCTCTTTCCTGTTTCTCTGGCTGCAGAACTTGGCACGCCGCACGTAAACAAGTACTCACGCGCAGAGTCAGTTCAATTCGTCGCCCACAAACCACCGATTTACGACCAGAATTCAACCAGCCAGGCACAAATCATCAAACATCATGTTCATGTTCAACCACTTGGCCTTTCTAGGCCTCTTCTTCATCAACATCGCTTCGGCCCACTTCCACGCTGTATCCTCAGGCCTTGCTACCGATGTTGTCACTACTATGACTGTCATTACCTCCACGACGATCATCGAGGGCACCGAGACTGTCAAGAGCGTTGTATCTCGTCTTCCTACCGACCCGCTCTCTACTACTAGTGGGCTCACGACCCAGACCTCAACTCAGGTAAGTGTTACCACGATATTGCATTTGCCATATCTAACTGCGGGCCAGACCATCGTCGTCTCTACTCCAGTTTCTCGCACGGATGGTGAAAGCATGACGATCCAAACCCCCACGCCCCCAGCAAGTGCGAACAGCACTCTCAAGACCTCGACTAGCACGAGCGGCAGTGAGACCGTTCCGGTCAGCACGTCCACTACAACAGAAACGACGACGGCGACGAGCGAGGCACCAAGCGTGGGACCGTCTACGATTGTTGTGACACATGTAGCGAGCAAGACAACCGTTACTACGGCAAGTGCGAGCGCGAGTACGAGTCCGGGACTGGTGAATGCAGCGGACAAGGTTGCTAGAGGCTCGACTCTCGGCGCTGTCGTCGCCTTTGGTGCGCTCTTCTTTGGCTTCTAGGCGCATGCACGTGCTAGTGACTCGTCGACAATAGAGTCTACTAGGTATATGACTTCATATGACGGATCCATTGGCATCCGGGACATACTTGACTTGCGATTTCCAGGTCTTGTAGCAGCCAGATCAAACATGTATGAGCTAGCATAAATAAACTAACAATTCGTCATCGAATTCTGTCCCTTCTTGTCTTCTACATTTTGTAGTTTTCACTGGTGCTTTGACTAGGTCATCTGTACTCTGGGATTGATGCAAAAGTGAAGCCGTGAGGAGCAATGTGGAGAAAACACATCAAACTGAAATATATAGCACTATTGACATATGGAAGATATGTTGCTTGGTTTTCTAGAAGAGAACATGAAAGTCCGTTTGAGCTTGAAAGGGTGGGGTGCGATTATAGAAATTGAGGTTGATGGAGGGCACCAAGCCAAACGCAGACTAGTCTTGTCGCCCCGCCGGGCGGGCGATCTCACACAGTGGGCAAATCTTTGAGTCACGGAAACCAACACCGAGGACAATCCCGCTCGACCTCCGCCCAAGACACCAATCGCCCTCGCCGAAATACTCGTTCAAGGTCGTCTGCGACTCGAGAATATCCGTCTCCATCGTCGTAACCACACCGAAACAAAGTGGGCAGGGAATCCACAGGGCACAGCGACCCCACATTAGCGAACGAGTCGAACGACCACACACAGCTTTCTAGGAGTCGAGAAGGAGCACACATACAATCATGTCTCTAACGAATTGCCGGTTCTATGAGGAGAAGTACCCGGAGGTGGAGAGCTTCGTCATGGTGAACGTGAAGCAGATTGCAGAGATGGGCGCATATGTCAAGCTGTTGGAATATGGTGGGTTTAGGACAGGCCGCTTTCATATGACTTGGTGCTGATGGTGCTGATTTTTAGACAACATCGACGGCATGATCCTCCTCTCCGAGTTGTCGCGAAGACGTATCCGCTCCATCCAAAAGCTCATTCGCGTTGGCCGCAACGAAGTCGTCGTCGTGCTGCGTGTGGACAAGGACAAGGGCTACATCGATCTGTCCAAGCGCCGAGTGTCTCCCGAGGATATTGTCAAGTGTGAGGAGCGCTACAATAAGTCAAAGATGGTACATAGCATTATGCGCCACGTTGCCGAGAAGACGCAAACACCTATCGAGGACATCTACCAGGACATTGCATGGCCCCTGAACAAGAAGTACGGACACTCCATCGACGCATTCAAGCTCAGCATCACCAATCCAGAGGTGTGGAAAGATGTCACCTTCCCGAACGATGTTGTCAGGGACGAATTGCAAAGCTATATCGGCAAGCGGTTGACACCGCAGCCCACCAAGGTGCGGTCGGACATTGAGGGTATGCTAGGAATTCCAACGACACGTGTGTGTAGATACTGACCTCTCTAGTCACCTGCTTCGGATATGAGGGTATCGATGCCGTCAAGACGGCCCTGCGATGCGCCGAGGCGAAGAACACGCCCGATAACCAGGTCAAGGTCAAACTCGTGTCGCCTCCTCTCTACGGTATGCTATTGAACGAACCCGGAACTTTTTTTCGTCGCTAATGCTTCTAGTCCTCACCTCTCAATGTCTCGACAAGAGCGCCGGCATCGCGTGCCTCGAACAGGCCATCATCGACATCAAGGAGAACATCTCCAAGGCGGGAGGCGATTGCCAGGTCAAGATGGCGCCAAAGGCCGTCACCGAGAACGACGACGCTGAGCTCGCGGCGCTCATGGAGAAGCGCGAGCGTGAGAACCAGGAAGTTAGTGGTGATGAGGATGAGAGCACGAGCGACGAGGGTGGCGTTGCGGAGGCCGACTAAGCGTTAATTCTGGACGACAAGACGTGCCGATTTGTGCGCATGAATGATCATGACGGGACATGAAAGAAAAGCGGACGTATGGCGTTAAAGGCTCGATTCGAGCTGCATACTTGGGCATGTACAGCATCTTCCATTTGACGGACTTTTCTAGCTTGGGTTGTTGTAGAGTGTCGCTTCGAGAAATGAATACAAGTAAACATCTTCAACTTTCCACCTAGCGTTGCGGAGTCGAGTTGTGGTGTCCATGTTTTTCTCTTTGGCATTAGAGCTTGGCCCTTTCGCGCGATGACGATGGTCGCGAGCCAAGCTAGTCAGTCCAACTTTTGCGCATCATAGCCAACACTAGCTATCGTGCTTTTGTACCCGCAAAGAGATTATTTTTCTGCTCTACGCGTCGCGTGACATTGCTTAATCGTCTCCTGAGAATTGACCTCATTGCTCCTCCTCCTAACTGTCTTCTTAACCCTACAACGCTTCCAGGCGCGACACAGCTCCGCCGCAACAATGGTGAAGTGGAGTCGGCTATTCAACTCTGATGGCCATGATAGGCGACATAGAATACAAGACGAGTTGAGCTCGAGTCCGTCTCACCCTTCACTCCATCTACCCGGTCGTATACCAATGCCTAACTCTTCCCAGTCCTTCCCACCTCCCGCCGCGAACAGGCGCCCACATCGCCCATCGACCCAGTAGAAGTCACCAAGGTAGCGCTACGCCTTAAACACCAAATCGAGCAAGTCATACCATGCGAGCTGGAAGAAGAACAAGTCACCAAGGCACACAGCAGTATCATCACCAATGCTGTGCTAGAGACGGCCAAACAGGCAGGCGCACCTGAACACAATGCCTGTGTGGTATTCTGCCTGCTGGTAGTAAAGAAGTGGTTCAAGAAGCAAGCCCTTGCGGAGCTCTGGGACTCGGACCTACACGATGTGCGCGCCGTGGCCGCAGAGATGATGGCAAAGCGTCTCATCGAGGCGGAAGAAGACATGAACTACCTCTTCGAAGAGGTCCTGCTCAAGCGCTACTCTACCCTCGTAGATGGAAACCCCACGGTGCCGACAAACGCGGTGGAGAAAGCCGTCGATTTGCACGCGTTGACCGTGATCGGGAGCTCAGGCTACCAGAAGTGCATCAACTACCTCTGGCGCGGCTGGATCGTCCAGGACGACGATGATCCGAGCCGCTTCGTGCCGTTTGAGAACAAGACGAATACCGATTTCTGGGCACATCTGGATCCGGATCGTATGCGCGTTCCCAGGTACCAGAACTGGGTCCAGATCGCCATGACTCTCATCTTTCTAGGCCTCTACACCGGCGCTATCAACACCATTAATCCTTCCGGAGACTTGGATATCGTCGAGGGTTTGCTGTACATCTTCACCTTGGGATTCATATGCGATGAAGCCAATAAGTTCTGGAAAGTCGGACGGTACTATCTGAGTTTCTGGAACATGTTCAACAGCACGTTGTACACGCTTCTCACGGTCTCTTTCGTTCTGCGCATGGTTGCCTTTGGACACGCCCGCCATCATCATAGGCGTGATGATCTCAACAAGCTATCTTACGACTTCCTAGCCTTCACGGCGCCCATGTTCTGGATGCGGCTGCTGCTTTATCTGGATACTTTCCGTTTCTTCGGTGCCATGCTGGTCGTCCTGAAGGTCATGATGCGCGAATCGCTCATCTTCTTTGCACTCTTGCTGGTTGTTATGGTGGGCTTCTTCCAGGGTTTTGTTGGCTTGGATCTCGCAGACAATTCCCTCGACGATACCTCCTTTGTCGTTCAGGCCATGCTCAACGCTGTCATGCAGTCCCCGGAATTCGACGGATTTGACAATTTTTCAGTAAGTACCTTTGACACCCGTCACTCGCAAGGGTTGGTAGCTAACAACCCAATAGCCTCCCTTTGGCATCATACTTTACTACGTTTTTACGTTTGTAGTCATGGTTATTCTGTTGAATATCTTGATTGCACTATACAATTCGGCCTACGAAGATATTACGGAAAATGCGATCGATGAATACATGGCCCTCTTTTCCCAGAAGACGATGCAATTCGTCCGCGCCCCCGACGAGAACGTCTTCATCGCGCCATTCAACCTTATCGAGATGTTTCTTCTCATTTTGCCTTTTGAGTGGTGGATGGAGGAGAAACGATACGATAAGATCAATGATTGGGTCATGGCGGTGATTTATAGCCCGTTGCTTATCGTAACGGCATTCCTCGAGCAGAAGGAGGCGTGGAGTGTTAAAGAGAATAGGAGGCGCGGAGAGGATGACGAGGATATTACGCAGGAGTGGGAACAGGTGCTTCAGGAGTGCGACTTTGAGGCCGATGGGTGGGATAAGAAGGTTCAGTCCAGTCGGCCAAATGTCGAGTTCGATACTACGGTGCTCGAAGTCCGACAGCTGAGGAAGGAAGTCGGAGAGCTCAAGACACTACTCCAGGGTCTGACGGATAAGACCTGGGGTAGCGACACGCTAGGCGAGAGTGGATTGGCGAAGAGTGGGCTAGCAAAGCTGGATGCGGGAAACTTGGGTATGGGAGAGAGCAGTGAGGCGGGTGGGCGGGATGAGTAAGTCTGTGTCCCTTTGCCTGAGATGGACATGGGGCGCCGTGGTTGACGCATTTCCAGGCGCATGAGGAGTGAGTTTGGGGACACAAATGGGAGTGAGTGGCATTCTGATTGAGCAGTTTCCTGCTTTCTGCTACGATTCTTTGATGTTCTCGTCATTTACTGTTGTCAAACTCGATGTACATATAGCGTTCGGTATATAATGCTCAACGACATACACTTTCTTAATCATTACCTTCGTGTTAGGGACGCAGATGTACAAAGAAGTTGGGTGTAGAGAAGATGCGCACATGGAATCTTTACAAGTGTATTTATCTCAAGATCGTCAAAGATATACTGTCCTCAAGATGACTTATCCAAATCAACTAGCTAGATCATTAGAGTCGAAAGACATTGTCGACATCTCGCCTACGCCGCCATTCACCAGTAAACACTGCTCTTTTCAGCGGTGGTAGCTGTTTTCATGATGCCTTCGTGGATGCTGCTCTGCCGGAGAGTAGTGGCCACCTTGCGAATACGAACTAGCTCTAGGCTGGTTCGTAGGGCCCTGATGATGAGTCGGCGAGCGATATTGGAACTCCCTCCTACCGTAGATGGGATCCACCGCCTGTCGTGGCTGTACGTATGGCGAAGAAGGTGCAGGCATGTTCCCTTCTCGCGATAGGCGCGTTGCTCCCGGGTGAGGGAATGACTGACGGGCGTATGCATGTGGTGTATGTCCAGCGTAGAGTCTGGGAGGCATAGGAGACCTTGAGGGAATGTGTGATTTGGCCGCGGGTGTGGTTCTGGGTTTTTTCACTGATGATCCCTGCGCTTGGGATTCCTCGGTGGGACGCGGTCGCTTCGGGATGCGATATGGCTTCTTTTCTTCCATTCCTGTGTGTTGCTCCCGGTTGAATGCCTTACTCCCCTCCTTGGCTGCAACTCCTTCCTCCTGGACCTCGGTGTGGCGCTCCTCTGTCCGTCGTGTAGCTGATTTAGCGTCAAGCGCCCGCCGTCCTGTCTGTCCTTCTCTCACCGCTTGACGCACTTCCGCCTTCTTAATGCCCATTTTGAGTGCTTCGCCTACAACAGTGTTTATCGCAAGGAATGGGAATGTGAGGATGTGTCGAATGGGGAGTCGGAGTTTGAGTTGCACACTGTCGTCGTCGAGATCCATGTGTAGCTTAGTTCTCTTTTGCTCTTCTTGTTCATTCAAATTATGCTTAGGCTTTGGCTCTTCTTGGACACCCACTGCTTCGAAACTTCCGTTATCTCGCCATTCCTTGAGCGCATTTCGGTCTAAATTCTGCGGTCCGAATGGCTTCAGAGGTTGCCGGAGGGCGCGGATTAAGGCTTGCGTGTGTAGGACATTCAGCTCCAACCTAGGAGTGAACAGGTCCCGGGATTTTAGGTACCAGGCTAGACACTGAGTAAGGCCACGAGCGTCCAAGCCGGTCGGCATATGTTGCAAGCCAGATAACAGGTCATCAAATGACGGCACTGTAAACTGCTGGCGTGTGGTCTCCAGAAACTTACCCAACGCTAGACCCTCTGTGTATAGATTATTGTCTGACTTCCCCTTGTAACCTATGGTCTTGAAAGTCGGTATTGTAGACTTGACACTGTCGCGCTGGTAAACATTCATCTGAGGTGCTGCGATGGCATGGGTTGGGGGGCCGCGAAAGAAGTCCTCGAGATCCAGATTAGCTAGAGCGCCTTCAAGTTTGTCAGGACTTCAATTACTTACTTGTATTCCCATGATATCTGGTCCACGATAACCATTGTTAGTTAGCCGTAGCATGACGCCCTTTCGCCGAACATGATGCGGGTAGTACGCGTTGATCTCTTTTGCGGATAATGGCACGCCGGGTGGAAATATCGCGTCGATAGGTACCGCGCCAGTATACCAATGGTATTTTGCCCCCAGCTCTTCGACTGTCTCGGCTGGTTTCCGAATAGTCAGTCGGACCGCTTTCATATTGAAATCTCGCGTCTCATCGACCCACAAGCGCTGGTAGCGTGGAAATGTGTGTATGGATTCGATAGAGTTTAGAATATGCGGCGTATGTATTGTATCTGCCGTTCGGGAAGTTGCTGGGGTCCCGGGTGAGCATAGCGTTCTTAGGGTTTGAGAAGTGCCTGATGACTGCGTGCGGGCAAGTGACTGTGGTGTTGGTGGATAGTATGCTGATGCGGTCGTGATCCTCTGTAACTCTGCGATGTTGGTTCCCGTGAACTGTAGTCGAATAGTCAAGCTTTCGGGTTCGTATCTATGCTCCGCGTTATCGTTCTTCGCTGGAAGACTTGGTTTGAACCTCGCAACAGACGCCCACTTGTTCTTCCTTGGCGATCTTGCTTTTCTTGCTACCACCACTTGCGGCGACTCAGTTGCCGCCTTCGATCTAACAGTGTCTGGAGTCCCCATAGTCAGTATCGCATCGTCCGCTCCTAGCTCGCTACCACTTCTACTGCGGCTGCGGCTCAACCCTTCTCTCTTGCCCTTGATCGTTTCGTTGATTTGGTAGTCGTAATCTAACGTATCCCATGCAGACCGGTCTTTGGGGTCGTTTTCGAAGTCATCGTGTTGGAAAACGCCGGTCGCGTAGCGCCAGTCGCGGGTTTTCGGAACCCATGTAGAGTATCGCTGGGGGCGGGAATGGCGTGCGAGAATGTCTTCTTCCTTCATAGTGTGGGTAGCGTAGAAGTACGCGATCAGCGCATGTGGTCCTGAGAAGATGTGCTACTAGAGTAGTTGAGAAACTGGGGTGGGGCGGTAGAAAGTAAAGAAAGAAAGGTTCGCAGGTGCGCAGCGTATTAGTGTAGATTCACTTTCATCAGTAGGCGGGTTGCGGGGGTGAAGGCGGGCGGCTCGGTGTGATATAATCAGAATCATGGAACTACTAGTTCGGCTGAGTGAAAGAAGATTGACGCGAGGATCTTCTCAACGACAAAGCGTTGGTAGAACAAGGTATATGTTTTCTGATACGCATAGCTTTCGTGTTGAGCGTGCCTGATACTGAAGCCAGCAGTTAGTTCGTGAAAGCACAGTTCCCTGTGCGTCTGTCTGTAGCTGGTGAAGGCTGAAGATTTTGCGTGACTTCCTGATCTTGCGATTGAATTTAATATACGATTTTATAAACCAACGCTCGCGTGGACTAGCAAAGGTATCGCAGGATATAGAATGAAACTGAGAGCAAATGTCAGAAAGTAGCGATGAAGAGCAAACACCAACAGACGGGCTAAGGAAGAATAATGCCAAATTAGGTGGTATCCGCGATCGAAAAAGGCATAAGATTTTCAGGTTAAAAACTTGCCCTTTACCTGTTCTTTTATACTCTCCCTATTTGGAGCAACCGTAGCTGGCGACCGTTGGCTCGAAAGTAGCCTACCCTAGAAAAGCCAACGTAATCATAAACATCTCCGCACTCTATGTACCTCTACGGATTAGCGACAGGTCAAAGCGACAGGTCAACATGCATTCCTAGGGCGTAGGCGCTGTCACAATCTTTTGTATCGTCGCGTACCAACAATCGCATCATATACGGCGATCCACCTCACCGAGCTGCGATACAGCTACTCGTCCACCAAGGTCTTTCCAACTTACAGCAGACTAAGTAAATATAATATGCTGAAGGTACGAACATCGAGTGATGGCCGGCTTTCAGCAACCGACAATGGCGTGTAACGGATGAGGTTATCTATCGACCAAGTCTCGGTTGAGAAGCCGGTCACGTGACTATTTACGTCATCCGGCTAGCGAAAGTTCCTGGAGTATCCGGTGGTGGAAAATGATGATAAGCGGCAGTCTATCCCCCGTAAGCTACAATTGATCTTCATAAGGACCAGAATCGCTCCTCACTCCTACAGAACATCATGACCACAAAGACTGTCCCAGTGCTCACCCTTGACGGGGCGCGCATCGCCCTCTCTGCCGCGGAAGCGCGCGCCAAGGAAATCAAAATACCCATGAACATCGCAATCATGGACAACGCATGTCATCTCCTCGCATTCGCACGCATGGAAGGGGCCAAATTTACATCAATCAACATTGCAATCGACAAAGCCTATACAGCAGCAGGCCACCGCGCACCAACAAGCATCTACAAGGAAAACGTTTGGCCTGGCGGCCCTGCCTTTGGAATCAACAATAGCAATGGGGGCAGGTTTATGACTATTGCAGGTGGAGTGCCCATTACGAAGGATGGGGTAGTTGTAGGCGCTATCGGGGTTAGCACAGGGACGCCAAGTCAGGATGAGGATGTTGCTAAGAGAGGGGTTGAGGCTGTTGAAAAGAGCTTTGGGACTAAGGCGAAGCTATAGGCTGATGAAAGATTGAATAAAGGGTGTTGGTAGAGAATTCGGCGAGGAACCGCTTGGGCGACAACGTTCCAACCAATACATCAGTTCTATCGCTTACTCTCCTTTTCGACCTCTTTCTCCTTCCGTACATCCAGTCTCCTGACTTGGATCAGAATGTACCAACATTGCCCTTCTCGACAAGTTGCTGTTTGGCTCGATACTTACTCAGCCTCTAGCCCGGTATCATATTCTTTGGCGATGTACGACTGTTATCGGGAGTTAGATTCATGTGCATTAGAAAGTGACACACTGGGTAACAAACTGTATGGATACCATCACATTCATAGGCCATCAACTTAAGCGATAGATGTGAGCTGCAGTCGGAGCACTTGTGTAATATCTACAACACGTACATGTTAGGTATATTGATTCCATACCTACAATATTCATTGTACTAGACAAGCACTCTGGCAACAACAGGACAGGTACTAATATGTTTTGCAACTGAATGAGTTAGTACAACCATTGAAATAATCAGTTAGGGATAATGCCGCATATATCGACTAAGTGGGCTTTAGAGCCCACTACACGGCACCTGTTCCACCTTGGCATTCCACTGACTACGGGGACGGGGATTCGTACCGCAAAAACAGGATTTCTGTGAGCAACTGTCTCTGGTTCACACGCTGGAACAGGGATCGTGGAGCTCAATCTTCATTTCATTGAACTATGACATGAGATAACTTTTGCGCGTCGGAGTATGTAGACCCAGTCGAGTCACAGCTGACAGCACTCAGCACATTGACTATGGACACAATAATCGAGTCAACAATATGCCCCCCGTTGGATGACTTAACATAGCTAAACCGTACATTGCGGCCTAAAAGCCGTCCCGGGGCGATATTGGTACCGACCTACGCCCTAGGGCATCAATGCAGCGGCGATAACCTTGTCAGGCTTCTCACCTGGGAGCTCATCACCGGTGAGGGCTTCATGGCAGGGTAGGGCTAATTTACTAAATAGTTCTTACTTAGTAATTACTATTTAGTAATTACTAAATACTAAAATTAGTAAATTACTAATTAGTAATTACTAAAAAAAAATAGTAATTACTATTTAGTAATTACTAAATAGTAATAATTAGTAATTACTAGTTACTAAATAGTAATTTAAATAAAATAAAAAAATTACTAATTTATTTATATATATTTATATATATTATATACTAAAAAAATATAAAATATATAAATATATATATAAATAGCCCTAAAATAAATTAAATAACTAGAAAAAAAGTAACTTTTTTTTAAAAAA